GTGGCGATGGAGCTGGAGGCGGAGGTGGGCTTGGAGGTGGCGATGGAGATGGTGGTGGCGGCGGGATTGGAGGTTGGGGTGGGCTTCTAGGTGGCGGCGGGCTTGGAGGTGGCGGTGGAGCTGGAGGCGGAGGTGGGCTTGGAGGTGGCGGTGGAGATGGTGGTGGCGGTGGGGATGGTGGTGGCGGCGGGCTTGGAGGTGGCGATGGAGATGGTGGTGGCGGCGGGATTGGAGGTTGGGGTGGGCTTCTAGGTGGCGGCGGGCTTGGAGGTGGCGGTGGAGCTGGAGGCGGAGGTATGCTTGGAGGTGGCGGTGGAGATGGTGGTGGCGGTGGGGATGGTGGTGGCGGCATGGTTGGGCTTGGAGGCGGCGGTGGCATTTTGAGCATGGCGGGAGGGGGCGGGAAGGGCAATGGTGGGTTCCTCATTGCGGGAGGGATTGGTAAAGGCGGCATCGGTGTTGGCGGTGGCGGTCGCGGCCGCGGCGGTGGCGGCGATTGTGACGATGGGGATGGTGGCGGCTGGCAGCGGCATTGCATCACGCTGAAGCCGTTATCAGCCCAGGCGTTGGGTGAGTTTGAGCAGAGGGAGTTGGATGGGTCCCCGGCGGGAACCCAGTCCCATGCCATCCAAAACACAGATCCGTTAGGAAGTCTCATTGAAACCAGCAGGTGCAAGGACGCCTCCACACACGGGTGCAGATTCAGCTCATCTCCGTGTATGGTCAGCAACAGGTAGCTCCACTCCTCGGGTAAGACCAACAACAGCGGCAACGGCGGCGCGCCACTACACTGCGTCGGCGAACTGAAGACAGCGCCGACGAAGCTTGTATTGTCGTACAAATCGCCACGGACTTCCGTACCGGCAGGCAGCGGCAGGAGCAGCTCGAACGTGAGGTCCATCGAGGTTGGAATGACCGACAGTCTGGCGCGGCCGACGGCGGCGCCGGTGGCGGCGTCGCGACAGAAGCCCTCGACCGTGTCGACGAGGGCGCCTTGGCGGCGAAGGAAGTAGGCGTCGCGGCAGGAGGGAAAGGGTGCCGGAGGTGGCGCGGCTTGCGGCTGGGATAAGGTTGTGAATGCCTGCTGCTGCTGCTGCTGCTGCTGCTGCTGCTGCTGCTGCAGACGAGAAAGAGGTGGGGCAGCGGGAGAAGGACGAGAGGGACTTCCAGAGGCTGGAAACAGACGCTGTGCGGAAACGGTTGGCCAAAGAGGCATGCAAGATGATGAAATGTACAAGACTGCTGTGACGAAGCGGACGAGGCTGGCATTGAGGTGGCGCTCGAGGCGCATGGCTGGGTGGTGACACTTAGTGATCTTCAGTTTGCGTTGCAGTGGAAGAAGGCCTGGGATGCCAAGATCAAGCCCGGAATTGCGCCAGCGGTCTGGAGATGAAGATTTCTGGCGAAGCCGCAAGACGTCAGTGTGGTTGCGCCTCTTGCTTTGCAACGAAGTGTCTGTTTCACGTGCTGGATCGTCCCTGCGCTGAATCGCTGTAGAATTTCATCAAAATCCTTGGAATTCTATGCTGCATTGTAATGGATGTCCTCTAAAGCAAAGGAGTGCGCTTACACGGATTGAAGCTGGGTTCCAAACTAAGCAAGCGCTGCAAGCGCTGCAATCCTGTCAATTAAGTCGCCTAGGAATTAAGCCGCCTAGGAATTGTACAACCACACGGCGTTACTTTTCACTTTCTGCGGACGAAATGTTGTGTTCCATTGCAAGGAAACCCAAGATTTTGCGTTTAAATTAAATTTGAGCGGCCCAGCTACCGTAATTCTCAAGACACTGCTCCCTTCAGGTATAATGACTCCATTTTTTGTAAAACAGCTGTTCTTACATAATCTGGATTTAATTTAAATATAATTAGGCGCCCTACGCTTAGGCTTACGCATCGCGGAAACCGTAATTTACGAACATCACATGGCACTTTTTACGAATTGTCATTCGGATCTCTTAATGAGTGGAAAAGATTTTAACTTTGTACACTTTTTCCCTTATGTTACACCAACGTTAGCCAGTACGGTAGGCACAACATCCGCATAATAAGCCGTAGCCGACAGATATAACATTACTCAAATGCTAAAACCCCGCGACCCGGCTGTGTTACATAATAGTTTTGCTAGATTGCATGTTAGGGATGGCTGTTTGTCCTTTTAAACTTTAAGAATTTATGCCCCAGTCCTCGACGACCTTTGGATTTGAAAATGACGCGAAAGACAAAACCGGATCTTCGCTGCGAGGGGTGAAGCCCCCCCGACGCATCCCCCTAGGAAACAGCCCACAAAGGCAGACCCCTCCGAGGGATGTTCGTGCCCATCTGCCTGCCTGTCTGCCCACCCTGACCCACCCTGGCCCGCACCCGCATGCCTGTGTTACGCCAGAACAGACACCAAACTGCTAGGGATACGGTAACAAATCCTAGAAAAACAAGCGCAGGCCAGCAGCTACTGTTTATCCTGCAAGGATTACTTTTTTGGCAAATCACGCACGCGGGCTGCCAGTTATGCGGTTCACCTTAGCGAACGCGAACATCCCTCCTGGTTCTGCCTGGTTCATGACGTTGACTCGGTGATGATCAACGGTGGTGATCGTTTGCACCGGCGACTGCGTCGCAGACGAAGTCGTCGTCACGGACACAGGGATGTTCAGACCCCTAGTTTTACATGTATTCCATCGTCCTTAGCCCTGCGCCTCAAAGATACCACACCACTCTAGGATGTGTGATGCTTTATAGACCGCATGCAAACGTAAACCGCTAAGCTTGCTTGATCGTGTTCGTTCTGAGGTATGGGGCCCTGTGAGTCAGCCACGCCGAATGAAGGCCCAATTGCTCAGTGCCACCACACGAAGCCACCGAGACCACTCATTGAAGATATCCTCGATCGACGCACGTCTGCTCCCCCCAGGGGCATATATCCAAAGGGGGGAGTCAGTTCAGAACTCCTGCATCCTATAGTAGTAACGCGGTTTGTTTTGTCCACAATATTAATAAGGGCGCGCCTTGGACACCTCTCCGTGCAAATCCCTTACGTAGATGCGGGTGTCAGCAGCTTCCTCGGGCCATGTGCGGGTGTCAGCACCCCGGCGGCAACGGCCATCATAAAATAGGCCTGACAGGGAATCCAGCTGAAGGCGCCCTGCCTACCCTAGCACTCCAAGCCGACGAAGATAGCACCCTACTTGTTAAGAAGCAATGCTGTAGAAGGAATATTCGTGGTGCCCAGTAAAGCCCCAAGCCTATCCCCCCTATTTCAGCCAACTTCCTCAATTATTCGACAACCCGTGGCTCCAAGCATGATGTGATCAAGTCTGCCGGTCTCCCAGGGCCAGTTAGCCGCGCACTGTAATGCACCGCCAGCGGCTAAAACGGACGGTTTTTCGAGGCTTGTTATGAGGCCGTGAGGGGGATCCGCGTGAGCTACCGGCTTGGACTTAAACGCCGAGATCTCCATGGAAAGGACCCAACAATCACCGACGGGCCACCGACGTGGCTAGCGTGGCACACTCGAGTGAGTGACTGAGTGCGTGTGTTCCAGACGCGTTTACATCACAACCCATTCAAGCCCTAGGGACTGCGTCGCCAAGACGGCCGCTAGCAAGGCTCGGCTCTGTTTATCCGTCGCTCGGCTCGACTCGAGATGCCCCTTTTGGCCACATTGCAGACAAACCAGCAGACATATCAGCAGAATGAGACACGCACGCGCCGGGGCTGAGAAGCTCGCGTGCGACCTCGTTTCTGACTACTTGCCCTGATTTGGCTGATTTTATTAGACCACAGGGCCGGCAGCGACACCGGCGCTATTGCGTTCTTGTGAAGCAGCGCAACGAACCGCTTCTCATACACATGCCCTCCTCAACGTCGAGAGGCCGGGGGGCTCCGGGCTCGCGTAGAGTCTCTCCCCCAATTCCCCCATTCATCCTGGCCAGAGTTTCCGCTCTCCTCGATTTCCTTCTCTCACCCCGACCCCGGGAACAGCTGCTACACGCCACAACGCGCCCCGCTACACACCACACAGAAGGTGCAGCTGGCAGCCACATTCCGCTCCTCACTCATGCCCCGGTTCGAACTCGCAAGCACCCCAACTTACTTCTCCGGGCGCCACCACCACCCCTCGCTCCCTCATCTTGTGGGCGGCGTGTCCGCCAATGGCGCACGCCCCGGTGCACATACACCTTCCCACAGGTCTTCAACCCTCCTTTCTCAACCTCCCCATCCAAACCCCCCTTGCCTATCCCTTTTCGAAATGCAAAGAAGGAAGCTAATACGGAGGACAGTATGGGTGGTAATAGCTTCTGGCTATAATAGTTGTTGTAAGCGCCTCCTTGCTGCCACAAAACAAACTCCTCCTCGGATGTGGTGTCCATTCCGCGCTACCCCATAAGCACGAACCGCATTCTCTCCCAAAAGGTATCCAGCACATCCTACCTAACTACCTACCTCTACCTACGTGCAAACCACGTTGCTGGCCACTCACGCAGCGGCGAGTGTACCTCCCAGCCGAATGCACATACATACATACCGAATCCCGGCCGGACCTTCCTAGCCCCTTCCCCGCAACCTGAACACGACTCCTAGCTCCCAAACCCCTAACTCCCAAACTTCTAACTCCCAAACGCGCACGTTGGCCCTGTCCGCCGCCGGAGTCCTTAGCAGTCCTTAGCACGCAGCCTGCAGATGCTTGCGAAATGAAAAGATGCCCTATCGCCATTCGCTGGCCTATCCACCCATCCTCTCACCATCGTCCCAACCCCAACAATGGTTGTACCCTCCGTGCGCCGCGGCTCCTGCATGGCCCTCCCTTACCCATCGCGCAAGCTCGTCAATCTCCTCCGAAACCGTGGAATCCGCTCACCTATCCCTTCACCGCTTTGCATGACATGCAACAAGAAACTGTTCCGCCTGCACTTTACGTGGCCGTCACAGTGAGAGCTGCACAGCGACTATCTGCCATCCCCCTCACATCTCTTGCTCCTCTCTTTCCTTCCCACCCCACTCCTCTCAAGCCGGGCCCTTGTTCTTGGCCCGCAGCCGCTGCTTGTACTCCTCAAAGGTACCGTGGAAGGGCTGCACACGGCCGTCCTCGCACATCCACAACTCGTCCACGGTGCTCTCGATTAAAAACTGGTCGTGACTCACCTGAGGCAGGGAAGCAGGGAAGCAGGGAAGCAGGGGGAGAATTACCAAGGTGCAAAAAATCGCCGCAAAAGTTCAATTCTCGTTCAAAAGGTGCAAAAGAGGACTATTTCCCGCAGCCATCACCACCCTTTCACGGCCACCTGGTTCTCTACCCAGGCACAGAAACTCTTCCCAGCCCTCCGCTCTTGCTGCCGCTTCTCTCCAAACGGAAACGGAAGCACAGTCCTACTGCCCTCTCCCCCTCTGCCTACTAGGAAAAGAGGCCTTCGCGGGCAAGTAGGGTAATAACAAGGCATGCGCGTGCGGAAAAACGTAAAGTACTCCTTTTTGCGGCAACTCCTCTTTTGCGTCCTCTTATGACGCCTTACAGCACGTTCAACAGGGGTGTCTGAATCCCCACCCCCGTGTCCTCTCTCCCCCCACAATATGATTCCCTTTTTCGCGCCCTCGCAGCAGTGTGTAGACCCACCATGAGCACACCGCCCTTGAAAGTGGCCAGCCCCTGGATCAGCGCATTGACGGCGTCGATGTCCAGGTGGTTACTGGGCTCTGCAGGAGTTGGGGGGGGAGCAAGGGGGGGAAAGACGAACCACACACGAGTGAAGCTGCTGCCAGGGGAGGGGTAGGGGTAGGGGGGCGGCGGCGGCGGGCCGCAGAGAGGTAGCAGAGGAGGAGGAGGAGGAGGTTCATATGCAGCATAAGGAAAGGAATGGATTGCAGGACAGGGTATCATTACGGAAGGGAGGAAAGGGGAATGGGCCCCGCCAGCGGGCAGGGGCAGGAGGAAGACACCACGAAGACACGATACACGCGCACACAGATACACGTACAGATAAACACACATGCGCGCTGGCGTGCCTCATCAGTTTCACCTTTCCAAATATAAACCCGGCACGCATTTGATTCCGCGGCTGGAATACGTACGGATGTGGTCTCTCGAAACGCCCAGCAAAGGCCCTGGGCGGTCCGCCAAACCCCCACCCCCCACCCCCCCACCCCCACCCCCGAGCCCGAGCCCGGGAACGGACCGCAAAGAGGGACCGACCCCTTCCCCCCGTCCGCCACCCACCCACCATCCAGCAGCAAGATGTGCGGCTTGGTGAAGGTCATCTTGGCGAACGCGACTCGGCTCTTCTGGCCTCCGGACAGAGTGTACATGGCCTGGCCTGGGGTCGGGGCCCGCAGTCAGTCGTAAGACATGGAAAGGGGGAACCACTGCTCAAGCGAAATCATCAAGCAAACCGAATGCTGCTGCCGATACGACAACTTATGTTCCCCCATCGGCAAAATTAAACACACACACACAGGCATCAGAGGGGCGAGCACGCGACGGGCGACGGGCGAAGCGGGAAGGCTGGGGAAGAGGGTAGAGAACTGCGGATCGCAACACTCCGGCAACACAACGGAAGGTAAGCAAGGAAAAGCAACACACCAGGCCCCCTCCACAACCACAACTACCCCGTCCACCACCACTACCCCGTCCACCACCACCACCCCCTCCACCACCACCCCCTCCACCACCACCCCCTCCATCCGCACATGCACGCAGTTACCTGCCAGAGTTGCTGGCACACCAAAGCTGGAAAGATGCCCTCGTAGCTCGGGTTCCTTGGCGTCGGGGAAAGTTCGGCTGAGCACCTGCAGCGGGAGATTGTGTGGGTGGGTGGGTGGGGGCCGAGAAGGGGGAGGACGAGGTGTGGGCGGCGAGGGGTAGTAGGGGGGCGAGTGGGGAGGGAGGGAGCCAAGAAGCCTTAGGAACTCGACAACGGCCCGGAGGCGGCAGCGGCGGCGGTGCCGAGCCAGTCTAGGAACTTCTTCCACTGCATTCCCCCACCGACCCACCGACCCACCGACCCACTACCCCTACCCCTACCCCTACCCGCCACCCACCTGCAGGGGTGTCAGAGCCAGATCCAGTCCATCCACGTGGTGCTGACTGAAGGTGGCCAGACGGACCTGGGGTTGAGGGAGCGGAGGGGAGGGGAGGGGAGAGGGAGCGATTGGGGGGGAAGAGGGGAGTGATGGGGGGGAGGGAGTGGGGAGACATCGTTACCACATGATAACGATGATCATAATCATAATCATAATCATGATCATGATGCAAAAAGCAAATGAATCAGCTGGCGATACTGCCGTCCAAAGCCGCCAACTGGAGAAGCGGGGGTGTCGGGAAGTGGGGGGGATTACACGGTGGAACCCTACACGCACCCGTGTGTTCCTGGTGATGGAGCCCTCCGTGGGCTGCAGCTTCCCTGAGATCAGGTTGAGCAGTGTGGACTTGCCGATACCGTTGGGGCCCTAGGGGGGGGGAGGAGGAGGGGTAAGGGGTAGAGGGAATAGCGGGGGAAGGAGGAGTGGGGGGGGGGGAGGGGGGTTAGGAAGGGGGGGGGGAAAGAAGAACCACAAGCGAGTGAAGCTGATGCCAAGGAAAGACTGATGCGCCAGAAGAGGAAGGGGGAGGATGGTGGAGAAACTGGCATGTATGAGGGGGGGAAGGGGGTTTGGAGAAACCAGAACGAGTACGAGGGGCGAGAGGATTGAGGCGCCCCGTAGATGTACACCGTGAACTTGTGTGCAGAGCGACACAAGAGAGCGACACAAGAGAGCGACACAAGAGAGCGACACAAGAGAGCGACACAAGAGAGCGACACAAGAGAGCGACACAAGAGAGCGACACAAGAGAGCGACACAAGAGAGATCAAGAGACCGGTACGTTGACAGCGGTACGCGCGGAGACAGCGGTGGACAGAGAGATGGCGGTGGTGGAGAACCCGATACAGCGGGGAGACGGACGCGCGCCTCCCTAGAAGACGCGCACCACGATGGCGAAGCGGCTCTCCAGGTCCAGCCCGAAATTGAGGTTCCTGCCGGTCGGGCAGGTCAGGACATGTAGGGTAGGTAGGACAGTGAGCAGTTGCAGGACAGAAAGGAGGGGTGCTTTGTCCACACCCTCAGCGAACAGACTCCCATTACTTCAGCAACAAAGGAAACCCCTCTCCCTCTCCCTCCCCCCTCTCCCTTTTCCCCTCTCCCTCTCCCTCCCCCTCTCTCCCTCCCAGGCAGCCACCCCACCCCAGCCAGCGGACTCACTTGAACAGCGTGGGGCCCCCCGGGTATCCGAACGACACGTCGTTGAAGGCGATGATGGGCGGCGCTGCGGAGCCCTCGGGCTCGGGGAAGGAGAACACGTACTCGGGGTCCTCCTCCATCACCTCCACCTCCGCCATGCGCTCCAAGGCCTTGATGCGGGACTGGACCAACGCGGCACGGTTGGCGTTGTACCTATACATACACGCGTCAATGTGCGGGAGGTATGTGGGAGTGAGTGAACCTGGTAATCAATGGAAACCTTCCCCCCTCGCGCACATACATAAAGACAAACGCATGCGAATGCGTGACACCACCATCTCTTATGGGACGGGTATACCGGTGTGCGGTCTCGGTAGAGCCCTCCCCCTCCCCGCCTTGCGCTTCCCTTCCCCCCTCCCGCCGGCCTGTGCTGCCCTGTGCTGTGCACTTGTGAGGAGGGAGATCTGTAAGCCAAGTCCTGTGAGCAACCCGACGACGTGAAGTCGCAGGCCAGGTGTGAGGGCCTGTCTTGACCTGCCTGAAGCGGTCGATGAACTGCTGCACGTGCTTGCGCTTCGCCTCCTGAGCCTCGGCCGCCTTACGCTGGTTGCGAAGTCGCTCCGTCATGGTCTTCTCGAAGATGCTGTAATTGCCCTGGGCGCGTGGAGGGCGTGTGCGACAAAGGACGGAAAGGGAGGCAGGGAAGGGTGGGGGAACAGGAATAGACGCAAGGAAACAAGGAATTAACTGCCGCCGTCCAAAGTGAAGGGAAAAGGGCGGGAGGAGGGGGTGGATAAGGGAAGGAGGCGCATCGGCAGGTACGCGTGAGTAGATGAAGGGAAAAAGGAGGGGAAAGGAGGGAGAAAACGGCGTTGGGTGCAGGTAGAGGTGCGTGGAGGAAAGGAAAGGCAAGTTTGGGCGGGCCGACCCCACCAACTCAAACAAATCTCCTCCTTAACAGCTACAGCCTTCACCGGGCTTTAAAATCCGTACAAACTGAGTCACCGGCCGCTGGGGATCCGCAACTTCCCAAACAAAGAACACACAGAAGCCCTTCTGGCCAAGCGCTTACAGATTCTCCTCTTCTCCACATCTTCACACCATCACGTCCACCACGCTTGGAAGGCGTGCCAAACCCCCCTCCACATCTCCCCCGTCGTCCCCCGCCTTACCCCCTTTTTCAAACAAAACACACAAAAACCCATCCGCTCACAGCTCCCCTCCCCCGGGCGCCACCTTCCCCCCCCGCGCAATAACCCCGCCTTACCTTGTACGTGATGATCTTCTGCGAGTGCAGGTGCAGGATGTCCGTGGCGACGACGTTCAGGAATTCCCGCGCGTGCGACACCACCAGCAACGTCTTGGGCCACTTGACCAGGTAGTCCTCCAGCCATAACACTGCACGGAGCCGCGTGGGGCATGAGCGAGGAGTGCGGCAGGGTGGGGTGGCGCAAGAAGTCAAAGCACTTCTTTCAAAGAAAAGAACTTTTCTTTTCAAAGCAAAAAACTGCAGGGGATGGGGCGGGGGTCCCCAGAGGAATTCGGGTGCGGAGGCTGTGCAGCGTCTTGGGCCACATGCGGTGCATTACCCGACCGAGACGCAGTGCAGTGCACCCACACTCCCTGGCTCCCCCCTTCTTCTCCCTCCCTCTCTCCCTCCCTCTCTCACTCACCCGCATGCAGGTCCAGATGGTTGGTGGGTTCATCCAGCAGTAGCAGGTCCGGTTCCACGAACAGCGCCCGGGCCAGAGCCACCCGCATGCGCCAGCCGCCGCTGAAGGTGCGGGTGGGGCGCCGCATCATGTCCGCGTCGAAGGACAGACCCGCGAGGATGGACGCGGCCCGGGCCTCGGCGCCTGCAGACCACCAGGTAAGTGGTGGGTGCATTGCCGCGGCGGTGATTGCGGCGGTGATTGCGGTGGTGGTTGCGGCGGTGATAAGAGATGGGATGCGGGAAGAGGTGCACACGAGCCCCCCTACCTGCTTCCGGAGCTACAATTCACTCGCGCCAAACTTTTGGCATGAAGCAGGCCATCAGTGCTGTGGACGTGCCGGCGGCTGTTTCACTGACCTTTGCACATGGCGTAATTCGCGCCTACCCACCCAGCCACCCACCCAGCCACCCACCCACCCGCCTACCCACCCACCCACCCACCCGTCCGCCTACCCACCCACCCACCCGCCTACCCGTGTTGCCTCTCACCGTCTGCGTCTATCTCCTGTAGCCGCTGGTATACTGCCACCAAGCGAGCCGACATGGCCGCCTCATCACCGCCGACCTTGTCACCGGGTGTCGCTGCCGCGCCCTTGGCTGCGCCGTTGGCGGCGTCGCCCGACTGGACGGCAGTGGCAGCAGCAGCAGCGGTGGCAGCAGCAGCGGTGGCAGCGGCACCACTGCCGTCCTTTCGCTCCCGGTTGAGCGCACGAAGGAGCTCCGCTTCCTCCTGGAGCAATAGAAGCAGTAGCAGCAAACTGCACATTACGCCCATGCCCATTATCATGGCTTCCCTGCGCTGCGTCTAAGGGCGGATCCAGGTGACGATGTAGACACGCCGTCACAATAGCCAGCAGCCCTACCCTAGCCTACCTTTAACAGGGCTGTCCGCTCCGCATCGCAAGCTAGCACCGCCTCTATGACAGGCGTGTCATCTCCCACCACCTCTTGCTCCACATGGAGGACCTGCAGGGGTAGGTAGGCAGGTAGGAAAGTAGGCAGTTAGTCAGTTAGGTAGGTGGGTAGTTAGGTGGGCGGGTAGTTAGGTAGCGGGGGTTCACCAGGAATACCTTAGCCGCCAATACTTCACGAGCCCGACGAAGGTCCATTGGAAACTCAAGCGTCTTCCCCGAGCAACGTAGCCGATGTCGGTATTCAGTTGACCGTTTTGTCGTACCTGGCAGTTGGCAGGAATGCCCTTGATTTCGTGTGCGGCCAGAGCGCGTAGCAGTGTCGTCTTGCCTGACGGCCGGAATCATCATCGGGTAGTAAGAGGTTCGGGGTGGGGTGTCGGAAGCGGGTTTAACCCAGGCAAGCCAAGCCAAGAGCCAGCCACCCCACCAACCCCTAACGCATCTAACTTTCCCCATCTACCACACCATCCCCTTTGGGATGACACCCCTTCGGTTTCCCTCTCACGAGCCCCCCACCAACCACGCGCACAATGGCCCAAAGAAAAAAGAAACGTGTCCGTCTAAGAAGCTCACCCGTTGCAACCTCTTCGTGAACCGACCACCTCGTGCCAACCAACCGCTCCGAAACCCAACCAACAGGGGGCCCAGGGGACCGTCTGAAAGCCTCTAAAATCAAAACATCCAGCAACGACAACTAGCCTAGCCCTGCTCACACACCAGGATGTTTCTCATTAGGGCCCCTGGTCATGAGCCTCTTGCGTCACACGCACACGCATGTGGAACGATTGGTCCAAAACCCCGGACAATACCGCTCCCACCTAACAAGCCGCCCCTCATGTTGACAAAACCATGTACGCGAACACAGGATCACGAATGCTCACCCGTTCCGTTTCGGCCAATGAGGCCGTACCTCCTCCCAAAGGCCAGCATGACTGTGGCATCCGTCACCAACTCCTTGCCGCCGTTGCTGAGGCTGAAGTTCTCCAGCAGCACGTCCTTGGAGCCGCCGCCACCCCTGTGAGCCAGAACCGCAGCGGGAGGAGGAAGGTGGTGGGTGAGGCGGAGCCCCAAAGCACCAGAGGAGGAAGGTGGTGGGTGAGGCGAGGCCCAAAAGCACCAGAGGAGGAAGGTGGTGGGTGAGGCGAGGCCCAAAAGCACCAAGACATGTAAAAGGAGAACCTAGTCGGCAGCAACGACCACCATGTCCTCATAGCACAAGGAACCTACCGCTAGGCTAACCAACCGCGATGCCATGGGGGGGAGGGAAAGACGAACCACACACGATTGAAGCTGCTGCCAGGGCAAGAGAGTATCAAACGTAGAACTGACATGGGGGGGCACATATGCTGTTGCATGGCTTACTTGTTTCGTATGATGATGGGGACGTCACCCTTGAGGGAGTGCGCTGCTCGGGCCTGATGCGCCGCGAGGACCTTGAGAGTGTGTGTGGGGGGGAGGGAGGCCCGGTAGGCAGGTACGCAGCAGCCAGGCGGGAAGAAAGACGGGTGAGGGTTGTAAGGAACTCACACGCGTTACATGAAGGAATGAAAGGGAGGCGAGGATTACGGGAAAGGGCGCACCGCGTAGAGGAAGGGATTGAGTACACAGCAGCACCAGGTACCCAGGGGAGAGGTGGGAGATCTCATGTGCGAGAAGTCATATGTGAGAGAGGTGGGGGATTTCCAGATGCCCAGAATATCTCACCTATCTCCCGCTCTCCTCTCACATGCCGTGCTCACGGAAATCTGAGAGAGCCAGTTTCCAGCGGCTCTCCCCTTCTTCCCCCCTTCCCCTTCTCCCCAAACATGTGTTGCTGTTTTCCGGCTTTCTAATCCAACATCTGCCCAGCCGCCTTGCCTTCCCTCTCACCTTGCGTTGGGCTTCCTCCTCCTTGGCCGCCCGCTTCTCCAGTTTGGCCTTGTCTTTCTCAGTTAGGGGTGCTGGCTTCGCCTCATCCCCGAACGGCGTCTGTGGAGTACATTGGCAATGAGATGGCGTGGCATGGCCGCGGAGTTCAAAAACTGGAAAGGTCAAAGGAGGGGGATGGACGGGTGGGCACCGGCATCACGGCAGCTGGTCCATTACCTAGGTGCCGTTAAGTGGAGCCCCACTGCACTGAACTGCACTGAGCTGCGCCCATCTCCAACAGCCGTCCATCACATGAGTGACCAGCGGTCACAGCGCATTGGGCATGGCCTTACGACGGTGGTGTGTGTGACTGACGGGGTCGGCGCAGGCGACCAACTGAGGCGCCCCAGGCGTAACAGGAGCTGAGCGGGACGGTGAGAAAAAGATTGGTTTGCCAGTACCAGCATTTATACATTTTAGTTATGACCTAAAGCACAGGCACCACATCCTTCTCCGGCTTTAGGTAACCTATCGCCAGGAGATGCTAGCTCCCCACGCCGAGCACGGGGATCGGGTACATGATGGCCCACGCCACCGCATTACTGCCACTACCGCTGCCTCCACCTCCGATACCGCCGTCGCCGCTAGGGTTTATGCCATAACTTCCGCGCACGATACCCTGGGTGCGCTCAAGGGAGAGTCCCAACGGCCAGAATTTGTAAGCTGGTCACCTGGATAAGGTGTCGATAAGATTGCTCCTGATACAGCACGGCCCGACTGTCGGCTTTGGAGAGCTGGACAGGCCCGGTCTCCAACGCGCGCACTGTGGGCACCGCGGCCGCAGCACGCAGGGATAACTTCTCCGCCAGGACGCGGCACGCTTCGCGCGCTTCCTCGTCACTTCCAACGCAATGGCCGTCGATCTGAAATGAGCATGCGGGTGCACACATCGCAGATCATCCAAGGGATGCCGCCTGAAGATTTCGCCGCACAACCTTTGCTCACCAAGAATGGTCCGATCGCCTCATATGCATCTTCACCCTGCTCTCCGAATTCAAAGTGTTCATCTTCCAGGACGCCGCATATGTAGTCCAAAATCGTTGGATCGCCCTTGCCATCAAACAGTCCGTGAACTACCTTTTGTATTGTTTCAGCATCATGAGTGCTCATATTGGCAGCTACGTTCTGCCAGATAGTATTCTCACTTTCTCATAACCTTGTCTGCAACAATGATCCCAGGGGAAACGGTTAAAGATACAAAATTGTCATATAGTTCTAAGATCCTGACAGGTTTCGGGAGTATGGGAGTGCAAGTGTAGCCGTGTACAGTTATGGTACGGTTAACAGCTGTTGGACGTTAGTCAGGTCACTAACCGACTCTAACCGCCACGATTTTTCCGGCTGCGGGACGGCATAATTTTGGTCAGTAAACCTAAGAAAAATTCGAAGTCAAATACACCAGCGCGCGGCCCTACGGGCCGCAATAGAGGCTGCAAACCACATCTTTTGGTCAAATTTTGGTCAATAGGGACCCGCAGCCGGGGCCTGTAGCCGAATTTCGGCTGCGGGTACGGTGGTGCGGACCCGCCTTATTTGCCGACCTCTGAATCAGACATTAACCCAACCAGCCAGCAGTGTTTCTACAAGAGGAGCCGGTGAGCAAGTTTGGCATCATAACCAGCATCTAGACGTCCTGCAGAAACCAGATGCATAAAAGCTTACGGTGAGCCTCAAAGCCACGCAGGAATGGACAAGTTAATCACGGTGATGACATCCGTGAATGATCGGGCTCGTTTGGGGTATCATCATAGTCCCATTTTTGACCACCAGCGCCATTCGGAGGCATTGCTGCCCTCCTCTGTACGATAGGCGTCAATGATGAAGAGCCTGATCATTAACACTCGCCCAGGATGAACCTAAGGAGCTCTTAAGCCAGTCCGGGGGGAGGAAATGTCTGCATGTCGGAAGCATCAACATCTGTCAGTGGACCTAAACTTTGAGCCGGTGCAGGGGCAGCCGCCAGTGCCATTCCGTCCGACCCAGGTGGAGGTAGGAGAGCCAGTTGGACAGAAGGTGAAGCGACGGAAAACCGATGCTCTGTCTCAGGCCGAGGAGGGCGGCAACACCGGCGGGCGGGGGCCGCAGGGAGGCAGCAAGGGATACGGGAGGCGCGGGGCCCGTGGAGGGTTATATGTTTTGGACAGCCCTTTAGTGTTCTTCTCTTTCACACGCTCAGTGTCTTGTAATGTTCTTTTGCCTCTCTTTCGCACAGTGGCACTGCTTGAAATGGGGCTTGGGGCATTCCCACGGCAGTATGTGCTTTGTGAATAAGGACCAATGCCCCGGCATAGGCTAAAACTCGCTGGCCGTGTGGTCTTCCATATCACCTAAGGTTGCTGCATGCCGGAGCGCTGGCGCTGCACTAACCTTATTGCCCTGGAGAGACTTTGTTGTACAGCCACAAGCTACAATGCACGAGCCAGAGCTGCATCTACATTAATGCCCCTAATCGGTGTAGTCAAACAAGGTTTGGCAGGACAGTCCAAATCCATGGGAAGCAACATATATTTCAGTTGTGGTCTTGCAGGTGACAGGGTCGGCATCGTGTCCATGCAATTTACCACTGCCCGTGCAGCCGAAAGGACCTCGTGCAGTCATGTTATGTGGGCCGACACGTTACCCTGTATGCACATGCGTCAAGTGTCCAACATAACCCATTTCCGCCTCGTCACTGACCGCTCAGCTTAGAAGGCGGATGAGCCACGCGTCTGTCCACACCTCCAAATCTCTACCAGCCTCTCTAGATTCACCTCAATGACCAGATACGCTGCGACAGCAGCAATCCCCGCCGCCACTGGCTTGTCTCCGGCACCCACTTCACGTCTCTCGCAACCAACAGTTCGTCCGAGGTAGTGTCCGCTCTGCGCTGTACTGTGTGTGATGATGTAGTGGCGGTGTGCTAGGGCATGCCGCCCTCCCGAAAGTGTTCATGCATGTTTCCACATTACCCCATTTCCCTTTTTTTGCACCTCGCTTTGCATTGCACCGGCGACCGCGCGAAACAAATCACCCCGACTATGTAGTGGTCACCACCAGTCGCACCATCCGCGGCTCCCACCATAGCTAGCAGTTGCGCTCCACTCCCAGCTAGCCACCCCAAGACCAGAATCCCACCGCCTCTCCCAGGCACGTCTGCGCGGGCCCACGCGGGCCCAGTACAAACAGATTTCTGAGCTTAAGCCACACAAAGAGTCCAATCGCATCATTCGTCGGCCCGAAACCTGCTACACGACGCTGCACAGAAGGCGTTAGCCCTTCTTCACATCGCTGCCTCGGTAGAAGGAGTCGGTACCCGCCACAGCTGAAGGCCTCATCATGCCGCGCCCAGCAGCACTGCCGGCAGCCCGTCGAACACCAGCTGCGCGACATCCTGCCGCTCCGCCTTGACCGACACGTCTACACCGCCAGCCCCCGCTACAAACTTGAGCTCAAGCAGCACCTGGTGGAGCGGGTTTGAAAGTGGGGGACGTCAGCGCGCACAACATTTTGGGCTTGAAAGCACCTTGATCGAGCAGCTTGTGAGCTGCTGCACCGACACTTCAACCAGCCATCATGCCATTTCAAACAGGTAACCGGGTTTGGCATGGCATGTTGCCGACCGATGGGATAGGTCTGATCATGCAAACAGGGAGGCGCGCCGGGAAGCTGCTGCTCGCAATGACGTCGCGCCTGGTGGTCGTCCGCGAATAACATTTTCGCCATCCCGTGCATACAGAGCGTGGCCCACGGCACAGTGCTGGGCCGAAATGGCATCACGTGCGGCAGCGAAAGTCCATGACAGTTCATTGACGATGACACCCTGCTCACACACCTGCCCGATACCTCCCGCAGAGATGCGGCACGTGGCGTAGATGGCATCCTGGCCCGTGGCAGGAACCTGCAGCCGGCATAGCATGAAACGAGTGGCGCAGCAAGAAAGGTAACCTATTCCAATCAAAAGCAAAGCCGCCTCGCCATTTCAACGTCCGGAACGCTGCACTCCCAAGGAAATCACATACACGGGTCACGTATCCTCATCGTTGTTCCAACTGCCTGGCCACCCCAGGTGTTGCCTGCTTCTGAATCCCACCCCCGCTGAACGTTTCCAGGAGACACCCAAGACCCAAATGACACGAGTCTTCCGTCGTCACAGAAACTGCGGCACGTCAGAACCACTTACACACCCACCTGACGGTGCGCCAACACGTACAAATTCGCGGCCGCCAACCGCTGCTTGGCCACCTCCGCTGACGGCACCGCTAGCGGCAAACGGGCACTGGCCTCAGGGGGAAGCGCCTGGAAGAGGGCAGATGAAAGGGCAGGGACGGAGTGCATCGGTGAGATTAGGGAGCGAAGATGTGAATTTGACAGGGTAACAGCTACAGGCGTGTTATTGAGCCAAGTTGAGCTTGCGGAAGCTCTCCTCGAATCCCATGCGTTCTCACCTTCCATGCCGCCAGGAAATCCGGCGCCTCCATGGTCCCTCCCTCCTCCGTTAGCGCGGAGAGGGGCACCGTGTCGTTGAAGTAAAGCACTCCCACCTGCACGTCGTGGAGGAGAGAAAAGGGCCGCCGGCAGATAGGCAGCCAAATTGAAGATGCCTGGGAAGGCAACGGTTACCCCAGCACCGGTCTGCCGTTTGCATGCGAGGCTAAACGTATGGCAATACTGAAGTGCTAAACAGCGCCTATCCCGGTACATGCAGCCCCTCCCCACACACCGCGCGGAGGTGCCCAGTGGGTTGCACACTGGAACACTGGCAGTGCCCACCTGGTTGGTTCGCAGAGCCACCTGCAGTGCGGTGCTGAGCGGTGGCGGGGTGACCTTAGCGGGGTCCACCAGCAGCGGCACGCGCACAGGGGCCAGGCCGCCAGGCGGGATGGCACTGCCGCCCGGGGTAGACAACACTAGCACCTGCACAAGGACAGGGGTGCGCAAACACATTTACATAAGAGGACAGCCGATACGGAAGTAGGGTTAGGCACGGTAAAAGGCAAGCAGGGCACAAGAAAGCATATTATCGACAGGGTCGAACCAGGCAGGACAAAATACATCCGCTGGGTCACGCGCCTGCCCGTCGCCTCGGCGTCCTCATCCTTACCTGGCTGGCAGGGCTGAGTCCAAAGCTGTTGCGGTTGGTCTGAATCATGAGACCGTCCACGGGCGCCAACTGGAGGAGGTGGAACCATGGGCATGGCGGCAAGGGGCGCGTGCTTTGTTCGTACAAGGGTACCGCGAAGGAAGCCATTCCAGGTGAGGTGAAAGAACAGATGCATGCTAACTAGGAACACCCGCGCTGGTGAGAGGCACAGGTCAGTACCAAACAAAGATTTGCGCTTCACCCCGTGCTTTCGCCACCACTGCACATCCTGCCTGACCCCACTGCCATGGCGGTTAGCAAGTTAAATGAGCAAGAATCTCCCATCGGGGCCTCCTGCGTCATTGTCTGGCCTATTTATGGCCCAACGGCCCCTTTCCCGGCCCCACAGTCTGCGTGCTGCCTCACCGTATCATTTCGCAGCGCAAGTTGGTAAACCACCTGGCCGCCTTGCCGCACCAGCCGGCCCTGCACCGACACGCCGCCGGGGTTCGCCAGCAGCACCGGCAGCTGCGACAGCGCCGCAGGGGAGATCCCCGCCGCCGCGGCTGCCGCGGCAGGAGCAGGCGCGGCTAGGGCGGCGAAGGGGTCCGCATCGGCGTAGGAGGGCATGACGGAGGTGCTTGCCGTTGGGCCGCCTAAGCACGGATGATAACACAACCGGAACGCAACGTTAAGAGTAAGATCAGAAGCTGGTGAGGACTCTCAGGACGCTAGCTGCTGATAAGAAGACGTCCTTCGTACAGATTACCCTGCCAAGTGATGCTTCTTCTCGTCAGTATTGGATAGAACTTTTCCTTTTCCAAAGCCGACCTATCGCAGCACATACCTAGGTCCAGGCCGCCCAACAGGTCGTCTAGTCCCCGAGCAGCAGTTGACGCTGGGGCTGCTGGGCCGATTCCGGCGGCACCCGCTGGTACGGGCACCGGCGAAGCGTCTGATAGGTCCAGCAGGTCGCCCACGGAGCTGGCCGCTGCTGCCGCTGCAGCCCCCGCCGCCGCAGCGGCGTTGTTGTCCGATACCATTGTTCCAGGCGTGGCGCCATCCTCCTCCTGTCGGGATGAGTATGGGGCATTAGTGAAGTGGTTGGCTTCTTCGGCTACACCTACTACCGGGCGCCAGAAGCAAGACGGATCATTATCCGCCTCATTATCCGCCTCATTATCCGCCTCATTATCCGCCTCTCACCCCCCGTGTCCCCCGCAATCACGGTACCATAAAAAAACACGTCTCGGGTTCGGCCACTTTGACCCGACAACGACACATTAACCCATTTCTCAACACCTTCCTACAACATACCTAAGACGGCTCCATCACACACATACACACGGCTTTCACCCTAGTTCTGATCCCCCGCCAGGCACCACAACTATTCAGCACCAACGCTCCCACCTCAAATTTGCGGTTGCCCAGCTCCTCGGCACGCGTGACTGCCATGCGCTGCCGGCTGACGAAGGTCTCCGGCGGCCGGTGGTAGACCGCCGCCACGGTGGCCAGGTAGCGCGACACCAGCTGCTCCAACAGCGAGGGATCCAAAGTGGAGGAGTCATCCGCAATGACCGGCTTCTCCGCCAGAACCACATCTTTAGCAGCCTGCAGCAAAAAGGTGAGAACGCGTGGGCTGACGGATGTGGACAGACGGCTGGACGAATTGATGTGCGAATACACGGATTGAGCGGGCTGGGAATTCATTGATACGCTGTTGCGCAAAGTTGCATCTAAATCCTCGGTAGTCTTAATCTTCCTCTTTAATAAACTCCCATGTTGCCCAGCCTCACGCGCACACCCCAGCGGTACCCACCTCCGGGTCCGTGGACAGCAGGCGCCAGTAGATGTAGGCGCGGTCGCGCAGGTCGGGGTTGTCCGTCTCCGTGGTGGCGCACGACAGCACGGCGGAGATCATCTTCTGGGCACTCTCGGTGGGCTTCTTCAGGAACAGTTTTACGGTAGCAGTCAGCAGCTGCAGCTGGACCTACAGGTCAAGGGGATTTCCACACGTGGGCCGCCCGTTTCGTGAGAATCGTCCAGAGATCATGCTCGTTGAGGAGCCGGGAGCACCGTCCCCCTGGACGACACCAACGACATCCCTTTTTCGCCGCCTTTCTGCAACCAAAAGCAGACGTGCAGCACACCCCCAACAAGCTAATAGATGCAATATGCAACCCCCGTGTAACCAACCATAGCGCACATAGGTATAATGGTAGTCAGCGGGCATACATGCATGCATATATGCACAAATACATACATGCATACATACATACCACAGTCAGCACACCCATAACCCTATGAGTGTAAGCGCGGACACATACCATGGCGGTCTCCTCGGGAAAGGTCTCCAGGAAGGCCTCCAGCAGCTCATCCGCGTTGTCAATGCGGTCAGCGTACTCGCCGATGATCCAGACCATGCTGCTCTTCGCCTCCGGCTCGTCCAGACTGCACGCGCGGGTTCGTGCGGTGTATGGCAAAACGCCTAATTAAAACTAGCATGCCGCTTAATTGGCGTGGCTTTTGTGTGAAAGGTGACCCAAGGGACGCGGGCTGCCGCGTTCCAGCCATATCCCCAGCGTCCATGCGTCCAAAAATTCCCGCGCGGACAACCTATAGACTCCCTTGCCTGACTGAACGAACGATCCTCCATGCGGGTGACCCGTCGGCGATGCCCCTACCTGTCGAGGTTGTCACACAGCGCGGCGATGATGGACTCGTACTGGTTGGGGTAGCGCCGGAAAATATCCTGCAACGAGGAGGACCGGGAGGCACCGGTGAGGACCACGGAAGATGCACGGGAGACCGTCGCAGATTCGCGCCCTGTTTGGATTGAGCAGCATACCAACTGCATACCCATCAGGACGTGGTGGCAGCGGACGTGGCAGCGACCGCTCCCGGCAATAGCTCAAGTGAAGAAAAGCATGCACACATGATGGACGCTCTCCTTACCTTGATGACGATGATGGCCTCCTGCACCACGTAGCTGACCTTCGTCTGGATCAGCTCCAGCAGCACATTGATGCACCGCTCCGTGGCCTTCTCCAACGCCACGGCACAGCGACCAATGGCACGAACGGACCTGAGGGAGCGACGTTTCGGACGGGTGAGGGTTGGGCTGTCGGCTCAGCAACGGCGTAGGGTTTACTACGGATATCGGTCGCGTGCAAAGGCATGCTCCTATGTTGTCATCATGTGGGAAAAGACATTATCATGATGACAGATATGTCGCTGAGAGCTGCAAACGAGAGCGCGCCAGGATATCAAGGATGCATTTGGCAGACACGGAAAAAAGTACAGTCCTGGAGAATCCACCCGTGCAGGGCCTGCGCTGCGTTGCACGCGGCAGAATGTATAGGTGAGCAGTCGAGCTTAGTGCACGCCCGCTGGCACCGGCTGGCCAGCGCGCAGCAAGGTAGATGGCAGTAGAAAGGTGGGCCTCCATCCACGCTGCGATCCAAGCGCAGGGCTGTTCGCCTCCGGAGCAAGCGCTGCTCCGAGCTGACAACGCACATCAGCTGCTTTGGCTTTGAAACAAACTGGGTCGAAAACCTGAAAACACCCTACGGGCGGAGCCTTTGGTTCCAGATGCCTCTTCTCTCGATTTACCTCGCCCTGCGCCCTCCTCCTCCAGGCATCCCACAAACGGATGCGGGGTGTACGCACTGCACTTCCCCAATATCGCCCAAACCTACTTCCGCACGAAGTCCACGTCCACCTCCTGTGCATACTCCTTCAGCTCCAGCAGAACCTATGAAGCGTTGGTTTGGGAAAGGGTGCGCGGGAGGGGCCGTCAGCATGCGACATGGTAGGCCAGGCAACAGAGAAGTTACAAGGACACAGTGGGGTGCAAGCCAAGAGCGACTGTACTGTACGATGACCCGAACACCTCAATTCTTGCATTGCTAGAGCGCACACTTGGGATGCTTGCATGGGCATAACCCAGGTTCGGCTGCGGTGTTCGAAGCCCGAACAACCGGCAATGCACAACCTTGACACGCACGCCCGCAACCCCAATACAACAGGTTCAGGAATCCCCACCTGGTGGCTGTGTCCATCCTGATATCGCACCTGGTCGATGTTCTTGTCAGACGCCAGGCGGATCATAATCTCCAGCTTCTCCATCTTGACGTACAGCGGGTCGTTGTACTTGCAGAAGAACACCTGCACGAACAGCAACCGATGGCCAATATAATGCATACGAGACTATGCCTTAGCTCAATCAATCTTTTCTCTCGCATTCTTCTAATATTAGTAACTCAATACCCAGACCTTGAGGAAGCTCACGAACTCGACATAGCTTCAGGTGTGGGAAGCTTGGCTAACCCTCCGCCCAGTCCCCCCCACCAATTCGCCTCACTTCGCTCGCTATCCCAGAGCACCAACTTTCCCCTAGACGACTCACCTGCGGCCCTCCCTTTAAATAGCAGCCTCATCCGTCCCAATGTCCACTTCATCATTCCTTCCAGCTCTCCCTCTCACCTTAACCTCGTTGGCCAAAATAGCAGGCCGCCGCTGCACAATGAGGTTGATGTTCCGCAGGGCCACGTACTGCACCTCGGGCTCCGCCGCCAACAGCGTCACGAGCGGCGGGGCCATCTTCTTGCTCCACGTCTTAATCGTCTCCTCGCCGCCTCCGGGCCCCAGCGCCACCACGTCCATACAGCGCAGAATCACCTGTGCGTAGAATAACCATATCAGGAATTCACCAAGGCGTCGTGGGGTGTCAGACAAACCCGTGTGATCCATGTGAGGACGGCTCCCTAGATCCCGCGCACCCATTGCCATGCAAGGCGTCCTTCTGCCAGGATAACACGTGTACCTGTCCATGCGTCCTTCTACCACATGCTCATGTTAGTGCTGAGAGATGCTAGAGATGCTAGGGTCTGTGCGATGCTGTGTCTTTTTCACAGCACGGTCCACCGGGCAACTCCTTCGAGACCCCCATCACCACATCACAACACCAGGACCACCACAAGTCAAAGTACACGTGTAGCTGCTGCTGTTACTGCGCCTAACGTTCCCGTCCCACAGCAAGCATGCAGCCCCAGCATGCTCATCATCCGTGCTGGCATGCAGCCCCTGGACGTCTCCATGCTGAAACCCAGCATTATCACCTTCACCGCCGACAGGACCACTGCCGAGTTGACGTGCTGCAGGCGCGGCAGGACGCGCTCCGCAATCTTTTCCGCGTCCCTTGGGTCCCGAGTGTCGTACGCCGCCAGCGAGTCCAAAATGAATACCTACAGGGGCGCCGAGGCGGTGCCCATGTCGCAGGCATAACACACAGGAGTCACGCGCCTGGACACATCTGAAGGCATCGTGCTGCAGGCCCGAAGTCACAACCCAGTTTGCGTCCACGGTTCCCAATCCAGGGCGATAATTGGGGCCATGGGCCAACACCGCACGGCCAGGACCCCACCAGCCTAACGAAGGTCCAGTCCAGCGCTTCCCTCATTCCACACACAGCCCCTAAATGCCACCACAGCCCACCTGGCCCCACTCCGTGCACTCGTTCAGCGCCGCCAACAGCTTGTTGAGCGTCTGGGAAGTCATCTGCAGCAGATCCTTCCCGCCGCTGCCTGCCAACTCCTGGATTTCCTGCACTCGCAGACATCCCGGAATACGGCAACTGTTTCGGGTGGTGTGGCATACTATGAAGCGGCCCAAAGATGCTCCGGCAAATCCCAATGGTCGGTCATGCCAAAAAACCTCTAAGTCGCCCTCAACCGATACATGCGGACTGCCAAGAACCGCAGGAGCCCCCCTTGCGCGTCCTTGCACCATGCTATGCACATGCGTCCGCCTGTACCTGGGTAGGTGGATAAATGGGCCAAGGCCGAACCCAAAATTGGCCAACAAAATCCGTAAGAAACGTTGCGATACATACAACCCGCTGGGGAATGCCTTGTGCGCCAGGCACACCCGACACCCACCTGCAGCGCTGCCAACGCGTTGGCCACCACCATGGGATTGGCATCGCTGAGCATTTCCTGTAGACATTCGGTGGGGAAACGGGCAAAGTAAGGAAAGGAACAAACAGATAAACAGATTACCGCAAGCAGACTGCCTGGCCCCTAGTACTGTGGGCCTGCCCTGCAAGACAGTTACCCAAACGACAGTGCCCAAAGCATGACGCATGACCACAAGGCGCTTTGGGGCAGCAGATCGTTCCAAGCTGCTGGCGCATACGCCCCTAATGTATGAGCAGTCTTTTAGTACAACACACCAGCCCAAGCAAACTCAGGGCCCCACCCTCAGCATGTCCAAGAAGCCACGATCCTCCACCAGCTCTGGGTTGATGTCATACAGCTTAGCCACGCATATCGCCGCCGTTTTGCGCACGTACGGATCATCATCCTGAAAAACAGGCATGCCGGTGAGTCAAATTATTTGTCACAAGGCTTGAGCGCTCGCTATCTTTTATAATCGGAGCTGCTGACGCGGATGAAAGCCCGTACCTTCCCCCCCATGCAAGCCTATGTGCATACAACCTGGCATCGCAGTCCTTGATTCAATCTGGGTCAACCTCACAGTACACCCAATGCAACCTGGCGCCGTGTGCCAAAACATGTGCCCGTACGTTCCAAGGGCAGTAGGATGGCGGTGCGGAGGGCTTTCTGGTCGGATGAGAGCCTGTTAGGGAAGCCATCCACACCTTAAGACAACGCTGCAGGGGATCGCACAGGTACTCGGTGATCTTGTCCACCCGAATGCAACCCATTGTCCGCACAGCCAGCGCACGGATGAGGGGATTTGGGTCTTGAGAGTCCTGGGGGGGCGCATGGAGGGGATCGCAATTGCCAGCGTCGCAGTTGGAGAATCAGGATTAGTAGCGGTAGTGGTGCTTCAGCACTATTCAGTGCTGCAACCTGGGTATGACCCAGAAAATGTCAGAGCCTTTGGCCTGAAAGGCTCCAAGAGGAGTAATGGCAAGAATGCCTGGCCCACATGCCTGCTCACACCCATCCAGGCCGTCCAGTTTCCCTCCCCGAAGTTGCCAGCACCTTCACGAACGTGTTGACAGCCATAATCGCCAAGTCCGGTTGTGTCTTTGCATAGTTGATGAGGTAAAGGTAGACGAGTTTCTTAAGCTCCAGGTCATCGGTTTGCATGCAGTTGACGACGTCGGGGAAAAGCATCGACACATCCTTTCCCACTGTCATAGCCGCGATGACCTTCTTCACAGCATCCTTCTTCTTGGGCCTATCGAGGCTCCTGAGCTCTTCTTTGAACTCATGGATCTCACCTGCCGATCACAGACAGAGGCCCAGCCAGTGATCGCGCGAAAAGTAACACACTTCTCCATCTCCCAACGCTTCCTACCTCTTTTAGTTGTAGAGAAATATTTTCCGTCGGACATTTTCCGGGTGCACCCGGCCTACAATATCCTATAGGGGCCCCCGGCCCCTGTACAAACTGCTCACTTCCAGAACAGCAATGCGAAAACGTTAGCTAGATGTACGCAATTGCCAAAACAATAATAGTAACGTATTGGGGTTGCATCGGCAGGTTCTGTTGCAGCGTCGTCTACGGTAAATGGACGACTCCGTTAAGTTTGCAGCGAGGGAGCCTACAATTGTTTGAATTGGAAAACCAGAGAATGCAATATTTGTTCAGTGGGACCATAAATCAGGTTAGGACTAACTTAGGGAAGCTGGCCATGTGTTCCGTAGCCCTTTGCAACTACCTCTGCACCGATTCGAGCAAGCAGCTCTAAACAGACCCTGAGTCTGCACATGTACATTTCATGTATCCATAATATGAAAATTTAGCACCATCTGTCGCTGGTCCTGGTTGCACAGGGAAATTCGATGGTCATTCAAGGACCGTCAACACATACGCGCCTTCGACAAACACATCACAATTATCCACCCGAATAGACATCGATGTCAAGCGGCCTCCAAAAATAGCTGCTTGCGTGAGGCTGCGCTTTCCGACACGACCCGCGGGACGGCCGCCGCCACCGCACTCTGAAACTAAAAAGGCCCCCCGGCAGGCACTCAGCTGAACTCCTGCCCTGGACATTCACACAAAAAACATCCAGTTTCAAATGCCACTGCAGCGCATCCCGAACTCGTCAGCTACAGGATCGCCGACAGGCGCACTCAACCGTCTCCTGGTCGCAATCGTCCTTCTCGGGAAGCTGCTGCTGGGCACATGCCCGGCCGACGCCGTACATTCCACCTCCTTCAGCCTCCGTCATCTTCACGCCACAGACAACTCCACCCCGCCAATCCCCGCCAACATCTCCCAAAGCCCTCCCGCCGCAACCGCCGCCACTGACGCTACCTGCAACTGCCTAGGAAGCTGTTGCTGCCTCTTCCTCCCTTCACAGTACGCCAATGACACCGCAAGCGCACACTCCTGCAGTCCTTGGATTTACGCCGCCGCGCAGCTGGCAGCAGCAGATGCCTCGGCTGTGTGCGCAGCGGCGATGGGGATGGGTACACAGCCGCTGGCGCAGCAGTCGTGGCGCAGGCAAACCAACGTCGCCGCAGGCACCGTCAACACGCTGGATCTATCCGGCCCCGCCGGGCCATCATGGAGCTTATCCAATGCCAACGGTAGCGTGACACTGGGGTCGGTGGCGGTGCCCGGCTACGCGCTTGCGGCGCTGTGGGACGCCGGTCTGTTGGGGGCACCCGCCGGGGATCGCAAGAGCGACCCGCTGTACAGGTGAGAGAGGCGTCGGCCAGGGAGTCTGGTGTCAACCGCCAACGACCAACTGATTACTGAGGGCTGAAAAGCCGAGTTTATAGGAGTGGTTTTTTCACGCGTCAAAAATGCCAAAGATGCGGCTGGTGTAGGGGGCTCGACTTACGCTCGTCCTACTTTGTGTCAAACTGGTGGCTGTACGGCGCCGTACAGCCAAGGCGGATGCCCGGCGTTGTAACAGACCGTGCAATGGTGCGCGTCGACAGCGTTGCCCACTGGCGCGGCGAAGAGAAATGCAATTTCGAATGTAACGTGTAAGACATGTACGACATGTACGACGTGTACAGGTTCAATGAACTTGAGTTTCGCTGGGTTGCGATGGACACTTGGACGTTCTCCACGACCTTCACGCTGCCGCCGACACCCGGTACGGCAGCGGCGCCGGCTGCGGAAGGCGCCGGTGGCGGCGCCGGCGGCGGCGGGGTGGTGGGCGCCGACGGCTGCGGGTGGGATCTGGTCCTGGATGGGGTGGATACGGTGGCGGATGTACTGCTCAACGGTCAGATGCTGTCCCAGCTCAAGAACTTTCACAGGTGTGCGTGCGTCTGTGCGTATGTCCGTATGTGTTGGATTAGGAGTTATTTCGATGGTTTTCTGTATGTATTTATGTGCGCATGTGTATATGTATGTATGTATGTGTATATGTATGTATGTATGTATGTATGTATGTATGTATGTATGTATGTATGTATGTATGTATGTATGTATGTATGTGTATATGTGTATATGTATGTATATGTATGTATGTATATACTACGTGACGCACGCTCCTAGGATGAGGGCTTCGATGTGTACGTTCTGCTGTGTACAGATCGTACCGACTGGACGTACGGCAAATACTACAGGCGGCGGACCAAGATGCCAACAATTTGTCCATCGTCATACACCCGGCGGTGCCGTACATACGACAGAAAGCGGCAGCCTATCCGTACCCACTGCCGTCCAATACGGTACGTGCGTGCGTGCGTTTTTCCGCGAAGCTGTTTTGTTAGCGGTGCCTGTTTTGGCAATGCTGAGTCTTTGTGCTCTTCGGGATGGCCTGTTGGGGCACCGAGGCGAGCTGTCATGTGACATCACATACACACATACACACATGCACACATACACACACACTCTTTATAACGCCGGCGGAAACAGTGGTGATGGGGGAGATAACGGTCATGATAACGATGATGATCATAACGATGACAGCAATCCAGGCAACGGTGGTGGAAACAGCGGCGGTGGGAAAGAATATATAGCTGCTGTTTATTCTACTTGACTTCGCGTACATGTGCGCGTGTATCTGCCCCCGCTCAGGCTCCGGGCTCTTTCGGCCAATTCGCCTTCGTACGCAAGCCAGCATCCGATATGGGTTGGGATTGGGGACCCGCATTCGCACCCGCTGGCGTACACGGCGCCGTACGGCTGGTGCGGTACTGCGCGCCGTACATGACAGGTACGGCATTGCCGTGGCGCGTGTCTCCTCACGGCACCTTTTCCCGCGTGGGCTGCGGCCTGCGATTCCGTGTGCGTGCGTATGTATGTATTTGCCTTGTATGTGTATGTGTATGTGTACGTGCTCTGTCGACTGACCTCTTCGATCCCGCTTCTGTTCTAAGCTCGTCACCTCCGCCATAGCTGCTGTTACCACCGCCCTTCCGTCTCCACTACACAGGGCTTCACGTGGTACAGCAAGTGCATCGTACATCCCCCCCCGGCGGCGCCGCCGACGACGACGGCGACGGCGCCCGAAGCGGCGGCGACGGCGGCGGCAACGATTCGCAATCCGGTGCGATCAGCCTGGTGCTGGAGGCTGAGGTGTGGTCGCCCCCGCTCCCGCCCCCGCAACCGTCAGCCCCGCCTGCCGTACAGTCGCAGGAACAGCAACTCGACATGGGGGCATCATCACCGCCGGGATCGTCGGCGAACGACTTCGAAGCGGCAGCGTCGATCCCAGCGGCAGCGACGGTGGTGATTGAGCTTTGGGATCCGTACGGTGACGGCGACGGCGGCGGCAGCGACGACGGATCGCGGCGCGTCCTGGGCCGGGTTGAGGAACCCCTAGGTCAGCAGTCCCCTGGGATAACTGTCGGAGGGACACAGTTCGTGCGGCTGCAGGTGAGTGTGTGCGACACCGCCACTTTTGTAGCTCCGGAACCATTTTCCTTCCGATTTCCATTCTGCCGGTTGTTTAGAACGATCCGCGACCGTCCTGGTGCCTCATCTCATGTCGGAATGGGATTGGATGTACGTCCGCGGTTCCTGAGCCTCCTGGCTCGTCTGGGCCTCTTACGGGCTCTTGCAAGCTTGTCGCATCAAGCTTGTCGCATCAAGCTTGTCGCATCAAGCTTGTCGCATCAAGCTTGTCGCATCGCAGCGCGTATCGCATCGAGTACCGCATCGAGTACCGCACCGCGCGCATCTTATTTTTTTGAAAACGGATACAGGAGCTCTTAACAGCTCTTTTGAATATCCTTTCTTTGATTACTTCCTTTTTTAAAAAGAAGGCAGATTATGTTCCCGTGTGCCATTCTGCAGTGTCGTCAAGTTCTTTTATTTTTTTTTTGCGGATGATAACTATAAACTACCTAAAGAATACCTGTGCGTGCCGTACTGGTCCTCCCCTTGGCAGATGGACCTGGACGCCACGGCGGTACGGCTGTGGTGGCCAGTGGGTTTCGGAGCCCAACCGCTGTACACCCTGGCAGGATGGGTGCAACAACAGCAACAAGGCCAACAAGAACCAGAAGAACAACCACAACCGCCATCGCCACTGCCAGGTGGACAGCAGCAGCAGCAGCAGCAGCAGCAGCAACAGGCTCCCCGCTCTGAGGAGAAGCTGCTGCAGGCGGAGGCGGGCACTGGCGCAAATTGGGACACGGCAGTGGGAAGCAGCGGCGGCGGTGGTTCGGGCTGGCGCACGGCTTTTGGCGGCCAACGTCAACCGCACATTCGTAGGTGTGTGTGGAAAAAGGGGGGATGACCGATGAGGAAATGTTTTACACCGCTAAACACCGCTAAACACATGCTTTGCTATGGCGGCTTTCCACACAAATGGTGGGAGACTTCAGGGATTTTGAATCCTGGTCCTGCCGGTGTACTGCATCTCGCCTAATAACACACATCCCCTTTCTCCAAATTTCCCCCCCACCCCGCCTTCCGCCCGCCTCCCGCCCTTCTCTTTCCGCCTTATCCCCCCCGCCTTATTCCCCCCGGCTTCCCGCCTTCCAGACGTGTGGGGTTTCGTACAGTGGAGCTCGTGACGGTGCCGCTGGATGACGTCATGGCAGAGTTGGTCGACTTAGGATCCGGCACCGAAACCAAAGGCGGGACGACTGGAACTGGGTCAGTCAACACATCGGGCCCCCCGGGCCGCCCCCCCGGCTCCGCGACATCTTCATTCCCGCAAGGTGGGCTCCTCATCTCCCTAACACCATATTCATGTATTGGCCGTTGACAGTTGACCGTTGGCCGTTGACCGTTGCCCCTATCCGCAGCTCCAAATGAGACGTTTTTCCTGCGGGTCAACGGCCAACCGTTATTCGCTCGAGGTGCCAACGTGATACCGCTCCACATATTACACACAATGACACCCACCATCGCAAGAAGCAGCGCCAACAGCAGCAGCAGCAGCGCCAACGGCACAGACCCATGGGACGTTGGGAGGGCGAAGAAGGAGCAGCAGGAGGGGATAGCTGGGCTGCTGGCGGCGGCACTGGGGTCGGGAATGAACATGTTGCGAGTGTGGTGAGTGGGCAGTGGGGAGCTGGAGCTGGGGATGGGTTGAGGGATGGTGATGATGGTGATGATGGTGATGATGGTGATGGTGATGGTGATGGTGATGATGATGATGATGATGATGATGATGATGATGATGATGATGATGATGATGATGATGATGATGATGATGGTGATGATGGTGATGATGGTGATGATGGTGATGATGGTGATGATGGTGATGATGGTGATGATGGTGATGATGGTGATGATGGTGATGATGGTGATGATGATAATGATAATGCTGCTGCTGCTGCTGCGGCTGATGATGATGATGAGAAATCGAACGCAAACGGGCCAGGAGTGGTCTCCACGGCTGCGACTACGAGCTTGCACCTCTCCTCCCCATAAGTCTCTTCCTCCTCCGCCGCCTTCGGTGCCGCCTGCCCGCCTACCCTTGCTGTGTGTGTACGTACTGCGGCGACGGCGACGGCGACGGCGACGGTGGTGGCGACGGTGGTGACGCCCGCGCAGGGGTGGCGGGCGTTACCAATTGGACGAGCTGTACGACATGGCTGACGGCGCGGGTTTGCTGATATGGCAGGAGTTTATGTTCGCGTGCAACCCCTATCCCAACACGCTGGACATGAATGCAGAGGTGAATGAAGGGAATGAAGGGAATTCTGTAGTCCTGGTGACCGGGAATCCTTAACCCCCTCCTCTCCCCCCTCCTCTCCCTCGGGCCGCACCCGCACGCAAGATGCCGCGCTGCAGTGCAACACTGGAGCTCTCTCCGCTTTGACAACCCCCCCAAAATATCACCTTCGTGTTCACTCTGTTCTCCGTGTGGGCCGCTTCTCCGCTATCTCCTAGCTGCTGTTTGTTATCTAAAGAGAGAGAGAGAGAGAGAGAGCCATGCATCCATCCATCACCTCTTTGCAAGCAGCCCTTTGCTTCTCTTTGCTTCTTCTGGTTCCGCTCCTGTCTTTACGCGTTCTCACTTATTCGCGCACCCATATCACAGCACACAACCCTCCACTTGGTTGCCCATCGACCAGTCCTTTTTTCACGCACAAGCGCTAAAACATCCACATACATACGTACATACATACGTACATACATACGTGGGTTTGGAAATGTACCCCGGGGACACCCCGCTGGATCTACAGGTACAGCATGAGGCTGCGGAGCAAGTACGGCGTCTGGCCGGGCACCCGTCAATTGCAATTTGGGGCGGGAACAACGAGGTGAGATGGAGGTTGGAGGTGGTTGGGAAGTTGGTTGCGGTTGATGCTTAAGAGGCCTGGATTGGAGAGGATGGTGGCGCTGTGTTGTCTGCCTGTATGTATGTGCTCACGTGCTGTTGTCTCCCCGTGTCGCGGCTTGAAGGTGTGAAGGTTCTGCCGTACCCCCGCCGACGTGATGGAATAGCCGTGTTCGCTGGTACGGCTATTCCCACCCCCCTGCCTTCACTCCTTCGTTCTTAAGGGAGAGGAGGGAAGCGTCCTTGTGGCGACGTGGGAGCTGTGGCGTGTGTGTTTTTCGTGACGTGGCACGGCGCGGCACGCCACGCCGTCTCACATCCTCTTCAACTGCTCCGTTGTCGCAGGTTGAGACAAGCTTCGACTGGTTTGACGAGACACGGGCCAACAGGCCGCTCTACGTCGCGGACTTTGTGGCGCAATTCGTGGAGCTTTTAGGGGGTGTACTGCAGCAGGTACGGCGGTAAAACGGTATTGCGGTACACCAGCGGAGTGAGAGCGTCCTTCCAGGCCTTCACATAATGCTTATGTTGTACTTATGTTGCCGGCACCCCCACGCTAAGAGAAGCTTCATGTACTAAGTTTTAGTTTAACAATTATTAATAAGCCGAATTATCATCACCGGCCGCTTCGATGATTGGCACGTACCGGTCGCAAAACACACGCACACGCACACGCACCAAAACACACACGTGGCCCCCCTGCAGTTGGACCCCGGTCGACCTTACGTGGACAGCTCTCCCTCCTCGGGGCTGTACTCCCGGCTGCCGTACATCAAGCGCTGGGGCAACGCTGGGGATCAAGCCGCCGGTGATGTGCACTACTACAACTATAAGGTCGGTTGGCGGTTGACGGTTAACTTTCCTTTTCGTCGGTTCGTCGGTTCGTCGTTTTTTTGTTTATATTGATTTTTTGTTAATGTAGTTTTGTCGGTTGCCTGGAGAGCCGCTCCCAATAGACAGAGCAAGACAAAGTGCTGCACTACCCATACCAGGTAATCTATATTGCGCGAACCCAGTTCCCGATTGCCAGTCGAACTGGAGAACAGGACATGTTATGAGATGTGCGTGAGATGAAGGACAGAAGGGAAGGAGGGAAGTGCTGGAGCAGTTGGCAGTTGGATGGGCTGCTGGAGTTGCGGAGTGTGGCGATGAGCTGAGCCATAAATAGATATTCCAAAGGGGGTCGAAGAAAAGAGTGAGAAAGCCGCGCGGCCACACAGCAATCAATGCAGCATATGAGCGGAAGCAGCAGCGTGCGCCGCACAGCATATGCACACACACCGCAACCCCTACGGCATATAACAGGTTTGGTAACCGACCGCCGTACAGCAGCCACAAAACCCAACAGGTCGCTTCGGTTGGGTAACCGACAGATTTCGCGATATGGCGCGGCTGTGTAGACAACCGTACAGACAACACACACACATACGCATACACACCCAATCACTCAAAACCCCCGTCCACCCACGACCAGGACGACTGCTTGGATCCAGGCATCTATCCCATGGCCCGCTTCGTGTCTGAGTACGGCTACCAGAGCTTCGCGTCGTACGAGGTGATACGGCAGTACGGTGAGCCGTCGGACTTTATGCCTCTGTCCGAGTTCATGAGACACAGGTGAGATGGGGGAGTGGAGTTGCCGGTGTGGGCGGCGGCGACGGTGCCGACGAGAATCCGAACCCCCTTCTCCCGAGGGGGATTCCTGAAGGTTGTGCCTGATCAGGCAACATTCAAGGGATGCTGAAGTGTGCCTGAACAGGCACATCCGAGGAAGCATCGCCTCGACAGGCAACATCTTGGAAGGCATTGCCTGCACAGGCAGCATCCGGGGATGCTGGTAGCGTGTGCTTGAACAGGCAACATCCTCCGCGTCATTAGGCAACCCACAGCCTTCCTTCTCCGTCCGCCTTGCTTCCCCGGGACACCCCGCGTCCCTGCCATCAACCACTTCGCTACACACTGTGCAGTCGTCAGCTCAGCAATGGGTTGCCACCATCACGATTACACCACCACCACCACCACCACCACCGCCACCACCACCGCCACCTTTACCACCGCCAAAACGACAATTCCAAACATAGCACCACATCACAATGCAACGGAGTACGACGCACGTACGGTAGGTGCACAACGAAGTACTGTACGATTTGTAACGACTGGTGTACTTGGTGTACATCACAATGCATGCACGAGTTCTTGAGTTGCGTTACCCTCCGAAAGTGTAACACATGTAATACATGTACGATACGTACGACATGTACCTATGGTAGGCAGCGCCACCCCAACGGGGAGGCCGAGCTCATTGCCTCGCTGACGTCACACTTCCGTCAGCCGCCCGGGGGGTGGGCACCCGGGGGCGGCGGCGGCGGCGTGTCCTCTGCCGCGGCTGCAGTGGCGGCGGCGGCGGCGATGGCCAGGGCGGCGAGGGCGGCCAGGGCAGCGATGGTAGGCAAGCAGCTGCAACAGCAACAGCAACAGCAGCAGCAACAGCAGCAGCAGCAGCAACAGCAGCAGCAACAGCAGGATGAGGCGAACAACACAAAGGTCGATCCATTGCACCTGTACAAGGCATGGATATATCAATTGCAGGTATGTGTTTGGGTGTGTTTGGGTGTGTTTGGGTGTGTTTGGGTGTGTTTGGGTGTGTTTGGGTGTGTTTGGGTGTGTTTGGGTGTGGGGGCTCCTAGCATCCCTTTTTGTGGGGCGGAAGGCGACGTACCTCAACAAATACACACAAAACTACATCTGCATGAGAGGAGGAGGGAGGGAGGAAAAGATGGAGGGAGGGGCAGAGGGTTCGTTTCTTCGCCGTACCCTGCCGTACCCCACATCGAAACCCCGAAGATCCCCCCAACAACTTCATTCTTCAGTACTTCCAGTACCTACAGTTCATTCCTGTGTGCGTGTGTATGTGTATGTGTGTGTGTTTTATGCCCCACCGCAGACTCAGCAAGCGCTGTGTTACTCAACCGCAATCGGCCGCTGGCGTTCACTTCGCTCCGACCCACGGGTCATGTCCATGGGAGTGCTGTACTGGCAACTCAATGACATCTGGCCCGGATACAGCTGGTCCTCCCTGGACTACGGCGGCAGTTGGAAACCGTTGCACTCGATTGTACGGCGGACGTTTGCGCCTGTGACGATTGTGGCGTCGTATTATAAGCGTCGGAGCGGAAATGTCACGGTGGGTAGGTCGGGCTGAAGCAGGATGGTGGTGCTGGTGGGGAGTCCCGTGGGGCACTGGGGCAACTGCAGGGGCGAATATTCGGTTGTTAACTGCTCCAACGGTCTTTGTGGCGGGTGCTCGTCCTGATCCAATACACCTTCCGTCCCTCCCCCGCCGTTTCGGTGTCCTCCGTGTTTATCTCCTGATGTAATGAAACCCCCCAACACCGTCGCCCCGCCTCGCTCGCCGTCAGGCGTACGTCATCAACGACGGACCGCAAGAGGTTGCCGTACAGCTCATCGTGACGGTTATCTCCCTGGCGCCATGCCCTGCTGTCGCTGGCGGCGGCGGCGGCGTTGCCGCCAATACCAGCCGTACTACCGGGGGCGGCGGCGGCGGCGGCAGTGTCTCGGGCAGCGGTGGTGGCTGCAGCGGCGACGCGGCGGGGGAGGCGCGGGTATGTATGTATGTATGTTTTGAAAAACACCTGTCCTTGATGTTGGCAGGGGGCTTCGGAAATGAGGGGGGCAGTGTTAGGGAGGCTGCGACCCCCATGTGGTGCACGGGGGCACCAGAGGCCGAGCGAACCCCCAGAGGTGAATGGAAGCTTCTTGGAGCTATTTTGGCGGGTTCGGGGGAATCATCCATCTTCTTTCCCTCCCTCCGTACCTTCACCTCATTTTGCTAATTGCAGCTACCAGCATACAGGCCAGCCGCACAGCGCCGTGCTGTGGCGTCTCAGCCCGCTCACGTCAGCCCACTCCTGCCGCCACTCCTATCTCGGCCCACTCCAAACGTACGGGCTTCGTGTACGAACTGCAATGTACGATCACATCTTGTCCTGCTCCCTAACTGTCCTCTCCTCCTGCCACGCCGCGCACTCTGCTTTATTGCCGCATGTACCGCCGTACTTGCCGTACACACCTGAACACAGTACGTCGTACAAAACCTGACGGCGCCGCCCCAGCGGAGCATATCCGTCCTGGACGCCCCGGCGGCGCAGGTCCTGACGGCGCTGCCGGGTTGCTCCGAGACCAGCTGTGTCGTACGGCTCCAGCTGCGCGTCCTGGCTGTCGGCGGCGTCGACGTCAGGAACTCTGACGCCGATGGCCTGTTGTGGCCTTGGGGTCGGCGCGATCCTAATCAGGATTTGGCGGCATTGGTCCGAATGGCCAATTGGCGGACGGGCTTCCAGGACGAGAGTGGTGGTGGTGGTGGTGGTGGTGGTGGTGGTGGTGGCTATGACAGCAGCGTCCATGTGGTTTTGAAGCCAATTCAGCCACAGCCGCAGCCACAGCCGCCGCCGCAGCAGCCGGTTGGCGGTGCGGGCGGTCCTCAGGTGCCCTCAGTGGTGGCGCAGCGGTGGGACTGGACTGTATCGGAGGCGTTGGTGATGATGGGGCCGCCAAAGGTATATACCACCCGGGGGGGGGAGAAGTGCATAGCCGTGTGGGCTTGTGGGTGGATGGCCATGCGACGATATGGATGTACGGCATAAATTAATGTCACACGTGTACGGCAGTTTGTTTGTTCTGCGGGAAGAGAGTCAGTTGTTATGGCCTACTGGCGTGAGGGGGTCTTCAATACAGTCTACAATCCCCTGGAAACGGAAAGTATGTCCGCGACGTAAAGAAAACACAGAAGACGAACAGACGGACAGACAGATAGACAGATAGACAGACAGACAGACGGAACCACTTAAAACACGACAGGTATTTGTCTTCTTGCATATGCCCGCATGCCCGTGTATGTGCGTTGTGTGTCTGTCTGGCCGTGTACGTGCATGTACGGCAGCCTTGCGTACTGCCCCCTCATGACGTGAGGTGTACCCCCCCCCCTCCCCCCCTCCCCCACCAACGCCAACGCGGGGCGCTTCAACCGAAGGCGCTGGAGGTCCGCCAGCCAGACATCGAGGTGTACGACATCGAGAAGCGAACGACGGTGGCAGGCGCGGATGCTTCCGTGGCGGCGGCAGAGGCGGCGGCGGCGGCGGCAGGTGCGCGGTACGAATGGTGTTTCCGGCTACGTGCCCGGCGGGCCCCTGCGCTGTTGGTGGCTCTAGAAACCTCCTTGCCTGGGCACTTCAGCGAGAACTTCATTCCGCTGCTGCCGGTACTGGCGGCGACGGAGGGCAGCGGCGTCGGGAAAGACACCGCAGCAGCAGCAGCAGCAGCAGCAGCAGCAGCAGCGGGAGACGGCATAAAGCCGCAGCCGCCACCACCAGAGGTATCGTCGTCATCGCCAAACACGTCTGATCAGTTGCGCCGTACGGCAATGGAAACTGCTGGATCTATATCTGGATCTGGAGTGAGTGTTGAATCTATGACGGCAGCCTGGATTAAGGCTGCCGCCGCCGCCGCGGCCGCGGCCACGGCCGGCGGTGCCGGCGGCGGCAGCAGGCAGGCTGGAGGTGCGGCGCAGGCGCCGCCCCTGTACGGCAACGACGTTGCGGAGACGGGGCCGGTGGAACCAGCACCGCGCGTGTGTTTTTACACGGATGTCGACATTGAGGGCGGCAGTGAGGAGGTCTTCCGGGCGGCGCTGTCCGTACGGGACTTGTACGGCATGCAGATGTTCGAATAATTTTGTGTATGCCGTACACACGTACGACCAACTGGTTCGTCGTACGTGAAGATTAGTCCATCCCCTCACAAACCACTGGTTGTGTCTTCTGGCTCTTGGAAGGTTCTGTGTGCGTGTGTGGCTTTGCGTGGCACAACCTTCTGCTTAGCTTTCTTGGGTAGTTTATGGCTTAAAAACGACGATAGCGAAGTCTACATGGAATGTAGAAAGATTTGCTCAAGTTGCGGTTGAGAGTTGTCGCATAGCAGTCATCATGGACGCCGATAGAAGAAGAAACGTTTACGAAGGCGGCCGTTATGGCCGTTACCACACAGTTGTACGGCACGACATACTCTGCGTTCACCTTGCTTTTATTGCTCTCCAGCTTCTCTATGGAAGGGCATTTGGCGAGGGCGCATTGCTGGCACGACGTCTCGAGAGCATCTGCCAACGTTACAGGCCTGTAACGTCCTTCAAATCTCTTTATGACTAGCGGTAAGAAAAAAATCACTTCAGGAAACACGGCTCAGAAAAATACCTATGTTTGGCTGTTTGAACTCCACAGTGCATATTTCTTCAAATAGATATTACTTTAGCTGGAAAGTGCATCATGAGTTAGGAGGGGCTCGGCCCCGGTCGCCGGGCCCAAATGCAAGCTAAGGGCAGAAGACCAAGTCCGAGAAATTTCACGGAGCCAGCGTCGACAGGCCGGCCGTTTGTAAACTCATATGAAATTAGGCAGTGAAGGGAATATTTTGAGAGGCTCATCAGACGCCTTTCTTGGTGAAGTCAAATGAACTCAAAAGAGTCGTGAGCCAAAGGAGACCCTGGAGAGAGGGCCACGTTGCCCGTTGCGCAATGCCCTTGCCATTTTTGTTTTAGGCTTAAGCTTAACAGCCAAAGCAAAGAAATCGACGCTGTTGAAGAGCGAAACCTCGGGGGAGCAACTAGCCCGCCGGCGGGGTGTCGCGGCCCCCGGCGGCGGCGGCGGCTGGTGGATGTCGGTACTGTCATTGAATGCAGCAGATCATGAAGCGCGAGTGCAGCGAAGAGGAAATGCATAGGGTAAACGATACCTAACGATGCCTGTCAGGCCCCTGCACGACGCCTGGGATCACAGCCCCAGCACCAGCCCTTGCTCCCGCCCTTGCCCTAGGGCCGGCCCCCCTTCGCACTAACCTGAAGTCACCTGTCACGACCCCAGCTTTACCCCCAAAAGTACCTGCTGGTCAAAAGGCACAACCAAGGCTGGATCGGAAGCTGGACCACGATTGTCAACAAACCAAGGAATAGCCATTCAGGTGTGCTGTTGCCCAACATAACGAAAACAATCAAAACCGACGGTACGATGGGAACCACAATCCACACCCTCAAAAACGCGCTCCCCCTCGCCCAACCGCTATAGGCCTAAACTTACACAAGGCCCGAAGCACAACAACCCACAACCGTCAACCGATAAGAAAGTAAACATGGCTGTCTATGGCTGCCGAGAAGTTACCGGGCTTGATCCTACCGATGGGCCACCGATAGAGCTGTGAACCCTGTTGTACGATACGTTCTCCTATTGGTCCTTGCATAATGTCTCGTACCCCTTTCCTAATCTCCAGGTAGTTTTCGTGAAAAAGAGCTCTCATTGTCAATGACCGAAGTCCTCCAAATGGTTGATCCAGATTTGTAATTTCCCTGAGAAGGGATATGGGGAATGTCGTTCCGCCGACATTCCGGCGGCATGATCCGTTTGTGCTGCTGCGGGCCATTTTGATGCCCTCCTTATCAAAAACGGTTTTGGATAGTTTATAGACCGACCGGGTTAACCCGGTTCGGTCATGGTTGTGGAGAGTCTATAAGATAATCATACGCCGTATTCGAATGTCAAACTATTGCGAAAAACGCATTTTCATTCCGCGGCCTTGTAACAGAATTTGTACTGGAAGACAGTAATACACCCTTTCCCGACACCCCGTTTGCCGATGTCTGGATTACATTCATGAACGGTGGCAGTTCGACTTCGACGGTTGTAGCTCCGTAAAGCCGTTGATGTAAAGCCGTTGATGTAAAACGCGATTAACCAAGTAGGAAGTTTTTGCAAGGAGGCTTGTATTTCTTTTCTAGTAGTAGTGCGTATGAATTGGCGACAAATGCCAAACCGACACAAAGGCTGTGGCTAATTCCTTGGCTTTCATCTATCAGCGAAATGCCTAATGTCCATCACTGTCTTTACTTATCAATTGTTGTGTTTGGCTTGCTGATCATTGGAGAGCTTGGAGAGAAATGCCACACTGATACCTCCATGGCCGTGCAACCCCGAGGCTCTCATGTTGCCCGAGAACCACGACACAGTAATCTTGGACTTCCGTCACGATTCCATCGGGACACTCCTGACGGTTCGTGTCCGGGGCGGACGCCCCGCGGCGCTCATTCTGACGACTTGCCTGGCCACGTTCGCGGCAACAGCATATTCCTGGGTAAGCAATGCATGCGCACGCACACACATGAAGGCTGATCAGCTACACTACGTGCGCACTTCTTCTGTACGAACCGCGCGAGCATCGCATAGTCTATAGCATAGTCCAGACTAACTTCCTGAGTCATGCGCTTGCAGGAAAAGGGGAGGCTTTGACGTGTGGCAAACTGCTTGCTGCATGACAAGCACGGATTTATCCCTCGGCGCCCGCCTGAAGGAGGCTGTTGAGTTGTTATTAAAGGACCCACAGGCTCTCGAAAGGTAAACGTACTTGCGCACCATCCCTCTTCTCGTCGTCCGCAGGCCTGGCCTTGCGGCTCCCCTGCGACTCCTGGTCCCTGCAACTCCCTTGGGGCTGATGTCGTCCCAGCAGGCTCAGACTGGGCCAGCCGGGGCGGCGGCGGCGGCGGCGGGGGCGGGAACGCGAATGTGGCGCGATTGGTAATAGTGGTTGCAACGGCAGTAGCCGTAGTAGCGGCGTGGGAGCTGCTCCAGGTGGCGAGTGGTACGGCATATTGTACGGAATGGATTTGGGTTGGGTTGGGTCGCGGATAGGTTGTGGGGGCATGAGTTGGGTTTGCGTCGGATGGATGCTAATGGACATGCATACAGTGGATTTGCGCCTGGAGCCGTGTGAAGGAGCGTGGAGATAGTGACCTCTCGAGGCTGATAAGCTTGTACCCTTTTGAGTCTGTATGTCTGATCTGTCGGTCTGTTTGTCTGTATGCCTGGGTGTGCGGTCCAAGAGGCTGCCGCTGCCATGATGTCTTACGGCCCGTCGGTCTGCAAGCCAGCCCCTCTGTTTGTATGTTCCTTGCTATGTGTCTGTCGGTCTGTTTGTATGTTGGTCCGAAAAGCCCTCCACAACACGAAGAGGTCTGGGTCCCAAAACCGCGATGCACCAGCACGCATGCAACCGGTCCGTCGTCCCGGTACCACGTACGCCCCGTACCTGCCATTCCCGCGTATTTTGCTTTCATGTACGTGCAGAGAGCGTGCTCGTCCTGCCCGGCGGCGTGGGCTACGTGCTGGAGAGTGTACGGCGCTGCGGGCTGCGGCGCCGACGGTTTTTAGATGCGCAGGAAGTCTCATACGTGACTTTGAGCGAGGTCGGGCCTAGGGACGGCGGATTGGGGTTGCGGGGTGGGGTGGGGCCTCCGTTGGATTTCCTTGGCATTTGCCCTGGTGATGGTGATGGTGATGATGATGACGTTTGGTGTTTCGTGTAAGAGTTGGCGCTGGAGGATCACTGGTGGCTTTGGAATCCGTACTTGACAGGCTGCCGTACCATGTTAGAGAGTGGTTCATATTTGTTTAAATCGGTGGTTGATGTTGCGGCGATTTGGCGATTGGGGAAGGGAAGGGAAGGGAAGGGAGGCGCATGTCTACTTCCGCAATATGGAACGAGGGGGTTAGATCGGGCTTGGGCGGCTGCAATTGCTGCGACACGCTGCAGCAGCCACACGGCCACTTGGGGGGGGCCTATTTGGGCACTTTTCGAGTCAGCTGGGTTACTCAAAGTGGGACTGTTACTGTCAGTCCTCGCCCCTTGCCCGCAACCCAATTTCCTAAATACAGGGGACCCGACGGGCCTGTCTGTTCCCACTCCTCTTCCCTCCTTTTTCTTTCCCTCATTCCCTTCCTCCGCTTCACTCATCCTTGGTTCGTCTTTCCCTTCCTCCGCGTCCTCAGGCAATCACTAGCTGCGATGTGCGGTTCTTCCTGGCCTTCGTAACTCGGGATGTCAACAACGATAGCAGTTTTATGAACTGCAGCAGAAATGGCAACACGGACGCCAACGCAGGTGGAAATGGAAGCAGCAGCAGCTGCAGCCGCTTGGCTGTGCCGTATGAGGTACGTAACCCACCATTTGCGAAGTGGATACCACCTTGTCTCAACTCCCGACTTTTTTTGTTGACGTTCTCCTTGACCGACGACCTCAGTCCTTCGTCTCCACGGTCGATCAGCTGACCATCGCCAACTTGCAAACGCGCTGACTCTCTGTGTGTGTAGAATTTGCTGCCGCGGCTACAGCTGCGTCACCTCCAGGCGATTTACCGGGAATTGGAGCTCCTACAAATGCAGCATGCCCTTGGGCCTTCGGCCTTCGGCTCGTATGGGTAGTCTTACAGGTATGGGGTCACGCAACCCCAACCATGTAACACACACACACACACACACACACACAAATGCAGCAGTAGCCGCTGTGTCGCCTGGCGGCACCAGTCGCAGTACCGCCAGCAACCGGAGCTGTAGCGCTGGTCCTGCACGTATGGAACTTCGACCAGGACCTCGTCGTCGTGGTGGTGGTGGTGGTGGTGGTCATGGCCTTGGGAGTGGAGGATCGGATCTATCAGCTAGTGCTGGTAATGGTAATGGCAGTGAGACCCGGTGACCGGGTCCTGATATGCAGATATCGGCTTTTAGCCTGTAATCGAGATGTCATTGACCACGCGGGCAGGAAGTCGAGCAATCTTGCGCTTGGTTTTGACACTTCATTCCGGCATTGTGCTGGCTGGACGGGAACTAGGGAGGAACCTGAGGAACCTCTCCACGACGGGAAATGGGCGAGGCCCTACAAGACAAAAAGCAAACCCAAAATGGACTCAGGCTTGTAATACATCTTGGTCAGCCCTGGGTGGGTTGCGGCTTGTTGTCCTCGCCGGTTGCAGGGGTCACATAACACAGGCTTCACACGAATCATTGCCACGAACGGCTTAGTGGCGCTACCCCATTTGGTCGTGCGGCTTCTAAGTTTTTCAATCAGGAGTCCTGAGGCCCCTGCAGCACCACAGCCGGTCACCGCCAACCCAATACACAGAAGCCTTTCATACAGGCTCACGATAAGCAAGTGGACAGGGATGGGTTGACAGGGAGGAAGAGCCGCTTGTACCAGGATTCCACTATTGATGTGCTCTTGTGGTGCAAAAGAAGCGCGAGCGGTAACCGCATCTGGTCTGCGTCTTCAGGCATGGACTGCATCCGGCGGTCCTTAATGCACATCTTTACCAATATTGATTTACAGTTAACCTCAGTGCTGGTTAAACACATCGAACTGCAAGTTGCGGCAACTCGCATGGACAGACATGCCGGATATCAGGACGCATTGTCTCTTTCAACAGTAGGTGCAGATGGTATATTGATATATCAGCATGCTCCTTATCGCTTGTGTCAGGCAGGCTTCAGTTAGCCCAACCTGATAAACGCTGAATTGTTACAACCCAAACCGGATTGAAAGTGCAATATTGATATCGGGTATCCAAAACAGGTGGACAATATATAACGCCGTGATATTACGGAGGAGCAAAGACTCTTCACTCTGAGCGGTGCTGTCGTACGCCTGTTCTCCGTCACTTTGTTGGCCGACAACCTCCAGCGCGTCAGCCTATTGCATTTCAGCTTTCCTATGTAGGCGAATCTTTATGCGAAATGATAATAAGAAAGCTTGCGAGAATGTTAACTTTCTATAGACCCTGAACTGACAAGTCTTAGGCTGAGCAGGCATGGAGGGTTACCTGGTGGCTGCAGAAGAATGGGGCGATCCATACGCAAAGCCCCTTTCTTCTGCATCCCATCCCTTAGTATGGCACATGCAGTCGGCAAGGAGCGGGCGAGACGAAATCCCCAAGGTAAGTGTGGTATTGCAATTATGTAAACAGCATATCTGAAGCTATAAGCTGCTACCTTGGGCTAAGTCCATGACTTTTGGTTGGATGCCATAGAAGGGTCAAACAAATATGCCTTGCAGGGCCGGGACCCTTATACTGCAACGCTATCTGAGGTCCTTGACAATTTTGTCAGGAAAATGGAGGCTAAAATGGCGGCAGAGGTGGGTGTTCACCGTGCACATCGGTCGCATTTACCTCAGTTGTCGCCGGATATGGCGAAGCTTGTGTTCATGGCACGCACGAGTCGCGGGCAGGTGCTCGGTGCATGGTCAGGGGTTCAATTGTCCCAACTTGGCGCTTTCCCAGCGTGACGCACACGCAACATAGGGGTGCCCGGGTCGCCGGTCGTGGTGAGGCCGATGCCGATGCCTTGCATGTCACAACCAGTATCATGCCCCTTCCGTCCTACCACTCAACGGCATAATCACTGGAGGGCCTAAGCTCGCCTTACGTACTCGTCTGCAAGGGCGCCCTTTCACAGGCCTTACCTTGGGACCTGCACGGCCCCTATTCCTCCCACAGATCGTGTCGCAGCGTCGGAAGCTGCCCCCCCTCATCAATGACCGATCGCTGTTCACTCGGGGTGCACCATTTGGCAACAAGGACGACCCATTTTACCACTCGCCTTCCAACCGCATCGGAAACTACTACTCGCCAGAGTCCATGCGAGCAGCGGCCATCCTTTTTGAGGAATTCCCGCAGGTCTGCAGCCAAATTAGCATCTTAGCCGGGTTATGGGGCACCGCGCTTTTTAAGTACTACGTACTACAAACTGCTAGCTAGCGCCGTGACCAGGGTTCACATCGTCAGCTGATACAGCTGGCGCACGTACTCTCGTACGGAAAGCAAACGCGGCTGCTAATAGCAGCAGGCAGGCGCCGCACGGGGTTCGCAAATGCGGATGTGGGTCAAGGACTGGGCCTGCCAGCCAGTCAGCCAGAGGCGTTTTGGCCTGTCGGAGTTTCAGAGGTCATGAGCTCATACGTTGGGATGGCGGGCCTTGCCTCCTAGCTCCCCCAGACTTCATGGGTTTCATTCCGATCTGGGTTAGATAGATATGTAACGGGCAGCCGGGTGCATCAGGATTACTCCTCAAGCCCACCATGAATGCAGCAATAAACTCGCCTCTTTACCCATGTATCCTGCTCCCGGCTGTCACCCCGGCAGGACCCCAACGCGCCCAGGACGCGCGGCCGCGGCATGCTGCAGGACGTACGCTCCTCCTTTACTAGCAGCCGCCCGCTCAGCCCGCGGGCAGCGCTGCCGCCGTTAAACGGCTCCGGCACCGCCAACAGCGTCAATGGCTTGAACGGCGCCGGGCTAAACGGCAGCAATGGTGCTGGGAACGGCAATGGCCATAGCTACGGCGCATCAACGTTCAGCCCGCACACCTCCCCAGGCAGGATGGTCGGCACCAAGCGGACGGCGCAGGATGTGGGGCTTCCAGGGGGGACCCTTTGGCGGAACGCTAAAGCAGCGAGGGCAGGTGAGGAAAAACTGCAGCCTGAAGTATGCGTTCTCTGCAAGAGCAAAAACAAAAAAGCGGGGAGCGGAGGAGATACGTCATAGCGTGCATGTTTTTTGGTGTGTGTGCTGATGTGAGTCCAAGGCAATTTACCACATTGTTGCTTTCAGCAGCGGCGTCACTTGCGGGTCCATTCAACGGCTGGAATGAAACCCTAACGTACTAAAGGACTACAGGTAGGCAGTTTAATGGATACTCGCTGAGCTTGCTGAGTTCGGGGTTTAAGTCCAGGGATTTTACGGCAACCCAACAATGTGCCGTGGCAGCGATTCCTTGGCTGGGGGCCGGGCAGCTGCCATTGAGGCCGGGGCTACGCATGGGCCAATGCAGCCGCCAACCAGCCATCAGTAGAACAGCGAAATCTAGGCCCAAACGACTGCTTGAAAGCAAGTGGTAGTTTTCCTCGCATTGCACGCGGCCGCAAGCAGCTGCTAGAAACTCGGATGGAGAGTTTCTATCCGGACCTTTGGGATACGCTCAGCTGGCGCTTACATCAGCGGCGGATACCACCCAGCGTAGGACGCTAGCAGATTGCCGCGTGGCAGGGCGGACTGGTTCTCTGGTCGCAGCACTCGGTGAGGCACACATGGCGGCAGCACAACACCTGCGGCGCACGCGGCAGCCTTGTCGGGCCCTGAATACTCCAGCTGAAACAGCTTGGGCATAGGATGCAACTGGTCACCGAGTTTAACCTTGCCATGCGCAGCAGTGGATAGCATGGGGCCTGGAAATTACACGCCGCCCTGCGACAATATTGCGAAGTACGCGTGCCACAACACAGGCACACAGAAACGTAGGAAAATGGCCTTGCGAAGGCATCAGTGGGGGTTTACGAATGCGTCACCCAGGCAGCGTTGATCCTCGCCTGATGCCCGAAGCCCTGTTGGGACTGACACAGCCAGGGCGGAGCAATGAGGGCCAGGGAGCGCAAGGCGGTATGGGACCGCTGGCAGCGTCGTGGAATGTGGAAGGGACTGCGGTGCAAGGACGTGGGAGAGGGGCTTGGCAGCTGCCAGCAAGCTGCTACAGGGCTATACGGATTGCCGAGCGGCCCTCCGCTGCCACCCTTCAGTGCAGTGCAATGGAGTGCAGCGCAGCAGGGAAAGAAATAGCTCAGGAACCGGACCCCAGGTCCTTTGCAATCCGCGGGTTTCGGCTGCTGCAGGAACCGACGGGTGTGTTTTTGCTAGTCAACCGGCCTGTGTGCTTTCTGTCAGAACCCGACGTCCCCCCTCGCTTCCTCGTCACCTTTCGCGCACCTCATCACCCTGCTCCCCTCTTCCCCACCTTCCCTCCATTCCCCCTCAGCCGTGTCCGATGTTCCTTTGGACCACCTGGTTGACGCCATCCTGCGTTACCACTACTACGTGGAGGTGGGAATCGACCCCCGGCACGTGGCTCCCTTCCGGGAAGAATGGGCCGGCAACGCGCTCAACATGGTCCCCCACCTGCCGCCGTACGGCGTATCCCAGCAATTCTACGACATGCTGCTTCGATCCTCCCTGGAGGAAATCCACGCCGAGTACGTAACGGCCATGAAACGTGCCATGGTGAATTACGTCATCTCTTCACCTGTGGAACGCCACCGGCTAAACCTGGAAGCGCTGGAGCCGCTGTTGGCGATTCCGACCCCTACTGCGGAGTCCTGGCGCGCGGTTGTGGACCGTTTGCTGCTGCCTAGCTGGCACGCGGACGTGGAGACTGCGCGGCAGGAGGTGGCCTGGACGCTGCAGACGCTGTCCGCTAACGCCCTGGAGCTCTCTCGGCTGTGGCACGCGAGTCGCTTCTCCGCGGCGTTGCTGGTGGACGTGGCGTCGCCCGAGTTTGTGACGCGGCTGCCCTTGAGCGCGGAGACTTTCTACGAGCAGCAGACCGAGGTCATGGAGCTGGTGAAAGGGCAGCTGTGGACGTCTTGGGCGCCCAAGAGCTTGGAGGTGTTTAACCGGCTGCCGCCGGTGTTCATCAACGGCGATGCGGACGCGTACTACCGGTCCGTGGCGACGCTGCAGAGCAACCAGCTGCGTGGGCTGGTGCAGCGGTCGCTGGACAGCTACGAGGGGCTGTTCCGGAAGCACACGGCCCGGAATGAGGTGGACCCGCAGCAGGATACCCTGATGTGGAGTGTGCCGCCGGTGTTTGTGTTGGACCTTGTGGAGTTGGACGGTGAGGGAGGGCTTGGAACGATCTGGACGTGGGGCAAGGGAGGGAGAGGGGGGCTGGGAGGGAGGGAGGAGCGGGGCGTGGGGGGAGGGAAGACGCGGTGGAAAGAGGTCTCTGGTCTTGACGTAGCAGGACGTAGCAGAGAGAGCAGGGCTGGGGGTTCCGTCTTAAAGCATCGGCTCTGGGAGGGGTCTAGACGGCGGGGCCTCGGAGTCTCGGGTGAGGTCCATGGGGATTCTGGGGCTAAGACCTGTAAACTGGACTCAGTGTGAAACCCAGGTGTGAGGTGGAGAAGTGGGGGTGCATAGGGCAGGTTGCGCCATAGCGGGGCCCCCTTGGTAAAGGGGTGGGAGACCAGGGTAGGCGCAGGACCGGTAACCTTTATGCCGCTAGGGGAGGGAGGGCAGGACGGCGGTGGACGGAGAGGAGGAGGATCTGCGACCTAGCGCTCCTGGGCCGCTCCAGTGTCAGCTCCTCCCTAACCATCATGGGCCATGTTCCCCTTTCCCTAACCGTTTCCCTGAGAACCGCTGTCCCGCGACTCGCCGTGCCCGCGGACGCCCCCACCCCCGCCCGGCCCGCAGGCAAGCCCACCTTCAAACCCACGTTTCAGGAGTGCGAGGACATTGTCCGTCAGATCCTGGACAACATGGTGCTAGCTGTGGCTGGGCTGCCCCGAGTGGGCTCCAACACGGTGGGCTCCACCAGCTTTACGCCGCCCCCACCCGGCACGGTCGTCCCGCCCAGCAGCACCACCATCCCCACCACTAGCCTGCAGGAGGAGAACGTCGTCAATGCCAAAAAGGTGTGTGTGTATGTGTGTGTATGTGTGCGAGTGTGTGCGTCCCCACGTGTTTGTTCCTCTCCGCTTGCACCTCCTTCTGTGTCCTCTCTTCTCTCATCTCGCGCACGCGCCTTTGTCTTTTGCCCTTCCGTATCCATTCGTTGCTTCCATTCGTTTCTGTTAGGGGCGCTTCCCTCTGGTAGATATCGCAATCCCATGACTTGTTTTGATCCGAGCATCGATCGCTTTGTTTTCGCGCAATCGCTGCCGACCGCCCAGGCCGTTCTTCACGTGATGGAGCGCAACGCGGTTGCGCCAAAGCGGCTGGCGGCCCTGTTTGAGGAGTGGATGTGGCTCATAGGGGAGGATGCGGCCAACGCCGTGCGGGCTTTTTGCGAGCGCCAGCCCGAGCCGAAGCTGTCGGAGTTTCAGGCGGAGATCGACCGGTTGCGTGCCGCCGTGGACGCGGTGCGGGTCATCTGCACCGACGACGTGCGCACAGGTCCGTGAGGTTGCAGTTGGGTGCGTGGGTGGGTATTTCAGAGGCGGCGTTGGGCCGGTGGTGCTCGGGATGCGTGGGCTTGAGTGGGTAATTGACCTCGGACCCGGACTCTGCCGGCGCTGACCTGGGCCACTGGTACATATGCAAACCTGTTGGTTTGGTTTGGTTTGGTTGGTTTTGTTGGGTTGGGTTGGGTTGGTTGGGTTAAACCCTGCCGACCCTGATCCGGCCCCGGTTGTCCCGCGCGTCCTCCTCCTCCCCGTCTTCACCTCCCTGTTCTTCTCCAGGTATCTACGTGGTTCGTTGCCGCGCCTTCAAGGACCTGCTGGCTAGCAGTGCTGAGGAGCTTATCTGCCAGCTGCTGGAGCACATCAGGAACACAGTGCGCGCATCCAACATTAAGATCCACGAAGAGTACCAGGTGTGTGTGTATGTATGTATGTATGTATGTATGTATGTATGTATGTATGTATGTATGTATGTATGTATGTATGTATGTATGTATGTATGTATGTATGTATGTATGTATGTATGTATGTATGTATGTATGTATATATGTATGTATGTATGCGTCTGTATAGCTGTCTATGTTGAGTGGGGGTTGTGGGAAGGTAGGGCGTGTTGGGTTGGGTGCAGCAAGTACTCGCCCGATATGTATTGTGCTCGTAGGAAAAACATTGTTTTCTATTTGGGCGCCCAACGGGGTCCTGAATCCGTTTCCGCTCCTTCGCACAACCCTTCCCTTGCCATTCGACCAACCTGTGCCTTGCCACCTTACCTGCCTGCCTGCCTGCCTATCCACCTGCCCATCCACCCACCTTGCCTACCGACCTGCCTACTGACCTACCTACCGGCCTACTTAGCTATTCCAGAAGTAGTAATGTAAATTCTGCTTAAGCTAAAAAAGTTTATTCCCAACTACCTGGCGACCTACCTAACGTATCTGCCTACCTTGCTTCTCCCTGCCTCGTGCAGATCATGACTGGCGAGGTGGGCAAGACCAGCAACACGGCCGAGGAGCTGCTGGCCCTGAAGAAGTACATCGCCAAGTGCAGCCAGGACCAGGAGCGACTGAGGGACGCCATTTCCCGCAACAAGGAAAAGGACGACTTCCTCATGATGCACAGGTGGGTGGTGCTCCTCGTCTAGTGGGGAGCCGAGAGCGGCAGAAAAGCTGGGGTGCGGGTGCGCGGCACGTTGGAAGACGTGCCACCCGCCTCTTTTACCTAGTTGCAGACCTGCATGGACGACGGGTAATAATAATCTGAATGTGTGTCTCATGTGTGTGGTGGTACCATCTTGGTGTGTATTGTGTGCCGTACTGTGATGATGATGATGATGATGATGATGATGATGATGATGGCACGGTCCTCTTCGGGCAGGCTTCCGGTGCCGGAGGAGGACCTGGAGGTGGCCATCAAGGCGTACGAGTGGCCGAGGAGGATGATCGAGGTGGGTGGATTGGATTGGGGGGACCCAAGCCAGCACGATTGCACTTTACTGGTATCCGATGCCACTCGGTATCCGCATCTGGTTTCTCCGCCGGACCTAGACCTCCCGCAGGAAGCTAACCTGCTGTTGAGGACTACCTCTGGGATAGCTGCAATGATCTGTTTATTTTCCTTACTCTTGCCTTCTTGCGTTTACTTTGGGGATTTCCCAGTTTGCCGCTCGTGGTTGTTCTGTTTCAACCCTTTTCGATTTAATTGTAATTATTTTTTTCCGAACCCTATTTCCCCTCCCTCCCCCACCACAGGTGATGCGCGAGGCCAACACCAAGGTCAACGGCGAGCACAAGGAGTTCGAGGCGCAGCTCAAGGCGCGACGCAAGGATTTTGGGGAGCTGCTGGAGACGTATGCCAAGGAGGTCGAGTCGTATGGCACCAAGAACGAGATCGTCAAGAGGGACCAGATCGCGGGAGAGGTGCGTATACGCGTGCGCGCGCGCACGCGCGCGCACGCGTGTGTGTGTGTGTGTGTGCGTGTGTGTGTGCGTACTTCTTGCTGTTGTTGGTGGTTGCAGTTGTGGCGGTAGGATGGAGCATCCGGGCTAGGCGGGGGGCGTGTTTTCGGGTAGCCTGCATGACCGGGCCTTGCGCTGGCCCGGTCTTAATGGGACTTGGCTTGTGGGTAGAGGTTGTGCCTTGGCAAAGCCAAGGGAGAAAGAGCAGTTTTCTCTCTCATGGAATGTTACAGGCATGAAAACACCGCCCCTAACCTTCTCATTTATATCTTGTTCTTTTTCCTTAATGCCTACCTTCTTTTTTCCCAGGTAGCGGAGTTGGCAGAAAAGCTCAAGTTGGCGCAGGTGGAGGGAGACACCATCAACGGCCAGGAGCGCCTATTCGGCTGGGCGCCTACCAAGTACGGCATCATCGCCAAGCTGTCTGCCACCCTGGAGCCGTACGTCATCCTGTGGACGACTGTCTCGCAGTTTTATGACAAGTTTGCCTCCTGGATGAACGGCCCCTTTTACAAGCTCAACCCCGAGGAGGTGGAGGCGGATACCAACGATGCCTTCAGGTGAATCAGTCTATCTGTCTGTCTGTCGGGTCGGTCGGTCGGTCGGTCGGTCGGTCCGTCATATGCCACATTTCGGAAAGGGTTTCCGCAGGACTTCCAGCTTCCAGCTCCTTCTCCCAGGTCGTGTCTCACACTCCAGCTTCGAATCGCATCAGGGTCCGCTTTCCTTCCTTTGTATGACGCCCTAGTCCGTGGCCACCAAACCGCGTGCCGACTCCTCCACCTGCCTTGCCTTTGCCGTCCTTTGCGCACGCCTTGGCCCTCTCGTTCCCCCCTGCACCCCTCCTCGCTCGGTTTAGTCTGATCTGCTCAGGTTCGCTTGTCGATGGAATCGCTCAGGTTCGCTTGTCGCTTTTCCTGAAATCCTTTCCCTCTCACTGCCGCTGCGCCACTCCAGGCGACTGTACAAGTTGACCAAGGTGTTCAGTGGCAGTGCGGGAGTGAGCGAGCAGCGGGACGCCCCTCTGGCGGTCGCGGAGGAGGCCAAGTCCCGAGTGCAATCCTTCCAGGTGGGACGTGGCGGAGTAGACGGGAGGGAAAGCGGCAGGGGGAGGGGGGATTAGCGATTGGCGTAGCACACAGTACGTACACCCATATTGCATATCCGTAGCCGTGCTGCTCAGAGCGCAAGGCTCTATGTGGAGCAAAAGGAGGGTCCCTCATGTCCCCCTTCATTGTTTAGGAGAGTGCTTCCTTAGGCGATCTTGCCGTTAGGGCAGGAGGTAAGCTGCTTACCTCTTGGCCAGCGCCAGGCCCGGTCAGACATGATATAAAATGCACATGCACAAACGCACATACATACAAGCATACACACACCGATTCCCCTAAACTATCGCCGCAACGCCACAGGAACACCTGCCGCTCATCACGGCCATCTGTAACCCGGGTCTGCGGGAGCGCCATTGGGCGGCGCTGGCGGACCTGGTGGGCTTTGAGATTAAGCGCGATGAGGTGACCAGCCTCAAACGCCTGCTGGACTTCGATATCGAAATGCACATCGCGCGCATCAGCGAGATTTCGGATTCCGCCAGCCGGGAGTGGAGCATTGAGAAGGCGCTGGATAAGATGATGGCGGACTGGCAGGGCCTGGCGTTTGAGCTGGGGCCGTGGAAGGAGACGGGTGAGCGACGTGCTCTTCCGGGGCCAGCGCCTCTGGTTGGGGATAAAAGCAGCTCAACGGTTGGTCTGGGCCTCTGCTGGGGTCTGGCCAGGCCTGGGTGTGGCAGCGGAGCACGGCCTGGCAGTAGAGCTAATCAACGGAAGCTGTTTGGTATCAGGTTTTAGATCAGCTTGGGCAGCTTGGTAGGGGGTGGTAGTGGTAATGGTAGTGGTAGTGGAGAGACCCAACCGCATCAGGTTCGAGGATGGTCTGAGTGGCCGCCAAAATGCCATTCCACACGCGTCAAAGCATGCACATCCGGATGCATAAGCACCACATACAAACAAACGTACATGCATCAGCACCTGGGCTCGTAGGACCATGTGGTTCGGCGTTTCCCAAGCCTGCTCCGAACTCCTTTGAAATTCCCACCTTTCGGCTCTGCCTACCCTACTTACCGTGCTGCTGCTGCTGCTGCCCTCCTGCTCCCTGGCTGCTGCTACCCCTGCAGGCACGTTCATTCTCAAGGGTGGTCCCGTGGACGAGGCTCTAGGTCTCCTGGACGACCACATTGTCAAGAGCCAGGCCATGTCCGCGTCGCCCTTCGCCAAGCCTTTTGTGGACCGCCTGGTGCCATGGGAGCGCAAACTCGTTAGATTCCAGGTACGGCCCTGGTTTGAGTGCGGCGGGTTTCTCAGCTCGTTAACCTTTCATGTACAGTGTCTGCCACGTTCGCCGTATGCATCACCTCCTGCAGGCACGTGTGCTCGCACAGCTTTGCATACCGTTGCCCCCCCCATCCTCCCTCCCTCTCCCCTCCCCTTCCTCCTGTCGGATCGTGTCATGTGCTGTTGGGTCGAGACGGCCGCGCTCTTTCTGTAGACCGCTTCTTCTCTACCTGGAGTCACGAGTAAAAACGTCAACAGGTTTATTCCGTAATTTTTTCCTCATACTTTTCCCCCCCGTTCCTCCCATCCTCTCTCCTTGCGTTGCACAGGACATTTTGGACCAGTGGCTCAAGTGTCAAGGCAAGTGGCAGTACCTGGAGCCCATCTTTGGCGCCGAGGAGATCATGAAGCAGATCCCGCGCGAGGGTCAGGCCTTCAGGGACATGGACGGCATCTGGCGCCGCATTATGGACAAGGTGCGCTGCCGCTCTGCCACCGCCGCTATACCACCGCCGCCGCTATATCACCGCCGGCCTGTCCTGCCGCTCCATCTGCCTGTCCTGGCGGGTGTCTCGGCGCTCTCCGGTTCCATTTCCCTGCGTTCCCTTGCGCCGCCAGCGGCCACTTTGTACTGTACGCTTCCGTTTTGCTACCCACGGCATTATCAATGTCCTTAATTTCACGGTGTGAGTTTTAGCTCAAATAGTAAATGATCTGCTGCCGCGTTGGTAAATTTGTAGCTGGGCGGTGCGTGTGCATGATGCACCCGTGTGCACCCGCAGGTTCGCGCCCAGCCCCTGATGATGGATGTGGCAGACATGCCCGGCCTGTTGGAGGACCTCATTGCCTGCAACCAGTCGCTGGACGTGGTGGAAAAAGGTGAGTAGGGACTGAATGGGCGGGCTTCGGTGAGATTCTGTGATAAGGAGGGCTGCGCTGGGATATTCCGCCACTCCGTCCTCACACAATATCTACGGAAGATTACAACCGTAATATTGAGGGGGACAGTTGGGGTTTGGTAGGCTCTCTCCCTTAGTAGTGCGAGGTGAGATACCTGCCGATTTTGGGGGCATGGGACTGTCGGATAATGACGGTTTGGCGGGATTTCGGATTGCCCGGTTGGTCGCCTACCTCTCCAAGACCACCCGCGCGTGCAAGGCTCGACTCACCTAGGCTGCTCCTCCCCACTTCCTTCCCCGTCGCAGGACTGAACGATTTCTTGGACATGAAGAAGACGGCCTTCCCACGCTTCTTCTTTCTATCCAATGACGAGGTGCTGGAGGTGAGTGCTGGATAGGCATTAGGTACTGCATCAGGTACGGTTGTCCTGCAGGCTGTGTGCCCCGCCTCCTTATGGGTGGAGATAGCTTGCTTCTGCGGTTTTGTACGGGGTCGGCCTGGGTAGGGACGTGGCTCAGGAAGTGATCAGGTGCATAGGCGGTCATATAGTGCTCAGATAGCTCCCGCACTGCTCGCTAGGCTGGAACATTTACTGCTAGATGTATGGGTGAAGTCATGCAGGATGTTTCATCTGCAAGGCGTTGCCCTGCCGATATACATGGTAGCTCCTGTCTAGTCTCTCTTGACGCACGCACAATGCACACAATGCACAAAGAAACTCTAAACTCCTCGTCCGGTTTTCCGATCTTACACCTTGCCACACGCAACCACATCTCCCCTTGCACCCGAAACTCCCCCGCTAGATCCTGTCGGAGGCCAAGGACCCGCTCAAGATTCAGCCCTTTGTCAAGAAGTGCTTTGAGTCGGTTCGCGAGTTCATCTTTGAGCGCAACGGCGAGATTTCCGGACTCATCTCCGTAGAGGGCGAGAAGATCCAGTGGATTGAGACCGTCAACCCTGCCGCCACAGGTACGTGCGCCTGCACAAGAGGGAAAAAAAGCAGGCGTGGCACCGCCCCCGCCGCCGCCCCACCGCTGCGCCCTTCCGCACTATTTCGCTCCGCCCTGTCCTGCACTTTTCAGCCATATGCCTTAATTTTCCCCTCATTGCTCAGGTAGAAGTGTGTGTGATGTGCGTGTGTGTATTTTATCTTGTTACTCTACGGCCGTGCCCTGTGTGCCGAGCTGCCCAAAACGTGGTTTCGGACCGGGTCAATCGGTGGCAGGACTGCGAATTTTCGTCCTTAGCCGGCCAAGAGCCCTCCTCTTCTTCCAATCCTGCTTCCAGCCCTACATTTTTCCGTTTACATTGCACCCCTTCTTCCCTTGCCCTCTTAGCACATCCGCTCCCTCTCTTTGTCAGCTCCCCCCCTTCGTCCTCCCTCCTTTGTCCCCACCGCTACGTTTCGCCCTCGCTAGGAGCTGTGGAGAAGTGGCTGCTGGACTCTGAGAGTTGCATCCGGCGCACCTTGCACAAGATCGCGGGTGACTCCCTGGAGGCCTACGCCCGGTCGGAACGCAGCCGCTGGATCCTGGAGTGGCCTGGACAGATAGTGCTCAACTGCAGCCAGGTACAGGTTGCCGCCCCGGGGCCGCGTGTATCTGTGTGCGTGTGTGTATGCGGGGATTACCCAGTAGCGGGAGCACGGGTCGCATGTGTTGAAACAGCAGCGGAGGCTCAAGTGCGGAACAAGCAAAAACAAGGTATCTGCTACACTGCCAATCTTATCACCAGCCATCACCATCAGGCGAAAAGCTACACCGTGCCGCACATACGCTGGGGTTGGGGAGAAGAAGAAGCCACAACCGGCGTTTTTTTTAATGTAACTGATGGCTTCCCTTTCTTTCTGTTCACATCTTGATTTCCAATGTCTATATCTGTGTAATGCCTGTGGATCTGGTCGCTCCGTAGGTGTACTGGACGCGCGAGGTGACTGACGCCATCCGGACCGGCGGCAGCCGCGGCTTGGCGTCCTATTCGGAACGGTGCACTCTGGAGCTCAATAAGATCGTGAACCTGGTTCGCGGCCAGCTGGCGTCATTGGAACGTGCTACCTGTGGAGCGCTGGTGGTGATTGACGTGCACGCGCGTGACGTGGTGGCGGCGATGGCCAAGGATGGTGTGGAGGACACGAGGGACTTCAAGTGGGAGAGCCAGCTCAGGTACTACTGGGAGTTCAACGAGCAGCCGCCGTCTGGTAAGTACGTTGGTTGGAGCAGGATGGGGGGGAGCGGGAGGAGGCGGGTGATGTAAAAGCAGGACTTGGGGGGGAGTGTGTGGGAGGGCTGCGGGTGCGGGAGTGTGTTTAGGAGCAGTTGAAGGTCGAAAGCAGCACGTGGTGGGGAAAGGAGGGAAGGGACCGCTCCCGTGGGGAGGCTGGGTAGAGGGCTTGGGAAGCAAATGAGCTGAAGGGCTCGCGAAAACATGGCGTTTCCTGTTTTACCTTAATCCCGCCGTGCCTGCCTGCCTGTCTGCCTGTCTGCAGGTGTGCACCCTCAGGAAACGCTAGTGGTCCGCATGATCAACGCTGAGGCACTCTACGGCTACGAGTATCTAGGCAACAGCGGCCGCCTCGTCATTACGCCTTTGACTGACAGGTAGGTGGCCGGGTGGGTGGGCTTTGGGCGAGTCACAGGGTTGGGGACTGTGTTGGGGATTTAGCGATACGGATACGTGTGTTGGGTTATGCGGTAATGTAGTTTTAGGCGGGCAGTATTGGTAGGACAGGTGGGGCATGTAGGGACGGGCCAACCTGACATACCTCTTCACCTCTTTCTGCATCCGCCCGCCTGCTAGGTGCTACCGCACGCTGATGGGCGCCATCCACATGAACTTGGGAGGTGCCCCCGCGGGCCCTGCCGGCACCGGCAAGACCGAGACCACCAAGGATCTGTCCAAAGCGCTGGCCATCCAGTGCGTTGTCTTCAACTGCTCCGATGGCCTGGACTACAAGGTGGGGTAGTTGGCAAGAGTGCGAGACTGGATTTTTCCTTTTGGCGCGGAAATTATGCATGGTTATAATCTGCTGTAGAACAGGCGGGGAAAGATCATGAAAAGGAAATGTGAAAAATGCTGCTGGCCGTTGGCGGTTTCTTGATATTGTGGGTTTACAGCGCTGTCAGTAGCCACCACAGCTTTCTCAACTTCTTGCCCGCTTGCGTGTGGGTCTCTTCCCACGTCCCTGATTCACGCCCTGTCACACGTAACATGGGGCTGCGGCAATCGACACAATGCGACACAGGCCATGGGCCGCTTTTTCAAGGGGTTGGCCTGCAGTGGCGCCTGGGCCTGCTTCGATGAGTTTAACCGCATCGAGCTGGAGGTGCTGTCGGTGGTGGCGCAGCAGGTACGAGGGACAGGAGAGAGGGGGGAGACAGCAGGAGGTTGGAGGTGGGATCGGCGGTGAGCGGTGTAGGGACCCCAAGTCGTCACACTGCGATTTGGCCTTTTGTAAGCCGTGTTTCCTAAGATGGGCGGTCGAGGAAAGTGTGTGTGCGGAGGGGATGGGGGGGGGGAAGGAACGTGTCCATAAGGGGGGAAAGACCGTTGCTCCTACGGTTCTACCGTGCTATGTTGGGCCTTTGGCGGGCCAACTCGTCGGGTGGTTCTAATAAACGCCATCCCACTTCCGTTTCAAGGCGTCATCAGACTAGTTGCATGACTACCAGAATAGCGACTAGTAAGAAGACCGTCCCACCGGGCCATTCTTCGCGCATGTGGGCACAAACAACACCACGTCTTACCTGGGCCCCATACCTCTCTCCGCCGTCTGCACGCCCGGCCCGGCTGGCCACGCGTCCCCGCCAACGTATATGATCCCCCCAACCCTGCCTGTCTTGTCCGCCTTGTCCGCCTGCCTTGACCTCCTCCCTTGTCCCCAGGTGCTGACGATTGTCCGTGCCAAGGCGCTCAAGGTGAAGACGTTTGTGTTCGAGGGCAGCGAAATCCGGCTGGTGCCCACCTGCAACACCTTCATTACCATGAACCCTGGATATGCGGGCCGTTCCGAGCTGCCGGACAACCTCAAGGTGCGTGCTGCCAGGGACAGGGGTGATATCGCTTATAGAAACGACCGGCAATAATGGAGTTATAGGACACAAGAGGGGCAGCTTTTACCTTGCCCTTGTCCTTGGCTTCCTGCAACCAACACCTTACACGTCCGTTTCCTCATCTCCATCTGCCATCTCCTCATTCCCCCCTCCAGGCGCTGTTCCGGGACGTGGCGATGATGGTTCCCGACTACGCCATGATCTCCGAGATCATTTTATACAGCTACGGCTACCTGGAGGCTCGAGCCATGGCGCGCAAGCTGGTGCAGACGTACCGCCTGTGCTCCGAGCAGCTGTCCAGCCAGGACCACTACGATTACGGTGAGAGCAGTCTCACACCAATATGTATACGCACGTATGTGTTCGCGGGGAACTGATGTGGGGGTTTGCAAGGTTGTGCAGCTCGGGCTGTGCGACTCGACTCTGTTGCAGCGATAAATGCGATAGTGGTGGTTTTTAAACTAAGGCTTCCTCCCGCTCGAGCATTTGGGTGACGGTAATTCCATCACTTGGCATCAGGGCCCGCGGCATGTTACTGCCTTCGTTGATGTTTCCTCCTGTTGAACTCATGCCTTCCGCTCACACTACGCATGGCTGCTTGTTGGCCTGCCGTTCTTACCTCTCTTGCCTCCGCTGCCATGCCATAACGCCCTTGGCACATGCTGTTATTCCACGTCCTACCCGCAGGCATGCGCGCTGTGATGAGCGTGCTGCGTGCAGCCGGCAACCTGAAGCGCGTCTTTCCAGACTCGGCAGAGGATGTGCTGATGCTGCGCGCCATCAACGATGTCAACCTGCCTAAGTTTCTGGACCAGGACGTGCCCCTCTTCAACGGCATCCTTTCTGACCTCTTCCCCGGTGTCGCCCTGCCTGTCGTGGACTACGACAACCTTGTCGCCGCCATTAAGGATAACTGCACAAAGGCCAACTTACAATCCCTCGACAGCTTCATCATCAAGATCATTCAGCTGTACGAGATGATCATTGTACGGCACGGCCTGATGCTTGTGGGACAGTCGTTCGGCATGAAAACCGCGGCCTACCGCATCCTGGCAGCGGCGCTATCAGACCTACACGCGAAGGGTCTTAATAAGGAATTCAACACCAAGTACTATGTGCTGAACCCCAAGTCGATCACCATGGGTCAGCTGTATGGCGCAGAGGATCCGGTTTCGAAGGAATGGACGGACGGCGTGCTGGCGGTGGTTTTCCGCAACACCGCACGTGACACATCGCCGGATCGCAAGTGGGTCATCTTTGACGGGCCAGTGGACGCCATTTGGATTGAGAACATGAACACGGTGCTGGACGACAACAAGAAGCTGTGTCTCAACAGCGGAGAAATTATTGCCATGCAGGTATGAGTGAAGGGAAAGGACGGGCAGCTGGGTGTGGGAAATGTAACTGCGTAGGAGGGTAGGAGACGCAAATGGTATGTGAGACAATACGTCTTGTAAGGACTGAGCTGGCGCTGAGGATGGCGCACGAGTCTCCGTACCGAAGGAAGTAATACAAAGCGGCGGTAAAAATTGCTGAATCTATTTATAAAGTAGGTGATGACAAGGAGAATGATGCCAAAGCCCATATGTGTGCGTGAGTGTGCGTGTGTGTGTGTGTGTATTTGTTACATATCGATCCGGGCCTGACACAGGCCAGGTGCACCTAGCCGTATAATACCCCCTCGGGAACGACCGCCGAACTGTGTGTATGTGTGTGTGGATATGCGGATGCGTCTTGATCATGCGGGGATACATGGAGGGGCATGCATGCGTCGGAATGCGTGTGTGCGGTCCTCAGACCGTACTTGCGTACACCGTTCCATATCTATCCGACCTCCAAGTTGGCCTCTACCCCCCACCTCACCCTCCCCACACTTCCTCACCCGGCCCCATCCCCCCGCACGCAATCACACAGGGTCTTATGAACATGATCTTCGAGGTTCAGGACCTGGCCGTCGCTTCCCCCGCCACCGTCTCCCGCTGCGGCATGGTATACGTGCAGCCTGCGCTGCTGGGTTGGCGACCCGTGATGCTCTCCTGGCTGCACACACTGCCGGCTGCCATAACGTCCAGCCTCAAGCTCCAGCTTATGAACATGTTCGACTGGCTGGTGCCCCCCATGCTGCGCGTTGCACTCAAGCTGGTGCGCAGCCCACAGCCCATGCAGGACATCAACCTTGTCTGCTCCCTCATGCGCATGCTGGAGTGCCATTTGGACGAGTTCAAGCCGGAGGCTAGCAACGCCGCCGCTGCCGCCGCCAACGCCAGCCCTACCATCAACGTGAAGGAGCTTACGGATCAGCAGCTCACGACGCTGCTGCAGGGCTGCTTCCTGTTTGCCTTGGTGTGGAGCTTGGGCGGGCTGACGGATGCGGAGGGTCGGGCCAAGTTCGACATGCATTTGCGCAAGCTGCTGGCACACGACCCCTCACCAGAGGTGGCATCGTATGTGGCATCGGGTACGCCGCACAAGGTCACGGCGCCTTTTCCGGAGGGCAGGACGGTGAGTGCCTGAGTCGAATCACGGCGGCGAGGGCGGCGAGTGATAATGGTAGCGGCTGTGACAATGACCAAGATGCATGCGTCGCGCATGGCTAGGACGTCAAACCCAAGAGGATAGCTGTGACGATCTGGCTGCTTGGTACACTGCTGGCTGGTTGCGATAAGAGATTTACATCCCATCCCTCCTCCTGATCCTCCGCCGACTTATCCGCGTCTTGAGCAGGTGTATGAGTTCATGTTTGACAAGTCTCGGCTTAAGTGGATTCCCTGGCTGGACACGATTGAGAGCAAGGCGCTGGATGTGGAGGCGGAATACACCACCATTATTGTGCCCACGGTGGATACCGTGAGGTACACTTACCTGCTGGACAAGCTGGTGACACACCACATGCATTGCTTGTTCGTGGGACCCACGGGTGGGTTGGCTTGGCGGGAATGTTGGATTGGGTGGGACAAGTTAGGGCGGGGTTTGAGGGGGAGGCCGGAGTGACGCTCAGGAGAGCGAATGGTGCCTTGCGTATTGGGGATGGAATGGCGTGAGCCACGTGGTGGGCCACCTACCTTCATTTTTTGTATCGTGTCCATAGAAAAGCTGCACAAAAGCCTGGCGAAGTGATGTCTACATTGGATGTATTTTATGTTATTGCGGATGGTGGAGCTCTGGGTATGGCGCGGTATGTATTTCCTGGCGTGTAGCGGTCCTTTTCCACCCCACGCGCGCCTCTTCCCCCTTCCCACATCCCGAATGTCCTTTACTTTTCGCGTTGCGTATTCATTTCATCTCCGCCTTCCCACCGTGACCCCCTACAGGCACGGGCAAGACCGCTTACGTGAAGCGGCACCTGCAGGAGGGCCTGCCGGATTCGTTCACCAACATGCTCATGACCTTTTCGGCACAGACCAGTGCCAACATGACGCAGGTGAGGGGGAGCCGTCGAACATGGCACAGTGTCTCGGAACACGGCGGCTTGAACACATGCCTTGCGTGCGTGTTTGTGTGTTTGTGGGGGGGTGTATGGGTGTTTCTTACATAGCCGCGCCGCCGGGTTGGTTACATCTACACCAGGGACCATTTCACCACTGGCAATAGATAGATAGCGGAGGTGCTTAAGACATACAGGTGAACAGGCGGACGGACAGACAGACGGACGGATAAACACAATTGACCCACCCTGCTAGTGTCTGGCCCCTGCTAGTGTCTGTACCTCCTGATAGCCTGGTGCCTGCTCTACGCATCTTCCACCTGCCTAATCGACACCTCCTCCGCACTTCCTTTACCTGCTTAAACCTGATCCGCTCTGATCCGCTCCTCTCTTATCCTGCTCTGGTTGTCTCACGACCCACAGGACATTATCGACGGCAAGATGGACAAGAGGCGGCGCGGAGTGTACGGGCCCCCCCAGGGCAAGCACATGGTCATCTTCGTGGACGATCTCAACATGCCGCAGGTGGAGGAATACGGCGCCCAGCCTCCGATCGAGCTGCTGCGTCAGTTCATGGACCACAGCGGCTGGTACGATCGCAAAGAGCTCACCATGCGTAAGCTGGTCGATGTGCACTTCGTCGCGGCCATGGGACCGCCAGGTGGCGGCCGCAACACCGTCACCAACCGCTACCTGCGCCACTTCTCGGTCATCAGCCTCACGGCCTTCGATTCGGACAACCTCAGGTAAACGCGCGCGGGACGCGTCATTTAAAGATGGGCTGGTTGGAGCGGGGTAGGGTTGGGCTAGCCAAAGTTCAAGCTCACGTTGGCCACCGTGCACATTGTGGTGCAGGGAGGCGTTGGGACGTGTGGAGGGTTGGAAATCGGAGTGGTTTGGGATTCGGCAGGGCGGGGTGTTCTCTGTTCTGCTCGCAATGCCGTACTCGAGCAGGAAAAGAGCAGTCCGTGTGTGGAACTTGAGGCAGCGTCAGGTGGTTTGAACGGTGCTCCTTCTGCGCCTATCCCTTCCCCGGCTCAGCTCGTCCCCCCTTACCCACCCTCCCGTGCAGCACTATCTTCACTGCGCTAGTGGAGTGGTGGCTGCGCAAGTACAACTACCAGGCAGGTGGTGTATCGCGGCTGGCCCGGCCGCTGGTAGCGGCTTCCCTGGAGGTATATCAGCTGGCGCAGAAGGAGCTGCTGCCCACCCCCGCCAAGAGCCACTACACGTTCAACCTTCGAGACGTGTCAAAGGTCTTCCAGGTGCGCACTTTCCCCTGTATCAGCTTTTAATCATTAACTTTCAAAAGTAATCCGCGAGAAGAGGAAAAAGGGAAGGCGGGTCTGTTGTTGTTAATAAGTTGTTGATGTCACAGTGTTGTTGGATATGATACCTCTATCATGTCTTTCCCGTTTGTCCCAAATATTTCTTACACACTCGCCCTCCCCCCTCGGCGTGGGCTCCACCCGCAGGGCATCACCAAGGCCGCTGGCGCAGTGGAGGACAACATCTCCATGATCCGCCTGTGGACTCACGAGGTGCTCCGCGTCTTCTACGACCGCCTGGTGGACGACACGGACCGCGTGTGGATGGGACAAACGCTTTCCGGCCTCGTGGAGCGACACTTCAAGGAAAAATTCAACAAGGTGCTAAATCTTGAAGGCAGCGCGGAAATTCCACCCGAGACCATGCTCTCTGCGCTTCGGTCGCTGGTCTTTGCGGATTTCATGATTCCTGGAGCTGATCCGAAGATTTATTGCGAGGTACGCGACCAGGCGCTAATGCAGCGCGTCGTGATGGATTACCTGTCCGACTACAACGCCACCTCCAAGAAGCCGATGAACCTGGTCATCTTCCAGTTTGCGCTGGAGCATATTGCTCGCATCTGCCGCATCATCACAAGCCCCGGCGGCAACGCGCTGCTGGTTGGCGTGGGCGGCTCGGGGCGGCAGAGCTTGACGCGGCTGGCGGCGTATATCGAGGAGTATGAGGTATTCCAGATTGAAATTAGCAAGACGTACTGTAAGACGGAGTGGCATGATGACCTGAAGAAGGTACTTAGGATGGCTGGCGAGGCGAACAAGCGAGTGGTGTTCCTGTTCAGCGACACGCAAATCAAGGAGGAGAGCTTCGTGGAGGATATCTCCAACCTGCTTAACACATATGAGGTGCCGAACCTCATGCAGGTGTGTGTTGGTAGGGGAAGGTGGGCTAGGCTAGGGGAAGATGCCGCCTCCCTCGTTCCGCAGTTTTTCGCAGCAAAAGATTCTTGTCGAGATTTCATATCGGCAATGCTATGAACGCCGTGCACGACAAGGGACGTTTGCGACAGCCTAGCGTAGACTACTAGCGCTGCTACTAGCGCTGCTACTAGCGCTGCTACTAGCGCTGCTACTAGCGCTGCTACTAGCGCTGCTACTAGCGCTGCTACTAGCGCTGCTACTAGCGCTGCTACTAGCGCTGCTACTAGCGCTGCTACTAGCGCTGCTACTAGCGCTGCTACTAGCGCTGCTACTAGCGCTGCTACTAGCGCTGCTACTAGCGCTGCTACTAGCGCTGCTACTAGCGCTGCTACTAGCGCTGCTACTAGCGCTGCTACTAGCGCTGCTACTAGCGCTGCTACTAGCGCTGCTACTAGCGCTGCTACTAGCGCTGCTACTAGCGCTGCTACTAGCGCTGCTACTAGCGCTGCTACTAGCGCTGCTACTAGCGCTGCTGTTGAATGACCTGCTTTCCGACTCCCGCCCCAACCTCTTCTGCCCGCCCGCTCTCTCGCTTAGTCTGGAGACCTGGTGGCCATCTTCGAGAACATCCGGCCCCGCGCCAAGGCCGCAGGCATGGACGGTGGCCGCACGCAGCTGTACAACTTCTTCGTACAGGAGGTACGACAACATAAGGATGTTTTTTTTCAGCTTAACAACTTCTACCCTCTTAACGTTTCCCCCGGCACTGCTGCTGTTGCTGAGAAATAGTGTGCTGCTAAAGCTGGTAATGCTGTCGCTGTTTCTAATGCTGGCGTGTCTCGTCCGTCTCCCTGTCTGCCATTTGACCCTGTGCGGTACAGGTCCGTCGCAACATGCACATTGTGTTGTCATTCAGCCCTGTGGGCGATAGCTTCCGGGAGAGGCTGCGCAAGTTCCCCTCCCTCGTCAACTGCACCACCATCGACTGGTAAGACAGGTTAGGAAACGAGGGCCCATAATCGAGGCTAGCGAAAGAGGGATTGACCACCGCGACTCAGGCTCGCCTCGTAAAAGGGTCGTTTAGCAAACAGGGCCCCGGGGCCTGGGGAAGAAGACCCTAACCGACTGGACCATCATCGGGCACCTGGACCACCCTGCCCTGCCCATCCTCCGAACTGCCACGGATCTACACACCAGCTCCTCACCCACCCAGTCCCCACCCACTCCGCACACATCCCCCCGACCCCCAACAGGTTTACCAAATGGCCGACTGATGCGCTCCACACGGTGGCGCAGAGCTTCCTGGCGCACCTGGTTGGGATGGAGGAGCGTGTGGCGGCACAGCTCCCTGGACTGTGCGTGATGTTCCACCAGTCGGTGCAGGTGGGCGCGCGCGTGAGGTGATGGCTTAGCTGATCTTTATTGCAACTGCCTGACTCGGAGAACAAGCGGAGGCGAGCAAAGCTGCAGCAGGGCGTGGAGCTTGTGCCTAAGTGCCACACGTCGTGTTACGCTGTTCAACTCCCGACACGGAATCCCTGTGTGCGTGTGTTCGCTATGTGTGGGAGAGGAGGAAGCAGCCGGGGCCCTTTGTCCCGTGTTCCGTTCGAGTTCCGTAAGGGGAGAAGGTATGGGGAACCCCTGATCCGCCCCGTCCTCATGGCCGTTCCCTCCCGCTGCCACAACACTATCCCGTCAAATCAGGCCCTCACTGATCGCTACTTGGCTGAGGCCCGGCGCTTCTATTACGTGACTCCTACCTCCTACTTGGAGCTCCTGCTCAGCTACAAGAGCTTGCTGGCCAAGAGGCAGAACGAGGTCATGACGGTCAAACGGCGATACGAGGTAGGGCGGAGGATATGCGGTCAGGTGGCTGGCGGCGGAGTTGATTCTGCTAAACTGCTGAACTTTTGTCCTTCTCTGCCCCCCTGTTTCACAGCCGCCTAGGCCGCCTTTACTATTGATGACTGCTGATGATGCTGTAACTTTTGTCCGTCCTGACGCTGTTGTTACTGTTGCTGTCGTTGCTGATGTTGTATAGATCGGTTTGGAGAAGTTGCAGCTCACAGAGGAGAGTGTCACTGGCATGAAGGAGGAGCTCATAGCGCTGCAGCCCCAGCTGGAGGAGTCCACCCGCCAGACCGCAGCTGCCATGGAGGTCATCAGCAAGGAGAGTGTGGAGGCGGATAAAGTCAAACAGGTACAGTAGCGTGCCCCCCAAGTCTGCTCTGTCCGACCTTTGTGCGTACCAGCACCAGTACGCCAGTCTGCTCAGTACGCCAAAGCTAGTTGGTAACGTGGTTAGGTGGTTGGTTTTAGGCGCCACGCCTAAACCTGCTTATGTTAAAGTGAATATACATACCTGACGCCAAACGCTACAGCGAGTAAAACGGAGCCTTGTCTTGTTTCCATTTCTGATTCCCTCCCCTCATCACTTTCCTCATGGCCCACTGCCTGCCCCTCTCTGCCTATCCTGAAATCCTGGGCCCCACCCCTGTCCCTCACGCCACGCAGGTGGTATCCAAAGAGGAGGCCACCGCCAGTGCCGAGGCCGCCACCGTCAAGGCCATCAAGGACGAGTGCGAGGCGGACTTGGCGGAGGCGCTACCCGCGCTGGAAGCCGCCATTTCGGCGCTCAACACGCTCAAGCCCGCGGATATCACGGAGGTTAAGGGCATGAAGAGCCCCCCGGGGGGTGTGCGGCGAGTGCTTGAGGCCATCTGCATCATGAAAGGTGCGTGATGGTGGGGGGTTCGGGTGTGGCTGGGTGGCTGAACGGATGGGCTCGCAGTGTGGCCGTCTGGGCTGCCATGGCTCGCACATCCTGCCTTACGCATTCCGGTGGTGTGGGTTGGGTTGGTTGGCACCGGTGTCCGTCCGACTTGGTGTTGGTGGAACTGGTGGTCATGGTGACAGCGACTTGGTAATGTAAAATGAATACATGTTGTTACAATGAATCCGATCGTTGTTATTCACCGGTTCTGCACGTAACCAAACACGGCATAGCCTTCATGGTTGTGGTGAGCTTGCTTGCCTCGCGAAAGTCGTCAACGCGCTATCCACGTCCCTTGCAGACACGCTCAATTCATAAGCACGCGCACGCGCACACGCTCACGTTCACATATCCTCGCTCCCCTTCCGCCAAATCGCGTATATGCAGGTATTCGGCCGGTGCGCATGAAGGACACCAACACGGGGCGCATGGTGGACGACTACTGGGAGGCGTCGAAGAAGATGCTCATGGAGTTTGACTTCCTAGAGTCGCTCAAAAAGTACGACAAGGACCACATCCCGCCCGAGATCATCCAGCGCATCAGGCCCTTCGTGCAGGATCCCGATTTCCAGCCCAAGGTCATCGAGAAGGTGCGTCTTAATATTCCGACCCTTTCCCCCGAGGACTCTGGGTTCATATATATACCGGCTAGAAAGCCTAGCCGGGGTCAAGGCCTGTCAGGGGCCTTGCGCGATTGCAAAACGCCGTGACATTGCCCCTTCCTATTCCCCGCTCATCTCAACCTTCACCGGCCCCATACGGACGCATCCATCCGCAGCAATCCCTGGCGTGCGCTGGTCTGTGCTCGTGGGTCATCGCTATGGAGAAGTACGACAAGGTCATCAAGGAGGTGGAGCCCAAGCGCCAGAAGCTCCGGGAAGCCGAGGGCCAGCTCGAGGTGCGCACACGGAGGGGGCTGGAGGGGACACAAATTGCGGACTCTGGTGTGTGACGAGGGAGTGGGGCCTCCCCACGTCCGCCCCCACGTCCACCAGAATGAGTCATCGTTAACCGATCGTGTTGCCTGCCCTCTTCTCCTCCCGGCTCTCCTCCCACCTTCGTGCTGTTTCCATGCTGTCGTGTTTCCCCGTTATCCTGTGTCAGGTGGTGATGGGCGCACTTCGGGCCAAGCAAGCCGAGCTCAAGCTGGTGATGGACAAGCTGGCGAGGCTGGATGCAGACCTGCAGGTGCGGTTTACTCTCCACCGGAGGCACCCTTCCTTTCGCGTTCTGACACACCCAAAGACCCGTGGGTCAGTAGTCGTTAGGCGTCGCAAATTCAGAGAGCCACAAAGCGTTGTACTTGTCAAGTCTGTTCGTCCCATGTGCCGCATACGAACACGAGCCCTAAGTCTTTGCAAACGTATACGGTCCGGAAAGCAATGAATTAAAATAAAACCTCGAACCCAACAAAAACCCACAGGACAAGAAGCGCCGCAAGGAGAAGCTGGAGCACGACGTGCACATGTGCACGGTGAAGCTGGAGCGCGCTGAGAAGCTGATCAGCGGGCTGGGCGGCGAGAAGAGCCGCTGGACCACGGCGGCACGCACCCTTGGGGAGCTGTACGTGAAGCTGACTGGCGATGTGCTGCTGGCCGCGGGACAGATCGCTTACCTGGGCCCCTTCACGGCCATGTACAGGTGAGGGAACGGAGGAGGGAGGGACGATGACGAAAGCGACAAAGAAATCCAACCGTAATTCCGAACGCGGAGAGTAGGATTGGGAGGTTGGCGGAGCGATGATGGGAGTGCTGATGGGAAGGGCGGTGGAGCGGAGAAGACGGAAAGGGGATGGGATGAGATGGGTTTTGGAGTCTTGAAGTCCCTTGATTGCCTCCTGGATGGAGCACTGACCGGTACCGCAATGCCCCGGGGCTCCTGGTCGCGTACCGACCGTTGCGTGTGGTGGCATTGGATGGACGCAGGTCCACCGTGTTGGCGCAGTGGGTGGCGGCGTGCCAGAGAAGCGGTGTGCCCTGCAACGACCGGTTCAAGCTGGAGACCGTACTAGGAGACCCCGTCAAGGTGGGAGTGCGTCCCATGGTTGGAAAAGGAAAAGGGTCAGGACGGGCATTGGGAAGATGTGACCTTGCCATTTGCCATTTGCTCGGGTCAGGGACAGGGACACGGAGCGCATCCCAGCCAGAGCGTGTTACGGGTGATGTGCGCCATCATGCGCGCCATGATTATCGTCATTCTATTCTTCTCTTTCGTATATCTGAGATTGACGATACGCAGGATTGAATTCCACTCAGCGCGGTTTTCAGTTCGTCTCAGCCACACGCACTCTACAAACACGCTTGCGTGCGCCTGTGCGGCCCCCCTTTCCCGTGTCGCCCTCCCGTGTGGGTTCCTCCCTTAGATCCGGCAATGGAACATCTGGGGTCTGCCCAAGGACGACTTCAGCACCGAAAACTCCATCGCCATCGACCAGGGCCGGCGCTGGCCGCTGTGCATAGACCCGCAGGGACTGGCCAACAAGTGGATCCGCAACATGGAGAAGGAGGCAGGGTTGCAGGTGCGGGGCGGGGGGACGAGGCGGGTGGGATTGGGGTGCAAAATCGTATATTGTTCGGTGCGTCCTTTCCCCCCATCCTTCTTGGATTGTTGGTTTCATCGCCCGGTGGGGCCAAATATCGTGTACACGGAGTCTTTGCAGGAAACTACTGCTGTAGCAAATCTCCAGTGATCCTGATTAACTCGTCGTGAACTCTGCACCAACTCTCACAACAAACGTCCCTTTGCTGCGTGCCATGTCTACACCTCCACCTGTTGCTCCCCTTTCCCTCCCCCTCCCCTTCCCCGCCCCGACGCTCCAGGTCATCAAGCTGACGGACGCAAACTACCTGCGTACGCTGGAGAACGCCATCCAGTTCGGCAAGCCAGTGTTATTGGAGAACGTGATGGAGTCGCTGGACGCATCCCTGGAGCCCTTGCTACAGAAGCAGACCTTCAAACAGGTGTGCGGAGGTGATGGTGGTGGTGGTGGTGGTGGTGGTGGCGGTGGCGGTGGATGACACACCACAGGTGATGACCCAAACGAGAGGTGTAAAACGTGGGCAGCAGACGTGGGGGTTGAGGTGCACACGCATCTTGACGCCATGGCGTTTCCTTCCTCCTCCTTCTCCCTGGCATATCGTGCCCCTGAGCATACTGCTTGTTTATGAAACTGCTTGTTCATGAGTGCTTTGGCCCTCTCATGCCGCCAACAAAAACCCTCTTCGTTCATCATCATCATCTTCGCCTGGCTGCCCTCCTGCCATTGCCATCCCATCCCAATCCCATCCGCAGGGTGGCGCGATGTGCATTCGCCTTGGTGACGCCACCGTGGAGTACAGCGAGGACTTCAAGTTCTACATGACCACCAAACTGAGGAACCCGCACTATACACCCGAGCTGTGCACCAAGGTAGGTCCCCCTGCGCGCGCGCGTGTGTGAGAGGGTGTGTGTGTATGTGTGTGAGAGCGAGTGTGTGTGTGTGTATGTGTACGTGGGATAGAGCACTGTAATGCGGTTCAGCCTAACCTTTACCCTTCATTTCACTACACTTGCCCCCTCGCTCCCCCTTCCCCTTCCTCTCCCCCTCTCCTTTCCCCTCTACCCAACCAAACCCCCCCATCCAACCTATCGCATATCCGGGAAGCGGCTCCCTCCTACTCGAGGACATTACCGCGTCTGGTTCATATTACTACTTCCATTTGCCCTTTGCTCCCTTCCCATCCCCCATCCCGTCCTGTGGGTGCATTTGTCTTCAGTCAGGTCTTCAGATCGGAACATCCCATGTTATACACATATATGACCCTAAAACCCTTTCCTTAATCAAGCCAAACCAAGCAAACCGAACGCCATTTCACCCACTCGCCGCGCCCCACACTTAAGGAATAAATTACGACGACCCTAGCAACTTTGTTACTTAGGTTGGAATAAATTGAGACCTGCCCTAAATGAAAAAAGAATCACTGCCCCCACCTCGTCCCCTCTCCTCCTCTCCCCGCCTCCCGCCATGTCCTCTGAAGGTGAGCCTGCTCAACTTCATGACCACGCCCGAAGGTCTAGAGGACCAGTTGCTGGGTATTGTGGTGGCCAAGGAGCGACCTGACCTGGAGGAGGAGAAGAATAAGCTCATCCTGGTGGTAAGTGGGATGTGAGGGTACGGGGGAGGCACGGGGGTGTGCAGGCAATACACGGAGGGAGGGAGCGCCGATCCCAAAAAGGCCAATGCCAAATACGATTATGAGATCAGAGGCTGTGCACATGCGCACCTGTGTGCTTGTGCACAGGTGTTTGTCTGTATGGTGGTCTGTACGTTTTGGGGGTGCGGCTCTGTGTGTGTGTGTGTGTGTGTGTTTGTGTGTTCCGCGCGGTGCAGGTGCCATCTCCTTCGCAACCCCTTTACCGCTTACTTATTACCTACACCTGCAGGGTGCCGAGAACAAGAAGCGACTCAAGGAGATTGAGGATGAGATTCTCAGGGTGCTTTCATCGAGCGAGGGGAACATCCTGGAGGACGAGGAGGGTGTAAACATCCTGCAGGTATATAACGCGTGTGTGCGAGCGCTGCATATTACGTACGATACGCAGTTGCGTGTTGATACCCGACAAGGTCTGCGTCCTTCCTTTTCGGGAGCCGCGTGTGTGGTGCATCCGTGTACATGTGCGATTGCGATTGCGATCAGCTTTGCTTGCTTAGGGGCAAGTACTGTGGTATGTGGGGCTGACGGTCCTGAAGAAGGGGCTTCATCCTTTTCATCAAACATCCTGGTCATGCTCCTATTCCCTTAATAACCCTCCTTACATGCCCTCCACCTTCCCCTCTTGTTCCTTTTTCCTGCCCTCCTCCTCCGTACCTCCAACCTTACTCTTCCGCCCGACAGTCCTCCAAAGTTCTCTCCGATGAGATTAGCGAGAAGCAGCAAGTGGCCGACGTGACCGAGGCCAAGATCGACGAGGCGCGCGCAGGCTACCAACCGGTAGCCCACCATTCGTCCCTCCTCTATTTCTGCGTCACCGACATGGCCAACATCGATCCCATGTACCAGTACTCCTTGCGCTGGTTCGTAGACCTTTTCGTGCGCGCCATCGCAGACTCGCAGCGTTCGGATGACCTGGACGATCGGCTGCAGCTGCTGAACTCCTACTTTACGTACTTCTTGTATCAGAACGTGTGTCGGTCGCTGTTCGAGAAGGACAAGCTGCTGTTTGCGTTTGTGCTGGTCAGCAAGTTGCAGATGGATGAGCACAAGATGGCGGCGGATGAGCTGCGGTTCATGCTCACAGGAGGTGAGCGAGATGACGGGAGGGGGGATGGTTTGGGGGGCGGAGCGTCCTCCCTGCATGTTGCCGTCAAGGCTTTCCCTAGCTTTCCCTCCGCAGCCCGCCTCAAATCTCCACACACGGTATACCAAAACAAAATCACAGCTCGAACCCGAACTCACTCACCGTACCCTCCTTCCCTCCCCCCCTCACACACGCACACGCACTTGCGTATGGACGCAGGTGTTGCCATGGGCGACCTGCCCTCCCCTAACCCCGCCCCGGAATGGATCAGCGACCGCATGTGGGGCGAGATTGTGCGTGCCTCGGCCCTCTCCGCCTCCGCCACCTGGGGCGAACTGGCGGACCACGTGGCGGCCGACCCAGCTGCTTGGAAGCGCATCTACGACTCCCTGGAGCCGCACTTGGAAGCTCTGCCCGAGCCGTGGCAGTCAAGGTTGGACCCCTTCCAGAGAATACTGGTGCTGCGGACAATAAGGTACGGGGGCGGCTGGGATGGGTTGGGATGGTGGAAGTGAAGGCCATGGCAGGTAGTTGGTTACCGCTGCGGGAGGTAAGGGTATGTGTCCGTGGGGCCGTGGGCACGGATTTATAATCTTAACTACTCGAGGGACTGCTTCCCTAACCCCCTTTCCACCCATACCGACTTGTCGATCGCCGGAAACGCAAAAGATCTAAAGCGAAGCCTTACTCTGCCCGGCCCTCCTCCACCCCTTTTGTTCCCAATCACTTCATTCGCCGCTTCCCTCCAGGCCTGACAAGCTCATCCCCGCTCTGACTCTGTTCGTGGCGGACACCATGGGGAAGCGCTTCGTGGAGCCAATGCCCTTCGCCATCGAGCCCTCCTTCAACGACTCCACCGCCACCTCGCCGCTCATCTTCGTGCTGTCACCAGGCTCCGACCCCATGGCCTCGCTGCAGATGTTCGCCGACGACAAGGGCATCCGCATGGAGAGCGTCAGTCTGGGGCAGGGCCAGGGGCCCATTGCGCAGCGCTGGATTGAGCAGGGCATGGCAGAGGGCTTCTGGGTGGTGTTGCAGGTGTGAGGGGTTCGTTGTGGGGGCAGGGTTAGGGCACCGGGGACGAGGGGGTACCTAGGGGTAGGTGCATTGTTGGCACCTTGAGGTCATTTTTAGACCAACAGTCTCTGTGGCTTTCTTTCCTATCCCGCAATCAAAACCCGTGTTGGTCTTTTGAAAGTCGGTCTTCTGGGGTTTGCGCGGAATTCGGTCTCTTTTTATACGAAATTCCCGTTGGGCCATTACTTTCCCGACCCACATCCTTCTTCCGGACCCAAATCATCCTTAATTTACCCTTAACCGCAATGCAGAACTGCCACCTGGCCAAGTCTTTCCTCCCCACCCTGGAGCTAATTTGCGAACAGCAGCTGGTGGATGGGAAGGTCAACAGGAACTTCAGGTGCGCGCTGCACAATGGGCTCACAAGCTGATGGGTGGTGGACGAAAGGCGCTTATTTACAAGAAGGAGGAAAACAAGGGAGGAGGAACGGCAAAAGAAAAACGATTCATTGCTTTGAGAAAAAATGTTCGCCGTAGTGCCGAATCCACCCACCCACCCACCCGCGACAATGGACTCTCCTGTAGGCTTCCTCAGCTGCCGGCTCAAGAACCTTTTCCTTGAGAATTTGCCTGAGTGATTAGGCCTGTAGGAAAACCCCATTTACATATAATCTGTTGTCCTCCATTGCCCTCAGCACCCTTCTGCTCAGCCGCCTGACCGTACTGCTGCTGCTGCTATTTCCCCTTCCAATGCTACTGTTGCTGCTGCTGCTCCTGCAGGCTGTGGCTGACTTCCTACCCGTCACCCATCTTCCCCATTTCCATTCTGGAGAACGGCGTCAAGATGACTAACGAGGCGCCCAAGGGCCTGAGGGCGGGTCTGTTGAGAACCTACATGTCCGACCCCATTTCCAATCCGGAGTTCTTCACCGGCTGCGTCAAGGACGGCGAGTTCCGCAGCATGCTGTTCGGGCTGGCGTTCTTCCACTCGGTTGTGCAGGTGGGGAGTGGAGTAGGAGTAGGAGCGGGGAGTGGAGTAGGAGTAGGAGTGGGGAGTGGAGTAGGAGTAGGAGTGGGGAGTGGAGTAGGAGTAAGAGTGGGGAGTGGAGTAGGAGTAGGAGTGGGGAGTGGAGTAGGAGTAGGAGCGGGGAGTGGAGTAGGAGTAGGAGTGGGGAGTGGAGTAGGAGTAGGAGTGGGGAGTGGAGTAGGAGTAGGAGTGGGGAGTGGAGTAGGAGTAGGAGTGGGGAGTGGAGTAGGAGTAGGAGTGGGGAGTGGAGTAGGAGTAGGAGTGGGGAGTGGAGTAGGAGTAGGAGTGGGGAGTGGGGTGGAGTGGATTCGCCGTGCATTGGTATGGAGACGTGTGGTGGGGTGGGCAGATAGGACGTGTGCTGCGCGGAGAAATGATGTATATAATACAAGATATAACAACATTTTATGAGACGCAGGCTCCGTAACTTTTTATCCCTCGGTGGTGACTCGCGTCGCTCCTTTCCCGCAGGAGCGTCGCAAGTTCGGACCCATCGGTTGGAACATCCCGTACGAGTTTAACGAAAACGACCTGCGCATCTCCGTACGGCAGCTCCGCATGTTCCTGGACGAATACCCGGACATCCCATACGACACGCTCGCATACACGTGCGGCGAGTGCAACTACGGCGGCAAGGTACGCAACAACCTCCCTGCTCGCGGCAGCCGACGCGCTCCTGCTGCTGCTGCTGCTGCTGCTGCTCCTGCAGCAGCAGAGGTTGCAGGTGCTACAGCTCTTACTGTAAATTGCTGTTGCTGTCGTTTCATTGTCACCTTCACATGTCGCCCCCAGCCAGCAACCATCCATCATGTCCGAACACCTCACCCCACGCTTCCCTTCCTCCTTTGCCTTGTGCCATTATATTCCCTTCCACCACTATCAGCTATTGCCCACACATACCCCCTCTGTGGGGTTGTTGTTGCCCCGCTCCCAACCCCGTAACCCCGTCTCGTTTCCCCTCCTCATGGGTCATGGCGCCCTCCCGCCGCTTCTGCTGCCCCCCACCGCACCGCACCACACCACAGGTGACCGACTCCCACGACCGGCACACGCTGATGACCATCCTGTCCACCTACTACACACAGCAAATTCACGAACAGGGCTACAAATTCTCTGTATCGGGCACCTACTACCCGCCACCTTTTACCACCTACAAGTGAGTGTCTGTAATAGCCTGTAATAGCCTGTAATAGCTTGTATATATAGTCTGTAATAGCCTGTAATAGCTTGTATATATAGTCTGTAATAGCCTGTAATAGCTTGTATATATAGTCTGTAATAGGAAATCTAGGAGAGGCAGATCTACATGATTGCTGAGGCTGGCCTTCCGGCACGCCATCCGGTACTCGCCCCCTTGAACTTAAACCCGCCCTGCTACCTCCCCCCCTTGCCTCCCTCCTCTCTCCTCCTCAACCTCCTCACTTCTCTTACTCTTACACACCTCCTGCTCCCTTGTGTGCTCCGCTACCCCTCCTCCAGGGGCTATATGGAGTACATCAACAGCCTGCCCCTCATCGCTCAGCCCGAGGTGTTCGGGCTCCACGAAAACGCGGACATTACCAAGGACCTGCAGGTGAATATTCGCTGTCCCGGAATTTATTGACGTAACATGACTTCACGCAACATCATTTCTTTTACCCCCCAAATATAACCCACCCCCACGCCGCTGTCCCGGCACATGCTCTTCGCAGCTGATCGGTGCATATCCATCTCGCTGTTTTCGACCTTTCCAGACCAGCTTGGCCCCGGGTTGTGTACCGCCCTTCTCCGTTTCCCGACCCCGGAATGCAGTTTCATTTTCACGTTCGTCTTCACTTTATCCTCCTCCGCAACACCATTGCCATCCTCCGCCCTCTGTCTCTCCCTGTCCTTTCCCCGCCCTAACCGCCTGCAGGAGACCAACCTGCTGCTAGACAGTCTGATGCTGACTCAGAGCCGGGAGGCGAGTGGCGGTGCCGCTTCTTTCGAGTCTTCGGTGGGGGCGGTGGCTGCAGAGGTGCTGGGTCGGCTGCCTGCCAATTTCGACATCGAGGCGGTGGAGAGGCTCTACCCGCAGGACTACTACAATTCCATGAACACGGTGCTGGCGCAGGTAGGAGGGAGGTGTAGGCAGGGGGGTGTTGGGGATGCGGGGTGGAGCGAGGACGTCGGTTGGTTACTTGGTTTGGGTGGGGATTAAGGGTTTCGGAGCGGGGAGGTGGAGGGTATGGGGGTTGCGGGGCGGCGGTAGAAGCATAAGCATGGCGGAGGGTGGAATACGGCAGCATCCTTGCCTGGTGAGCAGCGACGCTGGCATCTCGCCCAAATTGCATTCATTCACCTTACGTAGCATTCAAGCTACACACATCCCCTCTTTCCCTCCTCCTCCCCCGTCTCCACCACTCTCCGCTCTACACCCCCTTCCCAGGAGCTGGTTCGCTTCAACAACCTGCTCACAGTCATCCGCACGAGTCTCAAGAACCTGGGCAAGGCCGTCAAGGGCTTGGCGCTCATGTCTGCAGAGCTGGATGCCGTGGGCCGGGCGCTGTTCGACGGCAAGGTACCGGGTCTGTGGCTGAAGAAGTCTTTCCCCTCCCTCAAGCCTCTGGGCGCCTACGTGAAGGAGGTGCTGGAGCGGGTGGCGTTCTTCCAATCTTGGGTGGACAGCGGGGCGCCCACCGTGTTCTGGATCAGCGGGTTCTTCTTCACACAGGTAGGGGGTGGGAAGAGGGGGATTGGGAGGGATGTTGGGGGGGAGGGCGAGGAAGGGGGTGGATGATGAGGGTGACGGTGATGAGGGTGTGTTTGGAGGCAGTGGCCTCGGAGAAAGTCTGCGTATCGATGTGTTGTGTGTCTGCCACGGCAAGGCTAGCCTGCGCTCTGTCTCCTCCAAGCTGCTCATTCCCTTCTCCTTAACCTTCCTTGCCCTCCTCCGCTATCCCCTGCCCAAGTGTACCTTGATCTCTGTAGCTTCATCCCTCATCTCCTCCAATCCCCTCTCCTCCCTTCCCTCCCTCCCTCACTCACCTCCCTCCCATCTTAGGCCTTCCTAACAGGTGCCAAGCAGAACTTTGCCCGCAAGTGCCGCATCCCCATCGACCACATCGACTTCGACTTCGAGGTGCGGGATCTGCCGGGCCAGGTGGATAACCCCCCAGACGACGGCGTCTACTGCTTCGGTTTGTTCCTGGAGGGTTGTCGGTGGAGCGTGGACATGCATGAGCTGGAGGAGTCCGAGCCCAAGGTCCTGTTTACGCCCATGCCACCCATCTGGATGGTGCCGCGCGAGATCACGCGCTTCCGTGTCTTCCCGCACTATGTCTGCCCGCTTTATAAGACCACGGAGCGACGCGGTGTGCTATCCACCACGGGCCACTCCACGAACTTTGTGTTGGATGTGCGGTTGCCTTCGAGTAGGGAGCCTGCGCATTGGACCAAGCGCGGCGTGGCGCTGTTGACATCGCTGAACGACTGAAAGGGAGGGTTAAGGTGGATCGTGGACTGTGGGGTGGGGTGGAAAAAAACGGCGAAGAGGGAAGAGAGGGTGAAGGGGGAGGAGGGAGGACGCAGGAGGAGGCGGGGAGGAGAAGAGCCAGGCGTGATCGAAGCAGGCGAGCGGGGCAATGGTTGGTAGGGAGAGAGGGAGGGTTAGAAGGGGTAAGGAAAGGGTCTAGGGGGATTCAACTTCTAAGAAAGGGAGATTAGTGGCCCTCACGGTTGTGCTCTATCTCTTCCAGTGGCGGGTCGCTCCGCCCCTTTCTCGTCCTGTTGTCCGGACAGGGCAACGAGCGAGCAGGTAATTAAGCGAGCGGGTGGGCGGCGCTGCCGCGCAAGCATGTGTGCATATATGTATGGGACTTGCGTGTACGCGCGTGTATCTATGTATGTTTACTTTTTAAGTACAGATGTTTTATAGTACTTGCGTGTTTGCAGCCTTGTCCGGAGGATGGCAGGAGGGGCCAGCCCCGGTGCGCCGCGTCGCTCCGGGGTGCAGCAGCAGCAGCAGGTATGTGCGCGGTCTACCTCCGGCGTAGGTGGGGCGGTGTCAAGAGAGGGTTTTAACCCGAGTCCTTGCTCCGCCCTGGGACTTACTGAGTTCAAAGGATAAGGACCGTGATGGCCGGCTTGGCTGGCTTGTTGCCGCTTGGTAAGCGTATGTCACGTGGTCTGCTGTCGTGTGGTCTGCTGTTATGTGCTGGTAGGTGATGCAGTGGGGAAGAAGGTGCATGGAGGAGATTATTGGGGCTGGGATAATGACGGGACGGGGGCCGGGGATTCGGCCCTGTCTACATACCTTGAACAGATCAAGACCGTTTGATGCACTGACTGACTAACTCAACTGTATGATTGACTACCGCGCGGTGCGAAAAGGGCAAAATGCTGCAAAGGAAACATGAACCACGGCATTGAACCCGCTGGGGAACGGATTGATGACGGATTGACGGCGGCGGAATAAGGTGGGGTTGGATGTGTGCCGTGTAGGCCTTGCACCTGAACTTGCTGGGCCTTTATTACTTTGCTCTTGAATATGAACGTATGAAAGTATTTTTGCACGTGTGCGGTTGTATGTGCACGTCTGCATGTATGTATGTTGCGTCTTTTCCTCCCTGAGGCTGGTGTGGGCGGGCAGGTGCGTGCCCCTGGGCCGACTGGCCCTGCAGCGACCACCTGACCGGCCGCGACTGACCTGGTGGAAGAAATCGCAATAGCACGCAAGGTGACGGAACGTAACATGATGCGAGCGAGATAATAACGGTAGCAGCAGGAGACATCCAAACGCAGGTGCAACTTAACTACATCCAACTCCCAACACGTCCGTAATGCCCATCGGGGGCACTTAGTATCGGCTTGTGTTCCTTAAGCACCACGAGGCGGTGCGGGCGGGTGGGCTGGCGGGAGGGAGGGAGTCCTGAGCGCACCGCATATGCGCTAGCCGGTTGGGCCTGGCTCAGCCAATCAAATGACCAACCAGCTATCCAGCTAGGTAAGGGCGCGGAAGGGGCCCCGTAAAGATCCTGCGAAGCTTCGGATTTGCAGGAAAGACGACTGAATGGCTCAAGCTGGGAGTTGGGCTGCAGAGCTGTTGGGCTTGGGCGTGTCGCCACATAGAAACCTGAATTAAAAATGAGGGCCTTGGGTGCTGGTCCGGGTGCCGGGTGCTGAGAGTTTGGCGGCAGCGCGTGGAGCCAACATGCTCAAGGGTGTCTCAGGCACGGTAGGTTGGGTTATGTTGTGCGTGTTTTGCGCACAACACACAACTCAGGGTTGCCATACGTGTTTCGTGACTCCCACATTCGTTATAAAACTTCTTCACATCATCGGGATGAAGGGCTCTTCGGAGGTTGATGTCCGCGTTGCATGATTCGGTGTCAAAGTAGACAAGCGAATTTGCCATACATACGGCTCCGTGGGTCACCGCTCCTCGGCTAGTTGGGTCTCATGGTGTGTTTGCGAATCTGTGCGTGGGTATTGGCAGAGAATATCGCTTTGCGTGTTACTGCGTGTTTGTGTGTACATGACAGAGCAGGTGATGAGAGGAGAGGTGATGATACATGACGAAAGGAAAGAAGGGGATATAGGCCGCAGGGCGCGCTTATGCTCTGAGTGCGTGCATGGGGTCTATGTACTCCTCCCATTGCGTGTCGCTCTTTCACTAGGACTTGGCAACAAGGTTGCCGTGCGCATGTTAATAACACGTCTTAAGGCTCTCCATCAGATTCTAGAGAAATGTGCTGGTATCGTGGGTAACCAAGCTTCAGGCTAGGCATATGAAGGGTGTACTTGTAGCGTACCGGTAAGTGGTTCCAAACACCCTGGGTGGCCGAGCGTTGCAGGGTATTGCGCACCGAGACAACGTCACTGCACGATCTCCGTCGTTGTTTATAACCCACCGAGTGTTTCCAGACAGATTTGTGCCGTTGCGATTCTCAGCTTGTTTATGAACACGCCCACATAGGAACCGGTGTCAATAAAAACTTCGCCCTTGCACGAACTCACACGTAGACGTTAGGCAAGTGGATGAGCACTCTTGCTTAAATCACTTTCAGTTTTAGCGAAATGTTCTCCTTAAGACGGATTACCATAGAAATGCCAGAAACATTACAAGTTTAGCACTAATTGATTAAAATGCCTCCCAAACGTAATGGAGCCGAGATCCAACGTGTCGGAATTGGAAACTTCCGTTTCAGGAATGCATATGCGCTGTTAGCTATGTGAAAGGAACTGGCTCCAGTTGGCGACTGGAGGAAGCATTAGTTCCTAACCTGCCCGATCTGCAGAGCCCGACATCAATCGCTGACTGAGAGACAAGGAAGAGAAGAATACTAAGCTTACAAATAATGGTGTAGGAATGCCTTAAATAGTCTGGCAAAGCCTTGCACGACACAGAGTCGTACCGATCAAAGACAAACCATACGTACTCGGTAACGAACACAAATCCCTTACATTTCCCCGGTCTTTCAAACTGCAACGTCCTCGTTGCCATTACAGACGCAAGCACAAGGTTCCCTTGCATACTGCAACTCACTGCTTTCATCACAACAGTGGGCATGCTCAGGCAACTGCACCCCCATACAATGCCATGGCATGACTACATATGGGACTCAGACAGCTAACCACATAAGGCAAGGTGTTCCAGCTAAGGAAAACCCAAAGACAACATAGCTTGGCTCAAATGAAACGCATGACTGTGTGAGCTCCGGAATGATTGCATCTACTGCACACATAAGCACACATGAGAACTCGAAGGAAAGTAAGAACGGAGAATCTCGTGAAGGTGATGGTAGGTCTCTTTTGAGCACTCGGCTGGGCGCCCCGGTCGACTTGAGCCAAAACACAGGGGCACACCGACACAAGGGCCAACATCGAGCTCCATGGCATGATGAGATGTGATGGCCTTTAGCGTGACGTTGGATCGACGACGAAGATTACGAAAACGATTGAACTCGTGAAACGTGGGGTACGCAAGCATCCAGTCGCTGTCAACCCGGTGCACTCCTGCCGTGGAGGCTGCTGCAACACGAGCACGCATACAACCTACACGACGGGCAGGCATACTGGCGACCAGGGCACGGCGATTAACGTTGAACGAACGAGGTAGACGGCGGGTTGTCAGCTTCCGCAAACGATAGAAGCAAACGGATATGGCCCATTCTTGAGCCCGAAACGAACGTGAAACTGCAGTCCAGCGCAAGGTGTCCAAACTTGGCCGACTGTCGAACGACGGTAAGGCGTTCTGATCCAACTGAAAAGGAAAGAGCTCCGATTTCAAGTTGTGACACCAACTGTTACACTCGGAGTGGAGCGACTTGAGCCGACTTGCACACAACAGTAGCGTACAAAGCTGAATGTCAGTACCGAAGAGCGATGAACCCGGTAGTTACGAGATGCGGGTGAACGACCGGCAACACGGGCCGGCAAACAAACGATCGTGCGGTGGCGCGAAGTGCAAAAGCAGTGACGATGGGAAAACAGCTCCAATACGGACCGAGGCAGGATTGAACCTGGTCTCGATACCATATGAAAGGAACTGGCTCCAGTTGGCGACTGGAGGAAGCATTAGTTCCTAACCTGCCCGATCTGCAGAGCCCGACATCAATCGCTGACTGAGAGACAAGGAAGAGAAGAATACTAAGCTTACAAATAATGGTGTAGGAATGCCTTAAATAGTCTGGCAAAGCCTTGCACGACACAGAGTCGTACCGATCAAAGACAAACCATACGTACTCGGTAACGAACACAAATCCCTTACACTATGCATAATGCATGACAGTATCTTATGCCGTATGTCCCGAATGGAAGCACGCTCTTCGTTACCGCGGTCGACAGCCACTGCTACTGGGACTTACCAAACATGCCGATATGTCTGCAGCATCCCTAATATTTCTTCCAGTTCGGATATTGCAACGGAGTTACTTCGATGGGCGGAGGCGAGCAGCGAGCCCCTCCACTTTCCTGGTCTGATGTCGGGATGGCCTGCTTTAACGCTCTGGAAGGGACCTAAAGGCTTTACCCACCTGAAGCAGCTAGCAGGAAATGCTGAAGTGCAGGTTTGTTCTACAGGCGCCTCAACCCTGGCTTTGGCACTACGCACTCGTACAACAGCCAGCAGCCCCCTGGCTGCTGCCAGTGGAAAATTTACGTGCGGGTGCCTCCCAATCGTGAATTCTCCAGAAAGCGTACCTTCATGGGGATCTAGTGTTAAAATTCCGGCAGTTTTATTTGTTGATTGATAGCAAACTACTCTTGTCTTCTTTTGCCTTCCTGGACACCAACCAAAGATACCCCTCGACATGTATCCATCACAGCTAGACCAGAGAAGTGTAATTGTCTTAGCTTAGGCGTGTGCGCCTGTCAAAGGGCATGCATCTCGGAGCGTGCTGTGGCTCGCTTCCCCTCGTCCTAGTTACCCAGCCGTTCAATACCGCTGCCGAGCTCTTTCTTGTATCACAACCAATTACTCGTACAAATCTGCTGCCGTATACAGGTAATGACGTCAAGCTCCTGCGTCTTCTTCGGAGACATATCCCGACACCAGCCCGCTACCACGAGCTTTGGACAGATGCTCGATGTGTTAGAGTCCATGCCGCAGCCCCCGCATCCTCTGTCAACCCAGGCCCCACCGCCGCCAGCACCCCTAGCAGCACCCCTGCCGCTGGAAGGGGCAGCCGCCGCCGCCGGTCCTGGTTGCGAGGCAGGCGCATGTGACGAGGCGGACGCGGAACAGCGTGACAACGGCAGACTTAGCGACGGCAGCAACAGTACCGGTGGCCTTGGCGGCAGCAGCAGCAGCAGCAGCAGCAGCAGCAGCGGGAATGGCGATGGTATGAGCAGTGACGCCAGCAATAGCAGTAGCAGTCCTAGCAGTAGCAGCAGCAGCTTGCGCGACGAGGACGCGACTGGCGATGGGGCAGCTGATGAGAGCGCACGCCGCCGCATCCATGTATACCTTGCCCAGCAACCGCTTGCTGAAGGTGAGAGGAGGTGCTTGCCGTTGTCGTACAGTGCCGTACGGCAGCGCCTAGGGAATTCGGTGTGGCCACCTTCGGACATCATATTCTGGAGCTTTGCCGGTCCCTTGACGGTGCTGCTGGGGTTGGGCCGGCTGCCAAGGTGTCGCAGTGGATGGGGGTTTCGGAGCTCGGCCCATTTTTAACGTAAAGTGAATTCTGGGTTGGAAAGCTCGACGGAGCCCAACATCTTCTGCAGCCCACCAACCGCGAACCACCAACCACCAACCGGTCGGGAGGTCCTCTCCTAACTCTGATTGCCCCCATAACTACCGACCTTCCTGTCTGCAGCTTTCCAACACACACACACACACACACACACACACACCCTCGTGTCTTGCAGGCCTCGCACGCCTTCAGGCCGATGTGCCCACGCCTGGCTGCCTGCATGGCAAAGACATTACAGCCGCCAACCTGTGGATGTGCGGCGGGTAGGTTAGCGGTTCGAACTGGCGACTCGGTATGGCACGGTTGGGTTGTAAGTGTAGCTGCAAAAAAATTATATATATAGATTTTACGGCTTGTATGGCAAAATCCTGTTACCGCGCCGACGTCTCCTTTGCTTGTCGTACTCCAACGTCCTGTCCTTCCAGATGCGGCATTCCTTGCCCCGTGTTCTTTTGCCGTACTGAATGGATGAGATTCACGGCAGCTAAATTAATTACCTTACTTACCTGGTGTACGACACTTTGTCGCACAGGGCCGTACGCTCCAGCCTTCACTACGACCCGCACCACAATCTGCTGGTAGTGGTTTCGGGGCGCAAGGTGGTGACTGTCGTACCGCCGTACCTCACGCACTGCCTGTACCCCATGACCCTCACAGGTGAGCTGGGCGAGTGCGGGCTGGGGAGTTGGTTAGTTGGTTGGTTGGTTGCGTGGTTGGTTGGTTGGCTGTGAGATTGACAAGCACGCCTCTCTTTGGTGAGTAACGCAACGCAAGGTAAGGTGTCACACCCATGCAGTCCATTAGATGTACGTCATGGTTAGTTAAACTTTGGTTATTGGATGTACGGATACATCGAAAAAGATTTGGCGTTACACTTGGGACGAAACATGTTAACCTAGGGGCCTTATCCACCCCGCTGCCATGAGCCAGGTGACGCCCCCAACCACTCGCAAGTGCCCTTTTCGGACACACAGCCCCCCGCACAACACCCGGCCTACCTCGCGGCGCTAGACGCGGCTGCGGCGGTCGAACTTCAGGTGCGTAAGGACGTTGGCCGTTGGCCGTTAGCGTTTGCTGACAGTTTACAGTTAGCTGAGGCGGTTGAGCGTTAGGCATGGCGCAGGCATGATGTGGGCGATGGCGCCGGAAGGCTGGGTGAATGTTCGAAGGAGAAGGGGACCTCGCTTACATCTGAAGCGATATGTATGTACATATGTACGTATGTACGCAAGTTGCTTAGGCTGCCTAGGGCAACACACACACACAAAACTAGTACACACCGAAACAGCGCTGCTCGCATTCGCGCATGCATGCATACATGCAGGCAGGTGATGCGCTGTTCATTCCAGAGGGCTGGTGGCACCAGGTGGGGATGAGTGTGGGAGGGTGTGGGAGGGTGTGGGAGGGTGTGGGAGTGGGAGCGAGGATGACCTCCCGGGCTCAGGATCGGGGGTGGGGCTGGAGATCGCAAAGGCCCCCAAGAGCTCAGGCCTCCGACACATGGGGTTTGCTGGGCGGTCGTGCGCGACGATGATGTACAGCGGGAGGTAAAACAGGTGATAGTAAAACACTGTGCGCACTTTATACCATGCGGATGTGTGTGGGGGGCTCTCGGCCGCAGATGGTTTCCTACGGTAGGCTGGCATAACCAGGCACCGGAAAACAATGCCCACCCAAGCCCCGACCCGTTAGGTACCCCATATTTCCAAATAAGGAAACCTCCTAGTAGGATCCGCAGGCGGGTACAGTCTTATTTAGGAATTATTTTCAAGGTGCGACAGCAGAGAGACATAGAGAGAGCATTCAGAGAGCATTTATGCAACATGCGAGGTGGCGCTCGCAAAACCACGTCATAAGACGCGTACCGTGAGGTGCCTGACGCGACCCCAAAATCCGAGCCCCCACTCTTAATGTTTCTCCTGCCTCCTCCTCTTCCTCCTCCTCCTTGTTCTCCTTGTTACCAGGTAGATAGCGGCCCCGAAACCACAATCGCTGTCAATTACTGGTGGCGGTCCGCTCTGACGCAGCTCCTAACGGCCCCACCGCCGCCGCTGCCGCCCGCTGCGCTAGCTGCAGCGATGCTCAGCGCCGAGAATTCCCCTCGCGTCACTGTGCCGTACCGTCCTTCCGTCACACCACCCTCGGCGGCGACCTCGGCCCTGGACGCAGCGACAGCGGCAGCCGCGACGGATGCAACTTCACCCGTGCCACCGTCACCAAAAGTACCAAAGGCAGCGGGGCCGGCAGCGGCGGCGGATCCGCTGGTCATGGGCCTCTCGTCGGCGAGGCCTGCTGTGCTTTCCGCATCCTCATCTTTAGCAGTAGGTCCTGGACCCGGGCTCCGAAACCTTTTCGCACTGCGGCAGCTCGCGCGAGCTGCCATTGAGGACATAGCGGAGGGACTCCTGGCGTGCGTGGCGCCAGCGCATGTGCCAGCGGGGCCGCCGGCGGAAGGGCTGCCCAGCGACGTGGCTGAATCCATGACGGCAGCAGCTGCCGTCGAGCTGTTGTCCAATGCCGTACGACGAAAAACGGCACCGGCGGCAGCTCGTGCTGATGGTGCGGCGGCGGCGCCGTCGACGGCTGCAGTACCCGAAACGACGACGGCGACGACGGCGACGGCGGCGGCGGTGGCAACAGCAGCTCCAAGGCCGCTACTGCCGTACGCAACCGGGCTGCTGCTGCGGCTAGCCCCCGGCGAGGCTGCGTCGCTCGGGCTCCTCGGCAACCCCGTAGCTTCCGCCCTGGCGGCTCTGACACCGGAACTGTTGGCGGCCGCGTTGGACGATATGTGCCGCACAGCACCATACCTTGTTTCGGAGCTGTTGACTTGTTGCTGCCGTGTCGCGGCGGTGGCGTGCCTGCTGACGCGCGCGTTTGACCAGATGGGTACGGCATCGGACCCAGCGGCGGCAGCACCGGCGGTGGACGCAACCGCTGGCCCAGCGGTAGCGGCAGTGGCGGCGCCAGACACAGCGACGGGTACGACAGTGACTGCTGCGAACGGACACGGAATCACGGACACGGAAGAGGTCACTGAACGCGGAGATGTCGGGCGTACTGCCGCGTGCTGTGGGAAAGCTTCCGCTGCTACTGCAACTATTGCTAGTGCTATGGTTACTGTGGATATAAGTAAGGTGGGGGCTGTCGGCTGCTGTGGTGGAGTCGTCGAAGGCGATAGCGGCGGTGGCGGAGGGGTTGATGGCGGCGGCGGCGGCGGCGGCACCTTCCCGGCGGGCGGCAGCCGTGCGGACGGGGTTTCGGAGGACCGGCCGGCCAAGCGGCGCCGGTACGGCAGCGGCATGGGGCAGGAAGCGGAAGACTGCAGGGGACGTGTGGCGGGGGAGGCTCCTGCTGCGCGCGCGAGCAGCGGAGGTGATGGTGGGAACAACTTGCGGAGAAAAAGTGGCGGCACAGATGCTGCAGCTGACCTCGCCGCCCTGAATGACGGCGGCGGCGACGCCGGCGCGTTCGTACCCAAGGGCTTCTTTGCGCGACTGTACGGCACTGTAGACGATCCGGATGAGGTCGGTGGGTTGAGTGAGCTCTGGGCTTGGATGCGGTGTGAACGTGTTGGGCGGCCTGCCCTGTGTTTGTCACCGGTTGTGTTTTCCTGCATTGCTAAACTGTTTTTTTCGCCTGGCTATGTAATATGTATTGTCTCGTAGTGCATCGTCTGTCGTTTCCTTGGTACGAGAGTCAAAGCTGTTATCAACAATGACCCATAAAGAAGGAAAATGACATATCCAGCCGGATTACCGGATGTGTGTATGCCCCTTGATGTTGCTCCTTACCTGAGAGGTTTCCCGCCCGGGGGCTGAACCACCTTCGCCTGCCTTGGTGTTCTCACGCACCCGACTTTCCCGTACACCGTACATCGTACACCGAGCTTCAACCATCCGCCCTCTCTTCTGGCAATTCGGACCCTTCGAATCTTGGAGTCGGCTTTGCCTCGATTTCTTCCTTTCTTCCATTCCCCGTCTTCAGCACGTGCCTCTGTTCCCCGCACCAGTTGAAGACCGCCTCGCTGTGTGTGTTGGCTGGTTCGCTGTGTGCTGTTCTCTTCATACGGTATCACTCCTGCGGTTCCTTAGCTGACCATAGCTGATCCCCACGACCATGGAGTGTGCTTTTCCTGACTGACTGACTTCTTTCCAAGAATCCATTGAATGAGAACCTTTCCTAATTTGGCTACCTGGGGACGAGCCTCAGTAAGAATGTGAATCCATGGAACCAGGTGGGCTCCCCGGCATCTCGCCAGACTTTGCTGCTGCTTGTCGCGACAGGGCGATCGCCCGTCCTCTTGGTCCGGCTGGCGGTGTGCTCGCAGGTGTTTCAACTGCTCCTGGACGGTCGTGCCGCTCTCAACACCGCCGCCCGGAGGGTCCTGCTGGAGTCCGTGCTGGCCTGACGGGCTCTTTGGCCCGATAGTATTTTGCTCTAGCGAGTGCTGCAGACACCACCAGCGGTGCAACACGGGCACCAATATACTACCGCATTCACGACCGCAACATGTGTGACTGTGCGACGTCTACATGTGACTGTGCGACTGTGGCGTACACTTTCATATGATAGATGGCGCCTTCCGTCGGCTTGCATATGTATGACTTAGATTACACTGTGGGCCGCGAGAGCCGGGGGCCGAAGCCGAAACACAGCGCAAGGGTCGGGAGCACACAGCACAAGTCGGTTAGTCTTGTGTGCTCCCGACCCCGACTCAGACTGCCAACACTCTACGCAGCCACTCCGCAGCCCCTCCATCCGGGGATGGCGCTGATGTATGTATGTATGTATGTATGTATGTATAACTTTGGTTACACTGTGGGCCGCGAGAGGCGAGGGCCGAAGCCGAAACACAGCATGCATGTATGTATGTATGCGTGTGTGTGTTACACCGTCGAGTGTGTTAGTCTCCGAGGGCCGCATGAGGCTGACGGGTGCCTTGAGGGGAAAGGGGGAGCGTATTCCCATGTGTACACAGGGGGGGCCCGGGGGCCGGGGGCGGCAGATTGTGCAGGACAGGGGCATGGACAGGGGCATATTCTGTCAGGGTTGTGTCAGCGAAACGAGTTGTTCGGTTTACACATGTTTCCTTGCAAAATGTGACATGGCATGTGTTGAGAGTTGTGTGCCTTGCATGTGTGGCTATGAGCAAGGCACACATGTGCCATAAGCCAAGTGTCAACTTGGCTAGTGCCACGTCAAGGTTCGGGCTTCATTTCTTGCATGGCTCAGGCAGTTTAACTCATGCTATCGCTGCACTGTCCCTTATAATTTTAAAGTTGTCTTACACATACAAACATACATACAAACAAACACGTACATAACACATGAACGATCGCTTTGCAGACACGACGTGATATCAATGCGTGTCATGTGGGGAATGGGATTGACAGACTTAAAGAATCGTTCGTTAGACATGGCAGAAAGAATCGCTCGTTATCATCGCCTCTTTTTCTGCCTGTGTGCACCTGGCGAGCGACTTTACGCATGTATACTCAAAACGGTGGCTGTCAGGCATCACACATCCATCGGCGGAATGGGAACGGTACGGCTATCCAACAATGTAAGGTGCTGGGGACCTTCATGGGACACACCTCCACTCCAGGGAAGGTGCTGCGAGATTGACAGACGGACAAGAGACAGACAGGCAGACAGACAGACAGATAGGCAGGTATGTGTTTATTATATTATTGTACTATCCACTTCCCCCTTGTCCCTTATCAAGTTGTCTCGCAAGCACCCGCCCTCAGGATCTCCAGCCACATCAGCAACGCCAAGCTATCTGGTCCCCGGTCCAACACATCCCCCAGCTGCACCAACACCGCGTACCCAGCCGACCACTGCCAATGTCCCCGCTCCTGCCAGGCTTTCTCCGCCTCCGAAGACGACTACGACCACGACGAGGAAGAAGTGGTTGTTGAAAAGCGGTTACCAGTGTACTTTCTTAGGATGAGCTGTGCTGTGATAAATAACGGCAAAGTAAGCAGGCTACTGCTCAGAAGAAAGAAACGACGTCGCAGACGAACTTAACGGAGCAGTTATAACAAAGTACTGGATTTATCTCCTCCGGTTGACATCTGCGTCAAGGAGAGCATTCTGGAAGTCGCTGCGATCCGTAACTTCCCCAGCCCGGCCCGCCATAAGGTGCAGCATTTGTTTCGGATTGCCCTGGATATTCCATTATGCCTTTCAAACTTCGTCGACTATCGGATGGCAATTTAATAACCGACTTAACCGATTTGGAGCACCAGGCTTCACTCGTAACCTTTCAAGACAACAATGAATAAACTCAAGAGCTAATTGTACTTTCGTAGACATCTTACATATTGCACAATGTTATGCCTATGGACACCTTCGGGGAAGCTGGCGTTTGCTTGTCGACAGCTGAATTTTGCAGTGGAACATAATTCTTAATCGAAGCTTTCATTCTGTAAGTAATATCCAAATGATGTTACCTGTATATGCTGTCAATGATAATATATAGAATTAGGTAGCCATCAAGTATTTATCGCACCGTACTCTGGAACACCATGTACTGCTGCTGGGGTCTGTACGTGCTCTACACCCCGTAAAGTAAGCGTTCGCCATGTCTTACCACTGACCCACTACACGATCTTCCTGTAGAACCCTGATTTCACTTGGTTGAAGCATGGCGCGACCAGAGCTGCCGAATGTTGCCACCCTACCCCTGCTACTCCTTGCGGTTTGGTGAGTCGGTGTTAATGCAATCTTCATCCTCGTCTTGAACTCTTCTTTCATTAGGACCCTGAGTGCTCCTTCGTTGCTTTCGCCTGCCGGAATGTTTTGCATGTTTAATAACCGTCATCTTGTAATATCTGACACCGATTTACTAACCATTAAAAGAAGAGGAAGCAGCTAAGCCATGCACGGATGGTGATGTGCATGACATGGTTACTCGATTGTGACGCTGCTGCTCCAACACCTGCATGGTTGTTAACATCCATGAAAGATGCGTCTTAATTTCTAATGGACATGCAAAACTTCTTTGTAGGTTGATGGCGGGCGGAGCCATAGCCGGCGACACGGCCTGTAGCAAGGTCTGCTTGGCCTTCGAGTTCATGGCCCCGCCGACCCCTGCATACGCCTATCCACCCCTGAGCTTCTTTTATGGCAGCAATGACAACATTTGCTACGACGCAATTGGAAACATTACAGCTTACTTAGACCAGCCGCTCTTCAAAGCTGCGGATTCGGGCCTCATCTCCCAAATGGTCTCTGGCTTCGCTGGCGGGGATCGTTCATGCGGGCCCAACAGCATAAAGTGGTGTGCAACGTTCGCCTCCCAGTCGGATGCGGTCACCATGCAGGAGACCGTCCGTCGGGGTGCAGAGCAGATCCTGAACAACTTCTTCTGTCCTGCTGTCCCCGGTGGATACGGCTTCCGGGCTCGCATCTCCACCTCCACCTCCACCTCCACCTCCTCCTCAGGCGGCAACTGCCTACCCCAGCTGGATGTCAGCGCCGTGTGTCAGCCGCTACGACCGCCCTTTCCAAGTTGCGAGTGAGCCATGGACGGAGGCACGGCTACGTGTTATTGCAATCTATTAGATTACTACTATTAGATTACGCCGGCTGTAAGACTGACATGTGTTAAGGGGAACAAGGCAATGAGGGTTTCTATCCCCCATAATCCACTATGCATTGAGCACGGACACATACGGGTACATACACATGCCTGTGGGGTTATTGTCTTCCGAGGGAAAGTGCCTCGCAAGATGTGGACTGATACACAGCCTGGGTGAGTCCACCAGCAGTTACCACTGGCCTACTTATGCCGTGAGCAGGGCACGTGTTTATTGTACTTGCATACATTGAAACACATGATAAGGCCCACACGCGCCCATGCATACGCGTGCGTGAGTGTGGCATCCAGACATACACCCGAAGCGGAAACCAACTCAGCTACCTACCTACAAACTACTCCGCATAAGTGCACTTGCACATCTATACACGATGTGTGTTATAATACTACTACATAGGCATGGGGCACACCGTATTTCCGGCGCGGTGCACGAATGTGTACTTGCATTCGCACATTCATGTTCGTGATCTGACATGTTGCATGAACCTTCATTATATATGAAGGCGCGCAAGGGTGATGCCAGCCGCGCTCCGACGGTGCGTGACCACTCAACTACTGTCACCGCCGGCGGCTCCACCTACTCACGCATAGCATCTGCATGTTAGTCTATCTCCATGGATACCCTCGCTGCCACATGTACATGTACATGAGCGTGCGTATGCATGGCTTTTAGGGTTTGGGTTTAGGGTTTAGGGTTTTGGTCCAAATTTGTTCCAAACCAGCTGGGATGATCCCCTCGGTGGTGTATGAATCCATCAGGTGCAACAAGAAGCGAAACGTCACACCTCTGCGCCTCGTTTCCTTCCCTGTCATCGAGCCTGGTCGGACGAGCAAAACCACCCTGTACTGCTTTAGGATCGGCAGCAGCAGACCATCAGTACCACCGGTAAGAGAGCAACTGTTGGCTTCACTATTCCCACCTGTCTATACCGCGCGTAGTCGCCATTACATTACTTTCACACTGATTTCACACCGAGCTACTGCAGTAATAGTGCACGATTCCTGTATGTCGTGATTCCGGTATGTCGTGATTCCTGTTTGGTAAGTGCTACTGCTGAACATCGTGATGCGATGACGATATCGGCGTGCAACGGCATGTAGCTAGCATAGCACGGAGAGGTTGGAGGTGAAGCCTGCGTAGCCGGGTTACTGTAATGAACTTGCTTTCCGCCGCAGGTTAGGACACTGAAGGGTTTACTTGCGTATCATTTATTACACGGGGATCGATGCTTCAGAAGGAGCATCGATCGCTCACGTCTCAAATGGCCGCCCCTGTAAATCTACCTAAATGGCTTGATTGATTGCAGAACCCGTGTACATCTACATACCTATTGAAGGCGGAGATCTGGGCAGGTGTGTAGACGCAGGGGGGAGGGGCACTCCGCTGCTGAGTTTTGCGGGCGATACCGAGCAGTGTGATTGCGTCCCCGCGCGCTTGCAATTGCTTCATATCATTGCGGCTCTGCCTCCAAGCTTTTATGAACCTCAGCCTAGCTAGATACTCCACGCGCAAGCTACACAGTCTGGAAGCTCATTGAACAACTGATACTGCTGCTTATAATAGCCACGCTGAATGGCTGCTGGTTGCTGGTCACATGTACAGCTTTTTTTCTTCTTCATACCCTGGCACACATATGCGGCTTGCTTATTGGCTTGTACTTGACGACTCGACCACATCCGGACTCGACCACATCCGCTGGTTGCTCCCCACTCCCCGCTCGGACATGCACACCCACTCATCATCGTAATTTGCGACAGTGCGTTACTAGGAGTTCGCGAACAACGAACGAGCATGCATACTGGTAAATGCAAGCAGTTTGGTTACTGGCTATGCCAGCTTGTTGAGACACCCAGATATACACGCCCGGCGTGCACGCCTGCGTGCGTGCCGGGCTTACAACTGGTGCGTGGTGGCTTTAGCCTTGAGGTTATATATCGCCGTATCTAGCCGGCCTGACGTCTGTATGTGTGGCTGTCCTGGCTTCTGCCTGCCGCGCTCTTATCTATTAATGTATATGTAATGCAGACGACACCAAGCGCCGCGCTGTCAGGGGCACTCGAACAACCAAGTACCGCGGCGATCCAGTCTGGGGATCGCCCTCCTGGATGGCCTTCGGCGAAAACACACTGAAAAGTAAGGGCGACGTAGTCATCAGTTAGATAGCTATAGCTGGTACCTTTGGTTACGTAAGTTACGTCGTAGCTAGGTTGATTAGTGTTTCTCGATTGTTTTCATCTAGCGCGTCATGCGTATGCATGTGTCAGCGGATTGATGTACGCAACTGCCGGCCTGACTAGCTACTGGTGTCCACGCGTGTATGTGTGCATGTGCGTGATTATTGCGGGCGTACGCTACGCCCGTCTGCACGCAGACACGTTATATGCATGCTGCTCCTAGCATATGTCACAGACGTGCGCGTGGTGGTGGGAAAACAATTACTTGGTTCATTTTGTGAAGCGTGCGTGCGATAAATAATTTTTGTTTTTTTATATATAAATGCACAGACAGCTCTCACATACATCCAGTCCTGCATGGTTAAGCCTTGCTCACACGCACAGAACGAGAGTATGTGTGTAGTATCCTGGGTATCACGGGATCTAGCATCCGCCGATTGGTTCTTTTTTTCCTGCGATAAGACGTGATACAACATGGTGCGTGTGTATGTGCTGCATTAATACAACGCCATACCTACTTCCTGGCTGGCTGCTGGTTGGCTGGCTGCAGTTACTCCGTTAAACTGGACCATGTCTGAGGCTGTGGGAGGCGAGATCTGCATCGAGATCTCCAACGAACTCCAACAGCTCTCAGATCTTTGCATCGGAGGCTCTTGGTGCGTGCGCGTACCTGTACCTGCTGCATGTGTGCGATGATGGAATACATACATACATACATACTTACACCATTATCAGGTGGCGCACAATAATGCACGCACGCCTCCATGCATTCCCTATTAAGAACAGCCCTTAGCTCATTCGCTCTCTATCTTTATCTAATAGATCAAATAGCGAGAGACAGACATGTAGGAAATAAAACAATGGAGGCTGCGTCTGCCTGGAGTTGAATGCACGTAATGGGGAAAGCGAACCCAAAGGGAAGCTCAGAAACCCACAACCCCGGGGGAGTTTGCCATTAGACTCCCCAATTGGGCCAGGAACAGTGCCGGGTCGGTGTTTATGGCTGCAGCCATATATCGCCGCCCGTGCCCCATAGCATGTGTGTGTATGTATTTGTTACATGCATATCAATCCGGGCCTGACACTGGCCAGGGGCACCCTAACCATACCCCAACGGGAACGACCGCCGAAGCATATCTCCTCCTATGCCTGTATGCCTGTATGTATGTTTTTATGTGCAGCTACGTCAGTCTGTTCAATGAAGACAAGAGCTGCTGCCCAACCTACCCCGTGGCGACGGCGCCGAGCCCGCCGCCACCGGACTACTACACGACATTTCCGTAATCTGCCCAACTAGCTGCTGCTGCTGCTGCTGCTGCTGCTGCTGCTGCTGCTGCTGCTGCTGCTGCTGCTGCTGCTGGCGACCACAATCACCAGCTCCACATGCACACTACTTGCTACGTATCTGCATGTGGGGGAACGAATAACCAAGCAAATTTGGCTGATTAGCAGCAGATTGCAATGTCATTTTCGCTCCCAGGAAAGAGCTTTATTGTTTATTAAGTATGCCACCGCGAGCACTGACCTAAGCGATATGTACGTATGTATGTAATCCTATATATGGCATGCAGGAAGTTTTATGCCATGTGTGTGTATGTGTGTGTGTATGTGTGTGTGTATGTGTGTGTGAGTGTTACATGGTCGTGGGGTGGGTTCCCCGTACCTGCAAACCGCCCAATGTGTGGATGTAACTTCTGTTTCCTGCCGCAGCTTACTTACTGGCTTCATCTTTACTTCCTGCTGCGGGTGGACGATGTTTGACGGATAACCTATTATCACTACTGATGCCACTGGCGGGGTGGATGGAAATACTCCCAAGTATATGTTGTCGTGCAGGATGGCGAGATGCGTGAAGTCCATGAGAGTGTATGCATGCGCGGCGGGGCGGGTTGGGCTGGTTGCTTCGGACATGGGCGAATTAATGCGTGTGTGCTGCTGCGATGATTTTCGGTCTTGTTCATTCCTTCGTTTCTTATCACTCGCTCCTCTTCGCTGGCTGGGCGGCTTGCAGGCTGGCTCCCTGCTGTTGTACGTATCTATGTATGGCGTGCGTACATATGCAGGTGCTTCGTGAAAATAACACGCAATGTATATGTCGATCAGGTCGTGATGGCGGCCGCGGAGGCTTACACATATATACTGACGGTGCATGCAACGTCGTACCCTCGTCCGATATATACATTCATAACAGTGTGAGTGGTGTAGTATTATAGATTTCGCGTTCCGGATCCACATAGCGCCCAACGTGTGCATGTGTTCTCGCAGGTTGCTTGCAGCAGGTAGATATAGGCAGGATAGCAGATAGATCATGCCCTAGTATAATAGATACGGACGCCCGTCCCTGTCGTCTATGGAGTTCTGGTGTAATAGATAGGCGGGCGGCCCTATTTGTTTTGTTAGGGCATTGGTCGATCTATAGAGACAGACGATGAAAAAGTTTAATGACGCGCTAAAAAGTTCAATGACGCCGTGTGTAGCTGTAAATGATTGTGAAGCAAACATGCAAGAGTTTCTTGCAGATAGGCAGTGATTGCCTTCTGGTTTACTACTCGGGCATTTTTGTGGCTTGGGTATACATGCATTTATAATTTTGAGCTTCATCGTCTGTTGCTTTGTACCTTTTGCAGCTTCATGCCTCCGTCAGCCGCCGCACGTTCGATCGATCGACACGACATACGCGCGAACCTGCGGCTTAAAAAAAACTAATTCTATAGGTTTCTTGCCCTTAGCCGATTTATTCATGAACTACGTGCCGTAAATGTCGCTGTCTGGGCCGGCGGGGGGGGCCAACAGATAGGTCTCGAGGTAAAGAGCTGGCAAATGGCAATCGATAGCGCATGGCAGGTAGGATGCACGGAAAGTACGATGATTTAATTGATGCTCCAACCAATTGTACATCTGTTTACCGTCGACATGCGCCTGCTTGCATACGTTCTGCGTACTACCTTGAATACGATTTGTTTGCATCGATATATGCAGCTCCCCGTGTGCTGAATTACCCTAGTCACTTGCTTGCCTTCGTTCACTTCTGGCGCGCGACAAGCGTACGCCAGATATAACTTATTAGGCATAACGTTGGCTGAATGCTGCGATGTGGCGGCGGTGTGAATGGAACAGCGAGCGAACAGGGTATATTGGAAGTTTTGAAGCAGCTGTGCAGGGTACGTGTCTGCATGTGTGCGAGCAGCTGCTGGATTAACGAGGAAATAAATGTACTCCATAAGATTAGTGTTAACCCGGCAGGAGTTAGTGAAGGGGCCCAGCGATGAAGGGGTTGGGTGTCGCTAGCGGTATTGGTCACCAGTATTTTGTACATGCCTGCGGCCTCTCTCCGAGTCGCCAGCCTGCCGACGCCATCCACTGCCATGTGTTTCGAGATGTTCAACAACTTACCGGTCCTAAGGAACCCTCATAAGGTGCCACATCTCGGGCATATCTCGGGCTGCGCATCCAACCGTGGCGGCACTAACCAGCAGGGAGCAGAAGGACTAGGAACCTACTACTGGAAGCCTGGGCTAGCGCTAATCAAAATGAGTTTTTTAAGATATGTATAAAAAGTCCCAACGCAGGTTTTGATCCTGCGTCCTTGCGATACCAAACCTCATTACTTAGGAAGGGCAGCGCTGTTCCGGCATCACCATATTATTGTCGAGGAAGGATAGGATTGGCGGTGGAGAAGGCATTCAAATACATTCTCGTACACGTGTGCATGCGTCTGTTCCCTGAGCTAAATGCCTTAGCTCAGAAAATGTAATATCGTTGAACGGGATCTCTAGGACTCGCCACTGCGCTTCCGCGGTGGTCAATGTCAAAGCGGTGACTATTTAATAAATGCATACATAACGTGTCTATGTAAGGAGGTTGACATACTGGATGCTGGTGGTGAGTTGCCGAACCCAACGAATACATTCTGAAGTCGGATGGGGTGACGGATTAGGGTGCCCCTCTAGCAGGGGAGAGCAGGGACTGCCCCGGGAAAGGGGGCCGCTGGCGAAGTTAACCACCCTGTAACAACATACGAACAGATATATATGCACGTAGCGCTTGAAGCTCGGCCCGACCGGGTCCGGCAGCAGACTTACACCTCATCTCGGTCGTCGTTTGTTGTTTAGGGAAGGTCTTCATGCCAACATGGCTGTATCAACGTCGACGCTGAACTGCATTACTTACGATATTATCTCTGACTTTTGGGCCCGTTTAAAACTACTTTTGCGGCACGGGATTACTTGGCCAAACCGTTGGGAACACGTGCCTCACAACCACCCTTATTTTATATGTGTGTGTGTGTGTTACATGGTTGGGGGGTGCGTGACCCCATACCTGTAAGACTACCCATACGAGCCGAAGGCCCAAGGGCAATACTACAACGCCTAAAAGCCACGGAGAAAAGGAAAAAAAACACCGCACATCAGCCCAGACTAGCGTCCAAAGGGGGTAATTGAGTTTCGGTGAGCCCACATACGTTCCAACATCCTCGCCAGGCGTGCGGGTTCCCATTGCATGGCCTCCAACATACTCTGTTGATGATCGAATCCCTCTTCAGCACGAATATCATTATAGGCTGGGCATTCCAATAACACGTGTTTTTCATCCTCAATTCGGCTATTAGGACCACAGCAGTGGCAAAACCGCTGCCCCCTGGGAACATGGTACTTGCCCCTTCGTGCTCTGTTCGCCTCCAAAGCCCAGCAACATAAACGAAACTGCATTAGCTTACGATGTGCTAAACGAGGAATGAAAACATTAGCATGTGTTGGCCACATGACGGCTGCAGCTCCCGAAAAGGGCAGCCCCATCCAGTGCTTATGTTATATGTCAATGACGCAGACATGGTTGTTTGCCGTTTACCGATGTACAATGACGTGGTCTGAGGGCTCACGTCGGAGCCTCATATTCTCTGTATGAGCGTACTAACTGAGGCCTTGTGTCCAGTGAAGTTAGTACGGCCTGGCCGAGTTCTTTTTGAATAAGGCCCACAGTGTTGTGCGGGAGGCGTTCCTAGGGGCCCTGCACTCGACCCGTTCGGGGTCCACTGTAACAATCGCATTCACCTCGTCCCGTAGGCCCTTAAGAAACCGTCAGGTATATGTAGGTCTTGCCAACGGCACATCAGATGAACATCGCCGGGCGTCCATCGGCTCGCCCGACATCTATCGATCGTTTCATTCGGCTCACCCGACATATCGCCTCCATTGCTCTATGACGTGTATGTTCTAGCTTTGGAGACCACGGCTTAAAGGCACATTGCGCGACCCGGTTGTTCCTCCTGGTATTCAACTCGTTTCGTATTCATTACAGCTAAAGCAAAACGGAGGCCTAGGTTCAGTGCAGAGCATCCGACAGCCTAGATCCGTAAGCGCGCCGCCGTGCGCACGCATATGAAAATGCCACAGGGCTGATAGCTACATATTAGAAGCAACTATTTCACTGGAAGTCGCGCCAAGTCTCCTTCCAACATTCGCCAAGAGGCCATTAACACAGAGAGTTTCTGTTGCACACCTAATTACTAATTACTGCTTATTATCCACAAAGGGTAACTACTGCTGCGAGGGGGGTTGCGTGTTGCCCCTTCCGAAATGTCAAGCTTACTGCTTATTACCGTGGCAACTACCTGGGTCGTCGTCGCTTATGCTCTGCTGCTGCCCCAGCAAGTTTTAGGATTCGCGGGTTGCCCAGAGCCCCACCGGGCTCTGCTCCAGGACTACAAGGCTTTCCATAACGCGAACAAGTACTCGCCGGATGCCCAATACATCGTCCAAGAATGTTGGGGTGCAAAGTGTGCGGGCACAGGTACGTGGCTTGGTGTTGCCTAGGAGGGCGAGGTGAAGACGCCTAGCTCACGACAAACAAACTACTGCTACTGCTGGCAGCTCGTCGATAATGTTTTTGTTGGGTGTATGTACGCTCCCCCTGTCCGGCCGGGTAACAGGACCTGTCTGCGAGTGTTTCTTGCCATTCCTGCTATGTAAGCTGCTGCTGCGGACAGGCAACTACTAAGAGCTGGCACAACATGGGGTTCCCGTGGTTTGTCAAGGTGATCGACTCCGAGGCGCCTTATTCAACTTACGAGTGGCTATTCAGTACAAGAAGATCTTGATCATCGACTGGACAAGGCCGGCCGCTCTAACGAACTTCTTGATTCCAAACCAAATCGACTGGAGAATGGTTAACTTCCCGAAAAACTTTTTCAAGGACCGCAACACTTTAAGTACGTGCCATATGGGAGATTTCGTCCGTGGCCGGGATAAATGAGGATATGTATCCGCCGGATAGTCTCATGATGATCAAGACATAACGCTGCGTTGATTTACCGCAAAGTTGTTGCTTTGCGCAACATGCACATTTGCATGGTGCCTAGCTCCTGCTGCATATCGCGTGCATCACGGGATATCTACCTAGCCACCTACTACACGCTTAATCAGTGGATCCTCTACTGGCCTTCGCAAAGGCAACTTGGGCAACAAAATTTTACCTTTGTTCCACATTATGTGTTTTTTTGCAGCTCGGGATGAGTACTACGCAACTACAATCCACGGCAACGGATCGGAGGTTTCGACAGTACAAAGATTCTTGGAAACGAAGGTACGTATCTCACTGAAACCAAGGATTCGCGAAAGTAGCTGAACAGAACTATGCCGATATGCATCATGTCATGCATATCATGTCGTTTGCATGTGACCTCTTTGGCAACGCAATAGCAGTGCATACCATAGATCACGACGTGATCAAAGAATTAAGGCCGCAACCAAGGGAAGGACCAGGGTAATACAGCATGATGAAGGCCTAACCTACGCACCATATATATTTTTTTTGCCCAATAAGCCATATGCACTCAACCAAAAGGCGAAGGTCGGACGCGCAGTCCCAGTCCTCATCGCGGCAAAACCTTCCGGGCGCGTTGTAGACTACTGCTGCTGACCAGAACCAGCGAGAGCCCCACAGCGGGCTTCATTGAGCTAAGATTTGCGTGCTTCCATCAGCCCATGCAATGATGATTGGTGGCGATTGGTAGTGTTATACAACAAGTACCGATCGGCGGATGCAGATCCCCTGATATGCCCCGGATACTAAACCCAGATATTTAAACGTCTTAATTCCATATTGCCCTACCGGCCGTTCGCCTTACGTGTCACATTGCGCACGCAGAAATTCACTATCAGAGGTGTTCAAATATTCGAGACCAATGCAACGGTGCGTACACATGCACGACGGCCATGTTGAGAAAGGGTCAATAACAGCACGTACTGTTAGCGATGGTGCATCTTTTCCACCATGACAACGCACAGCGCCCCGCCACGCACAATCAACCGCGCCACAAATAATCAGGTAGCTCTCGCCGCATGTTTAATCCAGTAAAAAAATCGTCTGGCGGCCGACAATCTGCTGACATAAGTGCTACGGAGGCTAAACTTTGCAGCTATGACTCACGGCCCATCTGCCCCCGTCCGTTTATTCGTCCGTCGTCCGTGCCCTCGCTCCTAGAGGCTCGAGCCCATCGATCCCGAGCACGCCATCGACATTGGCGCCTGCTACTTCCAATTCCTGTTCAAAATAAACGAGACAATTGCTGAAGCCGGGAAGAGGCACCTTGAAAACCTGTACGGACCAGCACACGTGGACTACGTGGCGTGGCACTGGTGTGTGTGTGTGTCTGTGTCTGTGTGTGTCTGTGTGTGTTTGTGTATGTGCACATGTGTAAAGGCCTACGTAGGTAGCGATACGATGCAATTTTTTAGTAGTTGAGGCCAACAAGACGCTCGCAAAGCGCTTTATTTGCGCATATTTATTGATGATACGTGTGCCGTACCGTACGACACCTACGGAACATGTACCCGGTTGCGTGTGCAAGCAGATACCATACACGCGGTCGGTAACAGGGAGTATCGGAGGTAGGCGAGCGTGGATCAATTGCTAGCTAAGTTCGTTTGTCTGTCCACGTGTACGGAACTACCAATCGCAATAACGTGCCGCGTACCTACCTACCTACCTACCTACCTACCTACCTACCTACCTACCTACCTACCTACCTACCTACCTACCTACCTACCTACCTACCTACCTACCTACCTACCTACCTACCTACCTACCTACCTACCTACCTACCTACCTACCTACCTACCTACCTACCTACCTACCTACCTACCTACCTACCTACCTACCTACCTACCTACCTACCTACCTACCTACCTACCTACCTACCTACCTACCTACCTACCTACCTACCTACCTACCTACCTACCTACCTACCTACCTACCTACCTACCTACCTACCTACCTACCTACCTACCTACCTACCTACCTACCGACCTACCTACCTACCTAGCGCTTCCTGTTCTGCCGCCTGAAATGCACAGCAGAAGGTACTAAATCAGACGTGGCAATTATTCAGCGTTGTTGGAGATCCGTTGTCGACCAGTAGCAGTACTGGCGCGTGTCGTGGGCACGTATGCGTCAATCGATATTCGTGTGACTCAACCGAATACGTCGCCCAACATCCACCGTTATATAGTAATTTGGCTGGGATAAATCAGGCTGTACCATCCAGCTTCCTTGCTTTATTTTTCATGCTTGCTTGCTCCCGCTTTTGCCGCAGGCGGCACTTTGATGTGGACAACAAAAAGGAAAAACCTGTTATGATCTCGCAACTGAAAGGTGCTCTGGACTGTGCGGCAAGGCTGGCATCGGATATTGGGGTAGATCTCGTCGAGCGGCCGGCGCTCCTCATCACAGATTTCAACGGTAAAGTATAGAAGTACAATAATATGTCTGTAAACGTTTTTTTATCGTTTATATATTATTGCGCCATAGTGTAATATTTATATAGGGACGGTCCCTACGGAAAGGAAGAGGAAGGGAGAAAGGGGGACGGAAGGAGGAGGAGAGGGGAAAGTAACAGGAAATGTTGCGAAGTCCTGTCGGGGGGGTGTAACCCCCAGTCAACAACTTTGGGGTTTACCATGCTGCTAAAGTTGGGGATGCGCCACTCGGGCTGTTGAGATGGGGGACGGAGGGCGAGGGGGATTGGAAAAGATAGAGGGAAGAAGAGTATGCGTATGCCCCGGAACGCCGTTCACTGGCCTAGCTTTGTGGCAGTTATCAGGCAAGGCCAAAACGTGAACGGTGCGACCGGCTTGTCACCAATATTCGTCACACAGTTGTAAGACGATCTCCGGGCCATCACCAATTGCAAGAATCATTGGAAATTTCAGGACTTTTTAAAAATTCTGTCACCAATTTCTACTGGCACTACCGTATAATACCAGGGCACGGTCCATCTCTAGATACTATTTTATACAAAACAATTACACACGTCGTCCTGTTAGTTAGCATATTGCCGTCTGCCTTCCGCATGGAAATCCGCATTAACATCGGCAATGATATGCAGGAGAGAAGAATCCAAGCTGGAATGCTAGCAATGGCCTCCAACTGCTGGCCTCCATCCGTCGTTGCAGGTTTTCGGGACCTGGTGCTGCGCGGCGAGTTTCGCAAGCTCGTTACGGCCAACGTAACCCCGGTGCATATTGACAAGGTCAAAAAGGGAGACTTAGCAATATTTCAAAATGTGTTCGTGGACTTGTACCTGCTTTCCCGGGCTCGTTGCTTGCTGACGAGCTTCTCGGGGTACAGCAAACTGGCGCTGTGGATGGGGACGGCGGAGCTGCGCAATTGCCACCGTGATTTTGCCAACTGCAACGTAACGACTGTGCAGCACATTAAACGGCGTATGGTTACAGAGATCTCAGGTTGATGATAGAGGGTGCTAACAGAACTCTTGCATAACGTGTTCATGAATCACCGGACTTAGTATGTATGTATGTGCGGCTTCCATCCTTGCTGATCCCTTCTCCGGAGCGAACATTGTCACGTCCGCATCAAGTCCTAGCAAGCCACAAGGTCTGGGGCGAAAGGCCACGAGTCCTAGCAAGCCACAAGGTCTGGGGCGAAAGGCCACGAGTGAGGCGACGAACAGTGCAGGTGAAAGGTGGGGAAATGCTGCTGCGAAGCATTCCTGCCCCTGTATGCATAGCATGTCCACACAGTGGGTGCCAATAACGAATCGATTTTGCGAGAAGATGAAAGGAGATGCACGATGGCAGCAGACAAAACATCCATGTTTTGTAGCCATCTCCGAGGGGTCCTGCGGCGGGTTCCGGAACGATTTATCGAAAACTAAAAACTTGCCCGCTTACGGATTTATGATGTATGTTGGGCGTGCTTAGTTGGAGAGTATTCGTTTCGTACGAATGTATCAAGTTGAGTTTTTGAGAGGTCAGAATGTAGCCGTACTTAGAACGCTCGTGCAAAAGCGCGGCAACGGCGGCAGTTGCCCTGCCACAACTACCCGCTCCTTGCATGTCGTTAATGAACATATTTAATGGTCAGATTTGCCAGAAATCAGATTTGCCAGAAGTAGCAATTTGATTAGATACTTGCAAAGGCACTCCTTACGAAAAGCAAGATGATGAGTCACACTCTAACAACTTGCCCAAAAGGAGGTTGTGTGTAACTCCAAATTCTAAATAAAAAGTATGACTAACATTCAATTAAAGCTGGCTGACTGAAACTTAATCTACCAGGCCAGGTAAGGAGATCAATCCAAAGGAGTTGTTTGCCCTGGCATGTGCCATCTGATGTCATACAGAGGCAACAGTAGCACAGATAGTATCCACTAAAGCACACGAAAACTACACCACATAACCTGATTAAGCTTCTATAGACAAGCAAGTTCCAATCTTAAGCCTTGCCCTGCCTGTCTTACCTAGCTTGGATTTACACCGTTATTCTCGTCCTGTCCTTACGAAATGCGCACCTGAAAAATAGTGCCGCCTACCAGTGCTATAAAGGAGCTATAAGGCCGAATCGTCCAATGGAAACCTTTTCGTTTTCGCAGCACCACACGCATGCACGACTGTGCCGAAAGATCGGCTCGTGTCGTGTCGCACGCCGTCATGCACTCGCATTGTTTGTCCATCGCCGTTCGCCGCTTCGGAGTGTGCTCCCACTAGGGAACTTACGTAGGTCCAAGACCGGCCTGCTTAAGATAAGCCCCTGCCAGCACACGTGACTTTGTATGCGGCAAGCTTTATGTGTCTGGTCACATGATGTAGCCTTGAAATCCTCCTCGTCTTCGACCGTCCCGCCGGGCTGTTATCAGTCTTCCTCTGGATTCCTCCGGAATTTGCTCCGCAACATTAGCGATTTATTTTGGACATTTTCGGCTCATTATGAATTGAAACCTAAGTCGTTGTTGGCTGTTTATACGTCGCCAAGCGCTCACGGTACATAGGATATCCTTGAGCTCGGTACCTCCCTAGTAACGTGAAGGCCTTGCTTCAAGTAAGGTACCAATGGGCAGCAGCTTATGGTGATCTGCCAAACTTTTGCCCAACATTTTGTCGGATCAACGCGGCCCCACGTCTGCTTTACGCTTTCCCAGCTGCTGCAAGCTCGTACCACGTTGCTTTGCCACGTCCTATTGGTGTTGAGTTCACCTTCGCTTGGTTGTACAGTAAGGCCCAACTCGAAAGAAATGTGCTGTCCTTTGTAACGCCCATGGGCTGCCTCTCCCAAGCATCAGAAAGAAAAGTCACGCGGTTCACGCATCGCATCACACCGCAATGCATATACACAGTGTGCGTTATTATGTACTCAGGCCCAGCTCAGCCATGCGCCGAAGCGGCGTTGGCCAGCGGGTGGCGACGGTTGCGACGGTAGCGACGGCGTCTGGACTGCTGCTGGTGCTTTTGGTGGCCGTCGGTGTTTCGGCGGCAATGCCGCCGGCGTCGACAGCACCGCCCTGTCCGCAGCCACCCGGAGATGAAGGTACCTCGCTTGCGTAGGGGGACGGAAACGGCAACACGCGGCCCATATTCATACACATATCCATACGCTTATTTCCACCCATTACCCAAAGGTTGGCATCCGATGGCTCGGCATCCCCCATCCCCCCATCCACTGTTGCATTTGCCTGCACATGTCTGTGCTCGCCATATGCAGCCCTGGCCCGGTCTCCTTACACATCAACATGTCCCTTGCACCGTGGTCTCTTGCACCGTGTCTCATGCACCCTGTCGCACGGTGCAAACCAGCAGCGGAGTTTGTGATGATGAGCTTCACAGCTCAGTTATCGAGAAGATGATAACCTCCAAGCTATCCGCACGCTGTGTTCCTGTCAGAGGAGCTTCGTTGGTTACGAAACGCTTATTAGTGAGCATGTGTGCGATACCTTGTGTGTAAGTTGTGCAGCATACAAATGCGGCCGCGTGCATCTGTATGTAAGCGTGTAAGCAACGCCCATGAAGCCGTTGCGCATGCCTATTATCACCAGCTTGCGGTCCCCGAGGCCCTAACGGGGCGCATGCGAACGTTTGCTGCCGCCGCTACTCCTGCACTGATAACATGCCCATGGAGCCGTTGATGCGTTTGGGAAAGCAAATGCTGTACACTGTGCCGTACACTATGCCATACAATTATGTCGTCCACGCAGGCGCCGCGTTTGGGATCAGGGCTGCGCAGGAAGCGACCTTGCTTGTGCAGCAGGCGCAGGCAGAGCGACCGATCTCGCTGACAACCTCTCCCAACGCCACGTCCTTTAAAGCGCCTGGCGGTGGCGTCGTCGAAACGCTGACTGGAACACCGAAGGTAAGTTTTAAGAAGGTGTTCATTCTAGCTTGCCAGCATAAGTGCTCTAGGGGTGGCGCATGCAGTTCAGTCGCGGTGCGTGCGTCGGCTTGTTTGTGACGCAAATGCTTTCCGACACAATTTGAACCTGCCATACAGCTTGGATACTGCGTGGCTGATCACTGCTCTCGCCACTGCGCTCCCTCCTCCGGCGTCCTCTCATGCGCCTTGCAGGCCGCCCATCGGGTGTCGTTCCATAAGACCTTGCGCACCGTATGTGTCTTTGTCGCTGGCAGGGGAGATGCGAACGGCATTACAGCGTGTCCACACTCACACATGGCATGCATGACGTGTTTTCCCGTACCGCCATGTGTAGGGTCCCGTCCTGAGCTCAGGACCCGGTACCACCATCCCCACCGTCGAGCTGCCCGGCGGCACCACCGCTACTGCTGGAACACAAGCTGCGGCCACTGCTGCCGCCGCCGCGCTTGCAGCGCCTCCGGCGCGCATTCCGGAGCAAGCCGCTGCCGTACAACCGGTGGGAGCAGCGCCACGGGGCCCACCGCCACCGCCACCGCCACCACCGCCCCTGGGTGTGGCACCGCCGGTGGCAAGGCCACGGCCACCGCCACCACCACCACCACCACCACCACCTGTGGGCGCGGCGCCACCGGCGGCAGTGACACCACCACCACCACCACCACGGCCACCTCAGGGTGCGGCACAGCAGGCGGTGCAGCGACCACCACCGCCACCACAGCCTCTCGGCGCGGCGCCGCCGGCGGCAGGGCCAGCCCCAGGGCCAACGCCAACGCCAACGAGCGCCGCGCCGCAGCAGGCAGCACAGCTGCCGCCGCCGCGGCCGCCGCAGGGCGCGGCGCCGCCTGTGGTGTCGCAACCACCGCCGCCGCCGCCTCCTGCATCAACAGCTCCCTGCGACGACACTTCAAGTGGTCCTACACCAAGTCGCAAGTTATTACAGTTTGAATAGCATCGACTGATCCAAGTCCAAGCGCACTCCCTAAACCCTTTCCATACATCCAAGGCCGTCTGAAATATTTATGTCAGTAGCCTAGGGGATTTCTGTTCAGTTAGCGCGGGGTGTCCTTTCGTGGTGCTGCATGCACCTTGGCTGGTACAGGACAGACGGGCATGCGGACTCGCATGATGTCTGGAGGCAGTCACTGATGTGTTCGCCATTGCATGTGCTTGATGAGCGGCTTGAAAAGAAAGGTAAGGTGTGCTGCATTTCCAGGGCAATCATCCTGGTGGAAGGGCGCGGATTGCTTGGCTTCGGCTCGGCGCAGGTGAGGGACCTAGCGGGGCTGATGTCCCCTTTATTTAGGACATCCAAGCAGAAGTGCGCGGTGATAGATGCTTGGCCCCAGGAGCGTGTGTGCATCCAGCACGCACGGTACTGGCCTCGGCTCGATTAAGGAACGAACATGCAGGGCCGACTGACTGACATCGATTTCGGTCTGTATGTACGTACATACGGCGTCAACCGAGGTACATGCTTGCTATTGCACTTAAGCTGGTTGATGGTTGATGGTTGCAGTTCGTTGTCTGGGTGCAGTTGGTAGCTTGGTGCCTTCCTTCGTTGTTCCGCAGTATGGTAATAATGGTGGCGTCGAATATTATATACGTCTCTGTTGTATTGTGGTATCGGAATACTTGCCTTTATCGTTCGCTGTATGTTGTTTGCACAAGTTATCCTTGCTCGGCAGCTGGTTCGGCGGTGGTATTTCGGCGAGAAGTCCAGAAACCCAAGCCTGAGCTGCAATACGCTGAATCCTGCTGTAAGATTCTACAGCTACAGAATAAATGCGAATACGTTTGCCGATATATGCCTGCTGCTGACCTGGCTGCTGTCGTTTTCAGCGGTAGGGTAGGTGTGCCACGTAAACTTAGATGGGCTGAAGCCAAACTACGCAAGGAAATCCTTACAAGCATAACGAGCAAGCGGACATGGAGATCACTTGACAGGACACCTAACTCCATGAAAAAAATGCGTATGTTTTTGATTTCATTTACTATGTTGATGTTGTTACAGGGTGGTTAAGCTTCACCAGTGGCCTCCTTCCCGAGGCAATTCCCTGCTCTCCCCTGCTAGAGGGGCACCCTAAGCCATTCACCCCATCCGACTTCAGAGTGTACTCTTTGAGTTTGGCAACTCACCACCAGCATCCAACCAAATCTAGCGGATCAACGGCGCGTCAACTTAGTTCCTGGTCAGCTCGCGAGTTGATTTTATCACGTCCTACACCGTCCACAAGATGGGGGGTCACCTCCCATTTCATCACCTCTCAAACACCCCGAGAGGTCGGCAGGCGGATTTGAACCCGGACGCGCCGGGACGCGACGGGAGCAGAAGTCAGGCCTTAACTTCTGCCAGCCGCCTGCCTTATTAAAACACAGATATCTAAGTAAGCTAAGCCAGGAACGCCCGCATGCATCCCCCACAACGTCCCATCGATTATTACTTGCAATTACAATTATGGCAGGATGGACCCCTGAATCAGACAGCAACAGGCAGGGTGCGGTAGCCCCGGCAGGATACGGTGCTCCGTATACGTGTGCGTGTGCGTGTGCATGTGCGTGCGCGTCCACACATGCGAGCAGGGTGCATGGCTGGCTTGCACTTGCAACTAACAACCCTTGCTTAATCAAACAATGGTGTATGCGTGTACGGTACGTATGTATGTGTAGCCAGCGGCACATAGGAATGCATGGACTCCGTGCATGTTCATGGAGCCAGCCATAATGAATTGGGAATTTTATGAGAACCTATCTGCTGCTGAGCATCGGCCTTGAGTAAGAACCTATCCAGGCAATACCAAAATAATTCTTATGTCCTGCGTGCATGCCTCTTAACAAGCGCTCGAACTCCGAAATGACTACCGTACAGGGCAATAACTGCGCTGTCTGTACGGTACTGGCATTGCAGCACCGAGCTAAATCTACCCAACCGCCCCCTCGTGCCACCTTACTTGGGTTTGCCTGCATGCCGTACGTTCGTACGTCAGCTGCTCTCTCGCTGCTGTTAGGGTTATGTTATCATTGACCTGCCTACCATATATATAGCTACTTAAACGCGAGAGGTTGAATCAGGAAAGGAAGGCCACTTGGTGACCAATAAAACATGAAGAACATGATGTCCATTCCTTTCATATCTCGGGTGGCTGGTTGAAGTTAAGGCCTGGCTTCTGCTCCCGGAAGTTCCGGGTTCAAATTCGCCTGCCGACCCCTCAATGTGTGAGGGGGATTGAATTGGGAGGCGACCCCCCATCTTGCGGACAGTGTAGGACGTGATTATAGCAATTTGCGAGCTGACCAGGTTTAGCTTGATGCTGGTGGCGAGTTGCTGATCCCAACGAATACATTCTGAAGTCGGATGGGGTGATTGGATTAGGGTGCCCCTCTAGCAGGGAAGAGCAGGGCATTGCCACGGGAAAGGGGGCCGCTGGTGAAGTTATACCACCCTGTAACAACATCATCATATCTCACAAGTTCAATACATCCTTCGCCACAGCCACCCAGGTTAGGTCGATGAGGCAGAAGCAGCCTTGGTCGAGCATCCAAGCAGTTACTTCACCAATGAAACCAGTTCGGTTGCTCGAGATGATCGTCGTCCTGATGCGCTGCACGTTGTCTTGGGTCTTCGGCCCATCCATACCATTAATTGCCAGGGTTACGACTGGCGTGGATGCGAAGGACGAAGACGGAAAGTTGACTGAGAACACTTTCGACTTGCTTGCCCCGCCGGTGCAACCCCAGTTATTGGCTTCACTGCAACCGAAGTTCACTTGGTAGAAGCCGGTCTGGACATTTGACGCACGCTGCTGGACCTGTGGTCAAAATGCATGGAGGCAGCAAGGGACCCGTGTATGGATGAAGTGAGGCGTGTCGAAGCGCGACTGCAAGTATTGATGGACGTCGTCACAACCCAAAACAAAGCGAAGCCAATTTGCGCAGGTGTACGGCACGTTTTTTCGCTACGATATATACCGAAAAGACGTTGAAGGTAACCAAGAATGCGTGTAATCTGTATGCATGTAGGAGGGGGTACGCATACTGCGAGTGGCCTATGCCATCAGCAGTTCATCACTAGCTCCGTCAGCTATTTGCAAAAACACTGCCGTCACATCGCTCGCACCACATTATTTCTCTCGAACATCTCGTGGCTATTCCTGCACGAGTTCTCAGATCGACAGCATGCATTGCTAGGATACCTGCTGCTGCCGCCACGCACGGCGGCGTGTGCTGGGCTAGCTTGGCCTGAAGCCTGAGGGATGTGGTGCGCGCGCGCAATGCAGGCCTGCCGCCAGCATCGCGCGCGCGCTATCACATCCGTCAGACATAAAAAGAGCTCCGAGCGAGCAAGACGACGCAAGCTTACCTTATTGCTGAGGTTTGAAATCTGTTTGGGGACGCCCGTAGCATCCAAGGCAATCAAGCAACCACAACAAAACGGGTGGAGCTACTGTTAGCAGCAGGATTGATGGATAATGTGAGATGGCGGGAACACGGTGGAGAACTACGCAAATAGTTCTTCATTGGCAATCCCTAAGAGTGCGCCAGCTGACGGATCGGCGGGGCCCCGGTGGGGAAGTACCGCGCTGTACTTCCCGTGTGCTAGCACACACATCGTCTGTAAATGCCCGCTAAAAGCGCTCTGCTGCCAGCATTTTGAGATGCGTTTCCAGGGGCCTGATATTACATACAGATTCATTATGCAGGAATCGTGCAGTAACTCACACGCTGTCAAGTGTTCATCGGCAGGCATAAATGTAACAGCAGGGATCGAGCCTGGTTGCATGCAAGTCAGGAACAAGCTGCCCACCTGGCTTCCATTGAGCATTAGATGACAACCATGCATGTTGCAAAGACACATACGTGCGCCCTGCAACTTACATTTGCTTGCAGCCACGTTTCCAGCGCCCCGATGCGATTGAACACTTCAGTGAGCTGGTTGGCTGGAGGATCCGGATCGCTGTACACGAGGGTATGAAAGTTGCCGGAAGACCTGCGACATCAGAGCCACTTGGACACTGGTCAGCTCGCCATGTATGTATTGCAGTGGCGAGGTTGTTAGTACGGGCGGTAGGTAGGTGATAGGTAGCAGGTAAGTGACAGGCGATAAAAGGGAAATAATGTGCACATGAGCTCGGCTGGGAGAGTGGGAGCACCTGTTAACGTGCAGATCGAAGGGCAAACCTAATCAATCGCGCGTGCATGCAGCATTCATGTGTGAATAACCAGCTAGATATCCCAACTACCTTTTTAACATATACTACGTGTGCATGGCAACCTCGCCCCAAAAAAGCTGAGGGCTCTTTAACTAGACCGAAACACTACTTTCTTACACGGTAGATAGATGAGCCTTTGCGTACATGTGTTGCTTACAGTTTATGCACCGTCAGTTCAATGACTTTGGCGCACTAATAATGTCTACCTACGTGTAGACATTGATGTCTGTGTAGCGGAGGTCAGAGGGCACGTCGGGTGACATCTGGCAGAAGACAGAGTACACAGTCCTTGGCAGCAGCTGGAACGGGCTCGCTGGCGGCGATGTGATTGGCGGTGAAGGAGGAGAAGGGGACGGCGGCCGCGGCCGCGGCGGCAGCGGTCGGGGTGGAGGTAGCGGTGATGGGCGCCTTGTTCCAGCAGGCGGCGGACTCGCAGCAGCTTGCACAACGGGGACGGCGGCGGCGGCGGGCTCGGCCGCTGGCGGCGTTTGGTAGATGGTGCATTGCGCTGTGTTTGGCGGGTAAGCGACGATGCCAGTGATAAATGCACTGGGGCGGGCCTGGGTGGGTATAAAGCGGACTTCCAAGGACACGCGCCTGTAGGTGAACGCCGAAGTCTGCGTTATACGGAGACCGCTGGTGAAGAGGTTGATGCACGAGATGTAGGCCTGGTAAATAGCCGGGTCAACGAACTGGGCGAGTATTATCACAGCATTGTCGGTAGAGGAGTTCACCAAAGAACTGCCACAGCTAGTCGCACGGTAGGCCTCTGACTCCATCCGGACTACTGCAAACTGCAACAGACATGTTGGGTCCCAGGGCGGGGTCGCATAATTCACCCAGGCTAGGTAGGCGCGGACACAACAACTCAACAAAGGGAGCTAGGCTGCTGCGAAATGAAATGACACGAATCAGTTGTCGGGTAGCTGGTACGCGCGGACACAAACAAGCAATACATATTTTGACATGATGCACGAGCGTGCACGCCCGACAAAGGAACAGAGTTGCGATCCCCGCTGGCCAGGCCCCAGGTAGCTTTTAGCTGCCCAACACGGCGAGGTAATGTACTGTTGGAGACAGAAACACAGCAACGACAGCTTGCAAACAAGCCGGCGATCATGGACGCAAATAAGTGCACGTGTGAGCGTCTTGCGTGCTGCCAATTATTATCATCGACACCATTCAGGCATGCCGTTTGCAACACCATTTCATGCGTGCGCGCACCATGCTTTATCAATTTAAAAAAAACACTGATGACCGCACGACATGTGCGTGTGTATTCGTACATTCCTGATGAGCCGTGCTGGACATCGTCAGAACAAATAAAGCCTGCGCGGCCACGCCTTGTGCACGTGTTGGTACGACACGTGGATGATCCTCAACGATGATAATAGTGTAAGGAAGCGCAGCGCGCCGACGTCACAAACTTGCAAGAGTGTCGCGATCCACTATTCCGTAAAAGCGAGCATTCATTGCCCCACTGCCGCGAGGGTGGTAATAAAAATTATGCCTGGTCGTGAACCCGAATACATATATGTTATATTGTATAACAACGTTGCCCCTTGCCAGTTGCTTTAATGTGATGCGTCAAGACGGTAGCTTCCGTGGGACCGCGACACACACATACTCACACACAGGAACACCGTTGCTGGCATCACAGACAGCGGGCTTTCTGCGGGCCTGTGTTGGACCCCGCCTTGCTCCCATTGAGGTTATTTGCAAATCCAAGCTCGCGTGCGCCTCATATCAGTTCTCCCCTTGCAATCTTCAAATGCATTTCACCATTTGCTGAACCGGTAAGTCCAACGAAATTGAAGCTCGAAAACATGGTTTTGCACGTGTACAGCGCACGGTGTACTGCTGTATGTCGGGCGTGCGTGTGGCGTTCGTGTGGTTTACTTGCAAGGCCTTGGGTGGCTTCCTATTGCAGCAGGACATTGCAGCGCGCACGAAACTAACTGCAGTACCACAATAACAACCTGTACAACGCAGGTACCTGGCTGGTAATAAATACGCCGCAAACTACATACCTGGGCGGCGCTCTGGATGTATCTTGATCCGGTATAGGTCCCGCCAACCACCCATCGGAAGGCTTTTACTGCTATATTTAGAGAGGCCGCAAGGCCCTGGGCCTCTGGAGTTGCAGTATCCTCCCGGTACTGTCTGCAACAGCAGAAATTTCTTTATAGTTACCAATAGCTAGGGAGGAGTCGAAGGGTAAGGGGAGAGCAATAATGTGCGCATCGATCGATGCAGCACACGGCCAAGGGGCAGCAGCGTGTGTGCGTCTGTATGTCCAGCACAACCAGCTTGGGATGTTGCACAACCCCCAGAGCTGTCTGGCTCATGGAGAGGGGGGCTAGGGAGAGGTCTTCAGCTTCGGATGCATAGCAGCGCTATGAAAAGGTGGGCTAGGGTGTACTCACTCATATGGGTAGTCCCACATCCAGTAATCGGCGCATGCCGCCTGGTGGATCTCTGAGTACGAATTCCGAAAAGTGCTGTACAAGCCGGAAATAAGGACTGCCTGGCAGGCATTTCCTGCGGTTTCCTGGGCTTCTGCAGGGTAATACGCCAGGAACAGCAGCGCAGCGGCCATAAGCAGCGCAGCGGATTTTGCCATAGCAAACCGCCCTGAAGACCGGAAAGTAAGTAACAAGGCAAGATAAATCCAGCTGCTTAGGCTTTATTGTCGTGAATTAATTGTTTTTGTTCTTGAGGGATCCTGTTATCCGGGACGTCCAGGTCGCTCGGCCAGCCTAGCAGCTGAGGGTAAAGTCGTGAGCGCCAGAATAGTTCCTTACTGACACAGCATTTTTATAATCCAATTATGCCAGTCGGTTTTATTTCTCATAACCCACATTACGATATGCCAGCAGCCCTCTTACGACATCCACCGTACGTAGGATGTTTTGAGAAACGTTGGAGACATCGGAATGCCTTAGGTATAATGCATCACAATATGTTTTCCTTGTTGCAGCTTGATGGATTAACAACAGGGTGAGCGCTTTAAAACATGCTCGGTAGGTAACGCCACTATTACGAGCATTTGCCTTATATATTAACGAGGCTTAACTCTAATCAAGCGCATAAACAGCAGTAGCACGAGTTCTGTGATGGCTTGCTTTGTCAATGCAAACAAGGTGAGAGCTGAACGGGGCAACAGCAAGCGCGCAGAAGTGAGCAAGGGGCACGCATAACCAGCCACAAGACCATGACGTATAATTTATAAGATAATTTTTTTTCAACGATGTACAAGGCCCTTCGCTCCCACAGACGGAATTGCGGAAGGAAATACGGATGATTAAGGGGACTGAATGGGTCATTGCTACAGATAGCGGCAGGAAAGCTTTCTGAGAAATCGAGTCCGTAATCAAAGCTAAATAGTTTCCTTATACGTGAGGATTTTGGAAGGAGAATTTTGCGAAGGGAGATCCAGCACCGAACTAAGGAGATGCGTGCAACATGGTACAACAGCAGAGAACATAGGTGCTGCTGGCGAGCGTGCGCTTTGTGTTCCCCGTCTCAAGACCACCTGGTCGAATACACGAGTTTTCATAGCGCCGTATTATTATTGCTCCTTATGAGCATCCATATCCGGAATCCAAGGCATAAGCTGGTTTCATCCGAAATTCAAGCCGCGTATTACATTTCGCTTGCAAATCTTTAGGCATTCAGAACGCGCTGTTAACCTAAACCAAGAATATCGAATTTAACTAAGCCTATCATGGACAGGCGCTCTGCTTATGAGTGACCTGGCGGGCTTGCAAGCAATTGCTTGGCCGAGTAAGCCCGGTCTGAGGCCCCTTATCTACAGGCTGCCGTGCATGCTTGGCCGACAGCTCTCTCTTTCTTTGGCAGGATGCGGTGCACCCATCGTCTGTGGGGACGACATTCCGGGAGCATGCATGGAGAACATTTAGAGCACCTTCGCCTTCCTTCAGGACGCCTTTGCTGAGAACAGCAACTCCAAGCGTTCAAAAAGCCACTGGCAGCAGCTGCAGCATGTATAACTCCCTGGTCCTCCCTTTACTGCGTCTCCAGTTGTAGCAGCCCTTCTATCTGACACACAAAAGAGTGCATTTTCCCGTTTCCGGACCCCGACGACTTGTCCCTGGTGGCCGCACCGCGTAGGGGAGGTGCATGTCTGCTGGCGCTTCTTTGAATGGCAAGAGACCTGTGTGTCTTGCACGAGCGTTTACCTAATGCGCGTGTGAGAGGTTTCCTCTGCTGATAAGTGCACACGGAGATGCTGGTAATAGTGCATGCATGACGAGCGAGATGGTGCCTGGACCGACCTGGACCGACCGCCGATAACCTAACTAGTCACGAGTCTGTGAACGTTCTTGCAAGGCAGCTGTACCCAGTTTTGAGTCGATCGGCGCAAGGCCCCTAAGAAAAAATGTGTGTGTTACATGGTTGGGGGTGCGTGACCCCATACCTGTAAAACTACCCATACGAGCCGGCCCAAAGGCAATATCTATACGCCTAAAAGCCACGGCGAACAGGAAACACCGCACTATCAGCCCAGACCAGCGCCCAATGGGGATACTTGAGTTGCGGTGAGCCCACATACATTCCAACATCCTCGCCAGATGTACTGGCTCATGGCCACGTCATTATAGGCTGGGCACTCCAATAACACTTGTTATTCATCCTCGATTCGGCTATTCATACCACAACAGGGGCAAAACCGCCGCTCCCTGGGGACACGGTGCTTGTCCCTTCGTGCTCTGTTCGCCTCCAAAGCCCAGCAACATAAACGAAACTGCATTAGCTTACGATGTGCTAAACGAGGAATGAAAAGTTTGGCATGTGTTGGCCACATGACGGCTGCGGCTCCCGAAAAGGGCAGCCCTATCCAGTGCTTATACTTCGCCATCTGCACTCCCGGTTGCTTCCCATATGATGGGTACTCCTCTGGCAAGACAGTGAGACGCGCATGGACACAAAAAATGGCTTGCTTGGACTAGGTGCTCTGCATCGCCATCCCGCCGTCCTGCATGCTGCTGCTGCTGCTGCTGCTGCTGCTTCTTCAGATGCAAAAAACCACTTCGGCCACAACGCGTGGCGTTACACGTCAACACATGTGCCGATAATGCCACAACTGGGCGCTGGCTTAGCTTCCACAAAGCGTCAAATGGGCGTGTGCTACAACAACGTGTGCTACAGCAACGAGCAACACCCACAGCCCAACCTTGGATGGTTTCTTAACGAATAGGTTGGAACCTTCAGGATGTGCTTGCACTTACCTCTCCCGTCGTGCCTTCGTCGCCGTGGCCAAACCATTCAGTGATCAGGGTGCACGATCGTCGTACATCGCGACGTAAAGTTCAACCGACACGGTCAAACGAATTTGGACATGCACGTGCTGCAATACGCGACACAGCTGTACACCGATAATGCGATTCGAACTCCGGTTACCCAAGTCAATGATGAGATGCCGTATAGCACAACCCGACACGACTGCCATTTACGAGTATGAGAACATGCTGTACGACGAAACAGGCCCACATAGGCGACAAAATACAAATGAAGTCTCATGCAAGCTGCTTATCAGTTGCGGACGTATAGGACTTAGCCCCAAACATGCAACTAGTTAACATACAAGGAGCGTTCGCGTACGGCTGCACGAATCGGGGGAGCAGTCGTACACCTGTATCCGCAGCAAACGATCGCCCGTACTTCCCGTACGACGGTAGGGATGCAAGTCGAGCAAAGCATTAGGAAGCCAAATGCACTTTCAAGAAAATCTCCGTTCTCACTCATTCCGTAAATAAAATAACCGTAAGGACATACATGGCACCCTTACAAAACAAAACAAACAATGCAACCTCGAAACCAGGAGCCAATTCTATTCTGCAAGTAGCCTTATTAATACCAGTCTCCAGGAAACAGAAGAATGGCGTACCGCTCGTACTGCACAAAAACAAGAAACGGACCGCTTCATGCACAGCCACCCGCTACTAACAATCCAGGCGTGTCGAACTTCAAGTTGCATAATCTACGCGCCTTATTACTAAGTTCTGTGTTCAACTTGCCATTATTTAGGGTGTTTCAATGCGAGGCAGGCTTTTGCATGTAAACTGAGGCTGAGCCAACTGCTGCCCTCCTATCCGATTAATTTTGATATACACACAACCTCTATGTCTATGTCGAGCGAGACCCCACGCCCTTTACCACCTCATCCGTCAGTCCGCCTTCATGCGCCGTCTCCCCGCTCAAACTCTTTGCAACACCATATGCGTTAGTTACTTGCTGCAAGCAACGTTATATGCCACCGGCAATGGCCGTCATACATACACAAATACATACATACTTCCTGCTCGCTTGCCAACATACGTTACTCCATCTCGCGCCACAGACCAAAATCGATCTTATGACCGATGCATGAGCCGTCGAGCCAGGGAAACGTCAAGCGTTCAGCAGCACCCAATGGCGCTATCATCATCGCCAACACAACTGTTCTGGTCATCATCATCATCATCAGCTCCATCACCGCTGTCGCCACTTTCGCTTGGGACTCTAGGGCACCTTGTATACCAACCACAAACCGCCACAATTCATCGAAACATCAAGTATGTTTGCTCATACCATGTTGTTAAGAGCTACCTGATTAGCAGCTAGCACCAACACTTCCAAGTTCCGCTACCCAACAGTACGGACGATACGGATCAGTACGGAGATCAGTTAAACTTTCAACAAACCAACAAACCAAAGACCAGTGCATTACTACAAAAGATTACATGATTGGATGGCGGATAACTTACAACTACGTACGACACAGTCCGGTGTTTGCAGCCTCAGGATTCAGCAGCAGCAGCAGCAGCAGCAGCAACGGAAGCAGCGACAGCAGCAGCAACGGAAGCAGCAACAGCAGCAGCAACGGAAGCAGCAACGGAAGCAGCAACGGAAGCAGCGGCGGCAGGGACAGCCGTTGGCGGCGTCGTAGGCAGCAGGGCCGGCTTCTAGGTGAGGAAGGAGACTGGCATGTGTGGGGCTAGATGCTGCTTTCCACTTGCTGTTTGAAGGCAACAGATAGCTGAGTAACAATGGAAATGGAGAAGATGAGGAGTATCAGGTGGCTCATGTTAAAAGTTGTCGTGCGTACGGCGGTAGGGGTTCATTGATGCCCGTGATGACCGTGGAGGCCCTAAGGTTGGCGGCCTGATGTGTATTCATCCGGAGTTATCATCATCAACTTATTTTGCATGCCAAACTAAGGAGTACGCGCCCTCACCCTGCATGCCCCGTATGTTTCCCTGAAAATGCGTTGCATTAGGTCTTTTCGCAGCATTTTTTACCCAAACATTTGCGATGTGTAACTCATTGCTTGCAACTAGCGTATCATACCGTTAAGAAACAAAATATTAAAAGAAAGAATGCCTTAAGAGGACTTACCTCCCAATTCCCAACAGGATCCATTTCCGTACATGTACAGCATGCGCGGCTGTGCCAATACGCCAGCCTAAGACGAACACGTGGCGAGTCCTATTGTGAATACCTCTAGCTCATCTTGCTCACCTATCAGCAATACGCGCATGAACGCATGCCCCTTGAAACCTCAGGCCCCCGCACTCCTGCCACCTGTAGACGCCAGTATTCCCACGCGTCCACGCACATCCATCCAACTCGCCGCAGTGGCCCTACCAAATCCCCTCGCTGTTACATCGCATGCCTGTCAGCAAAGAAGTCGCTTACTTCGGCACACACGAGCGCGTGTTGCTCCTGCAGTATGTACGTCTGTACAAGCAGCAGTACATTCTTCAACCACTTGCCAACAGCGGGGCCTCGGCACTTGTCCAAGAGATCCTCTTTTAACAATATTACGGCGCATCCCGAAATGCATCCCGAAACGCATCCCGACAAGGCAGCAGTAGCCGTCGACAATTAGCATCCGCCCTGCCAGCCGAATCTCCCGATGCCGGGGATAACCACGCAGCCGCTGCGGACGTGAGAGTGGAAATAAAGGAACAGCAGCAGAAGCAGGAGAAGCAGCAGCACGAAGCACATTTACCAAGGAAAAACAATACAACAGGCCTAATAATGACTCATTCACATTTGAGCCAGGTATTGAGACGAGGGGCAGTATTAAGAAGTACTAGAACAGTTCCTTCTTCTCATAATCATGAGGCACGGCTGGTTCCCTGAATCCCTCGAATGCGCTGTCAGTCGCATGTGTCGCTGACTGTTATGTCATGACTTCGCGCGAGCACAAGGAGTTGTGGGAATAATTTGAGCAAGCCAGAGCGGAAAGGGCTTGTACCAATCGGCGGATGCATATTCCGTGGTAGGCCCTGAATACTTACACTCACTGAGACCATGCATTAACCCCATCGACACACGGGTCGCTTACCTGCCCTGGGCCTTGTCCACTTGAACTTGGACATATCCAGTGTTTATTTGTACCTGATCGAGCGTCCGGTCCAGGGGCAGCGGAAAGGAAACGAGGGGGAGGTCTTGAGGGTGTACGACGGGTTGTGGAGCCGCTCGGCGGCAGTGTTTCCGAATGCCCTCGAAACATGGAAACGACGGAGGAGCGGTGCTATGCAAGATGCAGCATATCCTTAACATTAATGTACATACAGGCATACATCTGCGGGAATGGAGTTTTCTTGCAACTGCACCCAACAAGGTGATTATGCTGGCAATAGGGCCGAGGATAACGAGTTTAATGATTAATAGCAAGGTTAATGATTGACGGTCGACGGTTGACGGTTAAGGGTGAGGAGTCGGTTAGCGGGTTGTGAGCAGAATGGAAGCGCCCCTCGTTCTCCGTTAGTTCGTTTACCGGCTAACTAAAACAGGTGCCCCAGACAGTCAGGCATCTACTCGGACATGATTTGGGAGACGCACAACCGATACAACAAAGCTGCAAAATACAGATACAATACCGGGTCTGAGCGCGGTGTGCCGGGTGCAGCCTGACCCAGGAGGCCACGCCGGTTCCCAAGACGGTCGCTGCCTCCTTTCTCGCCGGAACTAAGGGCCCCCTGCCAGCTTGTGTCGCCAGTCATGGGAGCTGTCACACCACCACTGCGTGACACGGCATAGTCGGGCAGGTGGGCGGGCGGATGATGGTGGGTGCAACAGGGTGTGTGCGACGAGTACTGGGGCAGGGCCCACAAAGTGCACACTTTCCCGCATATACTCACGCAGGCAGGCAGGCAGGCGGGTAGGGAGGTAAGCCTGGAGGGGTGACACGTGTCTTGCATGGAAAGCTAAGGATAGATGCAATCCGGGAGTCGGAGGAAACATGCCTGGAATTCCCTACTCAACACCGCAAGTGTGGACGAACACGTTCCTCTCTTAGGATGACGGGTGGCCGGTGGCGCTTGACGATGTGTAATATTAATCAACACAAAATTAAAGAACACCGTGATGCCAGTACGACGACATAATTGAGAAGCGACGCCATACCTGGGAACCGTTACGGGGATTCCTAGTGCATCAGCTGAGCTGCCGTCACCGCCGTGGACTCGCAGCTTCAGGCAGTTCACCTACGACGGACGTCGGGGTGCGGCGGATGAGGAGGGACGGAAAGCGAAAGAGGGTTTGTAGTCAGCTTTTAGTCCGACACTTGCTTCCTGAAAGGGCACCGCACAGCTGCCACGCAAAGAGATTGGCCGCGCCACTGTCTACGTCGGCGCCACGATAATATGGGAGTCATGTATGTCCTCCGAGGAATCAGCCATTAAGGCCAATAAGGCTCCTAGTCCCTGAAGGCCCCGAAGGCAGCTGCCATGCCAAAACCCCTTCACCGGTGCTGTCGAGGCCTTCGTCGCGGTGTCGTACGTCTCCTCGTCATCCGCATCGACGTCGACGCTTGCCTTTGCTTGATTAGGCACATCGACGGCAGCTCTGAAACCCCCCCAGGAGCCTCCCGAACACACAGCAGCGCCCTTCTCGGTGCTGAGGAGCCGTGAACGGTGAGTAACGGGATCTACTGATGTACTTGTGGTGGGCTGCTGCTGCTGCTGCTGCTGCTGCTGCTGCTCCCGCTGCTGCAGTTGCGGTTGGCCGCGCAGTCTGCTTGTGCTGCTGGCACCGGAAATGGTACCGGAAGGGGCGGCGTCGTCGCCATCGCGCGGGGCGGCGGTGGTGATGCCGACGGCAGCGTCAGCCGTGGAGGCCTGGGAACCGATGTGGCCTGTTTTGGCAATGGCAGTGGAAGGTTGGAAGGGCGATACCCATCAACCGTACGAGGATGCACTTGCACGTTGCAGATGCCAAGGATCATTATTCCTTGGTGGCCGTTGGTTGGCGCTGGCTGGCGTTGCACGGATTGGCATCAGACCTAACGGGTGCATGAGCTGCCGATGAGTTATATATCCTCAGTTCAAGCCATGGCGCCGTGTGTGTGGAGCTTATGGTTAAGTGAGGACTCCATCACAGTATCGTACGTGCACTTGTAATCCTTTTAAGCGATCTTACCCTGGACGTGACTTGGCCGTGACTTGTCCGTGTCACACATGTCACACATGTCACACAAAGTGATAGTACATAAGACATTTTTGCAGAAAAGGAAATCATCATCGGCTTTCGACTAAGCCTACGCCGAAGCGCTCTATCTACCCGAAGCGTTTTTTTCCCCAAGCGGTGTTGTCTGCCAGCGAATTGGTGATTACGGACCTTCCTCCCCAAACAGTTTAAACGCGTCCATTATTGTCTTCACACCGGATCATGCAATAAAAGTTGGGTCACGAGGCACGCAACGAAGGCTCATCGGATCGCCGTGCTAGGAATCCGATGGAATCCGGCAGCAATCAAATCGACAGCAGCAGCAGCAGCAGCAGCAGCAGCAGCAGCAGCAGCAGCAGCAGCGCCAGACGCCCCGCCAAAACCGCTGCAACCAGCCCGCCCCTGCCTCTGGTCGTCACAAATTCATACCCCCGCTCAAACGAATGCCTTGTCACCAACACCGCAACCAGAAACATAACACACCTGAAGATTGCACACCACAAAAAATTACTCGATTGCAGCGCTAATACGACACGGCACACCACAAGACAGCACGCAAAGCCACAGGCAGGCCCCAAGGTAAGCGGCACGGACAGGCCACTTCCATACAGGCACGCGCTCAGACACGCACCTGGTACCACGCCTGGGCTCGTGACCGAAGGATTAGCCCCGCCAGCAGCCCCGCTTTTATACTGCTGGGAGTTGGACCCCGGAATTCTCGCAGCACCTGTCACCAATGATAATTCATGGCCAGAATTGTGACCACGATGCCGCGGTAAAAGTACATTAGAAGATACGGCGGAGAGCCGGGAAGCAGCAGCTATAGAAGCAGCAGCGCATAGTTGAGGGAGTGTGTTGCATCCTTTGTGTGAGTGTGAGTGTGTCGCAACCTTGTTTCCAGTGCTGGTTGTGAATGTTGCCTCTCGTGTGTGTGTATGAGATGAAATTATCCCGGCATAGCATTTGTGCTTTGAGAAACGGATGCGACCTCCTGGATGCATGATCTGTCGAACTATCGCTCATCCATAGCCGAGTCACATAACCCGTCTTGACTGCCCAGTAAGCCCCCAGGCATTTGCACTGCCTCTTCGGGCTTTGCTATCTAGGATCCACGGAGCCCCTCTGTACGTGTTCGTACATGTCCCGTACAGGTACGTGCACGGGTCACATGGGTGGGTGCGGCAAGTTACAGGTCCATTATTCGAAGACGCATGCCATGCGTGTTCCCAGAGGTTTTCTTCTCCACCTCGCCCCCAGTGGGATTCTGTTCCCCACCATTCCCTCCTCACACTCCAATATTCGAAACCAAGCCAAGGGTCAACGGCATCAGGCGACCTCTAATAGAGCGTGACGCACATACCAGTTTGGGCTGAGAACCCCAGGATGACCATTACCGCAGCCGCCAGCACTGCTGCAGCCCGACAGCGCGCCAGCGACGAAGATGGCGGCGCCTGCGGCCATAGGCCGCTGTGTCGCCGCCGTATGCTGTGGGCTTGGACGTCGGCTGCGTTGATCATGGTCCGCATGGCGAGTTGTCGTACGGTACGGTATGATGGTATGACGAATGGGATTAGGGACAAAGACGGGGCCTGGTCGATTCCTCCAACAGATGCGCTGTTAGGCGACCAGTGTTGAACAATGGGTGCGTTTGCCTGCTAGTCGCCGATTTTGCAAAGGCATTGTATGGGGGAGGGTCAGGTACTCAGCTGCTTTGATTTTGCTAAAGGATCGTGCGGGCAAGGGGAGGGGAGCCGATAGGACAGTTGAAGTTTTAAAGATTGAGAAGATCAGACGCTCATGCAACAATGCAGAGGCTTAGCTTAAGAGCATGTGAAAAGGTGTGTGCCTACCGCGCACAAGGGTGCGAGGCTGGAAAGGATTGGACCCAAGAGGAGTGAACTAGAAAGGATTGGAGAGGCAACGCACCCACCTGCTGTTAGTAAATATCGTTATAAAAACATTTACGGATCCTACTATCTTCAATATAACTTATTAGACTGGCACGAGCAGTACTTTTAGTTCATTAGCGATACTGGGAGCTTGGCCGTCCAGCTGACTAGCTCGAACAACCAAGGCTAGTTAGTCGATACGAGACTGAGTGTCCTTGCCATCAGTGAAAAACTTATATCTGGACCTCTGGGTACGCGGTATGTCATTATGCATGCACCTTTGATTATGTTGTACCCGTATCAACAAGCAACTTTCTTGGCAGTTGAGTCGGCGACGAAGAACGCGCTGCGATCGCTGTGGCAGTGAGCGAGCAGTCTGTAGTATCATGCGACTGCAACAAAATATATTAAAAGTCGTATGAAGCGAGTAATTGTGTTTTACTGGCGTGTTGGGTGGCTGTAGATGCCCGCAGACTTCCGGTCGATGTGCGGTACACGTACCATAGCGACCGGCACGGCCCGACATAGCCTAACTGCATACGACAATGTCCATCTCCACATACTTGAAGACATCATTTCGCATGCGTCATTCGCCAATCGCTTCCTATGCTTGCAAGGAATGCAAACTGATACCGGTACTTTGACTTGACTTGGTTGTAGATTTTTCCAGGGCGTCACCGACGCCTCGCAACCTTGGACCTCCAAAATATCACGCCTGCGGAACTCGAGCGTACGACGAACGGCCCTTTGGAACCTTAAATTGACCTTGGACGCTTGTCAAAGAAGACTCGATGTCGATTGTGCCTATTCCACAGGCAGATTCGAGAGGATCTAAAGATTGCAAAACATATTGTTGAGCCAGGTCATCATGTTATCAATCTGAAGTCCTATTTCCCCGGATCTTTGAAAACCACGTATTCTTGAGCTGGTCAGGAAATACATACTTCTGTCCCAGTCAGTTGGCTGCCCTCATCATAGATATACTTCAAGCAATAGTCGCTAAACAAGAGGGCAGCGCGCAAACTCTTAAGAAGTGCAGCGGCTAACGACAGACTCACAGATTGCAAAACCTAACACAGACCGAAAGGTGAGTGCTCTTCACACCGCCGACCATCTGATCCACCGACCATCTCCTACACGATAAGGGTTTAGTGTAACGCATGCGGGCGACATTTCCGCTTCCCAACAAATCAAGTGCTTGTCTTTTGCCTTTTGTCTTTTGTCTTTTGCCTTTTGCCATTTGTCTTTTGCCTTCCTGTCATGCAAATCTTTGCAATATATGACTATACGTCCCATAATTCTACTGTGCGCTTGGCCCAGACGTGCGCTAGCCTCCAGGTCGCCCGGTGGACAGCGACTCCTGTTGATCGCCTAGAAGATGAGTTGCACGAAAGTTCGGGGTCTGAGCCGCGCGGTGACAGCGGCGGCACAGCGCCTGTTAACGGCGGCGATCCTGGCCACGGCAGTTTTGGCGCTATGTCAGCTGCATGTGATCACCGTTGGTGAGTGGGCTTGAGTTGTCAAAATCCGTTTCTTATGTGGGGTCTTCAACACTGTGTAAACAGGTTTGATTATGTTCCCGCCTCGCTCTGTGCTTCGACTGTTGGATCAAAAGTTACTCGCTGTTTGATCTTGAGTGTTGCGTCACGCGACAATCAGAGTTATATTCATATAATCTACACATTTCAATATGTATGCCAGGGGCTACGTCGGCGCTGGTGTCGCCGACAAGGATTGTGGCTCGCGCGCGCGAGCGAGCGAACATAGGAGCGATTCACACTCCCAATATCTCGTATTCTCTATTGAGTGATAGGATAAGTAATATTTTGCTTTATTTTGCATTTTTATCCTTTTGGGGCAGCCTTATACTGGCCCTAGAGCCTCCGGCTCGTATGGGCCCTTATGCCTTCGGAGAGTAACGCCAGCTCTTGTGACACGCGCATACTCAAACCCGTTTACGCGATGATATGTATCTTTCATTCTCTGATTAATTCTTATCACGCAACACCTGGCCATGGCCGTTCTGGAGGTTGTATGTTATCGCGCCGGCTGGCTGGTCCCGCTGGCTGGCTGGCTTATGTCCTCTGTTTATGCCAGCATGAGTTCTTCTTCAAACAGAACATGTTATGCAAGTTGCTGCTGATGCTGCTGTTGCTGCTGTTGTTGCTGCTGATGCTGCTGCTGCGCTGGGTGATCGACCGTTTGCGATCCTGATTTGACCTCAACCCTTGTAGGAGCCAGCCGCGACCTGTTGACTTCCGGTAAGTAGGTCATTTGTTTCGGGCCTTATTTGAACCGACATCTCTGAAAATATCTTCGAAAGCAAATTCCTGCAACTTAATATGCCGACCCGGATTCGTAAGAATGCACATATGTGCGCGAGACTCACGTTAGCTTTGCCCTGCTTATGTAAACCATTCTGTACGACTGCGTACACAACAGACGGGGGTCCTGTGAACGTTGGGCTTCGCGTGAATGTGCCCGATCAGGGTACGCCCTCAAGTAATGCAGGTAAGACAGTAGCAGCTGTGACATTGTTAGCCTATTTTACCGTCTCTGTGCCGTGTATGTGTCTATATTGAGTAGCACGTCATGCTTCAGTACTGAGACCGCACGGCGTGCGTGGGGTCACGTGGGAATGTTTCGGCCCGTATATGATTATTATCTGACGCGATTTGGAAGATACAGAGCTGCGAGATGATATTGTCTAGCGAACAATTTTCCATCATTCTCAGCTATTTCTCCGATGTTGTAATGTCTGGCGGCTCATGGCTTTACAGGCACGCAGCAGCCGCAGCAGCCGCAGCAGCAGGCCAGCAATGGAGGCGGCGGCGGCAGCAGCAGCGGTGGAGGTACAACAATGATTTTGACTAAGGGCGTCCAGGTGGTGGTTCCATGTACGGCAGTCAAAGTTGGTGTCGACGGCAGTGGCGGCGGTGGCGGTGGATGCGCCAGCGGCAGCAGCGGTGGGGGAGCTGTTCAGGGCGCTGCGCCTGGTGGCGGCGGCGGCGGCGGGCAGCAGCAGCCCTCCGGCACTGGCAGCGGCAGTGGCACTAATGTGCATGTGACGGCGCCCTTCACTACCGTCTCCGTCGTCGGCGGCCGCAGCGGTGGCGGCGGTGGCGGCGGCGGTGGCGCCCCCACTTCTCCTAGCGCCGGTGGCGGCGGTGGCGGCGGCAGCGGAGCCGATGTGCAGGTCACGGCTCCATTCACGACTGTTTCCGTTGACACTAAGGTATGCTGTGTCAAACCATCTATCGTACCGCCATCCAGGCGGTAAGTAGTACGAGTAGCTCTACACCGTACCATACGCCCAAGCGATGCTGCATGCATTGGATGTATGATGTTATTACAGGGTGGTTCACCAGCGGCCCCCTTTCCCGAGGCAGTCCCTGCTCTCCCCTGCTAGAGGGGCACCCTAATGCATTCACCTCATCCAATTTCAGAATGTATTCGGTGGGTTCAGCAACTCACCACCAGCATCCAATGAAATCTAGCGGATCAACGGTGCCACAACTTAGTTCCTGGTCAGCTCGCAAGTTGATACAATCACGTCCTACACTCTTCATAAGATGGGAGGCCACCTCCCATTTCAACACTCCTCAAACACCCGAGGATTCGGCTGGCGGATTCGAACTAGGACACTTCGGGAGCAGAAGTCAGCTTAACGTCTATCATCCGCCTACAACAAAACTGACGAGGATGGGATTTGAACCCACGCCCTTACGGACTAGAACATTTCCTCCGGAACACCGGATAGTCCTGAATCTAGCGCCTTAGACCGCTCGGCCACCTCGTCACATGTCGACATATCAACTTCACACGTAATTACATAATTAGATAATGCGCAGGTTGTTGCAGCTGATGATGCTGTATGTTTGGCACCGGAGGGTGCTGCTTGCTCCCGCAGTCTCACCCCCATTTCTCTTGTTTATGTACGGTACTTTGCCATGGCAGGGGCAGTGGAGCTTCGGAAAGACTGTCAATTACAATCCGGGCAGGTAAGGTCGACGGAAGGAGGGGTACGAGGTCGGGGGCACAACCCGGTCTAGTGGAATGTGTTTTAATTGTTTTTTGCGTTTGATGTGAGTTCTTTGTGCTGTACTTAACACGCGCCGAAACAAGAAGACATGGTTATGCCCCCTAGGGCTTAGGTATGCCCACGTCATGTTCGCCTTGCTTGTCATTCGAGCCGCGTCCACGTTGAATGTCGTAAATCCTTTTAGGGGCACAGTTGATGATGGGCGCAAAGCACAACAGCCCATTTGTGATGTGCATTTTCCGCGAGCGACACGAGCACCGTCGTCGTTTTCAGCAGTGACTGCAGCGAGTCGACTTGTTCGACGTTGCTTGAACTAGGCGATTGCCAGTCCATACATGCCCTTGGGCCTTCGCACCCCAACATGTGTAACACACACGCACACAGATATGGCTGCCACCACGAGCCCTATACGGCCCCGGCTGGGTCAACATCCGCACAACCAACTGCCGCTGGCCTTTAGAGCCCTTCCCACTGGCCTTTCTCTCCTGCCCTCCTTCCTTCTCCCTTCTCACCCTTGCCTCACTCGGCGCCTGCCCTGTTGTCTGCGCTTTATCAGCAGCGGAGGCTGTTACGTTTGGGGTCCTTGGTTCTGGGGCTACGGCTGCGTGGACAGACGGAAGCTGCAGCAGCAGGTGTGTGATGTGCAGGGGTTGATAACGGGCGGGTATCGGTTGGAGGAGGGACGGGGGCAGGTAGGTGAATGCGCGGTGGGCAGTGCGGAAGCAGGGCGGGCGCTGTCAGGTGCATGACCGTACATTGCGTAACCGATACCATCTCTGCAACCGTACGCCGCGCAATCCGATCATTTCGCGACGTATTTAGGTACTGGAGTCGCGGGTTCTTTTCCTACCGTCCTGGTCTCGGAGGACAGAGAGAGCCCTAAAAATGTTCAGGCTCAACCTTCTCCGCTTCGCACTGCATTGTATGGTGCATTGTATGGCTTCCCGCGGGCAGGTGTTGGGCGGCGGCGGCGGCAGCAGCAGCACAGGTCGCACGTGAGTTCTACTAGGGTGCACGGCAGGTGGTGGGCCATGTAATCAGGTTTGTGTGTATGGGTCTAGCCAACCCATCTTGCATTACCAGCCGCAAAGCTTAAGTGTGTGTCACCTAATTGTCAACCCTATCGATCCGCATTGGACTTTTTGGCTACGATCCAGTAGTTATCTATCGGCAGATCGCACTTGACTTCCTCCTGCGGCCTCCCTTACCCCCCTCCACCACCCCGCGACGGCAATAACGCGAATATATTTATTACTGGCGTCCGCGTTCGCTGGCGCGCTGGGTTGCTGCCGCAGCCTACAGAGCGATACCAGGGTAGGCGGCTACTGCACGCTAGGGATGAGTGATTCTTAGGCGGCACGATGCATTCTAATTTGAGATTTTTGACAGCGACGTGCTTGGCAGTTGCGTATGACCTTTGAGCCTACCTTAAAGAAACAGGGAAGGTTCGCGTCCCTTCTTTGAATCGTACGCTAGTAGTAAGTACGCTAACGACGCGGTGAGATCGCACCGACTAGAATGATTATTGCAGGGATTCTCATAATTTCTTTTGGCCTGCTCAGTTTCGGGGTCTCGAGCGCGAATCCATATTAGCCGTCTGCTGTGCAAACGTCGATCCAACCCCTGCCTGCCCTTTCCCCTCCTTCTTCCTCCTACAACCTGGCCCCGACGCACGCAGGGAGTTAGGTGGGTGCCCTACATCTGTTTACGGCGAGCGGGCTGCCATTTGAGGACTTTTCGGCGTAAACCGGCAGGCGTGTCCAGCGACGAACTGCTTTGTCTTCTGTTCTACTTCTTATATTGCTTCGTACGGAATGCGGGTATAACCCATTTGAAAATGCACTGTATAGATGGTGCCTCTGGTAGATGGACAGTGGCCATTCAGCTGCCACATTCCCTCCCACTTGGCTCGTTACGTTTTCCCATGTTTCTTGCAGCGGTAGCGTGAGCGCCCCCTACACCCGAGTTACCTGGGGCACTGGACGTCGCCTCCAGAGCACTGGTGACTCCGCGGGAACTGCCGACACGGGGGCTGGCAGCCGGGGGCTGAAGCAGGTGGGGCGGTGAAGGGGGTTAATGGATGGGGGGGTGAGGGGGAGTGAGGGGGATGGGGGTCGCGTGCGGGGTACATAGGCAGATGGAAGGAAGATTGTATGATAACTCAATTGAGTTAGCGGTTTGCCGAAGAATGGAGAGAAGAATGGCGATGGGACTTTGCCCGATGCATGACAGTATTCTTGTGAACAGCGATGTTTTCTGATGCGGTTGCTTGTCCGGATCCCCCAACCATTTCCCCGGATGATGGCGTTTGGATTGGCGACGGCGACAACCCCAACGACAACAACAATGACAACGATGACGATGGTATCACCCCGCGCGCGGGCGGGTCATTGCGGATGTATGTATGTATCACCCGCCGCCAGGTCGTCGTCGGCGCCGGTCCCAAGTACGGAGAGTTGGTTGAATTCCGTTGGGTCCTGACTGGAGTGTGCGAAGAGGGCGCAGGGCTGATCAAGTGATACACATCCACAGTCAAACGGCAAAAACATGATCAGCTTCCTACCTTTTTTATTTGGTTGTCGGTTTCCCGTTGTTAGAAATTGTTGCCAGGCGTGTACCATGTACCAGACGCGCATGGTAATCGTCGCAACCCACACCGCGTGCTACAACCGCAGGGGCTATGTGAATGTCGGCAACAGTGTTCGGGTGCGCTGGAACGCTGGCGGCCGCCGCCGCAATCTGCAGAGCGGTACCCAGGTAGGCAACTGGCTGCCTAAATAGGCACGTGAGCTGGTTAGCACACCAGAGCGTCCTATAGTACGAAGTCTTATGGCACGTACAGCTGCCCTCAGGTCCAGCGCCACTAGTTCAATTTCATTCGTTTGTAGCCTGGCGCACACGTCGGGGTTGCATATCGGGGTTGCACATCCCGGTGGCGGTATCCCGAACGTCTCCCCCACCCCATGGAGCTTCCGAGCAATCATGCCAATGCATGTCAGGTAATGCAAGGCGGCGCCCTACCAGTTATTAAATTGCCGATTACTCCCCTCTGCCATCGGATCAAAGCCTGGACTGCCAACGTATGAGAAGATGGGTAGAAGGAAAATTAAGCGTTCGTGACAGCGTCTCGCGTAGTGGACTGTAGCAGCGGATTCCTGCAGCTCCCTGTCCTCGTAGCACGCCATCAACAGCAGGGTAGCCGCAGGATTATAACAATGGCCACAGCGGGAGTCGAACAGCGGTGCTGCGTCGTGTCGTCGTACGTACTGGCTTAACTGGATGTACTGCTGTATCGCCGTTTGTGTGCTTCGATGGGTGGCATTGGCCGCAGGGTTAATTCTGTGCACGGGCGATGCTATGGGCTGTAGATTCAAAAACACGGATTCGTTTCATATCGTTGGTGCAGATTAAATCGCATGCACGTCCTCTTGACCCGCACTCGCGCCCTGCTTCATGTTCCCTCCCTCCCCGCGTGTTACCATCACGTCCAGGTTTCTGTGAATGCCGGGCCGAGGTAAGATGAACGTATGGCAGCTTGGGACTTGCCAAGTTCTCTTGTTTGTTATTTAATTCGAAGCCATGGACAAAACACTGTCGAGGAATTCACAAGCGGGAGTTGCCTAGGTTACACAAGCTATGGCGGGCTCGCAGCCAGCTACCACCATCCAAGCCTGGCGTGCAATTCCTTGGAATTCTTCTTTCTTGCAGCGGTAGCGTGAGCGCCCCCTACGCCCAAGTTTCCTGGGGACGTCGGCTCCAGAGCACTGGTGACTCCGCGGGAACTGCTGACACGGGGGCTGGCGGCCGGGGGCTGAAGGAGGTGGGGGGGCGTTGGGATGGGGGATTTGGGATGACGGGGTTGACAGGTTACGATGTCCGGAAAGGTACATTGCAATGCATACTTGGGTTTCATTATCCGTACCGCACTGTCATCTGTGAGGTCTATGTGGGCCCCCGCGGCTGAGGTTCCCACGCTCTGCTATGGCATAGATGCCCAATGAGATGGTCTCGGAGCAGTCTGGGCCATCCTCGTACCGCAAGCAAGCTCAATGTTGCGACGTGCCAAAAGAATCCTGATCCCCCTGGATCAAAAAATCTCGGCGAAATGCATTGTTCTTGGCGTACGGCCGTATGGGCACGCCTTTAAGAATGTGCATGCGTTGCAATGGACATGCCGGACGAGCTGTCGACAGTGTGTTTGTGTGTGTTTTGCAGCTTCTGGATTGATCGATTCTCATTCGTTTCCTTCCTCAATTTCTTCCTCCTGGTTAACACGTCCTGAACCACCACCTCGGATGATGGATGATCTCCTCGGAGCCCAGGTAGTGGTCGGCGCGGGTCAAAAGTGAGTTGCGTTTGATGAACGGCCTGTGACGGTAAGGCTGCAGAAGTTAGAGGTCACACTTGTTACATGGATCCAAAACGGTCCTAAAGTACTATGATTACTTTTGCGATTTACGGCATCCTCTCTCCCGTGGAAGAGCCGCCGCTCTGGGCATGACGTAGGAACTTTACATCAGACTCCCCGGGTTTAAGCTCTTGCGTTTGTGTGACGTATGGCCATTAAACCGTTGATCTTCTGCTGAGGACGACTCCTTGGCTACCACGCCGAGCTGACGGCATGATGAAGTCGCAGTTTAGTGCACGCCGCTGACTGCACAACATGCGGCTGATTTTCCTTTTGCGCTGTGCACCCTGGGGTCGTTCGCCGTCTCCGCCCGCAGCGGCTTCGTCTATGTTGATGGACTGGTGGGGATGCAGTGGAGGGGCGGTCGCCATCGCCGCAGCCTGCAGAGCGACGGCGGCACAAAGGTAGGTGGGATTAAGGCATCCCAGAAGCGTCCCACCAAGCTATAGGTGGGACGCTTCTGGGATGCAGCGTGGCTATCTTGATGATTTAGGGCCTAGGATTTAGGGTTTTACGCGAAACAATGTAAATGCCGCACATCTCCGTTGTTGGGGAAATAGCACCCACTGCCATTTTCCCCTGTCGGAACTTGGCCAAGAATAGCTGGCTGGACGAGAATTTTTGGGTTACAGAAATGGGGAAAACGTTAGGTGACTTTATGGCTTGGTAGTTCAAGTATGTATTTGCACCAGGTAGGGATCGATTTCGGGACCCTTGTGGCATTCCGCATAAATTCATTCGGTATGATCAGGCAATTTTAACGCGGCAAAACCAAATAAAAGACGTAAAGAGTGAAGCGAGGAAAGTATCTAATGGAAGATAGCTACGCTGCGTGGATCTATCGTTGATGTCATGTTGTGCTCAAAGGGTTGACCCAGAGCGACACCTTTCCAGCTAATTCTGTGCTTTGGGTTTGCCATCATCTAAACCCTATTTACAATGGTATCACTTCCCCTGCATCGGTCTGCGCGTCATTCCAGAATTTCCCTACGCACACGCATCCCAAACTCAGTGTTGACAAGCACACTCCTGTCCCTCCCTCCCCTCCACTCGAATCCAAACCTCCGCCGGGGGCCGCCATACCCAAGGTCGATGTATCGGCAGGCCCTAGGTGAGTAGTACACATTGAGTGGTGGGCCCACTTGAGTGGTAGGTCCTCGTACGACATGCGAAGATTATTAAATTATTTGTTGCGTTGCCAGCCATATTCTGTACAATAAACTCTTGCCAATTGTTCTGCTGGCCATTCCTGGGGCAACCGTACGCACGGAAGCATCGAAATCTGGCGTGCAATTTCGATTCCCCGTTCTTGTAGCGGTAGCGTGAGCGCCCCCGGCACCCAAGTTGAATGGGGCACTGGACGTCGGCTCCAGAGCACTGGTGACTCCGCGGGAACTGCCGACACGGGGGCTGGCAGCCGGGGCCTGAAGGAGGTGTGTGTGGGGGGGGGGTGAGATAACGGGATACTAACCGTGAAACCGTGCAAAAACGCATGTGTGTGTGCGTTACACTTGCCAGCCGAAGGTTGTCGGTAATGTTCACATGTAGGATGTACAATGTACATGCGTTCGTCATTGTGCTGGCCGATTCAGCCACGTCCTGGTATACACGACTTTTCTGGGATGTACGACAGTGCGTGATGCATCACAGGACTTTTCTGGGAAAAAACAGCGCTACGTAGTGCATAGTGCATGGCGACAATAGCGGTGTAATTGGGCCTTGCTTGGGTGTTGTTGGGTTGGATGCGAGGTCGTGAAACGTGAAAAGGCATGGTATGTGGTGCGTGGAGTAAACATATCGCATGCAAAGTGCACTTAAAACCTGTTTGTCGCCTTCGTTCCGGTTTCGGTTTCCAATCAACCCCCGATCCTTGTGACGCCGATTCAACGACCAACTACCAACTACCGCGGCAACCACAATGGCGGCTGCTGCACTGCACATGTTTAAATGACCATGGGCAAATGTGTCCGCCTCCAGGCTTCCAGGTGAGGTTTGCAATTGAAAACGGTAGGAAAACGACAGTGCTACCGAAATAAAGGGAGGCCCTGGCATGCTGGCCTGGCTGAGAATGTTATGGGGGTAACGTCCGCGCTTCGAAGCACTTGCGATGCTCTTACGATCGGCTTGAGCGAAGCACATGCGCATGAAACGCAGCCGTCTGCCGGTTTTTCACCTTGATGGTGGCGTGGACGGACATTCATACGTTTCGGAAATCCTGTGAAATCCCACATGCCACCTACATTCGCACCCGTACAGCAAGGGCAACAACTACCCAACAACCACCGTTACAGCTCCAACGACCACCGTTACAGATACCAACAAGAAGGTGAGGATATGCCTGGCCAATTTGGGCGTCTGCGAACTGCAGCATGTGGGAAATCGTGGGGAACTGCTGGCCTTGTTACGCGAGAGCCAAACCCTAAACTGCGGTACAGCCAACTCGGGGTACAACCTCCGAGTTTGGTTGATACCTGTGTGGCACACCAATTTCCATGCAATAACATATTACATAATATGTAACATGTAATAATATAATGATAATGATAAAATAATGATAATATAGTATATGATTGTATATATACGTATGGCCCGGGCTCCTGGCCGGTACGGTCAATACGTCTTGATGGCCCAAAATAGTACCAAGTGCTTTTCGGCCGTTCGCTCACGCCGTGTACAGACGACGGTAAATACTGACTGGGCGGACGTGACGGTGAACAAGGGCGACGGCAGGTAAGGCTGCAACGGTAAGGAGGGACACGCGGTTAGGGGTTAGGTATTGGAGGTTAGAATTTTGATAGTCGGGGACCCCGTGGGGGGGGGGTTCTGATCACTCTTCTTCACATTCTGGAGTCCCACCAAAGTCCTCGCTTGTCCGGGGTTGTGGGTAGATATACTCCTGCTGTGTGCGACACGGACGGGTGCATGGGTGGGCGCAGGATGCAACAGCTCCCACCTCGCACATGCAGCTGTATGTTCCTGATCCACCACATCCTGAACACCATAGCACTCCTTAGCAATGGCTGGTGCGGTCCATGGCTCCCATGCATGCACACACCTATTTCTGATGCCGGACTACCTCGCGTTTTCCTGCCTCCTTGCGTTTTTGTATTTTCTCTGCACAGCAACAGCCAAAACAGCAATACTAATACAAACAATAACAACAACAACAACAACAACAACAGCAATAACAACGGTAACGGCAACAGCGGCTGCGTCACCGCTCCGTACACCAGGGTGACTTGGGGCAAGGGTTGCAAGTGAAGAGGGAGGGTGTCCTTCATAGAAACATACGGAAGCAACGAGGGTCGGGAGAACAGGCGGAGTCGTAATTTTTGAGAATGTATGTAGTCGGGCTTTAATTGTTGAGACAGTATGTATAAGGCGAGAAACAGCAGTCGTATGAATTCGTTGAGGTTGTGCACATGCGTTGCAGGACGTGTGTACTTTGCGTTTGTAATTTGTGTACATGTGTTGAAGAACGCGTGTAATTTGTTTCCTCATAAAGCGTTGCGCAGGTAGTGCGTTGCTGGCAAATAGAGCAGCGGGATGGGGCTGTTGTAAATAAATCGGGATGAAAAGCATCTGACCTGGTTGTGCCAGGGGTTGATTACGTGTCGTTGTTTTTCCGCTCTCGCCATCGCTAACGTTAACACAGCCTGTAAGGATGTGTTCATGCGGTTACCGAATGCCGATGATAGCGCGTTTTCTCCTCTTGTACATGAAGCTAAGTTTACATGAGGTTATTGTTGGCGTTACAAGAGGTATTGGCACGGGTACAATACTTGCATGCGCGGTTGGCAACGCAACGGCAACGGCAAGGGGCGAAATTCGCACGTTGTTCCGTGCGTGATGTTGATCCAAGCCCAACGACATTATTTTTTGCGATGCAGTGTAGTCCTTCTCGACCTGTAGGGGAAGGGAAGTACCTCCCCTGTGTGAAGTTCATGTTGTATAGCACTCTCGTCCAGCACGCCTCCTTTCCCTACTCGCCATTGTCTTGTCCGCCGGCTTCCAACCCTGTATAGCGTTGCGAGTGTCTGCGGGAGCACATGTATCCAGTCATACCAAAACGATCTAGCAGGGACGTGGAATTGGGAATGACATGACATGGGGAGGTGCAGGAGAGCAGGTGGAACAGAGCGGACGGGATAGTGCCGTATGCCTGGTTTGTTCTTTATTTGTTGTCGGAGTTGGAATTTCGATTACTGGGTTGGGTTTGGGTTTTTGATGGGAGGATAAGGCGCATTTATAGTGTCTAATAAGGGTATCGAAGTTTAGGGTCAGTAGACAGATGAGTACGTGTACTTGCGCTGTGGTGCAAACAACCATTTCACCTTTTGTAAGCACACATTCGTTGCTCTCGGAAACCCTCTCCCGTAATGGCGCAGTCTTGGATTTCAGCGACCTAGATTCTTAGATATCATCAACCTTGTTGCATTAGTGTAAACGAAACACGGATCAGCAACACGGATTCGTAATGGCTCGAGGGCGGCTTGACATGCGTCTTACAGCTGCAACGTGTGATCCTTAGGATTGGAGAGGTGTTGATGCGTATACGCCGCTTGCTGGGCAGGACATCAGTAACACGAAGCGGGCGCTACTGCGTGCAGCTGCATCCCAGCCAAACCCAAAGTACGTACATATATGTTTGGTGTTGTAGTTTTAGCTGGCCGTTGGAAAGGCCTTCTCGATATGCTGCTGGTGAAGCGCTTCGCTGATTCGCTGATACGCTGATTCGTGTGCCGTACTGTGTACCAGCTACTGCAGGTATTCCCTGCAAAGCCTTGACAGCTGCTACAAGTCGGCGGTGTTATTCACCGTCGCGTGCACATTTCACAGCACCATCTCCCGAAAGCATGGTACTCAGCAGTTGAGGAGCAGTGCGACATTGTACGACGTGACGACTGTGATGTAAGCTGGGCACTACCTCTAGGATGTAGTGCGCAGCCGTTGATTGCAACATTGCAACGCAGACACCAATATGTTGTACGCGAAGGGGAGCAGATGTTTAGATGTATGGGTCATGGTTGTACATTTGTTAAAGGACCTGCTACATGACTCCTGGGGCAGATCCCCGACATTGGATGTTGTTATGGTTAGCTGCTGAGACGCCGAGGTGAGGTCACAGTTGATGGACTAAGTCTCGCATGCTGGATAGATGGCGATTGCTGAATCTTCTGTATCTACGGATGTTCTAGTGACTGGATGAGGCGGGATCCAAAGCCGCCTTGAATTTTCAGTTCATACGGCGGAATTAGCTTTCAATATATGGCCTAATGGCCTAATGGCCATGGCCCCCTGGCCTTCACGGACAACACCCGCCGCATTCGTGCAACTTGTAACCTTGTCGGCACACTCATCCGGAGCCGCCGGATGTGCCGGATCCGTCTCCGAGAAATACAGTCTGTTATGGATGCCTTCATGTGGGTTGCATGGATTATGGGGCACACTGGCCACCATCGCACTTTACTGCACATGTGGCAGCGGTCATGTAGTAGCTGGCCTCGCTGAACAGGCATCCCGAGATGCTGGTGGAGCGCCTTAGCGCGTATTGTAGACGTCATGTGTGCCGTGCTATGTATCAGCTACTACAGGTCAACTGGGAGGGTGTGCCACCTACGTCCCGCTTAGGTCTGTAATATTGACAACCATTCGCAGGTTTACTGCGTTACACATGCGAAGTGAAAAGAAATTTTTTTGGAGTGGCATAAGTTGCAGTTACACACATGACATTCTTAGGGACATGCACGCAAGGCGCTCTGCGTGCGCAGGGATAGTTTATAGCCTCAAAGCATATGGCGCTGGGAATTGCAGAAGACCACAATGCTGTCCTCACCGTCGCATACTAGTCGCCCCTTGACGCGCCATCAATCGCCCAAGTTCTCTCCTTCACCTTATAATTTAGTACTGCTAGCTGCAGGAACTTACGTAATTGCTGGAGTAGCCACTCCTGGAGGATGAGAATTTGTGATTGCAAGGTTGCAGGTGTGCGTTCGGGTAGGGGCACAAATGACTCAGAAAGTGCAATATCCCAGCTTTTCAGTAGGGTCCGAGCCCGCCCCCGGCTGGTGGGTGGCCTTGTGCCACGGTTAGATGCACAGCCCGAAATGTGCGTCGGAGAGCTACCGAAGAGGGTTCCTGACGGGGGGGTGAACGTACAAACACATGCCAGTGGACTTCGGGGACTTCGGGGAAACAAAATGCTGGTGACTCAAAACCCTTTCACCCTTAATACATGCCAGAGTTCAGGTCCTGGAGTAAAACTTCTTTATTTATGTCGTAATTTGTCTTTTCCAAATGCTGGCAGACATTCTTGCGATGTCGCCAGCTTCAGTCAGGATTGGATGGCTTTCCGACTACTTTGTAATGTTAATCAGGATGCATGCAACAGTAAGGTAAACTGGTAAAGATCAAATCTTGGCAGTCACACATGGCCACCTGGTTCTGTGGAGAAACCTGTCGGTCAACACTCGATCCAGCAGTCATATACTTTTTCCAAGTCCTCGAACGGCCTGTAAAGCCCATGCTGTTATAATAACTTGTTTTAAAGTGCAACTTAATAGACGTTTTTTGCCATGCTTAACGCTTTGTCGCGTGACTCGCGATGACCTTTCTTATGTAAAGGATAGGAAACATCATGCCTGGTTGCCATAAATGGTAACCATAAGCTTCAGAATTCTTATGGAGCTGGGTAGGCTAGGTATACGTTGAGGACTGGGGATGTCTCGGCCAACAGCTCGGTTTCCAACCCTGTTGGATGAGAAGCTTTTCTCAGACATCACCTCAAATGTTGACAGCCCAAGAAAGGCTGCTTCATTGTCTTCGGCCTCGTCGGCTCGCGCGTCAGGGTCGGCGACGAATGCCCTCACCAACTATCTTTCTAAGCAAACCCTCAATCAAGAGGCCCCGGACATCCAAAGCCGTGCTTCCAAGGATTTAGCCGAACGTCGCCACGTCACCTTCGCGTCACCGCTGGCGCAGCACGCCGAGGATAGGTTGTCGGCGTCACTGGACGTGCATGAGCAGCAGCCATGGGAGAAAGGACATCCGCGGAGGGAGCGACACGAGGCTGTAAGGTCTGTCTAGCCGCACAGTCTCAGAGAGCAGCACGATTTCAACAGGGATACTTATGCTGTGGTCTATAGACACATAACCCCACCACCTTTCTTGCCGCAGCACATCCTTGCAGCAGCTCCCTTCGAGGGCCCCAGCCGGCCGCGCGGACAATGCAGCTCTTGAGGAGGAACGCAAGAAGGTGCGTGTACATCGGTGCGCACGTTGCGCACCCTGCACAACGTGCAATCCAATCAAAGCCATGGTGGCGTGTTGGCGTGTTGTTGCCTGTCCCGTAATGTATACCCACCCATCCGTTACAGCATATACGTATCCCTATAAAATTGGGCGGGAAGATGCATACCAGTGGACAGTTATCTCTACTGGTTAAGATCTGCGTGTGACAATACACATGTACAAGTTACAAGTGCCGCACGAGTGCGGGGGTGTCCGTCAAAGCGGGGAAGCCATGGACTGTATATATTGGAAGTTGATTCCACCGTACAACCGATGGTGGTATTTTTGGTCCTGCTACCTAGACCAACCTCATCCAGTCACCCGACATCCGATGAGACAGGTCATCCATCGCCACCAATCCAGCATGCGAAACTCAGTCCATCAACTAGACCTCATCTCCATATCTTAGCAATCCGTACACCTACTGCTCCCGATCAATGTCGGGAGTCTGCCCAGGAATCGAACCTAGATCCTTCTGCCGATAATTGCCGTCAATATTTAAGCGGAAAAAGCCCGAATCCGATCTGCCTGGATCGAACAGGCGACCTAAGGATGTCAACATGTTAATGATCAATTACAGTCCTTCGCTCTTCCAGCTGAGCTAAGATCGGGAACACGACAGATGCAGGGGAAACTACACTATATATAAGCAAAAATCACCTCGCTGTTTTCTCCTGGTGATGTAAAATCCATGCTGTCGGCACCTCGCCAAGCGGCATCCTAACCGGCGTGTTCCGGTTTCCGTGTACCGTGACACCCTCGCAGGTGGGAAAGGAGAGCTCCCTCCGAGCTGAGCTACTGCGTGCCGAGCAGCAGCGCGCGCTGGAACTGCTGCAGCGTGAACGCGCGGCGGTGATGGCTGCCACCGTCAGCGCAGACGAGCGGCTTCGGCGTGCAGAGATGGAGATGATGGCGCTATCACGCAAGGAGGACGAGATGCGCAAGGAGCTGGATCGGGCGCATGAGCAGGTGCTTGCCTGTGACCGTACGTCCGTGCATGCTTGCGGTGCTTTTCCAGCAGTATTCGGGAAGAAATTAGAAGGTGCAAAACGCGGTGGGAGGATTTCATTCATGTGGTTTGTCTCCATTGTCATTCATGTGGCAACCCTGCTGTCCTGTTATGAATTGCTGATAGCTGCAGGAAGCCCAAAGGAATGTGGATGCGGTATGGCAGCGGAACCCTACAAGCCTGGCTACGTCCGTTGTGTCCACAGGCACAGAGTGTGTGTGTGTGTGTGTGTTAAATTTCTTTTGTCCGCCTCCCCAGCTTGCACAGCGCGAGTATGAGGTGGCACAACGGGAGCTTTCGGTGCAGTCTGCGGAGGAGATGGCGCAGCGCTTCAGCGCAAAGGAGGAGGCGTTGCGGCAGCATGAGCTGGAGCTTCAGGCGCAGGAGGCGGCTCTGACGCGGATGCAGCATTCCACAGAGCAGGTATTGGTGGCGGGTGCCGGCAAGACACCAGCTTTAGGGGCAGCAGAGCATTGTCCCACTTCCAGTGATCTGCCGAAGTCGTGATATCCGACTCCAATCAGCTCCGGCGGTCAAAACTTTATGTGATGCAGTAAGCATAACGTTGGGGTGCACGTAAAGGAGCGGTCGCGCACATGGCACACACCTATGTAATTCCTACCGCATGCATCGAACCAGCAGCTGCGGGCGCAGCCATGGTTATACCTCTTTTGGTTGTTTCCCCGTCCTTGTCCCGTTAGGCAAACCGGGAGGCGGAGGCGCTGCGGGACGCGTACAAGGAGCGTGCTGCGCGTTTCGCCTCCAAGGTGCGGGAATGGGAAGAGGAGCGCGCGGAGACACGGCGGATGCTGGACGCGGAGGCAGCGGATCTGGAGCAACGGCGCCAGAAGATAACCCTAGAGCTGCACGTGAGCCCGGTCTTTCCATGGACTTGGGGAACGGGTTTAGGTGGGTTATAGTCAACTACAGGCCCAAATGTGGGTGCTGTGCACTTTATACGCATCAGGGACGTCAGCAATACAACACCGGGGTCTGCGACTGCAACACCCGGTCTTGCTATACCGAGGAAAGCACTGCCGTCTCGTTTTGGGGATATGGTAAAGGATTGACAACAACGACTGCCGTGGGCATAGCTGTTTAGTCCTTCCCCGGTGCCATATGCGGAAGTACCCCGCGCCTGCGAGGCTAGGCCCCAGTTGACCCAATTGGGACTTTACCGCTGTTAGGTGGAGTGCGTTCGCTTCCTTCCCCTGCTATCTTATCTTGCACTGCCCAATTCTAGGAGCGGGACGCCACCGTCACCCTGCGTGAACAAAAGTTGGCTGTGGAACGCAAGCGCTTTGATGACGAGCTCGCGGCGCACCATGCTGTCAGCAGCGAGCAGCAGCGTACTCTAGCAGCAGAGGTAGAGGGGGGCCGTGCCCAGGTGAGGCGGAGGTTGCGGGGTGGCGGTGGATAGGGAGATAGATGGGTGGCCGAGGAGATAAGCGAAAGCGGCAAGTGAGAGGAAGCAGTTTAGGAGGGACAGGGGAAGAGGTGGTAGAGCTTTGGCTCCTTGAGGCCGGGACACGGCTCAGGTGCGCGGTAGGAAGTCGTGAGGGCTGCGATCGCCCGTCCAGGCGATGCTCACGGACACCGCTGCCCCTCCGTGCCAGCGGAGTTTCATGGGAGATAACCTCTCTGGAACAACTTCCGAGTCAAGATTATCTGAATGTGGCCAGAGCCAGTCATGAAACCTTAGGACAGGCGCTCTCGGCTTGGTGTCGAGGTGCTTGGTGGACAGAAGTACACATAAGAAGGGCTACAGATGCTAGATGTCCTAACGAGCGCCATATCCTACGAGCCCATGCTTGGCTGTGCCTGTGGGCGGCGGCACGGAAACTTTCCATCTTGCCATCTTTCCTGAATATGTTTAGTAGGGTTCACAGGACCCCTGTTCACAGGACTGAGTTTGGCTCGGCGGTCTCTCTGGCCTTTTCAGATGTGCCGGGGTCTCATGCGGCGCTTGCCAGGCGTTGATCTTCTCAGAACCCCACGATGGCTGGCCCCCAGGTTAAGGTGCTCACCAGCGAGGTTATGCAGCTGCAGGCAGCGCGGGAGGAGAAAATGGAGCAGCTCGACTTAGTCACCAAGCAGGTCAGCATGCCCCGCGGTGCACCGCCGCCGCGAGGGATGTCCTGCATGGCTTTGCTCGCATCCCGTCAATCTGCATTCATCGCAAGCGGTCCGGGCCGTGCCCATGTCAGTTGCACCCCTTATCCTGGCACCGTGCGATGCAGTCTTGACGTAGAAGGTTGCGGATTCGGGTTGCCTCCGTACTGTCTCTTTTAGGAGCCGTGGGCAGCTGCTAGCCCATCGCCACGAATCCCTCTGCTTCCCTTCATCCCCATGATCCTCCAGCTCGAGGACATGCGACAACAGCTGGCCCGCCTTGCCGCAGCGCGCGCCGTCGCAATCGATGATGCACGCATGACGGAGACAGCGGCACGGCAGGCTTTGGACGAGACGCAGGGCAGTTTCAAGACACTGCAGCAGGTTAGCCTAAGGCTGTGGGCTTTCACAAGAGGCATATGTTGCATACAGCTGGGCCTCCATTGTTTTCACTAGGTGTCATGCGCGCTCTGGCTAACCCCATCAGCGCATCGCGGATAGCTGTTTTGCTCAGGTTAATTAGGTATCCCCGTTGATCAGTTGGCCCGATTATAAAGGCGGTCTCTTTCTGGCAGCTCGATAGTGGCATGGCCACAGGCCCAACTATGCCAATCTTTCTAATCTATGCCTATATTGGCCCTGCAGGACTGCACAAAGCTGCGCGAGGAGGTTTCCTCGCTGGCACGCGAGAAGGAACGGCTGATGCTGAGTATTGAGGAGGAGCGCTCGTCCTGGCACAAACAGCAAAAGGTGACACGATGGCAGGAACTGCAGTAGACCCGGGGTGATTGTCGGGCGGTTGCGACTTGCTGCGCGTGTGTATTTGGAAAGGGGCTTAAGGCGAACCACCGACGATTGAAGCAGATACCAGAGGTAGACGGATACTGTGGGATTAGACAGATACTGCAAGAATGCGTATGTGTGCGTGTGGGCGGGTTCTGTTCGTTTCTTGGCCTGGCATGCGCCTTTCCAATGCATTCCCTACGACGTGTAACATTCTGTAGGCAGAGCTGGAAATCTTGCAATCGCAACAGCAGGCTGCGAGGCTCGAAACCGAGCGAAACAGGGCGGATTTGGAGCTACTCAGGCAGAAGCAGGTGCGTGGATTATGGGAAGAGATGGGAGGGCAACTGAACCCGCTTCGGCTTCCTTAAGCCTTGAACCTGCAGAGTATTTGTCCTGCTGCACCTGCCGTTGCCGAGCTGCCGGCCATTGCACCTCTTTGAGCAGTACTTTGTTGACCGATTTCACCTCCATTGCGTCTTGAGTTCATCTCAGGAAATGCGCGCCAAGGAGATCGAGGAGTGGATCACTGAGCAGACCGCCGCGATCAAGCACGCCAAGGGCAAGGTGGAGGCCGACGAGCGGCGGTAAGCAGGGCAGAGTAACTAGGCTGTGCATGCTTTCCTAGCTGCTAGCTGTTATTTCTGTGGCATGGTGCGGCGCGGCGTGTTCTCGGGTGTTCTCAGTACGTGCATTAATGCAACTTTGTGAAGTTGTTGCATGTGGTAGTGTGTCTCTCTTAGCCCGTGCTCCCACGCATTAAGACGCAAGGAACCGGACTCATCATAAGGCTTCACATGTGCGCATGCAAGTCTGGGATTTACCTTTTAGCTAAGCTTTCCACACAGATCCATACTCAGGCACATCCAATCTCTGACTCCGCAGACTCCAAAAGCTGGGCGAGGAGCTTCTGACTCGCGAGAAGGAAGAGGCGGCGCTCAAAGCGGATCTGGCGGAGGAGCTACAGAAAGTCAAGCGGGACAGCGCAGCAGCGGCTATGGAGCAGAGGAGGCTGCAGGTGCGGTGGTGGTCGTGTGTGGTCTGGTGTCGGCGGCCCTGCCAACATCATTGGGAAGTGCTTTCCGAGTGTACGGAAACTCAAAGCGGCGGTCGTGGAGGTGGCATGTGTTGCGATCAGTGTGCCTCATTGTCGGGTATTTAAGACGGCTGTGGATTCAAATGGATAGCGATAGAATCCCGCCTGGCATTGTTGCAGATGTCCTAGTAGTTGAGAACTTAGCCTACCTTTCAGCGCGCCGGAGAACCAACTGCATATGAAATAGTGGGAAGCCCTGCTGCACACAGCTCACGACTGACTGGAGTACCAATCATTCATGTGGACTTTGCGTCAAACATTCGACTCACGTAAGGCGAATATAAACCCCATTTGCTAATAATACTGGGTTATGATATGGTTTTCAGTTACCGTGGATTCCGGAAAGGATCCCGGACCGCAGCACAGGCACACGCGAGGCGGTATGCAGTACGGATTCGTTGCGTTCACAGCCTACCCGTACATGTCTCCCCTCGCGCGCCCAGCGCGCTGTACATGCCATCTTCAATATGAGAATGCTCTGCGCACCCGACTGGCTGATCCGCGTGTAGTTGCAATCTGCGGAGCTGGCCTCGCAGCAGGCGTCTTTGGAGGAAGCTAAACGGAACATGGCGGCCGAAGCGCAGCAAAGCCTCCGGGTGAGTGTGGCGCTCAGCCGCCGGATGAGATGGATAGCGGTTGTCAAATAGCAAGGGTGCTGGGCCCGAGGGCGCTAGGCCTGAATTTGCCTGGGGCTGGGGCGAGGGCGGGGCCGACGGCAACGTGCGCATTACCTCACAACATTTGCAGCGTCCTGTAATGACCCGGGCAGCTATATGAGTTGCCGCTGGCCCCTCGGAACCCCTCAGGATCGCGAGGCAGCGTTGTTGGACCGCCAGACCCGTCTGGACAGGCGCCAGGTGCGTGCCTGCTGCCGCTTCCAGGCAACATTACACCGCATTAAGCCACAATGCACTGCACGACGCAGCAGCTGTTTTATCCCTATTGATGTGCTCGCGGCTCCGTCTTGGGCTTGCTGTCGGCCTCCGTAGTCCACATCATACACCTCATTTAAACAAGTCCTTGTCTGACCTTGGGTGGCCAATGTGCTGCCGCGCAGTCAGAGCTGGAGCAGCAGCGTTCAGCAATGGAGCTGGAGCAGCAGCGCCGAGCCATGGCATTAGAACTGCGCGAGCAGGAGCTGCAGGTGTGTTTCAGCAAAGTCTTGGGCACACATGCCCGTATGTGCGGCTGTCAGCGGCACGGTGATGGGCCTAAGGGCCTGGCAGCTTTGTGGAGTGTTATTTGCAGCATGCACCCGCGCATGACTGCCGACACCTAGGACCGCAAACGTGGCATGACATGTTCGCTTCCCAGGTCAGGCCGAATTTGTGTGCAGCGGAATCCCCTCTTTCCCATCCGTCTATTTATTTTTTTTCTTGTAGCATCTTGTATCAGGACGATATATGAACGAGAGGTGTTTCTATTTAAAGACAACCTGTCGTCGGTTTTCTTGTCTTGCTGCTTCTTATCCCGTCGCTCCGTAGAACACATCTCGGTCACTAGAGCGGCGAGCTCAGGACTTGTCGGCGATGGAGCAACGGATGGCCCGGGTGGGTGATGCCGTTGGTTGTAACGCGCCTTGCCTCAAACCATGGATGTCGTAACGCATGCTGCTGCGGACTGACCAGGAAAAGCCCACAGCATGCTTAGGTTGCTTGCTAGAGCTGCTGCCCCAACACGCTTTCATGACGCACACCGTCCGCAGGCAAACCTGGGCAGTAATGGCGCTCAGCAAGTGAAGGAATTTCATCCCATTTCCATACCGTATTGTACCTCCCAATGAAGCTAGCTACCTGCACTCCCCAAGATCAGTTGGCCAGCTACTTGCATGCAGCCATTTACACCACCATCGCGGTGCTGGTCGCACATTTTTCGCTACCATGCCATTGCCGTGGCGCTGTAGTGCCATGCTATACATTCCCCCACTGTAGCCATAGTGATTTTGGGCAAACGGCGTCCAACATGAACCGAAACTGCTTCAGGACACTGGTGAAAAAGAGGCCTCGTTGCGGGGCTTGGAGGCATCCCTGCGTCTGCAACAGTCCGATGTGGACCAGAAGTTACAGGACATGGCTGAACAGCGTGAACGATTGGCACACGATCGCAAGGTTTGTTGGTGTGGAGACGGAATGGGAAGGGTTGGCCTGCGCAGCGACGAGCAAAGGCGGCGCCGGGGCTGAGGTGGCCTTGGCTGTGCATTTGGGCAAGACTGGTACACGCATAATGTGATTGTAGGCATGAGAGCCATGTATGGGAGCACATGCCCTAGTGAGCACGCAGCTTGCCTACGGGATGCACTTTTTTATTACCTGCTAACTTCCCGCTGGAGTATGTTTTCCTTTCCTGTGCGCCCCCTTTTTTTCTCTTTTCTCCTGATCCACCTTGACACGATTAAACCCCACGTGCGTTCCCCCACCCCTTCGCCACCGTGCGTCTCACCCGACCCGTGTTTCCCCCTGTAAGCTCCTGGCTTCTGAGCGGGCAGAGCTGGAACGGCTGCTAACAGAGTCACGGCGCAAGCAGCGCGAGGCAGAGGTAGCCCGTGAAGAAGCGCAGCACATGCAGGCCCGCGCCGAGGCCCGGGAGCGGCGAGCCCATGAGCTGGACGAACGCGCCAACGCGGCTGAGCGGGACGTGGCGGCGAGGATGGCCGAGCTGGCGGCAGCGACAAAGGTACGTCGCTGCTGCTCGCTGAGCGGCTGCCCCGGGTGGTTGCAGGACAAGTCATGGTTAGAACTGGCTGTGCGACTGGGTGTGAAGTCCTGCAAGGCTTGGATATCATGCTATACGGCTTCTGGCCATGAGCTGGCGGTTTGGATGAATTTCATCACATGTGTTTGTATAGTGCATTACAATGACTTCCAGTCAGGTGGTACATTACGCCCACCCGCCTTCCTGTCTGCTGACGTGTCCCTCAGGCCGCAAAGGCGCGCGAGGACGCGGCGGTGGAGCGCGAGCGCGAGGCTCAGCAGATAGTGCTGAATGAGAACCGCGCTCGGCAGCTGCTGGCGGAGGCGGAAGCTCAGCAGGCCGCTGCCCGCGCGGCGATGGATCAGGTCGTCAGCGATCGTCGAGCGTTGGAGGCCCTGAACCAGGTGGGCATGTGTCAGGGTGGGAGCGCACGGACGCGTTTGTGCAAGACCTGACCGTGTGGGGTTCGCATACACAGCACTGAAGATCTTGTCCGCACGGGCGCCTCGCCTGCATCGGAGAAATTATACGGCCGCAGCATGGAACTTCTTAACGGCGTACTCTCTTAACGTTATGTCGCGGCCACTTAATGACATCCATGTCATGTCCAGCGGGCTGTCTGGAGAGCAGCCCGCTCCTGTGCCTACACCGATGCCGGCCTGTCGGCACCAACGCACTTGCGTCCGATTCACACCCTGCTCAGCTGATCCCGTCTCCAACGGCCTGCCACGTCCCACGCTGCCCCTCGCATATAGGCCCTGTCATCCCTAGGGGCCTCCCTGGACAGCCGCGAGGCTAAGCTGCTGCAAACCTGGCGTGACCTGAACAACCAGCTTAACTTGCTTAGGGAGGAGGTGGTTTCACTAGCGGACGGGCCCGCGGGTCTGGAAGATGTGGGACCGGTGAGTGTTGGGCGGTGGGTTTCATGGCGGGTCAGACCCGATATCGGAGACTGGGTGAGCAGAAGTGCACTGGAAACGGTCAGAGAATGGAGAGGAAAGGATTCAAGCCATTCGTGGAAGCGGGAACTGAGCAGTGCTCATTGGGTCAGGAAGCGCGGATGCTTCCGTGCTCTCGTCGTCCGCACTCCCGTTCTGACCCAGTGAGCTAAGCACACCCGCCCTGTCGCTGTAACACACCTGAGAACCTACTAATGCATCATCATGCATCACAACACTCATTTCCCCGCCTCTCTCCCTGACACTGTTTTGTTTTTGGAATTGTTACAGCTCGAGGTACCCGCCGCGCTGCTCAACCCTCTGCCATCTGCGGCTTCTTCTGGGGGCGTTGCGCTTGCGGGCCTCCCGGAAGTCGCCCGCAACGGCGCGACGACCCACGGGTCCACGGCCGCTGCAGCAGCATCGTTGGAGAGGCGACGTTCCGCGCTGCTGGATCGCGAGGCGGCGTTGCAGGAGCTGGTGCTGAGCTTGCACGTGCGCATGGGCAAGCTTGGCGCGATCGGCAAGCAGGCGCGCGCACAGCAGGTCGGTCTGTCCCTCCACCGCCGGCGCCCGCTGTTAATCCGAAAGTCCATGGCTGTGGGATTTGGAATGGCCTTATATGGGGAAGCGCCTAATGTGAACCAGCCAGGGTTGCAGTTGCATTACTTTATGTCCGGCCTTGACCAAGAAGGGCAACCAGTGCATGCCTTTAGCCTCGCCAGTGCATGAACTTGTTAAGTTCAGGAGTGAAGGCTCGTACTATCTCTTCTTTAAAATTGAGCTGTTTTATGGGCCGTGACCCCACCTGATGGCGCAGGCGCGTGCAGCGACGGCGGCTCAGCAGGCGGCCGCTGAGGCACAGACACTGGCTCGACGGGAGAGCGAGCTCCGGGCCACCGCGGAGGCGCTCAGCGAGGAACGCAATCAATTGCTGGCGCTGGCAGGGCAGCTCCAGGTGCGCATGTGTGCCTGGCTCGGACCCGTAATTCTGGCTGGTTGTTGCAGGGCATGTCCCCTTTGAAACGCACGCCATGCTAGAGCCGGTGTGCACCCACAACAATAAACACGTTACCAACAAGTGACACGTGTACGGCTTCCTTGCCCTTGCGATGACAATGATTGTCTGGTTATCGCTCCTCCCAACTGTCTATGGAAGACTTAGAAATTTCTGCGGTCAAGAGACACATTGAGTAGCATGGCGCACCCAATTCGCTTCTGGTCTTTGAATTCGGCTGTAACCCAAGCTATTCCTCTCGCTCGTCCGTGTCTAGGTCCGAAGTGGAGCTCTGGACAAGCAGCAGCAGCAAATCGAGGTGAGGATTCTGGAGCAAGCGGTGATTGCGTGAGACAAATAAAGATCGCTGGGTCACCCTGCAAAACGGAACATCCGCGCTGTAATGCAATCAGGATCTTTGTTCGCCCGTGCGGAAGGATCCTTAAGCAGAGACACAACCCTGATTTTCTTGATCAAGTGGAATTAAAGCTCGAGCCCGCCTCGCCTTGCGACTTTGGAAACCGTCCTGTCAAATGGGCCATAACGAATAATAACACCCTTGTTGCAGAGGTGCCGAGTCAAAATCCCCTTCACCATGTTATTATCCATGCATCCCAGGCGTCATTGCAAGAAATTGGCCAAAGTCGCACGGAGCTAAAAGCCCTCCAGGCGGCCGTCGCCGCCAAGCAAGCAGAGGTGGAATCCGCCGCCAGGCGGGCAGCAGAGCGGGAGGCCGCTGCCGAGGCCCGTGCCGCCGCGGTGGAGGCGGAGGTGACAAAGCGCGCGAACGAGCTTGTCGCGGCTGCCGAGCAGCGCGCCGGCGAGCGTGAGGCGGCGGTCGAGGAGCGTGAGCGTGCGCTGGTTTCGGAGCTTGCGTCACGGCTGGATGAGGTGTGTGCACGGGAGCGCGATGTGGCCGACGCGGAGGCGCGGCTGGCTCGTTGGGCGGCGCAACTTGGAGATCTGCAAAGCAAGGTGTGCCGCTTCTATATATGTCATTGGCAGGGGATATACCTGACCCTTGTGCAAGCCGCTGGCAGGGCCTGGGCTTGCAATCCCATGTGCTGGTGTGTCTCTCCCAGAGTGCAACATAGTCGGTCTCACAGAAAGCTTCCGATTATCGCGTGCTTAGCATGAAGAAAACCGCCTGTGCATTTCCCTTGTACCAACTCCCTGCTGTTGTGCAGCTTGTTGATCAGGAGGCGGCCTTAGAGGAGGTGCAGGTGCTCAGGGAGGCGACGACGGAGGAGCGGCAGCGGCTAGCGCAGCTACGGGGAGAGCTGGATGAGGTGCAGCGGGCGCTGCAGGTGAGGGCACTGGGGCACTGGTGATGCCTGGATGGGCGGGTGTTGCCGTACGCTGCTGCGTCATCTGCCGGTCAATGGTAGCAGGCTTGGGACATGGCTTCCTGGCGCGTTGCGCCGGAACTTTCCTACGGAAACGGGCGCCTGCCGCCTCCACTGTTATCCTCATTTTGAAATAGTGACCTGCCCCACTTACTACATCTTGAATTCGCCCTTAGACCTTCCTAGGCTTACAGTACGCGCCCTTCTTCTAAGGCATCTACCCCTCAGCCTTTACGTCCCCGAAGACAGTCTATCTGCCATCCTGGGCTGCTACTACTACGTCTTCCTCCGCAACAACCCGTTACACTCTTGGCCTCTTGGGTCCCCATTCTCGGTGCGCGCGCAGTCGCAACGGGTGGAAATCGACCAGCGGTCCGCTGCGTTATCGGAACGGGAGGCGGAGGCAGAGACCAGCAGGCAGGAGTTGTCGGCGGGCAAGGAGGAGCTGCGGCTGGGACTGGAGCGGCTGCAGGAGCTGCAGAGCCGTTCTGCGACGGTGGAGGCAACGGAGGCCAGGCTCAAGGAGCAGGTGGGAAGCATGCGTGCACGCAGGTTGTTCCTCTCGTTGCTTTTGCGTATACCAGCATTACAGTGGAAGTTGGCAGTCTGGGGGTAAGCTGCACGGGCGCCAGGACCTTTTCCATGGCCAGCATGTGTATCCCGCGTAGCTGCATCTGTGTTGAAATTGACATGATTTAATGCCCTTGCTGGCAAAGTACAAGTTACCGCTACTTTTGCCGCACGTGGGGGACGGGTAGCTGGACGAATGGTTCGCAGCCTCGCGCTGCTTTATTGGCTGTTGGCCTTTCGGCCATGTCCATGGCCGTGTCCGCGTCCTCATCCACCTGATTCCTTAACCATCGTCGGTCCTGAATCTCTATTGTCAGGCCGGTTACCCTTCCAGTTGCACATCCAATTACCTTCCTCTGCTCATTCTCCTCTGCCATTCTACGCCACAGGCGGCGCAGCTGGACGAGAAGGAGTTCCGGCTGGCCGCCGCCACAGCGGAGGTGCAGGCGGAGGCATCACGGCTGGAGGCGCAGGTAGTGGAGGCAGAGGCGGAAATGGCACGCTTGCGGACGGACCTGGAACAACAGCGCATGGAAATGGAGCACGTCACGCGGAGGCACGAGGAGGGACTCGCGGTGTGTGTATGGAAGGAAGGGGGTCGGGGTGGGGATAAGGTCTGGGCTTGGGAAGCAGGGCGACCGGCAGTTGCCGGCGTCGCGGGAAAGTGGCCGGATAAATCTATGCACGATGGTAAAGGTGGGGCTTGGGGGAAATATGCAATGCTGCTCTTCCGTTAGCAGCAGCGCTTCGCCCGCCGCTTCGTGTGCATTTCATTCAAAAAAACGCTTTGATTGGCCTCAGCGTATACTTGTCCAAGTCTGAAGCGCGCACCCTTTGCTTGCACTGCTTCGATGTGCGACCCAATCATAGGATTTATTAGTTTGTTGATGAATTGGTTGATTTGTTGGTCGGTCCAGGATATTGAGGAGCGCAGCCAGGCGCTGGCGGCGCGGGAGCAGGCGTTGGCTCAGGAGAGGGAGCAGCTGGATGCCGATCGCCAGGGCCTGCAGGTACGTACGTGCGCCCGCCTCGCCCTCTGTATTCAACTGCTGCTGTCCTTAAGTGCAGCGTGCGTCCCAAGGTCCCACTTGACGCTGCCTCCACGGTGCGCATGAGCGCGTCATCCCTGTTGGTACAGACGCGGTGGCATGGAAAAAAATGGCTGATGTGCCTGCGGCATGCAAAGAGAATCCGGCAAGGAGCGCCGGGGGCCGAACCGCCAGTTGCCGGTGGGAGGTTGAGCGCTTAGATCGACATGCGAATCTTGTCGCCATGCACGACAAATACACACGTACATACACTCCATTATGGCTATGCTGCAATCCAGCCCGCCAACTTTGGCGGCCTTGTCACTCGTGGGAGTTAACTGGGTCCGTTGCCTTCACTACCTTTCGGGGTATTTCGAATGGCGCCATTGGTCGCGCGGCAGCGAGTGCAAGAGGGAGGAGTGATAGCGTTGAAGAGGGGGACGGGATGCCTCAACCTGTCGTTGCTGCTCTATGGTACTCTGTTTCGCTCTACTCGGGTCCTCTGGTGGAACTTCTTTGCTTCTTCAACCCTACCTGCTCCATGATGCAGGCGGATAGCGCGGCCTTGGCGGCCAGGGCTCAGGAGCTGGACAAGCTGCGTGCGACTGTGCAGGCGGACGTGCAGGTGCGCACATGTGGCGGTGTGTACTTGTTGTGGTGCCGTGTGGGGTAGTGTCTGTCTATATCCGCATAGGAATTTCTACGTTGGACTCATGACGCGCGACTGCTTTCAAAGTGAGCCACTGTTTAAGCTCCCTAAAAACCCATTCTTAGGACAATCCACATACGCCATGGCGACCAGAATCCGCGTTTGTACCGGTCTCGGTAGTGAACCATGTGGGGCAGCCACACAGAGGTCCTACGAATTGAAGCACCATGACCCGCAAGAGGTAAACTCACGCGTAGGTCCTTTCCTTGCTCCCTGCCTGTTTAGGCCATCGCACTTGAGCGACTGGAGCTGCACGCTAAAATGCGGCGTTCCACTGTGGAGTACGAGCATGAGATGCAGAATGCACAGGAGTTGGTGGAGCAGGCCAGAACGCGAGCGATTGCGGTCTCACAGGTCGGTGGTTGGAGAATATCTGTGACCGAGATGGGGCGGGAACGGGGCAGCACGATGGGTGTAAACGTGGCGCCTGGGGAGGGTGCCCAGGAGCTACGCACCGCGCAGGGTGCTGGCGAAGGCATTACTTGGGGGACGGCAAGTGGATATGCTGAGTGATGATCTCGGAGATGCTATAATTTATCAATTTCCGCTACACAGCTTTGCCATCGACCGCAACCGTCCATCCTCGGATCGGCGGTTGGTCTTGCGCTGCCTCTCCACGCCGCGCACAGACTGAGGCCGAGCTGCGGGAACGGCAGACGGAGATGGTCCGGCGGGAAGCCGAGCTGGCAGCCCGTGAGCAATCGCTGCAGCGCGGCTTGGCGCAAGCGGTAGGGGCCGGGACTGAGGTCGTGGGGAGTTCGAAATCTCTGCCTGTGCCTCTGAAAGGGTCATGAACGCTGAGTTGGAGGCGTGGGGCTTTGACCCATGGGGCGCGACAACAGCGCTGGGGGAGGCACAACTGCGGTACACGGGGCGGCATGCATTCTTTGGGGACCAACACCTCGGCCTAACGTATTGCTATACGTTTCGCCTAACATACCGTTGTATTTCTTTGCATGGGCGTGAGCTGCGGTTACAACTCCAATCTGTATCTTGTCAGGGTCGCGAGCGCGAGGACCTGGTGCGGCGATCCAAGCAGCTGGAGGGTCAACGGGCGGAAGTGGAGGCCTCTCTGCAGCAGCTGGCCAGTCTACAGGTGAATGAGCACAACCGGATGAGCGCTAGCGGAGCTGCGAGTCGATCCCCTCATACCCCAATTCCACAAAACATGGAACGCCAGTAGCTAGGCGGTACGGCTGTAATAAACTGTGCACTATTTGCTGCACCCTGAGCTATTGTCTATTCGATAAAATGCTGAGCTGAAGCGCCCCATCACGATGCAAGCCCTGTTTAGGCTGTCCTGGAAGTCGTATTCTTCCCCCCACAACTGGAATCCTCCGGATCTCCTACCCTCGATTACCTCCAGGGGTCGCACGAGCGATCTGCGGCACAAGTTGCTGCGCGGGAAGCCCGCGTGGAGGCGCGCATGTCGGAGCTGGAGGCACTCGATGGTGGGTCCAAGCACGGCGTGCCATGGTTTGTTAGCCGCCGCAGGTCTATGATCTGCTACCGGCGTCACTTGCTACATCGAGCCAGTTTACGGTGCTGGTTCTGCTACCTGCTTCCCGTTCAGTGTCACATCATTGGGCCGGCTGTCCAGTGCCATGTGGGTGAATATGTCATATGATGTTGGGTTTTAAGTGACGTCCGCCGTTCGATAACCACCGTACCCTAAGTAACGCTTCGCCCAACCGCACCGTCTCGTCGGTTGGCACCGAGCGGTGCCCCAATTTGTGTTCTAGTGTGAAACATCGCTGTACATGTTGGTTGCCTTGGTGGTCTGCAGCTAGACTTAAGGCGCTGGGCGAACGGCTTGCAACCGACCTGGACGCCTGGCAGGCCCGCGCCAAGGGTTTACTGGACTGCCGCGGAATGGCGCTGGAGGGGCTTGCCAACCGGGTGGCAGCGGACATGGAAGCACGCGAGGCAGAGCTGGCCAACCGCGAAACCATGCTGCAGGTTCGCATGGGCTTTTAGAAAATATCGCTGTGCGACTCGAGGAAGGACGTTTTTGTCGTGGCTGCATGTGTCGTTGCTTCCACTCTGTATGGCTGTAGCGGTGCTTAGTTAGATGGTGTAGGCGTTGTCCGTGTATCTGCCGCTCGGCATACGCATTTTGTTGCTTCCTTTAAAGGTAGGAAATACTCCTTCCTTGCCTTGTATAATCCACTGGCCCCAACAGAGCCAGCTGCGATCCTTTAACATCCAGCTTCAAAGCGAGCTGGCGGACTTCACCGCCGCCAGGCGCACCACGGCAGCAGACCTCGAGTCGCGGCTCAAGCAGGTATGCATGTGTGCCGAACTTGTGTTTAAAGGATCAAGCCATGTGTGTGGCTTGATCATATTCATTTTCAGTGTATCCGCGCTGCTGCAGTGATTACACGTGCTTGTGAACCCCTGGCGTGGGAGATTTTGACATCATCACCCAGTGTTTGGAAATGAAGTGCCCTGCTGCTGCGGCTTTCGGCCCTTCACCACCTGAGGCTTTAATTCTTAGCGCGGACACCCGCGACCTTGGCATGCGCAGATGGAGGACAAGGCCCGCCTTGCGGAGCTGCTTAAGGCTGAGCTGGAGGAACAAGGCAAAGAGCTTCAGGTGCGGCTAGGGTCTGTCCAGAAGGCCTCGTCCATTGGTTGCATACAGGTCTTTTGTTACCGGTCCCTCTGTTCGACCGAAGGCAGGGGACGGAGTGCCGGTTCCATCTTTCCAGCCAGCAGCGCTGCCGAACCCGAGGTTACAAGGCAATGCGCTGGGTTTTTGACCACGGAGGTCGCAATGCATGCAGATCCCCTTCGCCCGATTCCAAACGCAACTCCTGGCGCCCGCTTCAGACTTTCTGTACGATCGGCTGTCCCTGTGCTCTTAGGCCGCGAATGACAAGCTCGCCGAGCTGCGGAACCAGGCACGTGGTGCGGAACGAAAGGCGGAGCAGCTGCAGCGGCAGCTTTCCGACGCCCATCAGGCATTCCAGGCTGAGCGTGAAGCTGCCGCCGCTATCGCAGCCGCTGCCGCCAGGGAGCAGGAACGGCTGGCAGCGGAGCTGCAGCGTGCTGGCACCAAGGTCTGCGAGGCCAACACGGCTGCAGCTGCCGCGGAGCAACAGCTGCAGCGCCTGGCGGCGGATGCGCAGCGTGCTGGCGAGGAGGCGCGGGAGGCCGAAGCGGCTGCTGCTACTGCTGCTGCTGAGCGGGATCGAGTGGCGGCAGAGGCACAGCGCCTGAGGGAGGCAGTGCGGGAGGCCAAGGAGGACCTGGACACGGCTTTGTTGTCTGCGGAGAAGCTGGCCGGGGAGAAGATGCGCGCCGCAGGTGTGGATTGGAGCAGAGTGACTTGCAGGTTGGATTGGAAGTCGAAGTGAGGAGCTGATAGGCTAGAGGGGCTGGTTGTATATATAAGCCGATGGGAATTGCGACATTGGGCATCTTGAAAAATAAATTTTCGGAGTCACAGGGCTCATACAAAATGAGGAATCTGATGCATACGGGTAAAGACGTGTGATGATGGTTTCCATGCACCACATTTGCAGAGAACTTCCAGGAGCTGCTGGAGGAAGCCAAGGCGGATGCTGAAAAGGCCCAACAACTGGCTGCCGAGAAGCGGGTTGCGGCAGAGCAGGTGAAGCGTCGCACCTTGCCCGTTGCTGCTGTCGGACGGCGTTGATTCTGGTGTGCCTGTGGGGCAATATGTTTTCAGGAGGCCTGAGCTGTGCTGGCGAGCTCCTAGCTTTCGACGCGCACGAGCGACGCGCAATCGCAACAGGCCGGGCTGAATGCCCTCCATGTCAACTCGTAACCCTCCCCGTAAGCAACCCCTCCTCGTCGTTTGTGGTCCCGATCCAAGCGTGTAATTCCATCCTGCGTCCTTACTCGCCCATTCGTCCTACCGCCCACCTCAAACTCGGCGTCCGGAACCCGGCAGGCCACGCAGCGTGAGCGTCTCGCCACAAGCTTGGCTGCCTCCCTGGAATCCCAGCTGACCACAGCGCGGAGCGACCTCACGGCCTGCGAGGCCCGGGCCACGAGCCTGGAGCGCCAACTGCAGAAACGGCAGCGGCAGGTGCTTGCGGACGGCGTGTAGTGGCAGGCTTGGTGTTAGCTTTGCAGCCATGGTTGGGGGGGGGGGAGGGTGGTGATCATAGAGATCGAGGGGAAACCTGACGATCTTTGACTCGTTACAGCAGCCGTGCACCTCGCGCTGTGGCGGTTTGCTCTCTCCCTGTCCCAAGCATCCATGGTGCAATTTGTCAAGGTGCGGTCCAGCATTTAATTAAGGAAGGCATTCAGCAGGAACGATTTCTGGGCACGTACCGTCCCACCCTCCTGCAACAGGCTGAGGACCGCGAGGCGACGCTAGATGGCGAGATCCGGGCGCTGCAAGAGCACGCGGAGGATTTGGAGCGGCAGCTTAGAGGCCTGCAGGTAGGTATGTTTGCGCAAGGCCTACGTGTGAGCGCGCGCACGAAGAGAGAGGGTGATGGTGGGATTGGTACGAGGCGGATAGTGGAGAGCTGTGAAATTCCATTGCAGGGTCGGCATAACACCGTGACAGCGTATGTTACCAGTCCGTACCACAAAGACCCCAGGCCATATTGCCTCTTCATAGCGTCCACGGAAACCCATTGTATGGGGTGGTATCGCATGGCCAGCCTGCACCCATCTGGTGTTATAATGCATCTGCACGGGGACAGGTCTCGGAGCGGGAAGCCCGAAGGAATCAGGATGCGGACATGGAGCGGCAGCTGGAGCAGCTACGGGAGGAAAGGACCCGCCTGCGGGATGAAGGCAGGCAGCTGGATGAGCGCCGACGCCAGTTGGACGAGCAGAAGTGGCAACTGGACGAGCAGCAACGGCAGTTGGACGATCGACAACGGCAGTTGGACAATCGACAACGGCAATTGGAAGAGCAACAACAACAAGTACAGGCGGCACAGAGCAAGCTGGACGAGCGATCTGAGACACTGGCCGCGCGACAGCGACAGCTGGACGAGCGTGCTTCGAAGCTCGATGAGCGCTCGCAACAGGTGGAGCTCCAGGCACGCCGGCTGGATGACCAAGCACGACTGCAGGATGAGCGGGGCCGGCAGCTGGATGACCTCTTGCGCTGGGCTGAGGCTGACCAGCGCTTGGAGAACCGCCCTGAGGGTCAGGCGAAGCAGGTTGACAACACACCGCAATCATCAGAGCAAGAGGAAAGGGCGCGGCAATTGGATAAGCGAGAAGGGCAGTTGGAAGAGCTCCAACGACAGCTACGGCTCCAGCGAATGCAATTGGACGAACGGGCAAGGCAGTTAGACGACCAGGCCAAGCAGCTAAGCGAGCGGGAAACAAAGCACAGTGTACGGCTGACCACGATGTCGGACGGAGGCCTGCCACGTCAGGTAGGTTGTACATAAGCCGCACACCGGCTTATCAACTCTCACCATGATATACATTTTCCTAGTTTTCGTGCATCGTGATGGTCTTGTAAACTGGGCGCCCGGCCGCTGATGCCCCAAACATTTGTGTCACCTGTGTGCCAGAACACCCAGTTGTTCCACAACACTCGCGAAGGGTCCTACCTCATCTACTCATCTACCCACATGCCGTTCCTTCCCATCTGCCACCAGGGATTGTTCTTAATCCGATAACGGTAGACCTGTTTTAATGCGTCCACGGTCTCTGCATGGATCTTCTTCTCAGCCGCTGCCCTGATGGTTCCGCATGCATGCGAAGACGCTACATGCGAAGACGCTACATGCGAAGACGCAACCTCTTACTAGCAGTGTAGCCTACGTACGGCCCCGGCTGTTGGCACAACTTTGTGAGAGCCTTAAGCCTTGCATGAAGCTTGCTCTGACCATCGTGCAGAAGGCGAACCCCACCGAGGAAGGTGTGGAGGCGACGCGGCAGTTGGTGGAACACTGGTCCGGAAGCTTGGATGCACTGAGGTCGCAACTGGAGTCAGACAGAGCAGAGTAGGTATGGGGCCGGTGGCATTAGGAACCGTGAATCCTGCCTTTCGCCTTTCAACTTTCACCCAGCTAGCATGTACTTGGGATGGACCTAGAAGGGCCACGGATCCAAGCTGCCGACTATCTAATCCATGAGTATGCATAGAGAGCTGGCATGAGGGTAAATCCTTGATCTGCCGCGCGGGCTTACATTGCTGCTATTTCCTGGCAAGGGCCGACCCACGTACCCACACGCCCATCACGGTTTCTCCATCTAACCCCGCCGGCGCTCCCTAGGCTGGCCGCCCAGCGCGCGCTGCTGGAAAATAAGTTTGCAGCGCTGAGTCTGGAGCGCTCGCGGGTACAGGCGGAGCAGCGCCTGCTGCAGGATCGCTCGGCGGAGCTGGACAGACAGCAGGAGCAGGTGCAGGCCGCGGAAGCAGCGGTGAGCGCTCTGCGTCGGAGCGTGGAAGCGCAGCGAGCGGAGCTGCAGCAGCAATGCGAGGAGACGGAGGCGGAACGGCGCACCGCGCGTCTGGCGGCGGAGGCAGAGGCTGCACGACTGAGCGCTGTGGAAGCAGTGCTGGAACGGCGTGGGTCGGAGCTGCAGGCCAGAGAGGAAGAGTGAGCACGTGGCGTTGACGGGATACGTGGCTGTAACTCGTGGGCCCCCTGGCTAGTACGGACTCCACCCCGCACTTGTGGGGAACCGTCTCACTTGTAATCCCTTATATACGTGTATCACATGTGAGGTAGTGTGGCAATGGCCTGGCCCTGTTGAGGCAGTACGTGCATATATCGGGGCTTTTCGATGTCTTCTATAAGCTGGCTATTAGGTAGGGGTCGGTCGTCGGTGCTGCGGGCCGCCTGCATGCTCATTGGGCTGCATCATTCGGGCTGCCTCATTGTTTGAGGCCCTCCTTTTCCCTCCTTCCCACCACGCATGAATCCGCAGGATTGCTTCGCAGCGCGACGCGCTCTCCCGCCAGCTGGCCGACTTGCAGCGGCAGCACGAAGCCGTTCGAGCCCTGGTGGAGGAAAAGCAGCGGCAACTGGACGCAGTGCTTCAGCAGGGGGAGCAGTTGGCAGCGCAGGATGCTGGGCTGCAGGTACGTTTCGAGGGCTTGCTGTTTCGCATGTATCACGCAAACTTAAAGGAAAAAAGCTTGCATTCCGTAAGATTACCGCACGATGGCCAGTGGGGAAACAGAGCTGATCAAGAACGAATTATGTCTAGGCGTCATCGCCTACCGCATCAATCGCGCTCACCGTCCGTAACTCCACCGCCGGCTACACCGCCCTTTTCCCACGCCCCCGTGCTCCAGGCTATGCGCGAGGAGGTTGCTGCGCGGCTGGGTCGTGGCCTAGCGGAACTGGCCAGCCGACAGGCCGCCGTGGAGGCAGCCCAAGACGAGCTAGCCCAGCTTGAGGCGGACCTAGCCACCAGGTAGGGTTCCCCCGAAGATGGAGCACAGCCTCTGATTAGTTCATTGAAGCGCGAACGGACGGCGGCGATCCAACAAACACCAAATTAAAACATAGATCCGCAGCATTGCATCCAATATGCCGACCACACTAACCCGGCCTCCAACAGTATCGCATATCTGTTGTGTATCCAAAATTAAGTGGCAAGGGTACCTGTGTGGCCACCAGGAGTGACAAGCTGGCCCGCTCCGAGGCGCGGCTCAAGGAGCAGGCAGATGTGCTTCGATTGGAGGCGCTGCGGCTGACAGAGGAGGCGGCCCGCGTGGCGGAGGCAAGGCTGGAGGTGGACAAGCAGCGAGAGGATATGCAGGTCAGCGTAGAGTCACAAATTCTTCGCACTGTGTTCAATTGCCGTCCTCATCCTCTCCATCATCGCCGGCATTGTCCGCAAAGGGCCAGTGGCGACGGCGTTGGCTGCAAGTAAAAGTCAAGTAACTCATCGGCGAGATATCATGTCGGGGTTAGATTGCACATTTTCACAAACGGCGTAATGGCATGTAAGCTATGGCGATGCCCCGTTCGAACCATGTCTTTCGGCACCGTCCGCACAGGCCCGTGAGGTACGCACAACGGAGGCGCACGAGGTCCTGCGCACCACGGCCACGGTGCTATCGGCGCGCGAGGCCGCGGTGGCGGCGCGGGAGGACGAGCTGGAGGCGCAGCTGGGCCGGTTGCAGGAACATGCTGAGGGACTGCAGGTGAGGACATGTTAGCGTAGCAAAACTAAACCGGAGAAATCCCTTCCTGGCATTTCGCACGAAGGGAGCTATAAGTGTCGCGTGTGCAGCAGCTCCATATCTTGGGCGGATGGTTTTCCTGCGGTTACAGGAGCAGCTTTATACGTTTTGCGCAGGGTAGTGGGAACCGGCATTCTTTTCCTCGTAGGGAAGATGTAAGGCTGGGAATTCTATTGCGGGACAATAATGCTGCTGGCAAGGCAACAAAACAAGCTCTGATTTTTGTGATGGTTACATACTGGCCAGTTTCCTGCAAGCAGGAAAAATGGCTGCGAAGCCAGGGCGTTGGTTCGGGTCCTAACGGCCTAGGGCGGCTGATCCAAAACAGGTGTCCAAGGTTTGCCATTATTATCCCACCAGAACAGTGTGTATTCGCGATTCACTTCCCGCTTCCATCCCACCATCGTAAATGTCAACAGGTAAAATGGAGCAACGGGGGTGCTGCTGCCGGTTCCGGAGCCCAGGAGGAGCGCGACACATTGCACCGCTCACCCCAGGCAATTCGCGCTCAGAGGCAGCGGCAGCATCACTACGCAGCCGTGGTCGCAGCCGCCGAGGCCGCCGCAGATGCAGCAGCAGCGACGGCGGCTGGAAGCGGCGTTGCCGGTCTGCGTGCGGCGTCTGCAGTAGTGGCAGCGGCAGCGACCGCTGCAATAAGTCCGCGTGGGGAGATCGATGGCGACGATGATGTGGTTGCCGCCTCGAGGGACAGGGGTCCCAAGTCGCCGGCGACTGGGGCAAACTTCCTGACTCGGATGCATACTGGGGCAGGTTATGCAGGTGATGGCGGCGGCGACGCCGGCGGCGACATGGGGCCCGGCGCCAACCGCGGTGGCCGTAATGCCAAGAAAGCGGCTGCTGCAGCCATGGCGGCAACCTCCATCCCGGATGCCGGCACAACCGCCGCCGTGGGCCTTATCGGGACTGGACAAACCGCCCGACAAGATTATCATCGGCATCAACAGACTCGCCAGCAGAAGCATCAGCCCTTGCTGCTGACCTCGTCCGAACATGGGGAGGCGCCTGCTCCCGGGCCCGCGATCCGTGACCCAGAACCGCGGTCCGTCCACACGTCCTCAGGCGGGGGCGTCAATAGCAGTAGCAGCGGCGGAGGCGGTCGAATGGGGAAGCAGCCGACCTACGGGTCGCTACCAGGCACCGCTGCTGCGCCCTCCCTGCCGGGTGCACTGAGCACCGTGGAGCGTCCCCACACAGACGCCTCCGGTGCCCAACCATCATCGCACCAGCTACTCTACGTCTACCAGCAGCCAAATCCGCACCCGTACCAATATGTGCTGCAGAAACACCAGCAGCACCAGTACCAGCGTCAGGGAGCTACACTGCTGGGCGGCCGGCTGACTGCAGATGCCTTGATGGCGTCCACAGCCTCGTTGCTGCTTCCGGTCCTGTCAGAGACACCACGAATTGCCCGGGGCGCAGAGGAGGAACGTAACACAGTGCCGGGCGGCGCCGGCCGGCCGCGCCGGGTCATCGAGCTGGGTGCGGCTGCGGTGGCGGCAGTGGCAGGAGCCGTGGCGGCTCCATCGATGGTTTTGGCGGCTGGAGAAGACGAAGGGATGCCTACGCCTGCTGCGCAGTCTGACGCTCCGCTGATGGGTTCCGTAGTGCCTGAGGCGCAGCGGAGGAGGTGTGTGGAGGGTTGCAGGGCTTATGTTGTTCCGTTTCTTGCATTTCCTCGGTTGCTCTTTCGCTGGGATCACGTTCCTCACCATACGATGCAATGACAACTGTCCTTGGCGCCTTTCTTTGGTGAAGGTTGGGAGGGTAAAGGCAGACTGGAATGCTTTTCCGAATGCAACACCGTCCGCCGGTTTTGCGCCAATCTGAATACTCCCATTTGCAATATCCTACGGCGTGCTGCGCGACCCAACGCCCACTCCTCATGGGACGCAGGCAAGCTGCCGCCGTTGCCGCCGCCGTAGCCGCGGCTGTCGGTGGCGGTGGTCAACAGCATCAGCCATCAAGTCGGTTCATGGCGCTGGAGCCGCCACCGCCACCAGCTTTCTCCGAGGCTTCTTACACCTCAATCTCCTCGTTGCAAGCCAACACCACAACGGGCGCGGGGACGCTGACTGGGCGTGAAAGCAACAACAGCAGCAGCGGTGGCGGAGCTGGCGGCGCCGCCGGTTTGGCCCGGCAGCAACGCACACTGCAGGTCCTTCTGGCCAGCGTCCAGAACTCCGCACATCGGGGGCAGGAACGGCTGCAGGTGAGGATAACGTGGGTCTGGTGGTGACGGCCAAATGGTGTCGATGAACTTGTGGGCCTAGTGTTGTATCCCGCCTTGCCAGGGAGACGCCTCAAAATTTAAGGCCTCAGCCTGGCGTTTTTCGAGCTACATCACTTGCGCGTAACTAGCTTGTGGACCCACCCGCCGCCCAGTTCTCATGATACCTTTTTTATCCTGTCCTCCCCTCATAAATTGGTAGCCCCAACCACACAACCTTTACCTTGCCTCAATTACGTTACCTCTTTTAAGTTGCCCCGCATACATAGTGCCCCGAACTTACTGTGCCCCGCGTCTGCCATGATTTGTCCGCAGCGGCTGTACCGCATCACGGAGCCTATGGTCAACGACCTGGGCCCGGAGGAGCTCCCCCTTCTGGAGCAGTGCCGCGGGGCCTTGGACGTGCTGTCGGCGGAGTTGATGGCGCTACAGGTGGATGGGGCTGCACTGCCTCTGCACTGCACTGCACTGCCTCTTACTCCCGCATGTCCACAACTTGTCCGAACTGCCTCGCTTTTCCTCCTTACATATTCCCTAGTTTGTTTCTCCACGTTTATCCATTGCATTCTCTTCCCGGCCCTCACCATCACTGAACCCTCGGACCCCGCCGCGATGCTCGCATGCTCGGCTGTGGACCGTAGGCAGCTGTGCAACAAACGCTCCGCGCGGCATCTGAGACAGGTGCGCCTCCGCTGCTGCTGCCATTACCGCAGCCTTTGCCGCTGCATCGACTGCCGACAACACAGGAGCAGCGTTATCGGGAGATGATATCACTGAATGGCTACCATGGGCCGTAAACATGACGAACTGTGTCGTCGGGATGGAATAAGCTTGTTGCGTAATGCTTGGCATGTAGGTTCGTTTTAACAAGAGTTGACAGCTAAAGCGTGTCCTCAGTGCAGCGGAATACCATGCCACCTTCTTCCTTACCTATCCCCCTTCCGTGACCTCACATACCCGGTCTCCCCGCCTCTAAGCCCGTTACCTTTCCTTCTCCGCCTTTTTGCCGCATGTCCATGAACCCGCCACACGCTACCGGCGAACGTGCATCTTCCTCGTGCACTCAATAGCCTCTTTTGGCGAGCTGGGTCAGGTTCGGAGAATGGTGGAGTCCCACCAGCGGTCCCTGGCACAATGGGAGGGCGGCGTCGCGGCGCAGATGCAGGTCATTACCGAGTTGCAGGTGAGCTGATGGTGTAGGCTAGGGAGGAGATGGGGGATGGCAGCTGCGGATGACAGCGTTGCGCTCAAATGACAGCATCGATCCTGGGTGCAGCCCGGGCCATAAGGCCAACGTTCGTGCAGCTACATAAACCTGCGTGGGAATTGGCATCAGGATCTCGCCCTGTTGTTGTTGCCATCCAGCTATTTGCTCGTGTTTAAGCCGGTCCTTCCTTGCCATGGCGTTGCTCGTGCGCCGTTTGGCCAGAAATCAACTTTCCTTAGCAGGTCTAGGGTCTTTTAGCCCGTCTAGGCCCTACATGGGCTCTCTATGAATGGAAACATAGGATAGCATAACACAACACAACAACACAGCACAGTTAGATGCACCCGGGCAAAAATGCATTAACCCGTAAACGCTCCCTCTGGGCCCACGCAGGATCCCAGCCGCCGGGGCTCGCTTGCCCGTGCCCTATCTGCAAGTGGGAGCGGCGGCGGCAGCCTGGAGCTAAGTAGCGGAGGGGGTAACACAGACCGGGTCATGCCTGGTGGCTTGCATCTGCAATCGTTGCCGGTGCCGCCACCTAACTGAAATGTCAGCGGCCTCGACTCGCGTGGTGTGCAACATACGCTTCACCTCCGCTCAAGCGTTTAGGAACGTGGCCCAGCGTTTGCCGCACCTGCGTGGCTGACATTGGGCATGACAAGAGGCGGATGCTGACCACCATGGCCTCCAATTTGCACGGGATACCATATGACACGCGAGGCGCTACCCTTGCTCTCGTACATGGGCTTCATGCAAGCACGTTGCCATGCACATGGACCTTCGCCACGGTTGCCACGCGCACCAGGGCCGTGTGCATGGCAGGCAGCGCTTGTTCGGTAATGCAGTAAGGAAGTGGTGCATCAGGCTGCGAGCACTTCTTACATTGGTGTTGCAGATGGCATTGGGGCTTGGAGAGTGAGGCTCGGGCTGGGGTCTCTCTTCTGAAAAGGACAGGCGCGTGCATCAATGTTATGGCGCGAAAGAAGTTAAAAGACTATCCGTCTCCCGTATAGAGTCAGGGTAGGCGCATGCACGTAGTTTCCTAGCGCGACTTTGCTGGGCGATGCAAAACTCTGGTGGTGCTAAAGTATTTATCGCACCCGATGCGATTTGAACGCACGCGGGGAGACCCCACCGCCTTAGCAGGGCGGCGCCTTAACCACTCGGCCACAGGTGCATGGAAATTTTCTAAAATTAAAACTTTATATACGCTTGCGTCTGTACACCTGGATGGCTGGCAGTAGGGTTGAGAGGGAAGGGTATGCCTGAGCCCCATAGAGCAATTGCGCTGTTTCCCATTTTGCATCGTGCAAACGAGCAACCGTCAACCGTTGTTAACCGCTGTAGGGTTTGCGTTCGCCGACTCGTCCTTAGAATTATCGTGGACCTATGAACACGTATGGTGGATGTACGAATGAACCATGGATAGACTACAGCCTCCCTGCTCAGCATAACAGTTTGCTCACATAGAACTAATGGCCGATCAACTCATCGGCTCAATCCTGTAAATCGACATTTGCAACCACACTCATGTCGCAGCCGCTGATTTATCACAGCTCCACGCGGTGGTAGATGGGTGGGCAGGGTGGGTAATATGCTTCGACAGGGGACCCACGCACCAGCAAAGATAATCAAACATTGGCATTACTCGAATAAAATAAAAAATCTCAATTCGAGCCGCTGCCGATTGCCGGTCCGGCCCCCATGCGGTGGATCACCAAACAGACAGATCAGAGCGGGGCAATAAGTAGGTAGGGGTAACATGCTTTGGGCCTCTCCTCCACAAACCCGAAGGTTTCTGCAAAGACTCCATCACACGCTATGCACACCACTGCTCCACTGGGGCGGTAATATTTTAGCAGGGTCGGAGAGGCGAAGGTCGCACCGAACCTTTAAGTAATCGAAGCCGGGTCCGCTCAGTATGGCAAAAACCCGTTCACCTCCTTATGGGCCTCCAACCCCTCCTTCAAGCGTCCCGCGGCCACATCCCCCATGGGCCTGAAACAAGCGCTCGCTCAACCCCTGCACCGCGACCACTGACACACCTGCTTCCCTTGACTCTATTGATTGGATGTTAAGGACTTTCGCGTCATACTATGTCCCTAACCTAGCTTGTAGCTTCTAGGCTCTTGGGCCTCCGGCTCCTATGGGCTCGTTGCACTTCTACCTGGGTAACGCAACAGAGGTGCAACACACACACTTTACTTATATAGTGGTCTTGTATAAACGAACAATATAAACAGAATAAAAAATGGGTTATTGCATAGCCATCCGCGCGGCCCAGCAGCAGCGGCCGTACGATAATACGCCAACTACGACAGCTTGTAGTACAGGCAGATGCCCGGGGCATCCTCCACGTAGCTCTCCGCCAGCTCGGGGACCAGCCAGTCTGTGGACCACATGTATCTTGCGTTGTTGAAGGCCCGGCAAGATGGGTCGGCCAGACATGTCTGATAGGCGTCCGCGAGGGCTGTCTGATTGGGCCGACTGCTCGGGCTGTACATGGGCTTGATGTTCACGTCGTTGTAGGCGGCAAAACCACGCATGGGGGCACAAGCTGCGGCGGAGGCGGCCGGGCGGGGGAAACAAGTAGGGGTAGGGGTATCATGCTTTGGGCCTCTCCTCTAGAAGCCAAAGGTTTTATAATGACAGATAGACGACAACATACACATACATACGGTCTGGTCTGGGTTGACACTACTGCAAATAGCGGTATAAGGTCCTGGGATCAATCCCCGGGGAAACAATCGAATTTATCGAGAGCGCGAGATTATGGTCATCTGTAGAGATGTGGAACAGAGGACCATATTTGCACGCTGGATTGGTGGCGATTGCCGAAAGCTCCGTCTCTTCGGGTATTTGGGTGATTGAATGTGGAGGGATCCCTGAAGGCTGGATCCGCCGTCTCGGACTTACAGTTCGTATGGCGAAGTACAGTGTGGTAGTGGTGGATGGTACTGTAAGGTGATCAATCGTAGAACTGACAATGTGATAAAGCCCAGAAGCCTCCCACTCTGTAACATTACAATTACATACACACACATACACACGCACGCACACACACAGACACACACACATATATACACACACTCATACACAAGGAGAGCTACAACCTAAGGCCGAGGAATTAATTCCCGGATGCCACCAATAACGTACGACAATTTGCGACTTACGGTCTTTAATGTATGCGCATTTACTGGTCCTGCTGTAGACGACTTTTGTTGCACCAATTACAAAGTTGCCATCGAAATCAAAACCGGTGCATCGGTAATCCAAATTGCAGTATTCCTCTGCCGCCTTGGCGCCGCCCGGTGCCGTGCCGTTGGCGAGGCCGCGTATGCCCTCTTCCGGCTTTGGATAACGGGTGAACTTTGCTGAAACCACGTTTGAACCCTGATACTGCGAGCTGTAGCCAAGCTTTTCAAAGCATGCTGCATGCATGGGGCGCGAGCAAGAAGAGTATAAGCGACTTGCAGACGAGTTAACTATTGTCGAAGGACATACATCACCACCTACGTGTACCTCAAAATATAACAGCGTGAGTAATATATAGTGCGCATGTATGCACCCGCCGTGCCGAAAAGGCATCTTTTGGTATGTGTAGACACAAGCAGGGTATTATCAATGCATACGTACTGAGCTATTAAGTAACTAAGACGTTGCAGTGTTACGCAAGTCCATCCGGATCATTTGGATAGTTTCTGCTAAAGCCGCAAAAATGCAAACTGCATATTGCAACCGTAGGTTTGTTTCGTTTTTCACGTCTGCTGTCGGTGCCGCAGCATGTAACCATGCTAGATGCATGCGCACGAAAAATGCACGTGCTTAATGATGAGTGCGTTATCCACTGTTAAGACCAGCAAAGCGCCGGACCCCAGCCGGGTCCTATTACTGTGGTTACCATTCCCTGGTCTATGAGTGTCGATCATTTCCAACAACCCCCCGTGAGCATTACCCACCACGCCTCAGGTACATTGAAGAACCGGTGGGGCTCGGAAGGAACTCCGTAAAAGAAAGTGGGCCGACAGCGTAAAAACCATCCGTGCTCCAAGCAGCGCAAGCCGAGCTTTCACACCCCTTTTTGGCCGCTTCCTGATCAGGCATCCTGACAGTAACGCTGGAATGCGAGGCCTCTATCCACTTGAGGAACGGAACCAATATGTAGTTGGACCTCGAGGGCGCGTCTGTTACATGGATTTGAAAGTGATTGGCGGTTAGGTGTCAAAGACAGCAACAGGCAGGAAAGGGCCTTTGTTGGTGGAGGGTTGAGGCCTTTGTTGTTGGAGGGTGTCAGACAAAACCCTAAAACCCTAAAAAAACACCCTAAAACAGCGTGTCATAGGACGTTTGTACCTATCTGCTGTGTGTGCTGTCCACTTGACACTCTACCGCTATTGCTCCGGAATGCCGGAGACGGGACCTGGCCTGTTGTAGTAGCTGTACATAGTACGGCATACATATCGTCTACAAATGCACGCTAAGGCGTTTCGCCACCATCTCGAGTGGCCTTTTCAGCGAGGCCAGCTGCGACACATGTAGAGGAAGAGGTTCATCTGATAGGGAGGATGTCTTGAACGTCGGCACCTACATACCCTCATGGTAAGAAGTCGAATAGCGTTCAAACAGGACGGGAATGAGGGGAGTCACGCGCGGGAAGGAGGCGGCCTCGCGAAGGGATGAGGGAGATGCTGCGCGCGATTGAGAAACTCGAAGTCATTTACTGAGTGCGTTGGGTGAAGTGCCCGTGTAACGGGCTGTGCCCATGCGTGTTCAGCTGTACCCAGCTGTGTTGTGTGCATGTGTATGTGTATATGTATGTGTGAAGGTTAAACGTATCTGACGGGGCCTGACACTGGCCAGGGGCTGCTGCCCAGCCCCTGAGAGCTGCAGGTCCGCTAGCTCCGCTCTCCCTCCCCCGGGAGGGGAAAGGCGTCGCACGCGCGCACACTCTCACGAGTCAAGGCTTCGCCATGCGTATGTGTATTTGCATGTGTATATGTATTTGCATGTGTACGCGTATCTGTATGCTATGCGTATTTTGGACACAGGCTTCGTCTAGTAACAGCGTGCAAGTTGCTGTCAGTTTTGGTTGGTGTGCCTTCTTGTGAAGGCCCGGGGGCTTTCGCCAATTGGGAAGCCTAATGGCAAATTTCCCAGTGCGTGGTCGCGGGTTTCGGAGCCTTCGCTTTCTTCTGTCGATGTGACACTTGCGTTGTCTGGTCTGGGTGTGCGTCTTGGTTGCCCTGGTTGCCTCAGGTGCAGTAATGCACGGGCAACTGGCCCGCTGGCTCTACTTTTCACGAGTCTGGAGCCCACAGTCACAACCACCACACACACGCTGAGTGTGCTGTGATTGCATGCATGGATGTGCTAGGACGGAAGCAAGGTCGGGCGGATGGAAGGATGGGTATCATGATTGCCTTTGGAAATTTGAAGGAATAGAGCTGACGAGTGGTGAATAAGTGGATGCATGTGACATTGTAGCTGTTTGACTTAATCCCGCCATTTTACGGGCAAGGCTGGTTGGGTGTTGTATCACGGGTACAGAAAAGTACCGATCGGCAGATGTCAAATGGCGTGGCACACCCCGGATACAACACTGGGTGGACGGTGGTCGGGGTGAAGTGGACGTGAATCCTGGTGGGGCGATAGGTCGATGAGATACATAGCAGATCAAGTGCGCATACGTGAAGTTCACCTTGCTTGAGATACAGGCATTGGGTCGCGTGTTCAATGTTCACGGGCCCGAGACCAGCCAAGGTCACCGTAAAGCCGCGACTGTTGAAGCCGATGCAGGCGCTGTCGGCATCGCATGCAGACTTAGCAGCTGTCATGTTGGGGAACACAGCGCCCCACGTCGGCTCCAAGGGGGTTTTCAAGCCGGACTTGTAATTCAATATCCCGCCTGTGAGCGTTACGTAGCCCGGATGCTCGACGCAAGCTGGGGGGCCAGCAGCAGGGGAGGTAACGAGGGCGAGGGCGGACGTGTAGCGGAAATACATGCAGATGCAGGCGTGCTGGGGGCCACTTAGTTGAGCACGATTACAGTGCAGAGATATATATGTAATATACACACTAATCACATGTCCTTTTATGTAACGCTATCTGCAACGGCGGTTCGGATGAGTCATCCGTACCGCCAACCAGTGGATGCAAGGATGCAAGGATGCATAATTAAGATGACGCTTACATTAATTTCCAGCGCTGCATCGAATAGAGCCGTATCAATCGACTGTGCGGCGTTATGGCCCCGTGAGTAATTAATTCAATCAAACACTACTGGTCCTTCCCTTACGGAAGAAGCAATTTGTCGAGTTATTGTTGATTTTTGGGGCCGCATTCAGGGTTTCGCAGCTTTAGGAATTCCACGAAAAGGTTGGGAATCCGTTGGCGCACATCACCCCTTTTTGAGGATTATATCTGGCAAATTGATTTGTTCGCGAGAGCGGTTACCGATGAGAGGTTAATTATCTGAGATGATAATCTTTTGGTATATTAGTCTCTACTGCAGTGCACGGCCAGCTGGCCCGATGGCTCTACTCTTCGGGAGTCTGGAGCCCACTGTAACAACCACACACACACTACTACCAAACAGCCTAGCATAGATAGTACTGCTTGTCCGCTATAGCTATCTGCACTGTCGTTGGCCAAAAGCGCGCAGCACCGCACGACCAACGGCTTTTGATTTTGTCCTAAGCTTTGCAAGTACTTGCTTTCCGATACAATTGTCTATCGTCGCTTACTACACAGCCACCTCTCATGTCAGCCAGCTTGAGATGGCGGTGGGTTTTCGCTGATACGCGACATGCAGACCACACCCAAGGAAACTGCCGCGTGGCGTAGCATTTCACTTGCCTGTGTAGAAAGTTTTCGGTCTGGCTTGGCCAGCGGCTGGCCGCGCCACTAGTGCCAGGAGCGCTACTGCCGAAACGATGGGCCGCAATGACCACAGCGGTTTAGGAATTATGGAGCATGCCATATTTGAAAGTGCTAGAAAGTGAAGGAATGTATCTAAGGGTCCTGTGAAGCCCTGCAAAAAATTATCTAACTTCGGAACGATACCGGAGCAGCGCCCTCTATGTAACAATGTCTGTGAAAAGGTTGGATATAAACATAACATACATTACGTTAATGCTTTCATACATGTTATGTCGCCTTCGTGGTATAAACGGGCGGTACGGCTGCCAAGATACAGGTTGTGCCGGACTGCTGGCAATGGCCGAGATTGAACCAATCAAAATTATTACACTTAAGGACTAATTTATACTTCTGTAAAAAAGAAAATGGCTGCTTCGAGTCCTCCTTGCCGAGTCCTCCTTGCTTGGGGTCACCACGGTTAACGGTCCATACGATAAGCCGACGCCCTCGTCCCGGAACTGAAAATCACGGCGAGAATTGATAAAGACGAATTCCTCATAACTTCTCACATATACGCCTAAGCAAGCGCATAGCAGCGCGCCAGCCAGCAAGCTGCTTTGATTCTCAGGGTAAGAAATGAGGCGGGATCTTGACATATTCAAGCAATTATAATTTCCGAGCGTTTCATGTGTCATCGTCGAGAAGAAACAAGCAAGGTGTACTTCGCAACGTACGCTTAACCGTTAGGTTGCCTACAGTTATCGTATCTTAATATCTATTGCCTGCCAACGGATGTTCGCAAAAAACACCAATTTCCTTGTTTGAACAAAACTAGAAGGTATGAAGCGCTACTGTTAGGATTGTGCTTAGGAATTCTTCGCAAACATGGACGATCCATGCAAGTTGTGAACAAACTGACGCTGAAAGATCTCAGTGGTCCCCCTGGCCAGGGTACACTAGCACCTGGACTGCACTGCCCATGCCTGCGCTGGGCCTTTGTGATGTCCTTTACAAGCCATTGGTGCTTTAACACAGTGCCAAATAAATGTAGATAAAAGCATGTAAAGGCCATGCACGCACGCGCCTGCATGTCCCCGCTGCATCTGGTGTACAACACACACACACATATATATATATATATATACAATAGCAATACATACACACACACACATATATATATATGTGTGTGTGTGCATGTATTGCTTGCATAGCCATCCGCCGGCGCGGCCCAGCAGCAGCAGCTGTACGATAATACGTCAATCTACGACAACTTGTAGTACAGGCAGATGCCCGGGGCATCCTCCACATAGCTCTCCTCCAGCTCGGGGACCAGCCACTCTGTGGACCACATGTATCTTGCGTTGTTGAAGGCCCGGCAAGATGGGTCGGCCAGACATGTCTGATAGACGTCCGCGAGGGCTGTCTGATTGGCCCGACTGCTCGGGCTGTACATGGGCTTGATGTTCACGTCGTTGTAGGCGGCAAAACCACGCATGGGGGCACAAGCTGCGGCGGAAGCGGCCGGGCGGGGATAAGCACAGAGGGCGACGTCCTTTATCTCAAGAGAATTAAGAGGAAAAAATCAATTGACTGCACATAGACATGTTGAATTGAATTGAATTGTTACAGAGTGGGAGGCTTCTGGGCCATCTGAGACATAGACATGTAATCTGTAGAGGCCATGAAGAGAAATCCATTCCTCCTGCAGCAGCATCCAAGCGCATAGGAAACTTAACGGTACCTACCCTACACGTTATCAGAAACCCGGCGACGACTTACGGTCCTTGATGTAGGCACATTTGCCTGGCCAAGCAGTAAAGACGATTTTCGCCGCGCCAATCGCATAACGGCCGTCGTAACTGAAACCCGTGCATCGATAATCCAGATTGCAAAATTGCTCTGCCTCTTTTCCGCCGCCTGAAACTTCGCTGGAGGCTATGCCGTACACGCCTTTCACTGAAGCCAGGGTAGCAGCTTTGTATTTTTCATTGTAGCCAACCTTCTCAAGGCATGCTGCATGCATGTTGTGAAAACGCACAGAGGAGGGGGGTCCACAGTATCTATCTCAGGAGGGTTTCAAATGGCGGGCGAACTGCTACGGCATAACAGTCTCTGGATAGTTCGGTTAGTTCGACATAATGTTTTTTTGTGCGTGCACATGCACACACACACGCACACACAAATACGGTCGTACAATTACAATCGAGAGCATAACAATGCACAGCATCTGCAGAGACCTTTCCAACAACCAATAGTGTTACAAACTATGTTGATCCGCTGTATAAAGACCCTCATCTAACGGTTTGGCCGGGGTAGTGGACCAGAGTATCAACAGGGAGTACCAGAATGCAGCTAGGCGGTTGGTTCACCCATATTGTAGTGTGCCGTACTGTGTACCAGCCATTACGCATGTCGCCCGTTACCCATGGACTTGAGGAATGGCCTCGACCTATTTAAAGCCCGCTCTTGTTGGTTTAAGGGCCTACGTATGCTTCGGCAACCGGCCTTCATGCAATCTGCAGCAGCCGTCGTACGGTACGGCATTGTCAAAGCATGTACGTGCCATGCTAAGGGCTATTCCCAGCATCTCGAGAGGCCCTCCCTGCCGCCAGCTTCTACAAGTTGGAGAAGCTGCGGGAAGTTTACGGTTTTGCCAAAAATATGAAGTCTGATATTCATAAGTACACCATACACCATGGTTCCACGTATACATGTGCTTTAGGTGCTCTGTATTACCCACCTTCTTTCAGATAGATCGAAGCGCCGGTGGGACTTGGGACGAACTCCCTAAGAGGTTTGCCACCTCCTATGTACTGGCCGTCGGTGCTAAAAGCAGGACAACAGCAGGAGTTTTCACAGGCTATCATGGCACCGTACTGACTGCCTGTAGCGAAAACAAAGCTATTATCTGGCCATTGGAGAGACGGCACCAGCATGTAGTTAGCGATCGACGGCGCAACTATGGCAGGGGTGCATTGAGAAAACATGGAGGCAGCAGGTGGCTCATTAGCAGCGAAGGAGGCAGCGCAGGAAATTGCGGGGTCATACAAACATCGAAATCGCGGGGTCATACAAATTGCGGGGTCATACAAACATGCTAGGCCATGTACGGAGGTGGCCTAGATGATGACCAAGTCGCCCGTCTACCAGATAGATTTGCCAGAATCTCAGCAGCAGGTGCATGTACGGAACAGAGATAGGTAGACAGCCTGGTTTGCAACAGCAATGTGTAGACATATAAGGTGTGCCGATACTTCCCAAGTGCCGCACCTTTCTTGAGGTAGAGGCATTTAGTCAAGCCCGTAATGCTCACATTGCCGAGGCCGCCTTTGGAAAATGTCGAGCCCTGATTGCTGAAGCCGATGCAGGCGCTGTCGGCGTCACATGCAGACTTAGCAGCTGTCATGTTGGGGAACATATCACCCCACGACGGCTCCAAGGGGGTTTTCAAGCCGGACTTGTAATTGAAGACCCCGCCTGTGAGCGTTACGTAGCCCGGATGCTCGATGCAAGCTGGGGGAGCAGCAGCAGGGGTGGAGACAGGGTGTGGAGCCAGGGATGATAGGCCAGGAGCAGCGGAGCCTTGGGCGTGACTATAGGCCGAAACTAAACTGCTTGGCAGCGCGCCAGTTGCAAGACATTTGCAAAGGGACATGTCGAATCGTCTCGAAACGTTCGCGTGTTGCTGGATTCGCCTAATCGTAGCGGCATGTAGCCGTGAAGCTGGTATGGCTCCGCTTTGTCCCGTGTAACCGGCACACGGTACATGTGCCCGCAACCTGGATGCACAGGCGACGTTTCATTTTGCGGTTGATGTTGCTGTACCTCACCAAACGTTTGCCCACTGCCAACGATGTATATGCAGCTGACGGTAGCGGGAGTTGCAAGGCCCACATGAAACCCACAACCTCGCCACCTACCCCCGGGCCCCCAGCAGACGCCTCAATTCAGGCTGAGGCCTATTATTAGTATTGATAATCCGCGGCGAATGACTTGCGCCTAATAGATTTATAACCTGCTAAGGCCCGTAGCAAAAGCACTTAACACTACAATATTAGCTAGCAACTGTGAGGCTTGTCAACCATACCGCACTACGAAGGTAACCCCTGCACTTCAGTCTCTGTCCAGTCCACTGCTGCTTATGGGACCATTCGCGACACGGCTTATTACCGACACCTCCATAATTTGCAAGGTTTAGGCTCGCGGCGATTACGTTCGTTTACGGGGATTACGTTCGTTCGTTTTACGTTCGTTGCGGGGTTTACCCGCAGCGGTGCATTCGTGAACTTCTTTGGACATTGCCGTTACATGACTGCAGCGTCCTACCTGCCATCTGTATTCTCCACTTGCCTGTATAAAAGGTTTTGGGCCTGGCTGTGCCATCAGCACCCGCCGCAGTCTCGAAGAGCGTTATTGCGAAATAGGCCAAAATAGGCAGCAAGGACAGTAGCGGTTTTGGGTTTAGGGACCTTGTCATAGCCGTCCGTGGAGGGTAGGAGCAGATTGCCGCAAGTGGGTCCTTAAGGCTCAGCGTGCTGCGAGGAAGCGCCAGCAACGCGGGCCGTGCAGCACCCACTCCGCCTGCGGGTGTACGTAAAATCATGGTAGGACGCAAATAAGAGTTAAGAGCACAGTATATCTGTACACCAGCTTGCATTATCATTGGAAAGCTGAAAAACGCTGATGATAAAATGGCGGGTGCTCTCATCATCGCGTAATTGGACGTCTCGGAAAGTCCTGAAGAAGTATTCGCTGGATTGATACTGTTGCAAGATGTGTACTCCGATAAATGAAATACGCTGGCGGTTAACAGTCAAAATTTGGAAGATATACTTGAAGTGAAATAACGGAAGGAGATCCTAATCCAGCTGACCATGAGGGTACGCTCCAAGCCTACCTTCGTCCTGCTGGTGCGGCGCTATCATTCCTGAACTATACAGATGAATAAGTACAGTCGGGGTTTTAGTCTGCGAAATGGCTTTTGAGTTATTCGTGGGTGCGTTTAGTAGTTATATGCGCGCGCGCACGAACATAACGCGTCTGACAACAGTTATGGACCGAGAATATAAGCTGACATGTACCATTTTCACATAAACTGACATGTACCATTTTCACATAAACTGCCCATTATGTTGAAGAAAACTTAGCACCGCGTGCTTTGTACCGTATGTACAACCGTTTGACGCCATTGGCAGCAGATTTCGTGCGTTGCTGCTGGTCACCTATTGCCCCAAAGGAATGTAAGGAACACAATTCTATTTCCGACTTAAAAAATAAGGACGTTTAGGTGACATAATTCATTGGCAGTAAGTCGTTAGTCTTTCGTACGTTATAAAAGGGTCCTTCGTGGAGAATGTATGTCGGCAACTCCAGCGCTGTCGAATGTCTGAACTATCCTGATTGCGTATCCTGGTATTTTGTCCACTCGCAGTACGCACGACTGGTGCCTCAAGGTACCGGTACTTTCAACCGGCAAAAAAAGCCACTTCCAGTAACGAGTTTGGTAAAATTACTGGTCTATCATTTGAAGGTAACTGAAATTAAATAACCAAATACATGTGCAGTCCTGCGAAGTTGATATCGCCTACCACCAGGCATGCTTAAGGGCCATCTGTAGTATGGAAGCGCAGGAGGACGTTCATAATTATTGTTTCATGATGTGCATCATTAAATCTTCATGAGACCATGTTTTGACGCCGCTGACCTCGTGATGGACCTCCGTTGGTGTTCCGAAAGCGAACACCGTTTCGGAACAGTAGATTTACTCGCTCGTTTTGGCTATGCAACAAAAATCGAGACATATTTACATACGTTAACAGTATATCGGTTTACCTTGTTTGTGCCTGCCCCGCCAACTGCTGCCTGCTGCTGTCGGGCTGCTGTCGTCAGCACGTCGTCGGTGGTTAATTCCAAAAACGTTCCCGGAACCTGATAGGGTGCGGCGAGGTGCCCCAAGCCGGTGAGTCCACCTATCTCGCTCGGCTCGGCTTCTTGCACATCATTTGAACCATTCCTTCCCAGCAGCGGTCATTCACACCACCACTATGGGCAAGCGGTGGGCCCTGCACACCAGCACGAGCAAGTTCCAGAACATGTCAACACTGACCGCGGTCCTGCTACTCCTGGCGACTATGAAGGCCTGTGAAGCAGCAGCAGCAGCAGTCAAGACAGGTGCGCGCATCGTAGGCCATAAGCAAACTGTGGAATGGGGGGAGAACAATGATGCTGTATGAGAGCCTCATTGAAGTTACAAGTTACAAGTTACAAGTTCCGCACACAAGTGCGGGTGTGTCCGTAAAAGCCGGGGGGGCCATGGACGTTGTATTGGTATTGATGCGGGTACGCGGGAGGTCATCTTCATTCTCCCTCGTCCGCTTCAGGGCGAAGCGCCTCAGCGCGACGTGCCTGGCCTCCCAAATTTCCGAGAGGTACCTGGCCAATGCCAGGCGTGGCGCCTCAGTCATAGTGGTGCGCATCCTGCGCCCTGTAAGGACTAGGTCACCATCATACTTAGCATACTACTAACATACTATACTCTTGTAAGCGGGACATTCTTCGAAAACATGCAACTCATCTTCAACCGCTCCACAGTCACAAAGCCTGCGGGTACACGCGGTGCGCTCACGCCCATTAGGCCTATTAACCTCTAACTCCCAACAGCCTAACCGAAAACGCATGAGCACATGATGAAGTCGCTGGGGCATGGTCCCTTTAGTGTGCTCCAACCAATCGAGACGCGCACCCCTAGACGGGGCAGCTCCCATCCAGTTCATATAGCGACACGCCTTGGCTCCGGTAATTCCTATGGGGAAGACGCGGGGGTCACCCAAGGTATTCGGGCACTCCCACCGTGCATCAAGCCGCTTGGCAAATACCTTAAGAATGCTCTCAACTGGCAATTTAAGGGTGGTGTATTGAATGTAACGCTGAGGAAGCATTTGACGCAGTAAGGGTTCAAGTACTGGCGACGGTGGTGGATCACACGGTTTGTCCAATGGTGGCTAAGTGTACTGGATCATGCCAGAAGATCATCGGAATCCCCGCCTCCGAAATGATGATTGGCGACTGGCTGGCAGTAGCACCGTTGCGGATATAGTGGTTGCGGAATGTAAAGAAGTCTTGTTTAGGACATGCGTATCGTCAGTTGTATAAGTGTTCAGCCACGGCAGAGGGGGGGATTTGGACCTGAATAGCAGTACTGGATCTCGGTGATTGTTTCAATCCGCCTTGCTTATGTACCACGCAAGCAATTTGCCACGCACCTTGCGCCCGTGGTAACGATCGCAGTGAGCAACCTTCTTTGCAAACCACATGATGCATACACAGCCACATGTCAACGCCGCCGTCTGCGCCCGTGTTTTCGGCTCCGCTTTGGCCTCTTTTTTCCGCCACCTACCAGCTTGCCCCCAGAAGGGAAACTTCCAGGTCTGGGCCGACCTGACCTGGCAGCGCGGGGTCTCCGCCGTCATCACCAACCTGACCGCACTCACGGCGGCCGAGGTGGCCTGCCGGTCTGACCCGAGTTGCGTGTCATTCAATAACCTTGGGCAGACCATCCGCGGAGAAATCGCGTCCCTGACAGCCCAGGTCGGGACCTGCACTTACATTAAAGGTGCGTTCCTTCTTTTCGTTGGTCACACCGGTGGATTGTCATGGTGTACGTGGTGGTGAAGTTGACGACCAATACCGCTTTTCCAGAGATGACCCACCTACCCCTATCAATACCTATCCATCAATGTCCTGATTGAGGGATTAACGGCTGTGGATGTGTCGATACAAACATACCCACGCCAAAGTCCATGGCCACAACCACATCCATGCCCACGCCCACACGTCAAGACCACAGGAGTGTGCCCCCGGAGGACTGGCTACACGGCCTACAACCATACAACGTTTTCCATGCTCGATGGAGTCGAAGGGGCGCGCAGAATCAACGTCTCATCTGCCGACGAAGTTCAGGACGTGTGCGACAAAGATCCGAGTTGCCCGAGTTTCGCTGTGCTGGCGCCGTCGACCAACGGCAACCTCGCTGTTGCCGGGTTCTACGGCAGCAGTGGCCCCGTCCAGGCCTACTCCTTCCAGTATAACACGTGTACATATGTGAAAGACGGCATGCACGGCCACGGTATGTACAAAGGTCCATTCCATTCCTTCGCGAGGTGTATGTGCATGTGAAGGGTTGTTGCTTGCTCCGGCTGCAGTGCTGCTTTTACGGTGCAGCTGTTTCCACGTGTCCAGCTTTTACGGTGCAGATGCAGATACGCAGGCGTGCTTACGTGGTCACACCTTTGGACGGTAACGCAACTCACCTCACACACGTATGAATTCCATGTACGTGTGCATGTGCAGCCTGCCCGCCCAAGATTGGCTACACCAATTTGCACCACACGACCGCTTCTGGTCCCAGCCCTGACTACTTTGCGTACGCCACGACCGGGTACCTGTCTGGTGTGATGCCCCGAGGGGCTGCCGCCGCGGAGGAGGCTTGCCTGGCCAACAGCAAGTGCACCGCATGGAGCACAGACGGCGACATCTGGATTGGAGGAGTCGTGAGCCTCAACCAGCGCGCCTTCTGCACGTGCACCTACGTCAAGGACGGTATGTATGTAGGCGTGCGTGGGAATGTTACATGTATGTGCTCGGTGGGGGGACGTGTTTCGAATGTCAGAGCAAAACAATAACCTCTCAGTCCCCAGCCCCGTTAATACACGGCTTTGGTTTACGCTGAGGCGCATTGTTATCATTGTTACACTGATGAGCGCAGGTGAAACCCTAAGACAGTAAGCTAGATCAAACTATTGTTCTGTCATCTGTCAGTCCATTTCGTGCGTGATCCATGTTGATTGCGGTACGGCATAATGTCTAAGGAAAACACTCGCGACTGCCTTTGCCACTGGCTGACCCCTATGTTAGCTGATGCTCGGTAGGTCGCATGAGCTCGCTTACCTTCAGGACGTCTTATTGCCGTAAGCAGCACGTTGCGTCGGGGTTAGACAGACTGGTCTGCACCGTATCCGGTGCTCAGCATTGATTGGCCAATGCCAATTAGCACAGAAATAATAAGCCGCTCAGGCCGTGTCTTGAGTGCTGCCAATGGCAGCGAATACCAACCTCTAAGGAAGACCCTGCCTGCTGTCGTCATCGGGCTTCTTCACCGGGCAGGCGTCACGCGTCGTATCACAGAATTAACCCGACGATTTTGCGTTGTGTTGCTGTCTAGTTAATTTATTACAAACCATTCCATTGTTTGTAGTGGACGAATTGCGTTGGATCCGATGTATCCATTATACAGCTTATCCACTTCGAACCAGCCTCCTTTTTCCACACCCACACCCACACACAAGTGTGGACAGGGGGGCTTCTCTCTTGTCCAGGACTTGGCTGGCTGACTTGGTTGGGTTACGGTTGGGTTGCTGTGTCCACTGTTGCATCCCTGATGACGTAATTCCCCATCCGCACCACTGTCGCTCGCTTCCCCTCCAGATTGCCCGCTCATGCCTGGCTTCACAGCATACACGGACCTCAAGGACGCCACCACCAGTCCTGCTTCCCGCAACATCACCCTGTCTCTGTCCGACACCCGTACGAGGTGCATCCAGGACACCAACTGCAAGGGCTTCGACATGTTGCGAAACTTCTGGACCTTGAACCTGAACCCTACCGCTTCGCAGGAAGGCATGTGCACCTATGTGCGTGCCGCTGGATTTTAGTTAAAATTTAATAACTAGTGTTGTGAATGATGAATGCGGCGATTTTGAATGAGGTAGTGGTGAATGCAGCGGTGGTGCTGCTGCCTTACTTGCGTAACAAGAATGTAAGATGGAGCGACCTAATAGGAGAGCGAGGCTTTGCGAGGCTTTGCGAGGGATCTACTATCTACGTTCACAAAGTCACATTCAGCCTCCTTAGTTGCTGTTTGTTGATGTTGTTACAGGGTGGTTAAGCTTCACCAGTGGCCTCCTTCCCGAGGCAATTCCCTGCTCTCCCCTGCTAGAGGGGCACCCTAAGCCATTCACCCCATCCGACTTCAGAGTGTACTCTTTGAGTTTGGCAACTCACCACCAGCATCCAACCAAATCTAGCGGATCAACGGCGCCACAACTTAGTTACTGATCAGCTCGCGAGTTGATTTTATCACGTCCTACACCGTCCACAAGATGGGGGGCCACCTCCCATTACATCACCTCTCAAACACCCCGAGAGGTCGGCAGGCGGATTTGAACCCGGACGCGCCGGGACGCGACGGGAGCATTTGTTATATCACTTCGACTTCTTCAGTAAAGGTTCGAACGGTGGATACAGATCCCGTGATATACCCATGATACTGCACTGCTGGTGTTGGTATCACGGCAACACCAGTGATGCGCGCGGTCAGATCCGCTGTAGCGTCACTCGTCATCATTTCCATCCTATTACCGAGAAACTTCGTTGCGTGTCGTCGATGTGTGTGCTTAACCACCTCGAAGTGGTGAAGCATATAGTATAGCATGACCTTTGTAACAGGAGCGGTCTCAAAAGACGTTAAAAAGCAGGATGAGAGCAGGAAGCTGCACCGTTCTCAGTGCATCACAACTTAGCTTGGATTATCGCCTCACATATTGCGAAAATGGTATGCAGCCACCCACACGCACGAACGACATACATACATGTACATCTATGTGGCCATCTGGGGCCAACCATCCGGGGTAATACTGTACGGCAGCAGCCGTACGATAACACGTCAATCTACGACAATTTGTAGTACAGGCAGATGCCCGGGGCATCCTCCACATAGCTCTCCTGTAGCTCGGGGACCAGCCAGTCTGTGGACCACATGTACCTCGCGTTGTTGAAGGCCCGGCAAGATGGGTCGGCCAGACATGTCTGATAGACGTCCGCGAGGGCTGTCTGATTGGCCCGACTGCTCGGGCTGTACATGGGCTTGATGTTCACGTCGTTGTAGGCGGCAAAACCACGCATGGGGGCACAAGCTGGGGGGGGGGGGACGGCGGGGCGGGGCAACAAGTAGGGGTAGGGGTAACATGCCAAGCAATGCTAGCATGCTTTAAGCCTGCCAGTGTGCGCGGAGTACGCAGTAATGACGCAGGGCCGTGGACCCTTCCTTAAAGTACATGTGAAGACAGAAGGTGCGAAAGGCGTTAGGATAGTTCCAAACCTTCAGCAGATGTACTCAAGCGCAAGAAAGTTTAAGAGTAACCAAGCCCGAGGATCTCCGAAGCCCGGCGACGACTTACGGTCCTTCATGTAGGCGCATTTGCCGGGATAAGTAAAGACTACTTTCGCCGCGCCAATTACATAAGTGCCGTCGTAACTGAAACCTGTGCATCGGTAGTCCAGATTGCAAAATTGCTCTGCCTCCTTTCCGCTTGGCATTTTGCCGGAGGCCATGCCGTAGATGCCGTTCATTGAAACCACAGTGGAAGCTTGGTACTTTTCTTTGTATCCAAGCTTCTCCATGCATGCTGCATGCATCAGAAACGCAGGCGGCAGCGGGGCGGGGATGGTCAGTTGACGCGAGGATGCGAGTTACATTTGGAGCTTGGAAACGTGCCTGCGTAACAGGTAATCAATACAACTGAAGCTGGGTCCCGAGACAAGCAACAATACGGCGGGACTTCAAAAGGTTTTGCTTCACAGGAACCTCATATATACACGATGCATACGCAGGTGTGCAGTGCGTGCACGTGCATATGTTTACTGCTGTACGTGCTCCAGTTGAGTAGCAGCTACTACATTACGCGATACGATGGGCAATGGAAGTTTACGCTTACGATTATGCATACTTAACAAATTTAGGTTTTGTACCCACCTGGCCTCAGGTACATTGTAGCACCGGTCTCGCTTGGAACGAACTCTGTAAAAGAAAGTGGACCGATCATGTATCGGCCGTCTGTGCTCCAGGCAACGCAGGCCGAGCTTTCACATTCCATCTTGGCCTGTTCCGCATTGTCCACAATATTAAGAATGCTTGAGTGCGAGATTCCGATCCAGGTGAGGTAAGGCACCATCATGTAGTTCGCTCTCTGTGGCGCGACTGTGACAGGGATGTGGAAATCGGCGGCGGAATACTTTATTATTATTATTGTTATTATTATTATTATTATTATTATTATTATTATTATTATTATTATTATTATTATTATTAAGTCATTAAAAAAATGGGAAATGGGAGGGAAGAACAGATTGGATTGCGTGCCTGTGTTGGTGGTTTTTGAGCGGGCTACTTGCGCGGCGCCTTCTAATATCTATAGGCTACTGCCTAAACAGTACATATGTCTTATCTATTGTATCCGGGGATCTTATCTATTGCTCCGGTAATCCGTTCGCATCCATGGCAACATGATTTAATTATGTTGCTTGACATGCGTGTGTATGATTTTTTAACTTTTGTATGGTTCTGTATCCCATCCATTCCTTGCTTCATTGGGACTTAGCCACGATTTTGGAGTGTGCACGGATGTGGGTACTTCGGGTACCTCGTCCAGTGTAAAACGTTGAAGTAAAGGTTCTGAATGTACGCGTGCTGTGTGTCTGCGTGTGCGAGTATACTGACGGATAGAGGGACTGAAGGCCTGGTAGAGATTGATATGGGCTGCTGGGGGTTTGGCACATGCATGCAAGCATGCAATATCATGGACGGCGCCGTCAGACGGGCTTGCTCGTGGTCTGGAGGTCCTCCTCCGCTGGCGGCTTACTATTGGAACAGAGACAGGGCTGCTGCGCCTCTGCTCGTTGGTGGCTCCGGTTGGCAGTGGTGACGGTGGTTAGCAGCGATGGAAAAGCAAGTGGGCCCAGGCAGATCCTTCGGGCGGCGTTGACGACAAGGTAGGGCTACGCGGGTGGCCGCATGCATCTCACCTTGCTTGAGATACAGGCATTGGGTCGCGTGTTCAATATTCACGGGGCCGAGACCAGCCAAGGTCACTGTAAAGCCGCGACTGTTGAAGCCGATGCAGGCGCTGTCGGCGTCACATGCAGACTTAGCAGCTGTCATGTTGGGGAACATATCACCCCATGACGGCTCCCAAGGGCTTTCCGCATCGAACTTGTACTTCAAGACGCCGCCTGTGAGCGTTACGTAGCCCAGATGCTCGATGCAAGCTGTGGGAGGCAGCAGCAGCAGGGGGGGTGAGGAGGGTGAGGGCGGATAAGGGGGGCAGTTGGGTTACGTCATGTCACATCAGGAACTGGGCTGAGTGTCCTCTGGCAACGCAAGGGGAGTGTCCTCAGGCATCGAGAACTGCACGGGCACGGGATATGGGGATCGATGGGTCCAGGGTACGGGCACGAGGAACGGGAGCTTGCCAACGCAGGGGGGCAGTTGCGTGCAAAAGGGATCGGCGGCGCGGCGGGTGATGTGCAACTATGCAGGCAAATGGGCTGCGGCCTGCCCAGACGTCCAGGTCTGTGAATCGGTGGCTGTTGATTCCGTTGGCAAGGTTTGCTTCTACCGTTGTGTGTGGTTTGTTTCCCGTTGTGGCCGCCTTATGTGTCCTTGCGCTCTGTATATGCTACGTAGGATTCACGGCAACGTATTCTTTCTAATGCCCGCACTCATAATTCTGTAGATGCTGTAGTAGCCCGTACACTGTACGGCACCGTGAACAACTACAAATACGCGCGAAGCGCGTCCACCAGCATCTCGAGAGGACTTTTCAGCGGCGGCCAGCTACTAGAGATGCTGCATTTCGCCAGCCGCGATTTGGCTACATGAGGAATACGTACGACGAGGAGGTGCAGATGCGGCAAAGCTGACAGTACACATGAACAATGCGAAGCTACACGCTTCCGGGGCAAACGGACCGAGCTGTACAATCCCCCACAGATCACCACACCAGGGTCAAGTTCGCTGTCGCAGCTGTCAGCACGACACCAACCGCCCTCACAATCGTGCTGTTATGTAGGGCCATCGCTCTATAAATGCACCCTTAATAGCTCCGGCGGACGATGGGGTGAAAACTGTCAGTCGATCACTCCTTGAAACCTCATTCCATGCTGTGTTACTACTGTCCCGACAACTATGAAAGGGCCCCGTTCTCGCGCATAAAAGCATAAGCGCATACCCTTACCGTCGCATACATGCCACGTAACTGCTGTGACGCATGGTGGGTTTAAGTACTTGCTCTACTAATTACTTGCCTGTATAGAAGGATTTGGATCTGGCCTCGGCAGCAGCCTGTGCCAAGAAGGCGAGAACCGCTACTGCCGCCAAGATGAGCGGCGATGGCCGCAACGGTTTCGTCGTCATCGAGCTTGCGATGGTACCAGGTAGCAAGTCTTTGTGGAGAGGCAGCGGAGCTAAGAACGTAAATCCAATCGAGCTCTCGCACCGTCCAAAGCCCCAAACAAACGCAGTGGCAGCCGCCTTCCAGTCAGGGTTATCTACAAGGGTTAGCCACAAGGAGGATTCAGCACGGTGGAATGTCACTATTAGGCTGTATCGGCTAATAATTAACACATTCGGCTACATATTATATCGCATATTTCAACCGTCGTTCAACAGAAAGGGATTCGAACTTCACATTCGCCTGGTTACAATCGCGCATTGTTGAAGTAGGCATACCGGAAACATATTACCACGTAACAATATCATGTTAAGAGTTTTGGGGACGGTGAAAACACAATTACGTCGGAGCAAATCTGTTATGACGAGCCACGCGTATCTAAAATACATACTACCCAGCCGACACGAAACTAAAATGTCTACGTAGTGGGCAGAGCCTGGCGGAGGGAAAAGCGTTATCCAAAAACCTTACGGAAATGCTCGCCGATTCCAAATGGGCGATGCATAACCATTGGCCCCGTGAGCTAGAATCCAAAAGAAAATGTATTGATTCCAATTAGCCCGTGCGAAATGCTATGAAAAAGGTGACCAATTGAGTAACGAAGCACTGAAGTCTCCGTAACAGGAACACAAGATGTTGGTAAAATGGAATGTAGAAAAGTAATACCTTGTGACCGGAAACTCGAAACCTGCAAACTGGAGATTGCGCGTTGATCCCGGAAAATGACCCTACATAGCCTAATGTGTGACTTCTACAGTGCACGACCGAGAGATTACTTATATCAATCCAGTAATCTGTGAATAAAAGATATTCAGGTCTTGTCAGCATGCATGAACACATATGCTAACCATTTTGTAATCCGGAGAGTACGATGGACGGCGAGCTCCCGAGTATCCGCACACGACGCGTTTACACGATGCGTCCACAATCACCTTTAATATACCTCTCTTAATATACCTGCTCCCTTAGTATATTAATATCTGGCCCAACGTAAATTAAAAGATCCAGTGCAAGGGTCAAGGTCAAAACTGCATAGGTCAAAACTGCCCTTGGGCCTTCGGCTCGTATGGGTAGTCTTACAGGAATGGGGTCACGCACCCCCAACCATGTACACACGCATAGGTCTTGCCCCTGCTCTGCTGATAATCGATCCCCCAGTCATATAACCGGCTTTCTGATCACTGACAACATTATCAATATTATTCATATTGCATTGCTACTTTAAAATTTAGTTTTGATGAACCGCGGTGCACCTTGCACGCTTGCAGCATGCAGCCCCCTCGTAAAACCATCACATGCAGCGCCTTCGCAAGGAAACGCTGGTCACCCAACGTCAATATAGCCGACATATTCCCCGTGGTTTCCGCAGTTTGCATAACGATGCATCTGTCTAGCTGTTTACCTGGTCAATAGCGTAAACTATTTAGATTATCTAGGGTTTGCATTTTTGTCTTTTTCTCTGTTTTCGTTTTGCTGAGTCTACTGGTCCATCAGCCTCCAGCTCGTGTGGGCCTTACGAGCTCGAGAAGCTTGTAACAATCAATCAATTCATCAATCGTATCCATCCTACTCGTCGGCAGGGCATGTAGTACACTCGGCGCATTGAAAGTGTATCTAGGATCGTCAGGAGCAAACAAGGTGACCAACTCCCAAATTAATAATGTAAATGTCGGGCTTCGAGTCATATGGCCCTTCCTTTTCTATAGGCTTAGGAACGCCCAAAACCACGTCCTACGCCGTAGGCACTTCCGTAAACTGCCGTAGAATTCCTATCGTAGAAACTGTGCTACGCTCCGGCCAGCGGTGTCAGGAAATTCTCACGCCATAGATCAGAGCTAGAGGCCAGCGTTCCAGGCAACTTATTCATGGCCTTGGGAGGTTCATTTACAAGTTGTGCAGCCATTCGCTCCGAACCACAGGCTTACATCTACCTGATGCATCCAAACCCCAAACCCCGCCCCAAGCAAGCCCCCCCCAGCTACTGCACCACCTTCACACCAGCTTCAACTCATCATCTGGCATTTATGGCATTACTGTCCTTGCCGTCATGTTGCCGCATCCTCCTCTCCTCATGCCCGTTCTTTAATAACGTCATTCACACCGCCTCACACCCCTGTGCTCGTCTCATGTCCTAAGCGGACTGGCGACTGCAGCCTGCAGGCGTTTCCCGCTTTGGATCGCGCACGCCCAATGCCCCCGTGCCATAGGGGCCCCGCGGCTAAGGAAGCAGCCTCCCTTGTTTTCTTAGAAAACAACAGAACACTCGGCAAAGCGCTTTCCCCCAATCCAAAATGATCAGCCAGGACAGAATCAGCGCCGGCCACTGACAAAATAGTGACGAGCAGAAGAGGAGGGAAAGCAGATAAAGCAAGTCACGAGGCGCTCATTTGGCCGTCCACAAACGTTGCGTGTTGGGTCTAGAGATGGATGATGGTAATGATGAGGGCCATGAGATGGCGATTATGAACCCCACAGAACCCACCAACCCACATCAAAACAACGTCCAAAGCAACCCCCCCTCCTAAGACCACTCCACAGGCCCGGAGTCCTCGTCACCATAGTACTGCATGTGGGAGAAGTTGACCTCACCCAGCTGGCGACAGAATACGGCACCGTACGACAAGAGCACGGGTACCACAAGGACACGGTGCCACGCAGTGAAGCAGCACCAACCGCCGGCGGCGGGGAGTCGCAGGGGTGTGGAGTACGAAGCGGAAGGGTAAGCCATGCAAGGAGGTCGGGGGTGTAAGTCTTAAGGGTAATTGCGGTCGTAGCAAAAAGCTGGAAACCATCGGTAAAAACGGCAGTGGTCCCAACAACATGTCGCTGCGTCGTACATCGTCGACGGTCAGCAGACGGTGGCTTCAGCACGCCCAGCCCAGCCTAGAGCCCCTGCCGCAGCCGCGGTCGTGCTCCCACCCGACCCTTTGCCTGCCCCACGCGCACTCAACCCTCCCCCCAGCCACTCCCCCCAACCCCGCCAACCTGCTCCTCCGCCGCCATTTCCTCCTCTGCGGTGGTGTACACATCGTAGGGCTCCTCTTCGGCTCGCAAGGGCTCTTCGCTGATGCCAACCAACTCCACGTCAAAGAACAGAGTCGCGCCGCCTAAGCGCGGGCAGGCGTGCGAAAAAAAAGAGTAAACAAAAGTGCCATGCGCGGGAACAGGGAGGTGACAGAGAAACAAATGGAATGCAAAAAAGGGAATCCAAACGCGGAGAGTGAAAGCAATGAGGTGGCTCAAGTTGTCGCGGCCATGGTTGGGGCTCTTGGACCGGAGCTTATTGCACGAAGGCACTTAACGCACGCTTTGTATTGTTGTTCGGACATCTGGGCCCCCAGCCAGATCGGGTCCTGGCAGCCAGCGTGGTCAGATGTCGCTATCCCACACTGTCCACACTGTCCCACAGATGTCACTGTCCCAACGAAATTGGTCAAATGTGTTCAAATAAATGGTGAAAGTTTGTAAATACGCTGTATATGTACCTGGGATGGGGCCGATGCCCTCGTCGCCATAACCCAGATGAGGGGGGATTTCCAGGTGACGCTTCTCCCCCGCACTGCACGCAGTTTACACATGTAGTACATTCATATGTAAACGCGTACAACAGCTAAAGATTTACGCATATACATACACACACAGAGGAGGGGCAAGGTAGCCCGGAGCGCAAGCATGCGACGTGTGTTGGGCGGGTTGTGCGAGTAGATGCAGTAGACTGTGCCTGGAAATATGTTTGAGCATGCAGGTGCATGAAATTAAGGAAAATTATGCAAGAAGCTAAGGAACAACTGGGCTGGCTGCCAGTTTGTTACAAATGAACTTCTGTAATGGGCATATCGTTAGCTCCCTGTTGGTGGTCGGGTTAAGCGCCGCTGTGCGCAACTTACAGGATTATGCGTTGGGTGGAAACATGTTACAACTGTCCGTGCAGTACTCGGTACAGATATCGAACGCCCGTGTCCAATTTTATGCAATCGAAACGATGGAACACCTATGGACTGTGCCGCCGCAGGCATATGCGTCAAAGAAGCTGAGTTTATACTTATGACTCGTGGAGAAGGCGGGTTCTGCATTCGGCAGCCGGCATGGAGACTAGTCGAGGTGGTTGCGTGCATGCCTGGGGCCATACATGGCAGCGGAACACGAGCAGAGCACATTTCCGAGTTAACGACGCACCCTTCCATGACGAGACTCACCACATGCCTCGAATGCCTTCCTCCCAGCCAGGGATTACCTGCAAGGCGTTTCCGAAAGCCTTGCTTGGATCAAGCAAATTAGGCACTTCCGTCGCGCACCACGAGCGACAGGGCACGGCCATACCCGATTGGAACCAATTTGGAAGGTAATTGGGTCATTTCTGCTGTACGAGTTGTCGAACTCCGTGCCGTCAGCGAGCTTGCCCTGCATTTAACGGCCGAACCGGACTGGCGCAAGCCCTTCGAAACAACCAACGGCCATACTTGGCTTACTGCATAATGAACCGAGACCCATTTGCCATCTTCCGCCTTCTCGTCGCATCGCTCCGGTGCAAGCTGATCAAAAGTACAGACACAGGGATCACTCACTCAATGCAAGTTGACACACAATATTTTCTCCAGAGAGAAATGGCTCACCGTAACCTTAATGACGACACCTCCAGAACTTGCTAGTGCCGCCCTTGCAACTATCACGGCACCAAGGAAAGTAATAAGTAAAGATAACTGCCCCATCTTGTATTAATACTACCGAAGTGTATAAGAATCAAAGCAGGGCGTGACATTCAGCATGCGCACTCTCAAGGGCTCTACGGCATACGGCACGTACGGATTAATCGTTGCGGATTACGGGCACCGCAACGCTGCAACAGAATTACAAAGATGCTGTACAGCAAGCTAGTCGCCAAGGCGTCAGCTATCTAGTCTAGGACAGTCTTGGACTTGTTTCCTGACGGCGTCGCCCTGTCCGGTGTCACTGCTCCCTTGCAATCCCGCCGCCTCTACAAACTCCCGTGTCTACCACAATAACCTTGTCACCGATGCCAATGACCACAAGAACCTCAAAACCCGCCTTGGTGCGTACGGGCCCAACGGAGTAACGCTGTGTAACCGGCGTACCCGACCCGTGGACCAGAAGAATCCAGTCGGGGTACGTAGTCAGCGGCGGCACGGTATACACACCTTTTTCCCTCAAGCTTCGTTACAAGAGCTCGCCCTCTTCGCAACTCAACTCAATGCATCATGGATGGTTTCTTTCCACAGCGCATCACAGTTACGGCCGGCACGCGGCACAAGCAAACCCTACATGGGATCCAAACATCTTCGGGAAGTCCAGAGACGCTGTCCCTCCTAATGGATCCTCGTAACTGAAAGCCCAGATCCCGACACACATCACACAGAGCAACAATCAACAATCTGCTCATGGACGACCCGCCGTGGGGACGGGGAAGGGGAAGGGAAGGGACGCCTCGTCCGGCTTTTCACATTCGGCTAGGTTGCGCAGCTCCAGGTCCGTCTACGTCGATCTATCGGCACGACCATATCTGCGACGGGGTATGGCGGGCTGCTGCAGCCCTTGTATTGCAAAGCCAGTTCCATCTTCCTACCCGGGCTTTGACGAGCATTCCAGGGGGCTACGAAAGGAGAACTGCCTACTCCCCATATTGCCGTGGCGGACGACGGTGCGGACGAGCAGAGGCCGGGGTTACATGACGGGCGTTTGTACAGTCTGGGATTAGGATGGATAGAGTTGGACCTGATCCCATAGTTTCGTGCAGTTGGGGGAAGGGGCTTGGGGCAGGCTGGCTACGGTGCTGTTGGGCTTGTCACATCCTAGACGCTTAATGGAAAAACAATGTCCCTTTGAGCTAATATATTTTGCATTTTTGCGTTTCGGTTCTTGTCCGGTTACGGTATGCCTTTTCATTTATCTAACCCGTACTGCGTGGCGTCAGATACGATCCGGCAATGCACGGCTGATTCGATGCGTGTAAACACGTCGTCCCCGCCGCCCCGCGTCTGTGCGCTCTTTAGCCACTCGCTTCTTTGGGAGCTGGCTTAAACCATGAAGGGCGCGGATAAGTTTCCAATAATGTAGATTTTAAGCGACGTGGGACGTGACGTAGTATTTTTGACGGGTACCCGACGGGAGGGGTTCAGCGGCACCGCCATCCACCGCTGGCCCGTTGCAACTTCGGCTCAGGTGGGGGTCCCCTTCGCCATAAACCTTATGTTCGCGCAATCCACTGGGACGGACTTCCTGTTGACCCTGGCCACCAAATGGAACTCTTGCGCCTCTTAGCAAATGGAATGCCAGGCCGCTGCATGAAGACGCCCCGAAGAGAAAAGTGTGGGCAGGCACCCTGCAGCACGGTGATCACACCCTGCAGATATTGGCAATTATGTTTGAGCTTAGCTTAAGACGTGAAGTCCGTGGCCTAGTTAGGGAAGTTTACGCACGCCGGTATTGACTGGTAAATCTTCGAGTTAACAGGCTGCTAATTGGTAGCTGAATACAGAACGCCTCATGAGGCCGTTTGCAGTTTTAATCAGAAAATGAAACGAAAGATTTTCGGCAAACGGCAGAAGTGTCGGTGTCGAATCAGGAAATGCACGTCATGTTACGTATTAAAAGCCATATCGTTGCCACCAGTAGGACCTAAGTCTAGGACCCAACGGTCAACTTGCGTTGAAACGCTGCACAGAAGTTTGCCTGTAGCCCGCACACGTACGGCGTCGTCGTGCAACCGCTTCCCGACATGATTGCCTCGATCCCTGCCATACCTTGTACTCTATTGACTTTCACATCCCTGTAGTTTCTGCAAAGATGGCTGAGACGGAGCCTGTCGTTGAGCAGTCTGAGCGCCCTGAGCGCAACAATGAGCCGATTGTCTATGACGAGTCGTTGTTGATCATCGTCAAGGGAAAGGTTCAGCAGCCCAAGCAGCCAGATCATACAGAGAGCCGACTGTTAATACAAAAGCTTCAGGCGGAAATCACAAAGCGTGGAGATCGCATCAAAGAGATCAAGACAATTGAAGAGCAGCTCCGCAGCAATGCAAAGGGAGTGTCCTCTGGCAACAAGGAGATCATCAGCAAGCTCAAGGAATTGCGTGACCAGCGTGCTACCATTATCGTGAGTGGGTTACCTCGGAGGGGCGTATAGTGCAACGGCTGTGCAGGCGCTCACACCAGCGAGACCACACGTTAATGCCTGGACAGGTTCTATCTTAATGTGGGTCTTCCTATGGTGTTTGAACGCAGAGGCAAAAAGCTGCTATTCGTGACGAGTTGAACAACTGCGATGCCGCGCGCGACGCCGTCCGGGCCGAAATGCGTAGCATCCGCGACAAGAACCGGAACGTCAACCCAGATAAGATTGAGCAGGATATTCGGGACCTGGAGTTTAAGCTGGCGCACGAATCGCTTCCGGAGGCAGAGGAGAAGCGTGTGCAGAAACTTTTGCAGGACCTAACGGCTGCCCGCCCGCTTGCAAAGAAGTACGCCGAGTATGATAGCCGGCTTAAAGAGAGCGAGGTGCAGCGTGCAAGCATTATTGCTCGCCTGAAGGAGAGCGATGGCGTTATTGCGCAGTTCGACGCACAGATCGCTGCTAACAGCGCGGTTCTGGACGACGCTAGGACTAAGGCAGACTCCCATGCGGCGGACCTACCCAACCTGCAGGCAAGGAAGTATCCCTGTTTGTGTTTGTCCATGCCAACAGGCACGTTCTGGTTGCTGGTGTGTGCCATGCCGTACGGCCCTATGTTGTGCCAGCCCGAGCCAGCTACCTCATTTTCGGCTCACCCTTCTCCTCGGCGACTAACGTACGTTTTTCTTGGAGAGGACTGGCAAACTTGATTAAACTTGGTTCCGAAGGGAATCCTATTAACCGTAAGACTCCAAGGCGGGTCTCCCTTCCAACCCCAAGCATGCCAATCTAGACGATGACTCGCGGCTTTGCTGCAGCAATGTATCCCCATGTCGAGTGAGTGGGCATATGTCGCAGACCTGCAACCGCTGCCGGGTGCCCATAGCAGTCCGTCCCTACAGCAGTCGGGCATTCTCCGAGGCGTCGCCGGGGCTGGGGGCTCTTGCAGAATTGCCACCAGTGTGTGAAATGGACTGGGGCCCGGGGCTTGGCGTCCGCCTACTGTTGTGGGTCTTCAACCTATACTACCACCCACCACCTATCCACTTATTCTATGGTCGTCGCCACCAATACGAAAACGCCATCGTCCGCTGGCCTCGCACCCCACGTCCTACCTAGTGTAGGTGGAGAAGAAGGAGAACTACGATATCATGGTGGCACTGCGCGCCAAAATTGACGAGATTAAGAAACAGAACGACGCCGAGTACCAGGACTTCATAAAGCGGGACAGGGCATACATGGGCTGGAAGCGAGACCAGAACCGCAAGAAGTGAGCCAGTTGGCGGCCACTGGGATTTCGCAGGGGACGTCCGGAAACAGGAGAGAGTTAGGGAGTGGGTTGCCGTGGGTAGAGACGGTGGGCTGGGTAGGTAGGTGGGCGAGTGCGCGGATAGTTGGACCCAGGTTTGGGAGTTATGGTGGCGGGTGTGGGTTGGCGGGGGTGTGCAGATTAGGCGCAGATTGCTGGACGGAGATACAGTTGCGTTCAATCGCTTCTTCACATTGCGCTTTGGGGTTTCATTGCTTCTCCCATGAAGCGGCCCATTTGTGTGTTGATGTTGAAGTTAGGGGAAGGGCTGGGTTTGGCAGGCATCCCCTCCTTCCCTTCCATTCTTTGCACGATTCGGATCACATACAATGCCCATTTGCTACAGGTACGAGGAGAGGCAGAAGGAGCGTGAGGAGCGCGAGCGGCAGCGGCAGGATGAGAACAAAGCCATCCTCAGCGATGTGGCCATGGAGCCGTACAGCAATGAGGTGCGTGTGTGGGACAGGCCTTTCATTCTCTCTGGGACGCGGAAGATGAAAAGGAACACCGTGAGTTGTGTTCTGGAGGACATTGAGGACCGCCAGAGGGATGGGAGGTGCCAAAAACATTTTGTATGCAGAGTGGCGGTGGCATGCAAGAAGGATGTGATGTGATATCCCTGGAGTGGAGCAGCCGGTGGGCAGTTTTGGCGGAGGAGCATCCTTGTATCCTTGCGGGGAATGGGAAACACAGGAAATTCGGAACACAGGAAATTTTGGAATAACCCAAAGGGGAACTTTAGTGTTCCCCGAAGGGAGGCGGGGATAGGGGCCATGATGCTGATGCGGCTATGGCGGCGGCGTCTGTTCGACGTCCTGTTCCTGAGCTGTACTATGCTCTGACAGCGGCATGTGCCATGCGGAAGGGATGGGAGAGGTGCAACCCGTCTTCGTTCGTTATTACAGTACGGCTGATGGAGGCAGCCGCGGCGGCCGGCGAATCGCAGGCAGGCAGTGCCCGCGTAGTGCTTTGATGCTGCTTCAGTGTTTGCATTTTTATGACGGCGGTGGTGGTGATGCCTGACGTGTACACCTATCGTCCTCTCCCTCCGTCTTTATGACCTGGTTCAGTGGTCCCGTCAGTCCTCTTGCTCCTTGGCCGCAGCTGTTGCTGTCGCTGCAATTGGGTACCCTTACGTAAGGCCGGTGCCTGTAAGGCCGGTGCCTGGGTCGGAGGAGTGAAGTGGTTGGCTGGCGACGGGGCCTGTTCATTGATACCGGGAGTTGTGTACGGAGCGTGGAGGTGTTTGGAACGCGGCTGCATTTTGGGGGAGGGACGGAAAGCCCTTGGAAACCTGGGGGCACTGGGGGCTGAGCTCATAATAACCTGCTTTCCCCGCGCGTGGAAATTCATACGGGCCGTGGCAAGCTCTGAAGCTGATAGCGGTTATGGTGCTGCCCAGGAGCGGCAACCACAATTGTGTCTGTGTGTACGTTTATGTACGAAGTGGGCCGGAGGCGTTGTTCGGCAACTGGTAGATCGATACTTTCTTCTTTTCTATGGCATGTGAAGATTCCACCTTTCCCCTCCATTACCCCTTCCGTGTCGAGCGTTGGGTCTGGCCCAAATTCGGCTTTGCTTTCCAAACCGCGCTCTCCCTACCTCCTGTTTCACCTGTTTGAAAATCCTAAGTAAGCAAACTTCAGTTCGCTAAAGAGATGGTGCTTCATAAGGTGATACTTTTTGCTTTGCCTCCTTGTCTGCATGATTCCTCCTCTCCTCTCGTCGCGTTCCTGTTGACATGGCGCCTTAACGTTGTGTTCTGATCTTTCGTTCTGCTAATGCAGATCTTCACCTGCGACCAGATGTTGACGTATCTTCGCTCATTCACGGCGGTCAAGGAGGAGGTGAAGGAGGAGGTGAAGACGGTGGAGGTTCCGGCGGGACTCAAGCCCTTCAAGCGACAGGAGGTGGTGGATGAGATGTTCACGGGGGTGCCCAAGCGGACGCCGCAGGGCAAGGGCGCCAAGGTGCGTGGACATGTGGATCTGGTCACGCAATTCTTACGCCCAAACTGCATTCTACGTGTGCACGGTGGCGCTCTCTCAGACAGTATCCTTGACGAAAAAGAACAGTTGACAGTTGATAATGCTAAGCGATACGACGGACGCAGTTAATGCTGCCGGAGTTCGTGTTTGGAAAGGATTGGACATGAAAACCTCCCCCCCCCTCTTGGCTGACCACTTGAAGAACCGTTCGTCTGACTCTCCCTTTTCAGTCCGAACGTCTTCCCTCGCGCGCGCGCGCGCACTCTCCCTCACAGCAGCATGCGTCCCTCCCCCCCATGCATCCACACATGCACTTGCACGCGCCACCGCCCCCTCACACCTCCCCCAAGCAGAACGCGCCGGCGCCTGCCAAGCCCGCCGAGACTCCCAAGCCCAAGGTGCAGAAGCTGAACCACACGCTGGATATGCTCAAGGTTTTCCTGCAGCTGCAGGTGCGTGTTTGCGTGACGATCGATTAGCCACACGTTGTTACGGAATTGGAACAGGACAAGGAATTGGAAGTGTGTGTATCAGTGTGTGTATCTGTCAGTATGTGTGTGCCTATCAAAGGACAAAATCTTATCCTGTATGGGCTCTTCGTCGAAAAGGGTGCTTTGCGACACTAGACTGGACTGGAGTGAACTGGACTTGGGCTGAGAAGAAGTATATCATGGCATTATAAGAGAGGACAGCGCTGCGGAGACATGTGGGCACGGATTTTACACCCTCCTCCGTCACTTCCTCTCCTCGTCCAACTTTCCTACCTCCGTCCTCTTAATCCTCCCCTTTTTCCCCTGTCGTCGTCCGTTCAGGTCGAGCCTCCCACCACCACCAGCGCTATCCCCGCCACCATTGAGGCGGTGGAGGCGCGCAAGGTCGAGTACAAGGAGAAGCAGGAGGAGGCCAAGCGGGCGCCACCGCCCGCCCGGGTGGCCCCACCACCAGCTCCCACCCCGGAAGCCAACGGATCCCACAAGGTGAGGCTACCACGTGCTGCCGTACCGCACGGCCCGACCTCGCCTCAAGAACACACGCCGCCTGAACCCCACCGCTTTTACAAAGCCGTAATCACCTTTTGGAAGCGTCTTTACAGTAGGCCGCTCCCGCACGCCTAAAACAAGACTTTACATGCGCTCAACCCCGTGCTCAATGCAAGTGTTTGTGGACTCTTAAGCCTCGTTAGGCTGTTTCCATTGATTGGGTCGAGGGTTTGGTTGCGCGCTGGTTGCTGATCGGCTGCCTGGGGGAGGTCATATACCGCTAGCTTTTGCCTCTTGTGCACGTACGTACGTACGCATAGTGTTCCGTTAAATCGGGGCATTATGAGACCCATTCGGGCAGCCTCGCACTGACTTGGGTAAGACACCCTCCGCCGCACCTGATCATACATACGTGGCTTTTTGCCGTACGGTCTCTCCGTGCAGAGCGGCGGCAAGGAGGTGGAGGTGGAGGTGGAGGACGAACCGGCGGAGGCGGAGGCAGAAGCGACGCCCGAGCCTGAGGCGCCGTCCGCGGCGCCGGAAGTGGAGGAGGAGCCGGCGGCGGTGCCGGCGGTAGAGGCGGAGAAGGCACCGTCGTCGAGTGCCCCGGCAGAAGAAGAGGAGGAGCCGGCGGAGACGGAGGAGAAGGCGGAGAGCGCGCCGGAGCCGGCGGAGGCCGAGGAGACAGCAGGGGAGGCCGACGAGAAGGTGAAGGAGAAGGCGGAGGACGAGGAGGACGCAGAAGGGGAAGGTGAGTGTGTGCGAGGGTCCTAACATCATTTGAAGGCCAAACTGAGGCTGGCGGGGAGCCATAAAAGCAAAATGAGGTCTCAGGGGGGATGGATGGACGGTGTGTGTGCACGCGCTTATAGGGGTGAGGGAGTGGCGTGAAGGGCAACGGAGCAGGCGAATGGGGCAGGGGGGTTGGAGGCGTGGTGCATGCCCATGTAAATGAAATGTCCGCAAGTCACGCGCTTAACCTTTCCCACAAGTACACCACATAGCTGCGTGCTTCATTCCTTGCCGCCACTTCCCCAACAAACCCACACGCCTTTTTAGCATATCATATTAGCACCGAAACCAACCCCAACCACCACCTGAGTGCTGCTGTTCGTCTTCTCATCACCTTGCATCCCAATCCTCACCCACATTCTTCACTCCTCATGCCCTCCCAACAAATCCGCTTGGGTCGAATCCGAGTCGGTCTGAGGCGGTTTTCTCCTTCCGTTTTTCCCCGCGCGCCCCGCCAGGTGTGGGTGTACGGCTCTCTGTGGATGGCAACAAAATTTCCGTGTCCGTCAAGACTTCTTAAGGACCTGAGCCTGTGCAGCATTAGGAGGAGGAGGAAGCCATGTGGGTTTGTCATTGCTCTTCACCTCAGTGGAGGAGAGGGCTGGACATGTATGACGGACCGGCCACATGCGCGCGGCCATGGCTGCTGTCACACGCAGCTGTGATTCTCCGCCGTGGTTGGAATCTTACTTTTAGATCTCATCGTTGTGAGCTGCAAGCGTGCATGGGAAAGCATGCTTTGCCGCCCGGCTGTGGCGTGGGTGACCTTAGCGTTAGGTTTTGGTTTTTAGCCCAGCCGTTCCGTTCACTCAAGCGTGTTTTGAGGGGAGGGCCCTTTCCTTTGGGAGCGTTCAGGAATTCGTGGCCAGGATGATACAGGGCCGCGTGGCAGGAAATTTCGGGCGGGAGGAAAAGCCTGTGAGGGGGTGTCGTTCTTGGCGTGAGGCCTAGCCGGGTAGTTCTTGTCCCTGTCTTTGCGCGCCTTCTGCCTTGCGCAGGGCGAAATCCTGGAAATGGGGGAGGCATCGGACGTTTCGGGTTGGAGGATGCACGGCTTGAGGCGCGGGCTGCGAGGAGCGCCGGGTTGGATTGGTGTGTGTGTGTGTGTGTGTTGTGTGGGGCGGTATTCGAACCACGACATCATGCGAAACCCCACCTACCCGGGAGGTTGAGGATGTCACAGATGGGAAACGTTACAGCTTTGCGTCACCCGACTTTGCCCGACGATCCGAGACCTCAGAAATGGGGAAGATAAGCACGGTTGGCCGTAGTAGAGGTGGGGTATAGTTTGTTGGCAGTGTTGGGTGGCAGGAGGGCCGTGGACATCTTAAATTACCTGCTGTAGCCCTTTACTTTGGTTGAATTCGATTGTGCTTATTCATCGGAAATGTGGAACGCACTCTGCGTGCAAGAAAAAACCGGCGCTCTGCTGTGGAATACTTCAATAAGACGTGACTGACGTACTGTACAGGGTCGCCTTGACAAGCATTTTCCTTGCGTTACAATGCCTAGCAAATTGCTCTGTAAATAATGGATGACCTAAGGAACGCGGTGGCCTGAATCGCACGACGAGACTCGTACATGTGGGCAGCTACTGCGCTTCTGTCTTTTCCGTTGCGATAGCAATGAAGCAGCGTTATCCTTGTTAGCATTTAGAAGAGCGTAATATTTTGTCGACGCTTATTTCCTGGTCTGGTAGTCTAGTGCTTATGCTTGCACCAAATAGCATGCCAGTTGTCAGTACGCGCCCGATGTCCAAGTCAAGCTCAAAACGAGATGCAGTATCTCATTCCAGATCTTTCACTGTACAGCAGACACGCTGGCCTCTCTTTCGCCCCTATCGGGCCAATTGCAACACTTCGCCCCGCCATTGCACTCCTGCTGCCGCGATTGCCTCATCACAAACAACTGAGGAGCTAAAGGCAAGGATCACCGCACGTACCATTACACACCAAGGTCCCACCACGCGTTAAATAATGTAGAATCGTCCCCCCCTTCCTGCCTCTTGTGTGATCAGTGCCCCTCCGATGCCCTACCCAGACCCTATCCTCTTCCTTCCTTCCTTTCCCCTCCCTCACACTCATATCTTCGCCGGCGATGACCGTCTCCTAATCCTCCCTGCGTCATCCGCTCACCCCTCTCCCCACTCAGGCCGCGGTGATGCGAGCCGTGACTGGCACCCAGCGCGGGAAGGCGGCCACCCCGCAGCAACGTGCAGCCATTCTCCCCCTGCTGCTAGCGCTAGAGAACCGCAACCCGGTGGCAGCTCCCGTCCAGTCGCCGCTGCTGTCCGGCGTGTGGGCATTGCTGTACCAAGGCAAGTTGACGGGAACCAGCGGAATAGATAAAAAAAGAGAGGTGTAAAGTGGTATGGATGCGTACGGTGTAGTGGGGCTTTGCGATGTGTTCTGGTTTGGAACGTGTTCCGGTTCCGCTCTTTCCCCCCACTCCTTCCTCCCGTCGAAATTTCGCACTACTGCACACCTACCTACCCGCCGCCCGTACATTCCTGTCCCGTCCGCTTGTACCCGCAGCCCCCCTGGACGAGTCACGTGCTGCCGTGGACCGCAGCGGTACGACGGAAGGTCCCTTCCTGGCCGCCTTCCAGCCCCTCACCAGAGACCTGGTGCGCACGCGAACTAACTTGCAGCTGCTGGACTTACCGAGGGGAAGGTGGGAAGCGGGGGGAGACCGGGCCTTCGCTCCGGAGGGAAGGGAGTTGCGGGGGCAGAGAGGGAGGGAAAGAAGACGAACCACGAGCGAGTGAAGCTGCTGCTACTGCCAAGGAAAGAGAGGGAGGGGATCATATGCAAAAAGCCAGAGATCAACGAGGGGTTGTGTAACGGGACGTAAAGGAAGCCGACCGCGCAGATGGGGGGAATGGGAGGACTCCTGGAGGTGCAGTGAAGAAGGGGAGGGACTCGGTTGCTCGTTGCGGCAATGTCTTGCAAGTGTGTGCAGAAGGAGGTAGCGGCTTGGAGGGTTGTTATCGTGCGTTTATACTTCAGAAGGTTGTGAGCAGAGATTAAGATCATGAATGTACATACACGCATACATACATACTTGTGCTGTGTGCTCCCGACCCTTGCGCTGTGTTTCGGCTTCGGCCCCCGGCTCTCGCGGCCCACAGTGTAATCTAAGTCATACATACATACATACATACATACATACATACATACATACATACATACATACATACATACATACATACATACATACATACATACATACATACAGGATGTTATGAGAACCGACAACAACTTGATAAGCCCGTGACGTGGAAGGAAGTACTGCAGGAGGTTTGCCGTACAGAGAATTGTCCCAGAGCAAATGAAAGTTGGTGTATAACATCACTACCCCACTCCCTCACCACCACCACGAAAAAGGGGAGGGGAAGGGAGGGGAGGCGCTCCCCAAGGTAAGAGGAAAGTTTCCTTCCTTCTGTACACCCCACCCCAAACCCCTTCACTCCCTAGACACCCCTTACCTTTTCCCTAACCTCGCCTGTTTCCCCCACCACGCATGCACACACAAACACAACCCCAACAACCCCTACCCCCCACCGTATCAGGGCTGAAAACCTGGCAGAGTTCGCAGTCGCAGGTCGGTGGGAGGGCGCCCTCAACATTGTGGGGACGGCGATGCCGCAGCCCTCCGGACCGCAGGTGGGGACCAAAGGCCGAGGGTCAGGGGTGCCGAGGGTTTTGTTCAGGTGGAGGTCTTAGGGTTTTAGGGTTTTTAGGTGGAGGTCTTGTGGGGGCGTGTTGTATATATGCGACTATGCAACGAGACCAATCGCCAATATCTAGTAGGGCAACAGCCATCATCCCGGCGGTTGCCTAGAAGGGCCTAGGCTAGGCTGGGAAAGGGAGGGCGGGCGGATTGGGGTGAGAGGGGAAAGCTGGACTGGGGATCCACGCTGGTCAGGTCACATACAAACACCGAATGCACCTTCGCCACCACCACAAACACTAACAGCCTCCTTGACCCCTCAACCACCAGCGCGCTCATGCATGCATCGATGAGGGGAAATGACACGTAGTAAATAATATCCAGTCCATGTGAAGCGTTAGGGGATTGCGTGCATGTGTACGGGATGTAAACGACAATTTGTGCAGCCGTCTTACGAGCTGCTACGGGCAGTGCGGACTGCAGATTGCACGTGATTTTACAATTTCGAACGAAATGAGCACTTGTTGCACTTGATGAAATGAAATATATATTGCACGTGACGTGCAGGGTGCACCGTCAGCTTCGCGCGTGGACGTCGTCTTCAGCCACTTCGAGTTGCGGCTCGGAGGCCCCCAAAACAAAGTGACTATACCCCTGGGCTGGTTAAAGCCCAAGGTAAGGCACTGCGATATACATTATAAAAAGTTCTACATTTTGTTATCTTATTCTATCATGGATAAAGCCTAAGATAAGGCACTGCGGTTTACGTTTTCGCTCTAACAGACCTTTAAGTGAGGAAGCGAGGAAGACCTTTTTTTAAGGGTTTCCGATGTCACCGCGCATTCCTTCCGACAGCCGCGCGTAATGCAAAGTTCTAAAGCTTATCAAACATTAGGAAAGATAAACTGTATTGCGAATTAGAGCCATAAGAAGGACCTGAAGCCCCGTTTTACACACAGCCGTGCGCAAGTATGTATGTTGTATGTTGTTACAGGATGGTTAAGCTTCACCAGCGGCCCCCTTTCCCGAGTCAGTTCCCTGCTCTCCCCTGCTAGAGGGGCACCCTAATCCGTTCACCCCATCCGACTTCAGAATGTATTCGTTGGGTTCAGCAACTCACCACCAGCATCCAACCATGTATATATGTTTGTGTCAGGATAGGGATATCATTTGCGTTAAACAAAAGTGCATGTTTGCCCATGCGCGCGTGCACGTGAGTGTGCGAGTATGTGCTTATGTATGTGCGTATGTATGTATATGTCTGCACGTACACAGGGCTGGATTGAGACGACCTATCTGGACAACGATCTGCGGATCGGGAGGGGGGACAAGGGCTCCATCTTCGTAGCCAGCAGGTGCGGCACCATTTTCAGGATTTGAATTTAATGTGGAGGCAGCCAGGGCGGCACACGCCATGGATTTGCATCGGCTCCTCAGCGAGTGTATGCACCTGTAGCAGCCGGTACTCAGTACGGCGCTATAAATACGCGCAGAGCGCGACCACCAGCAACTCGAGAGACCTTTTCAGCGGTCAGCTGCTACAGCACCGGATTTATACATCACACCAACGCCGCCGGCCGCCGCACCCAGCCTTCGCAGCAATCCATAACAATGAGCATATAGTCCAAACACGACGCCGTCCCTGCCTCCACTTGCAGCCCAGTGCCGTACAACCCCCCCTGCGGAATACTGCTGGGTGACTGCTGGCTGCACCGGGGCCGAGAGCCCTTTTCGGCTCCGAAGAAGCTGATTACCCTTAGCCCCTCAGCAGTTTGCTGACTTGCGCTAGGAGCGAATGGATCAGCCATTTGCTAGGGTTGGACAGGTAGAAATGCCCACGGAAACGAGTGCCACGAGCCTTTTAAGCGCCTTCTCATATATTCTCAAAATTTTGTAATGCCTTTATAATTTTAGATAACGGTTAACTGCCGTTTAAAGCTCTGAAAATCGACCTTCTAAATTCTCATTTGGTTTCTATATTGGTTTTCTAACTTTAGGTTCTTAACGTTAGATTTCTGAGGACCAACCTTCCTCATTCCCCCTCACGCAGAGTCAACGGCGCCCGATGGCGAGGCACGGATCCCCCGTCACACTGACAAATCGGCCACACATAGACCGTAGCGCCATAGTGCTCGTACATTCTATACTGCTTCAGCCCGTACCGTACCGTACCGTACCGTTGTACTGAACCATACCCTGGTCTTCCCGCTAAGTTGGCTTCCCAAGCGTCAGCGGAGGAAAAGTAGCTCACTGTCACTGGATCTCACATGCAAAAGTACTGTCTATTGATTTTATGGTTTTAGTTTAAAGTTAGTTTTGGAAGGTAGGAACGGGTAGGAGCGGATAAGGGCGTCAGGGGCAGGACAGCATAAATGCTGTTAGTGGTTTCGGAGCTCCCGGGGGAACTTCCTCCCCTGCTCTACGAGCAGGCATTGGGGGATGGCATAGCAAAAAGGGGGAGCATGGCCCCAGACCCTGGGTGGCTTGTGCCTTTCTTTGGCAACGAAGTTGGGCGTTTGACATGTAAGACTTGCATTTCGTTCACGTGACAGGTCTGTTACGGGGGGAATAAGTTTGTGCTTGTGTGTGTGAGCTGTGCGCGCGCGCGTGTGTGTGTGTGTATATGTGTTGCAGCGGGGATGGCCGCTGGTGCGCGGCAGGGAGGGAGGATGCTCTCGTGCTTGTGAATGTGATGGAGCATCGCCCATATCAAAAGGCAGCGATGGGGGGAGAGTAGGCGGACGGCCTGGAGCTGGCGAAAGCGTTTTCGGGGGAGGGGAGGGCGGGTAGCTGCGACTGCGTCATTGTATAAACGAATGGATGAATGGATGGGTGACAACACTCGCAGTGGACGCGACCGCAACACGACCATGACTCCACCATTTCCGTCATCACCATCGGTATCGCTGCCCCCTGGGCCCTATAACGATAAACCGAACACTGTAACATAGGCCCAGTCACTGCTCACTCTATCAAGTTACAAGTTACAAGGTCCGCACACAAGTGCGGGTGTGTCCGACTCTATCAGGGGTGCCGATCAAGGCGGGGGTCCCGCACCATGGCCCGAACGCAATCACTGAGTTCCACCCGGTGCAGCAGCACCTTGTTGTATTCTCCTAGGGGGAAATCCGGGAAATCCCCGGGGCATGGGCCGAGATCTGGGGCCGAGGATGGAAGTTCACATAGGCACACGGAGGGCATTGAAGTAATTTTTCTCCAAACATGGACAGCCCTCTCTCGCGCCATCTACCACCACCACCACCACTACCACCACCACCTTGTGGGTCCCCCCTTCCCGCCCCACGCCCCTCTTTCCCCCCTCCACCACCACCACCACCACCACCGCGCACGTATGGACAGGGGGCCTTTTCTCAAGGACTTGGGTTGGCTTGTTGGGTTGGTTGTGGTTGGTTGTGTTGAGTTTTTTTTAACTGTTCCAGGAGCGTATGGGGAGCAGCACGTCAATTTCCTGTAGCACTCCAGCTAACCGGATACGCATATATCCGTATTTGACACGGGAACTGGCCTAAGCTGAGTAAACGCTGGGAAGGGGGAAACAAGTTACGCAAGTTCAGCCTCGCTGTGAGCATTTGGCTTTCTCTCCGATATTAACTTGAACGTTTGGCTTTATGGTGTTCACACCTCGGAATGCTGGCTTATCTTGGATGTCATGAAAAGATTTGATCGAGTAGAATCCCAGCTGGTAGGGCCATGGAGCGGGTCGTCTAGTCTGTGTACGGCAGGGTACGACTAATACGAGAAGTCCTGGTGGGCATTTTTTTGCCGCTGCGGGCCGGGGCCAGAGGTCGGCAAACCCTGAATAACTGTCACGGGTACTGGTGCCAGGGTCGAATAACTGTATGGAAGTTTTTTTGGTAATAGCCGAGGAAAGAGTGTCTGCGGGCGTCAATTGACTGTTCGTTATGAGAACCTCTCAAAGCTAGCGTTTACCTCCTTGTAAAATGGAAGGTTTGGTAACCTAATGATGAAGTTTATAGCTTCAAAACTGCGCAAACCTGCCTTTTGGGGGTAATTTCTGCACCCTGCCGTACGGCTGCCGTACCCGTGATGAAGAATAGAGTTGAATTTCTGCAACGGGTACAACGGAAGGATCCGTGGTACCCGTGGCGTTTGCCGACCTCTGGCCGGGGCTATGGCCCATCTGGGTCGTTGACTTCTGACCGGTGGTCAATTCTGGCCGGTGGATAGCGGTTGGGCATGTGGGGGATTCAGGGAGTTGTGTTATAATCTCGGGGGATAGACGGGCACAGTACTCGCACTTATTCGCAGTGGTACTCGCACTTGGAGAGAGAAATGAAAGGCAGGATGGATTCATGGTTGCAAAATAAATACTCAAGTATCATGCAGGGTTGATCAGATGGACGTTTGCAAGCTTGCGAGTTGCGACTTTGCATTAGCTCGTATAATAGGTGGTTAGAATGTACGAAGGTACCGAGTTCGGTAGTCGAGTGTCGCAGGTAATAAAGGTACTATGCGGCTAATTGATTTAGTTCCAAATGCAGTCTGTGTAAACGAGCAGTGCGATACACTGTGGACGCTGGCCTACGTAAAGCCTTTGGCTTTTCGGAAGAATGCGGTGACCTAGTCCAGCGCTGCTGGCAGGGGCTGACCGAATGGCGAGACCGCAATCCAGTAAAAATAATTCCAAGCAAAGAGGACCACCAGGCTCCGGCAAACGAAAGCACGGCGCCGCAACTACCGGCGGCGGCTCTGGCGGCAGGCCTGCCAAGCAGAGCCGCCGCGAGGGCAAGCCGAAACCGACGGATCGTGACGTTTATGAGGCAGAAGATTCAGATCCTGACGAAGTCAAGCATGCTGAGCGTTTTGACGTAAGTTAGGGGTGCCATTGCCTTAGGTTTGGCTGTCCTCAAGGGCTTGCAGGAGTAAATCAACCATTCGTATGTTGTTACTGCCATGTAAGTTGATAATGCCATTCCATTACGCTGCTGGAGTGACATTACATGAGGCGTTTTACGCTGAATTGTTAGAGCGCAGAAAGTGAACCGAGGATGCTCGATTTCCTATGTCTAGGCGTCCGGTGTTTACTGCTTGCTGAAGGCTTAATTTCGGCGCACATCATTGTAACGCGTCGTCACGCAGAAAGTCGACAATTACGAATATGAGCTGCCGTCTGATTTTGAGGACGAGGAAATCGATGAGGAGCTTGCCTTTACGGAAGAGGATAAGAAGAAATTCGGTGGTTGGTTTGAGAAGGAAGTTAGCGCCGACGAGGACGATGATGGGGCCTTGTTGGGGGATGGCAACGGCGAGGATTGGGATGATGAGGGTGAAGGGGAGGATGACGATGACGAAGAAGACGAGGACAGGACAGGTGTGAAGCAAGGCGGCGGCAGAGCGCAGGGGCGAGGCATACAGGAAGATGATGATGACGATCTCTTCCTCGGCGACGACGATGATGACGATGACGAAGATGGAGACATGAACGGCTCAGAGGATGACGAGGAAGGCGACGAAGGCGATGAAAGGCATAGGTACGAGTATCAAAGAATTTACCATCACCATGAAACCTTTTAGCCATGATGCCTCCTGCAACGTTCCCCATCTCTTTCCAGCCAGCTCCTGCATATATGTGCGTCCTCACCAATTCTGGTCTCCACAAACTGCCCGCCCTACAGGGCGATGCTTCGCGACGTTTTGGGTGCTACTGCAGCCGCCGGCAGCGGCGGTGCCCGGAAGCGAGCTCGGCGCGACGCCAACGCAGCGGTGGTTTCGGAGGCCTACCCCGAATCGGAATACAACCTGAACCCGGGGGCAGCGTCGGCAGGTATGTATGTCCTCGTTGAGGAGGGTGAGGGGATCACCTGAATGGCAAAACCTTAGTCCGTGATGCGTTGCAGGTTTCGAGGAATGCCCTGGACAGACTTAGCCGTCATGAGGATAGAAGATGCTGCATTATTAAAATAATTTGGGTTGGGTTGGGCATCTTAGTTCATACTTTCTCATGAACTAAGAACTAATTCATGAGAAAGCGGCCCTTGTGTACAACAACCCGCCTCACCTCCGTGCGGGATTGTTGAATGGCGGGTCGCGATAGGGAAGCTCCGCTGGCAAACGGCCGCCACCTGAAGCCGCTCGCGTGTGACATCGATCCTTCGTCCCCGCGGGTGCATGAGACTGGCAGCAACCTCTGGCGGGCACAACTCAGATATTTCCGCCCCGTCCCCGCTTTTGCAACAACTGCACATTACTTTTCCATCACCGACATCCTGTATCCTGCAACCATCTTCGGGGTCGTTGCATTTTTTTACATCTCAGCACATCATTATTTTCCTATTCTAAAAGCTCGTAACCAGTATCGTGTATTAGTGCGCACTTCTGTATTATCGTCCTTTCCGTCATTAACAGAATGTATTGTCTTACCGAATGGCTGTTGCAGGCGGTGCAGCAGCAGGGACGCTGAGCGTCGCCGACTTGCTCAAGGGCCTTACTGCGGGGGAGCGCCGCAAGCTGGGCGCTGCGCGGCGTCTCTTGGAGAAGGTTGCCGCCGCGGGCGGAGGGGGCCAGGCGGAGGCCGCGGCGGGCGGTAGCAAGGGCCTCCGTCCAGTGCCGGTGCCGCTGCCAGCTGTGGTTGCGGAGCGGCAGGAGCGTAAGGCCGGTTACGAGGCCGCCGCGGAGGATGTGACGAAATGGCAGTCGATTGTTAAGGTGCGGAACTGAGGATGTTGTTAACTTAAGGTTTTAAGCAAGCAAGATTGCATGGCCGCGTTTTTCTGCGGAGGAAAGGATAATGGATTTGCATCTTCATTGCCACTATGCAAAAGGAATAGTTTTTTCATTCGGATATTGGTGGTACAGGAGATATGTGTACTCTTAGAATCAGTCGAGTAATTCGATAGTTATTGATGCATGCGGCGTCAACTTTCGTAGATTTGTGACGGGGTTTTGGGGATGCATATCAAAGGACGGCTGCAACGGCCACAGCAATGCCGGCAGTGCCTGACGAGCTGCAGCCGAGACTGATGGAAGCGCGGCTTCATAATTTTTTTCCAATTACCTCCAGTTGACATGCCCACGCGGCCCTTGTGTACAACAACCCGCCTCACTTCCGTGCGGGATTGTTGAATGGCGGGTCGCGGTAGGGAAGCTCCGCTGGCAAACGGCCGCCACCTGAAGCCGCTCGCGTGTGACATCGATCCTTCGTCCCCGCGGGTGCATGAGACTGGCAGCAACCTCTGGCGGGTACAAACAGACCATGGCACATTCCGTTCACGTCTTCACCTCCGCATATGCAACCCTGCCACTCAGTCCCTCTCCTTTGCATTCATTTCCTATTGTCCACCTCTCTCTTTTCCACCAGCAATTACCCCTGCGCTCCATTCCTCGCATCCTATCACTTCCTCCTCGGACACACAGGCGAACCGCGAGGCGCCCACACTGCGTTTGGTTTCGGGGCGTGGTGAGGTCCCCCGGGTCACCACCACGGCCGCGCTGGTGGCTCAGCACACTCCCTCCGCGGACAATGCCCTGGAAGCTGAGGTGGCTGCGCTTCTGGAGGCGGCGGGAGTGGCCAACACGAAGGCCATCGAGGAGGCGGAGGAGAAGCTGGCGCTCAAGGTGAGCGTTTGCGGTTGCGCTATCACAGGACCATGCGGCTGTGTAGAGCCGGTAGAGCGGCTGTGTAGGTGTCCTTGTTGGTTTTTTCTATTTAACTTGTTGGGTTTGGACGGCAGACTTAGGGTTTACTTGCTTGTCGGCTTGCTCAAGATTTGAGGGATAAGGGAAGTATTCTATATGTCAATTCAGGATTGCGATTCCGGACGAGTCAGGCGATGTCCACATCTTAGGATGGCATTCCAGAACCTTTTGTGACACTAAAAATTACTCGGATAACTGTTCCCCTAGGCTCTCAGCCTCGAGGAGGCGAAGGAGCGAAGGGAGAGGCTCGCAAAGATGAGGTCGCTGCTCTTCTACCACGAGCTCAAGGCGCGGCGGCTCAAGTCCATAAAGAGCAAAGAGTATCACCGGTAAGGAAACGAGAGCCGGGAAATGCCAGTTCTTTGTGGGTGAACTTAGGCATGGGGGAATACGGTGCATACGGTGCAGAGGTGTATTTTGGCGAGGCGTGTGCGGGGTCCGGATGCTGCACAGCGATTGATGAAAAGGAGCGGCATGTGGTGGCGGATAGGATATATATACATCGGAAGACGGTCCTCCTGTCTCGCCCTGGGGCGGTTTTGAGTACCTCGACTATTTAGGTATTAAGTCCGCGTGAAAAGAAAAAATCGATTAATTTCCGTCGCCTCATCGCGTTTATGCTCCCGTCCTTGCATCGCGCGATACATCTGCTTGGGCAAAAAACTCGCCACAATGGCCAGTTTTCGCCTCGTTGCAGCTGCACTGTTCTGCAAAAAGTTTAACGTTTTTACATTGGCCCTTTTCATTCCCTGCAGGCACCTGGCTCGTGCGGCCAAGCGCAAGGCGGCCAAGCTGGCTGCTGCGGCCGCGGATGCGGGTAGCGGCGAGGGCGGCGCTCCGGGTAGTGCGGATGCGGAGCGGGTCGCCGCCATAGAGGCGGAGTACCAGCGAGCCAAGGAGCGGCTGACGCAGCGGCACCGCAACAGCAGCCGCTGGGCGAGGCGGGTGCTCAAGAGGGGCCAGCTGCAGCTTGATGCAGGTGCGGCTGGTTTGTGGGGTTGTGCTAGGTTTGGGTAGTGTATATAAGATGATGGTCGTCGGGGTCGTGTGATTTTCTGCAGGCCCACTACTACCAGCACCTCACTCATCGTCACGAAGTCGACGGTCTTCCGGGATTGATGTTTTTGATCCTTTTACCCTCGAGAACCTGTTCCTCTACCCCCATACGACCTAAACCGTCTGCGAACATTGTTCTAATTGATTTCCGCTTTTTTCGTCATTGACTACTTCCGCTGCGATAGGATTTTTTCATGAGCTCCCCTCCTTCCCTTTCCTCTTTTCGTCCCTTAACTTGTCTCCCTGGACCTCTCTTCAGTTGTTCTTGAAGTGACCACCACCTCTTTCTTCCCTCCCTCGCGCGCGCGCACACGCCGGTCTCACAACGACCACGCGCAGGCACCAAGGCGGCCCTAGCGGAGCAGCTGCAGCTGGGTCAGCAGCTCAAGCGCAAGATCGAGGGGCGCAAAGACGGTGACGGCAGCGGCGACAGCGACGCCAGCACTTCAGCGTCTGATTCGGACAACAACAATGATGACGGTGATGATGGCGACGCCGGCCGTGGCGGCGGCGGAGCTGGCGGGAGGTCTCGTCAAAGTTCCAAAGTCCGGAGCGCCGCCTTGGAGCTTTTGGCAGGTGTGGTTGATGCTTATGCTTGCGGTGGGTTGATCTAGAAGGTTATGGAGCAGATGCGAAATAGGTGGTGATGATTATGGCGGTGGTACTGACTGAGGTGATGGCTGTCGGCCAGAGTGGGTGGCTGAGGTGGTGGGTGCTTGACAAGGTCATTAAAAGCGAAGCGCTCTAAAGCACCTGGCAGCATCCTTTAAATTGCCGCTACGGTTTCGCACGGGCGCGATATGAACCTGTAAACTGCTAGAGGGCATGTCAACATCCTTGGCGCTGTTAGGCCGCCCTGGGTGGCACATCCCCCTAGCAGACATTACAACAACAACCAACTCAAAAGTGGGTCAGGACCCGACCCCCTTTCCTGGGGACTTGGTGTTACTGGGGGAAGACTGAACTTATCGTCCCATATACGTCCATATGAACGCTGATATACGTGTTGATATCATGTACACGTCGTATGCGTGGTGTGACATTCAAATGGCTTTTTTGGCTCTCCTAGTCGCTTGGGGAAGTGGGGGGCTATGTGGGAGTATCGGGGAGGCTCCGTCCCATGTGCACGTAGTGCCCCCCGATATGTAGGATAGCAACAAGCGTACGCGTGTGTCGTGTACCTCGAGGAGGGCCATAGAGCATCTCTTGGGTGGCGGGTGAAAGAGGAAAGCTGTCCGGTTGGTTGGTTGGCTGGCTGGTGGCCCCCCCCCTACACAGTGTCAGCTTGGGCGCCCGTTCAAAAAAACATTCCTTAGTTTTTTCGACGTCCCTCGACGACAAGTCCCTTGCTAAATGAGGCATCAAACCTGGCCGCATCTTCTCGTTCTGCCGCTTCTTTTTGTGAGCTAGGCGGTGGTGCCTTGGAGTTGGAGGGTGACAACGCCCCCAAGAAGGGCATCCTGGCGTTGCCCTTCATGAAACGGGCCATGGAGCGGCGGCGGCAGCAGGCGCAACAAGATGCCGAACAGTTACTACGGGAGCTGGATGAGCAACAGGACTTGGCGATGCAGGAGGGAGCAGATGTTGAGGACGGTGGAGGTCGGGCAGCGGGGCAAGATGGGAAGGCGGACCCGCCGAGCGGCTTCTTGGAGTCCCTTGTAGGGTACAGCGTGCCGAGGACGATGGTGAGCGGCCATGCTGGCGGTCGTCGGAAGTTTGGCGGTGGCAACGCCGCTGCAGCCGCCGCGGCAGCAGCAGCAGCGGATGCCGCCGAAGCCAAGGGCGACGGCTCGGATCTGGATTCTGACGATGCTGAGGATGCGGAAGCGAAGGCTGAGCGATTATGTCAGCCGACGAAGGCATCCGCGGCGGCTGCAGCTGCCGCCGCAAAGCAACAACAGCAGCAGCAGAAGGGCAGCAGTCGTGGCAAAGTCGGTAAGGCCCAGGCAACAGCCGCACCGCCGACGGCGGCAGACGAGGCGGATCTTGACGCCGCTATTGCTGCTGGTGCAGCAGGCCGCGGCCTCCTGGCGACCAGCTCTGACCTCGGAGTGGACCTGACTGTTGTCCGGGATACAACACAGCCCAGTGTTGAAGACGCGGAGGTGGGTGAGCGGCGGGAGAGCGGCCGTCGCGCCAGCACCCGCGCTGCTGCCGCTGCCGCAGGTAATGCGGGCGGCAACAAGAGCGGTACTGGAAAGGGCGCTGGTGGCGGCGGACTTGGTGATGTTCTCAAGGAGGTTGGGGCACAGCAGGCGTCTCTGGCGCCGGGTGGCGGGCGTGCGGCTTTGTTCGAGGCTGCGACGGGCAAGAGGGCAGCTGGTGACGGTGGCGACGCGGCGGCTGCGGCGGCAAAGTTTTTGCCTGCTAAAAAGTTTGATGGGGCTCGGGCCGGATATGCCTTTAAAAAGGGTCCCCAAGGGTTGGGTTATTATTCCGACGTGAAGGATGCTGCGGCGGCTGGGGTGGTGGGTGCGACTACTCCTGCAGGCGGCGGTGGCGGTGGAAAGAAGGGCAGAGGGAAGCAGCAACAACAACAACAGTGTAAGACTGCTGAAGTTGTGGTGGTTGCTGGGCAGCCAACGCGGCAACAACAGCCGAGGCATGGGGAAGGACAGCCTCCGAACCAGCAGTCTGGGGACCTGAAGGACGGACAGAAACAGCAAAAACAACAGCCGCAACAAGGACAGGAAAAGAAGCAACAACAACAGCAGCAGGCTTCTAAGGGTGTCATCATTACAGCTGCTAATGGGCAAGACGAGGCCAAGGCGGCAACTCATGGTGGTGGTCGAGGTGATCAAGAGGATGACGATGATGACGCGCCGATGATGCGGCCCGCAGATCAGCGCGACCTCATTCGGCAGGTTTGTGGGGTGCAGTTTTTGCTGGAGGTGGAGTGAAATTCTGGGAATGCGTGGCGAATGCGGCGATTTCGGCAAGGGGCCCTCTCCTTGGGGGCTGAGATAAGGGTTCTGTTTGGATCCTGTTTGTGATTGTTTAAAGTGCCCTCCCTGATTGGCGAATGTATGGGGAGGTATTGGCTGGTATTGGAGGCGAAGGCATACTCGTTGGTTTTCTTAATTTCTTTCCTTCGTACTATATGAATATTATTATCAATATTTATATTATTGCTATATTATTACTATTATTATTATTATTATTCACGATGATTCCCCAATTTGTTCCTTCGCGCGCATCCAGGCCTTTGCCGGTGACGATGTGGAGGAGGAGTTCGCCGCTGAGAAGGCGTCGGCTGTGGCGGAGGAGCTGCCCCACGTGGATGAGCCGTCAGGCATGCCTGGCTGGGGCGCATGGGCCTCACAGCAGCGGAATCCGAAATGGATGCAGGCTGCCAAGGAGAAGGCCGCGAAGTGAGCACCGGGATGGATCCTACATGAAGCTTTCGGGGCGCTTCTTGATGGGGCCTTTTTCTAACTCGGATATTTGCGTAGCGTAGCGCAGTGAGGCGTAGATTTACCAAGCCTACCGATGTAATCCCCATACACGCACATGCACACGTACGCGCAGCTACGCATCGGAACATTATGTCATCCCCCCCCGCCTTCGTCCCCTTGTTGCCCCGCACTTGTTTCTTCGGACGTGGACAGTTGGTGATTGTCGTTGCATTTAACGATAATTCTTATATAATTGTATGCGCGTCCCCACCCGCGCCGGCCCCTCGGGTCTCCCTCTCCCTCGCTCTTTAAACAATAGGATTCGCGCTGACGCCGCCGCGGGTCGCAAGGATGCCAACCTGAAGTACGTCGTGATTTCGGAGAAGTGGGACAAGAAGGCCTCCAAGTACATGGCCCCTGCGGCGCCCTTCCCCTTCACGAACCAGGAGGCTTACGAGCGGTCGCTGCGGCAGCCGCTGGGCCGCGAGTATAACCCGGATGCGGCCTTTCGCGACCTCACCCGCCCTGCAGTGCTGAAACAGACGGGTGTGGCGATTGCGCCGTTGAGGTTCTCGGAGCCGCTGGCTAAGGAGCTGGGTCGGTCGGGCAACAAGGCGGTGGCGAAGCGGGAGGCGAAACGGGTTGTGACGGTGGCCGGTGGAATGCCGAGACAGGGCAAGAGGTGAAATGCAAAGCAGCAGCTGAAATGTGCGTGCGTGTGTTTTGAGTGTTCTTCGAGTGGGAAGTGTGGATGACTGTGTAAGCTAGCAGGAAGAGTGTGTAGCTGATAATGGTGATGGGTGGAAATGCATTTGTGAGTCTGGGTAGTGGTGATGGGTGGTGATGGGTTGGTGGCCATTTGGAGGGGCTTGTGAGCTTTTAGCAGGATGATGTGATGGGTTTGCGAGTTTTTTTTAGGAGGCGATTGGAGATGGAGACGTGCTATGTTCTGCCGTGTGAGTTTCGCTTTCGCTTTGTAGATGTGAAGTGTGTCTGTGGCGGGGAGAGACAGGGAGAGCTGGTACCAATTGATGCTATGCAGCCTCCTCGTGAGGAGGCCACTTGCCAGGTTATGACCGGCTGAATTTCTTTGTTTACAAATCTTCCCATCGCTTGACTTCCCACTATTACTAGGACCATGCGGCGGGATATATGGGCGCGCGTATGGAAGCAAACCTCTGGTTACAGCTTACAATAAATGAACATAAAACTTCCTGGATGTCTGCAGCGCGAGGGTGTGCGGAATTGCTTCACAAAACGAACTGGTTTTGGCGAATGTACAAGTTACGGCGCGCTCTCGGTACCTGTCGAATCGTGTTTATACTAGCAGAGATAAAGTGGTCTCGACTGTCCTTTCAAACAGTGTTGTCTGCTCGCAAAACGTAAGGGAAAGCCTGTAGCGGCTGTATGCTCACGTTTGTTACACTGCGTTAAGGCGATCGCTGATATTGCTAGTATTCCTGGTAACGGAGCGCAGAAAGGGCGTACAAGCAGGGAATGGAGCCGCCTGACTTAGGGAGTCTCTAGTGCAAAAATGATGATACGAAGGGCCTTAAGGAGTTGGGAGGAGAGGCAAAAACTTCTGGACAGGTGAACTTGTTTCAGGTCTCTAGGCTAAGCTGCGAAACCAGTCACAAGAAACACATGACACCAAGGCGAACTATTTGTCACAAACGGAAGGATGCGTGCGAAATTGCGTTAGAATACTAGAGCACTGACTGTGTTACTCCTTGTGACTTTAGATGTGTCCCGTATGTGTCCTAATTTGTGGCCAGCAGGCGCAGCGGATAATAGGCTTCTGCCTCGCACATCTCCGTTTATCATCCTGATTTCCGATTTCCAATTGTCAGTGAAGTGGTTGGAGTTGTTGTACTGTCCGTTAGAATTCATTTTCTTAGCAATCGTCCGTCGTTGCGTCACTAATTGAAACAATATACTTAGTTACGTTTCTTGCATTGAAGTAACTTTTTGGTCGCGTTGTGGGACGCTCTTTTCCGTTACGGTCTCGGGAGCCTGTCCTTTGTGTTCAGTCTTGGCGACTTAGTCATCATTTGTTCAATGGCATCTACGCTACATGCATCATCAACTACTGTCCGGCTACGTGGGCGAGGGCATGGCTGCAGGCAAGCCATGCAGCTACTATTGCCGAGACAATGTAGCAGCTGCTTGAGGGCAAGGTATGCCAAAGTTACTCCTTATTGAAAGAGATCTCACGGAAAAAAAGGAACTTTCAGTAATTCATGCCTGCGAACTGGGGCTTTCCACCTATGTAACTTTCGACGACCACCTGCCAAGCCATGAAACTTTGATGGCAAACGTTGCTCCATAACGTCCCTCTAAGCTTAAATTCACAGCCGTTCAAATTTGAACGTTCGGTCCCCAGGTCTTCTTACGTCAGTTCCGACCCGTCCAAAGCATGGCTATCTCTGAACTGGACTTTGCGGTCTTGTTCCACGTTCTTACGCGCTATTCACGATAATAATTCCGGAAACAACTCCTCCAATAACCCCGGCGATGAGGATGACGAGCTGGACCGGCTGCTCGGCATCGGGCGCTATCGAGATGACAGCACCGGCTTTTTCAGCAGCCTGAATCGCGGCGGCAGCAGCGGCACTGGTTCAGGGGGGAGCAGCAGTGAGGATGGTCAGGCAGGCAACGGAGAAGCTGGTGACACGCTGGCCGACATCATACAGGCAGGTGCCGTACGGTAAATTGTTCTCCAGTGCCGCCCCCGCACCACATCGTCAGGGGTCACCACGACAGTGCCATACATGCAACCCCACCTCAAAGTCTAATACTGTTGTTGTTTGCGTGACTTTTTCATTCATGGCTGTCGAATGGAAGCAAGCTCCACCTTTGCTGGCCCGACAATGTTTACTTCCCTTGCATCGTAACATCCACTATATAAAAGTGGACATCATTCACTCTGTTGTATAACATTTATTTAATCTAGTTAAAGTGTGTCCATGCAAGTTTTACAGCGTCGTCGTACTGTCGTACAGATGGAGGTACGGCGGGTCCGCGCCAAGGAGGAGCTCATGTCGGATCTGGAGGACCGTAAGACGCAAATGAGGGCCATCGGCGAAGAGGTACGACAGTACATGTACGACCCCTGCTTGTTGCAGGTGCTCACCTGTCTGTCTGTCTGTCTGTCTGTCTGTCTCAGTCACTGGGGATCACACACATTATGCTTGTGACGCGTGTGTGTGTATGTGTGTAGACAGGATCCACAGGACGCTGTAGAGTACGTGTTTTGATTCTCGAATACAGGTGCCTCCCCTCCCCCCACCCCGCCGTACATGCTGCCTGTTCGTGAGCTGGTCCTACAACACCTCCCCCCCCCCCGTCTCCCACTCCATCCAACAATTCTGCGCAAGAAAACTGCACATCATATACACATGCGCGTACACATACACTGCACTGAAATTTCACCAACAACCCACCCCCCACGAAAACCGCCCCCAGATGAAAGCAGCTCTTGCTCGGGAGTACGAACTAGATCGTATGCGTACGGAAATTGGCGCCAATTATGCGATGGTGAGCGAGAGTTAAGAGTCCGGACTTCCCGGATGTCGGGATTCGAATTTTTAGGAGTTTTGGTCCTTGCCTGTGCTTTGCTGCAACCCCCTACACCTAATCCCGCTGCCTAAGACCCTGCCGTCCATCTCATCTCACCGCGCCTGTCCGTTTATTTACTCAAAACCTCCCCACGTCCCGTACATGCCGTACATACGCCGTACAACCGTCAGTCGGAGGCGTTTCACGCTCTGGACGATGTCGAAAAGGAGGTCCAGCGAATCAAACAGCAGCTGCAAGTGAGTGAACCCGAAAAAGGCGGCGGTGGAAGAGGAGGGGAGGGAAGGGGAAGGGAGGAGAGCCTGTCAGCGATCGGGGGGGAAGAGGGTAGTGAAGAGATAATCTCTCATCTGATGGGGAGTTGAAAAGCTCGCTCCTCGTGGTTTAAGTTTTGATAAGCATCCCCGCTGCTTCTTAGAAACTAAAAGCTCAAAGGACTTAGGAAAGGGTTTGTTATCGGATTAATAACATGCGCTCTATACCCCGCATTGTTCCTGTGGTTAACATCAATACACACCTCCTACACACGCAACTGCCCCCCCCCCTTTTCCCCCGGCTCACCTCTTTGCTACCCTTTTGTTTTTGCATGTGCCTTTTGCCACTACTTCTGCGGCCTGGCCAGGTGAGTCCAAAGGGTGGTTCGAGCTTCTTTGGTATATCGCGTTGGCGTCGGTAGGCTAGCCGGAATAGAATAGTCGGGTCGGTCGGGTCGGTCGCGCGTTTTAGTTTTTTTTTGGGGGGGGTTGGGAGGAGCACTTGCATACCGACAGCCTTTCAGTATCAGCAAATCAGCCTTTTTCTCCAGGCCAGCAACTTTAGGCCACCTTTACGACAGCACTATTTTACTCGCCGCCTTCACTACTACTTTACTACTCCTACTTCTTTACGGATTGGCTATACTATTCAGCTTTTTAATTCTGGCGGCTTAGGTAGGTAGGATTTCCGACATCAACGTCACTTCGTCATCCCGAGGTCACAGTCGTCACAGTCGCCACGGACGCCTTTCGGTCAGTTTTTACGTTTGCCACTCTCTTGCCCTGGCAGCAGCTTCAATCATGTGTGGTTCGTCTTTCCCCCTTTCCCCCCCCCCCCACCGCGCTGCGTCGGATCCGGTACTGTGCTCTCTGTGCTCTCTCCTGCTGCTGCTGTACTGCCCTCGTGATTTCCTTCAACCACCGAATTTTCGACGTCCGCTGTTTTCCTCCTCCGGACTTCACTCTACCTCTATATTTGCCCCCCTCCCCTCCCTTCCTCCCTCCCTCCCTCCCTCCCTCTCAACCCCCCAAAGGCTGATAAGGCCGACCTCGCCGCCTGGGAGGCCCAGACTGCCGAGGAGCGCTCTCGAGGGCTGTTCTTCAAGAGCCTGTACTCCCTGACAAGGAACCACGGCAACCCGTGGC